AAGTAATTATTCGCTAATATAAATAACCTTAGAGCTTTTATCTAGCTTTATATCTATAAAAGTAATAATTTCGCAGAAATAATATTTATAATTATATAGATACTTTTATATAATATTAGACTTAACTATATCTTGATAGACCTTAATAAGATATATATTCTTTAAGACTATCTTCCGGATAGCCTTTTAAGCGCTATCAACTTAGAATTATATTAAATAATTAGCTTTAGAAGTATCCGGGGTATAAGCTAGTCCAATTTATATCTATTTAAGAATACTTATTAGCTATTAAAGTAGATCTTCCTAAATATATATATATATATATATATTTTATATATTAAAGTTTAGCCTTATAGAGATAAGTATTCTTAGCTAAAATATTCGCGGCCTATTTAATAAGTATTATTTAAATAAGTAAGCTTTTTTTAGGGCGATTATCTAAGCTTAATAAAATATTTATATATTATTTATTAATAATAAATAGAGTATATATTTAGTATTTAGAGTCATCGGATATATAAATTATAAGTCTTAAAGGGTATAATTAGATATAATTAGTTATAATTTAGTTATAAATATTTAAGAATATTAATATTTAAAGATATTTCTTATTAAGAATATTAATTTTCCTTAGGTTTTACTTCCTCTCTTAAGATAAGTCTTTCTTTTAGAGCTAAAAATATATGTATATATATTTTTTCCCTATCTCTATTGATATATATAACTATAATAGATATTAAAGATAAGTTTTCTCTAATTAATCTTTATTATTCATAGTCTTAATTAATAAGTTATTTTAGTACTAATTCTTTTAGTATATAACTTTCTTATATCACTAATTTATAGATATATACTCTTTATATTATTATAGATAACGCTTTATATTATTATAGATAACGAAATAAATAATTAAAGAGAACTTCGGATTCCTTTTAGTATTATATACAAGCGATCTTAATTAGTCGCTTAAGAAGGGATTATTTATAGGAATAGAGATATATCTAATATTAATATTTCCGTTCCTAGCTAACTATAAAAGGTTTAGCTAAATAAAAATATATTATTAAAGGAGATTCTAAAGGTAAAAAAGTATATTCTATTTAATAAATATATAAAGGAGTAGATATATAGTAGCTATATAAACTAATATATGTTCGCACAACAGAAAAAGTTAGGTAACGTAACCGTTTCCACCTAATAAGAAGGCCCTATTATCATACATTAAAATCATAGATATTTAATAGCGAGATATACTTTATATATAGCTTAAGATAATTATATTAGGCTTATAAGATATTAATATTCTTAGCCTTAATCCTTATCTTCTTCGCTAACTTTCATTTTACCTAATAAAGCCTATTAGATAAGCGCTTAATAAATTTATATACCTATATCTTATTAACTAATATTATTATATCTTTAGTGGCTTCGGTATCTCTCTTAATTATTATATTCGTACTTACTTTAACTATACGCGCGGTAGGTAGAACGTAAAGACTATTAAGCGTACTAATCTAGCTAATTAAATCTAGCTAATTAATATTATTTCTTATAAGGTATTAAGGCACTTAGTAATAATAATACGCTAAGAACAAGATAGCTAACCGTAAAGACACGCCTATAGCTAGGTTATAGGAATATCGAATTCGCGCGCTAGCGAGTTAATTTTGGCATCTTTTCGACTTCTAGTAGCTTTATAGGTGGCCTAGACACATTACTCAATAGCTATATATGAAGAATCTATAGTGGTAGTAGAATAATAATAGATATAAATAGCTTTAAGTTATATGTTAGGCTACAGGATTGCGTTGGGCCCCGCGGACCAACACCCGCAGCGGTGTGGATATGCCACGGGACTATTATAGCTAAGTCTTTATTAAAACAAATATAATTTAGCCTCTTTTAAGTTCCTAAATATATTTAAAAATATAAATTTTCTTATTAAAATACTTAATTTAATCTTTAATAATTTAGCTATTATTTTAGAGTTCTTTATAAGTTACTTAAAATTTAAATAAGTTTTTTAGAAGTAATTTATATTATAATAAATTAAGAGAGATTAACTCAGATTAATTTAGTTCTAAAATTAAATTAATAATATCTTTATACTAAAATATAATAATAGCCTTATATAATATAAATATATTATTATCTTTAATAATAATATAGAAATAAAAGATATAATTATTAATAAATATAATTCCTTAGGTAATTAATAAAAAAAGAATTAAAATTATAAAAATTTTATATATATAGGGTAAAAGGCCTATTAATTAGATAAAAAAGAATATTTAGGCTTAAGTCTAATATTAAAAGAAGTAAGACTAATTCTTACTAAGTCTAAGTTATCTGGAAACCCTCTTATTTTAAGTACGAATCGGGTCCGAGACTTACTTATTACACTGCGGGGTAAACCTTTACCGCTAGTCCTTGGTATTCCTTTACACTATAATTAAGTAATTTAGGCTATATATAAACTAAGTTTAGTTATTAGGTATACTAATTATAGTAATATAGATTATAAAGTTGACAAAATGATAATATTACTAAAGAATAAAATTATTATCACATTTTATAAATTATTTATAATACTTTTATCTATAATTTTATTAATTAAATATAAAATATAATTCTATAAGATTACCTTTGAATACTAGTATAGAAATTTAATAAATATAATATATATACATATAGAAATTATTTTTGGCCCCTATCAAAGATATTTTTAATTATATAAGAACCTTAAATATGTAGAAAGCCTTACCTTTACTTAAATATAAATCAATAAAATTAGCCTCCCTAACTATCTAAATACTATTTAGTAATAATATAAAGAATAGCTTGAGATATTTCTTTCATAGAACTTTATATCGTGTAATTATAATCTTCATAACTAAAATATATTATAAATTTTATTAATATATTTATCATTAGTTAATCTTTCCCTTCCTATCCCTAGCTTTCTATAGAAATATAAATACCTAATATAAAAAGACTAATCTATTAATCTAATTCTGATCATTAAAACAATGATATTTATTCTGAAAATTAATTTATATAGCTAATTCTTACTATTATTAAATACCTTCTAGGCCTCTAAGGAAAGAGATCTACGATTAAAGATATTATATATATTTCACTCATATTTATCAGCCATAATTATTATAGAACCTTCTATTTATATTATTTTAATTTTTAAAAAAAATTAGAGAGGAAGACTTAGTATATTATGTCCTATTTCCCTCAATTAATTTATTTAAAACTATAGTTGGAAAGACTACCTTACATTAAACTAAGCTAATATATTCATAACCCAAATTAAGAATAAAGGTATTAAAGTATCCAATTTTCTTAGAGAGAGTAATATTTCTCTATAGCTTTAGTATTACTATTTAATGTTTACTAATATCAGTAATATAGTAAATTTAGATACATATACAGATATAGCGATATATATAAAATTAAAATTATCAAGTAATTGAAAGTGGAAAAAGAATATTAGAAATTAGCTTATCTCAGTATAATTATAAAATATAGTTATCCTAACTACACTATAATTCCTACTAATAGATTAGCCTTTATAGCTAATAGATCTGAGAATAAATAAACAATAATTGATTAATTAGTTATTACAATAAATAGACCTATGTTATTAGTCTAGTATAACTTCTGATATTAGATTTATTCTTCCCAAGTAATAGCTTATTGATTATAGCGCTCTCTTTTTCTATTCTATATAGCCTAGGTCTATACTATTTATAATAGTAATATTTATACCTATAGTAATAGACTCGTCAATTTCTAGCACTATATTAATTTTAGGGGTAGCGTATTAGAAGATATACTATTTATTCTTCGCAAGCATTGTATTAGCTTAATAATATTCATTTATCTAATTAGAAGCTCTTTGTAGATAAAAGGCTAAAGTGAGACTTGGATTTAATCCAATAGGCTACGAACTATTCATGAAAAGTTAAAAAAGAGATATCCTATATATACGTTCATTGTATGAATATACTAAGGTTGCGTAGTTTATGTTACCTATAGCGGGTATCGGCCCGTGATACTGCTAATAAGGATCATGGGAAAATTAATTCTGTTCAATAAAAAAGAGTTAGAGGGGTTTTCACTAAAGTTTATCAGAGATAGTAATAACCTAGAAGGTATTCTCTATATTAAATAAGGGATAAATGAAATGATAAAGAATGTATTGTATAATATTATAGAGAAAGATTAAGGACAATCTCCTGAAGAAAAGAGAGAAATTTATAAAAGTAAAAGTAAGTTGAAAACGGGAAACTTCAATTACAAGATACAATAAAATTAAGAGTTTGTAGAACAAAGTAAATATAGGATATCCTATTAAGTAAGATAAAGGTTTAATATAAAGAGGATATAGAAATAAAAGTCTTTCTAAGAATATAAAATAGAATTGTTAGAGAGAAAGAAAACAAAGAATTAAATTTAGAAAGTAAGCTCCTTTTATATCTAACAAAAAGGAAGTTTCCTAGAAAGAAACGATATCTCCTTAAGAGACGAAAATCCTTTGAATACTCAATAATTAATATCCCTAAGTAAGCTCAGCCTCGCCTAACTAGTCTATGAGGCTTGCTCTAAGGTAACCTCCTATATAGTGTTACTATTATATACAAACAACCTAGCTAGAATAAGATAACTCTCCCGGTGTAACAGTTTTCCTTAAAAAACGTAAAGATATTCACGCCATGGTACTGCTCTTTCTCCTCCAGAGTCATTAGCCAGAATATAATTCATTTGCTCTAGCAGAATAACAATATTTCATGGTTCCATTATTTTGAACTAGCAATTGAAAAAAAAAGAAAAATGAAAGAGTTGAAAACACAGTAAGTAGGCTCGCGAGTTCCATTCCTTGTCCTGGCCTTTACTCTCCCACGCCGCTCGTGCGTCTACAGATCGACATGGGATGTCGGTACGGAGTACAGCTCCTAAGACACTTCTCAAGACAAATAGTGAGAGACGACTTAGGTTTGGATGATCACACTCTTACGGCCCATTGCCTCATCCACATGGAAGCCGAAGACGAGCCGGTAAAGATCTCGCAGCCACGAGTACTGTCCGCTTTGCACCATTGCTTGACAGGCGTGTGCAACCTCGATGGCGCTGACGCGAGCCTGGTAGCCAGCGTTTCTGAAGGCGGGATCAAACGACACTAGCTTCCGATAGTTCTTCAACAGCGATGTTTGCCACGGGATCAAGCCGAAGGCATCCGAGGGGAGCGATTTTACAAACGAGGACAAATTCTGCGGACCGCCGCGCTGATACCCACTATCGATAGCAGCCTTTGTGATGAGCACTTTCAGCCGGGTGAAGTTGGGATCTTCGGATATGGTTGTCACAGAGTTGGCAGACGAAGCGGTCTGTCCAGATGACCGAGACTTCTCCGATATACTCGATGCACTTGAGGGCCATTTAGAATGCGAGGAGTGAGAGGCATGACCATTTCCATGCCCAAGGACGAGGATGTTTGGGACTGGTGCTTCATCAGGAGAGACAGTAGCCGTGTCTTCGAAGATCGTCGTTGGCGTCTCAGGGTTTCCAACTTGGCCCAGCGCGTCATCCGCGAGCTCAAGTTCGGCCTGCTGGGTCGCCTGCTGGAATGCTTGGGCAAATGTCGTTTGGCTGGGTCGTGGTGTTCCTCGGTCCGAACTACGCATGTTATGCAGAGTCCAGCCCTCACGGAAGATGTCACAAAGCTCCCAGCAGGCCTGCACCGCAGACCCCAGAATTTCCTCATCCAAGACTTTCCCTTCTCGCTTACTTTGGCGCATACTAAAGAGCATCTCGGCCAGTGTCCAGCAGGCGCTAAGTAGAGAATCGGTCTCGGTCAAACGCACTCGTTGTTTCATGAGGCGATGACACAGGGTTATATAGAAATCCAACGTCCGTTCTCGAAAAGCATCCGGGAGATTGCGGTCGTGCGTATTGAAGAGGTGATTATTGAGTTCGAAGCTTACCCGTAGAACCGAGTCTGCGAGATCGTTGTCATACACGCGGACTTCGAACAGAGCCTGACAGAAGTCTCGACAGAGATCGAGAGTCGGGTTGACTTGGGGTGTGTAATCCTCATCGCGCGTGTCATACAACTTTTGACAAAGCCTCCAGCAGGACCTCCAAGCATCCTCCTGGACGTCGTCCTCGTGCGACCGGGAGACCCGTTCTCGATTTATATAACTTAGACTAGCCAGAGTGTTACACAATGTCCAGCATTCTGTCAGAGCTGCTCGCAATGCATTGATTTCAATAGCTTTATGCCCGAAATTGCCTACGGACGAGTCAGCTCATTTGCCTCAGTGGAAATAAGTATCTCTGTACGGAGTCCAAGATCGGATTACCTTCTGGAATATCTAAGAGAACTGTTAGCGGTCTTTAAGATGAAAATCAATGCCGAGCTGGATACCTTCTAAACTGCTTGAACGCGTACGTCGTTCCGAATCCTCAAATTCATGTCGCGTCTGTGCACGGGGTGTTGCCCTTTCAGACCAATCCTTTGCAGGCGTGACGTTGGTCGATAAAGGTGGCGGTGATATGGGACTGTTCCCGACCTTTGCAACGTCCACCGGTTTAGTACCGACACCCTTCACGCTCCAGGTTTGGTGAGTGGGGGGGTTGGAAGTACCTTCCTGGACCTTTCTGGCAGCTCTATTGATTGTATATGTCCCGAGCCCGTCGCAAGCGATTCCTCCCCGTCGCACACCTCATCAGCTTGCATATCTGCCTGATTCTGGACAATTAGCTCCATGCGCCCAAGTATAAAGTAGAATAGAAGGATCGTACAAAGTCCCCAAATCCCGGCGGCGCATGGATGACCGACTGAGGAGGTTCATCCTCGTCGGATCTGTTGGTGATCTCAACTTGCTGCATGTATTCAGTTTGGATCTGATCAGGTTAGCCACCGAATCGGGCAAGAGGCATATTCGCAGATTCTACGACGAATCCCATCGTGCGTACCGTCAATCCAGACTGCGACACAGCAGTTTGGCGAATCGACACCGCCGAAGTATCCACGGTCTCCGCATCTTGTTTGTTGGGGGAGGTTTGCGCTTCTGTTGCGCCCAGCGGATCAGAAGCTGAGGTCGAGTAATTCGAATTCCTCGCACTCGGAAAAGGGGACCCTTCGAGAGACCTGTATATGAATGAGCAACAGTGACTCCCGAGGCGCGATCTCATCTTACATGTGGTCGGATCCAGCATACGGACTGGAAGTATCTTGATACGATAGTATAGACAACGGCGACCTGACGGCCATCATGGCCGTGCTCGTATGTAGGTGTTGCGGAATAGTTGAAAAGAGAAATGAGAATGTCCCCGCGCAGATGGGAGGAGCTCAGACCTACCGAGTTAACCCAACAGCTCGGGGCACCGGTCAGTTGGTTCCAACGGAGCTTTGCGATACGTGGGCTCCTCTCGACATCCCCGAGGCACACGGAGCTAGGCGCCTGGGGCGTGATGAGCACACATCCTGCCCCCCCTTGGCCACTCTTATGTTGCCCAGCGGACCCCGACTAATCCCTTCGAGGCCGCTGGGCGCTTGCGCTCCCAACGCCAATCGGCGACACTTATCGATGCAAGATTCCCCAGACTTATCTTCAAGTTGAGGATGGGAGATTTGGATTTACAAAAAGCGGTCTGGTGCCCTGAATTTGGCAATTGTTCTCTACCGAAAAAACCATAAACGCCAGTTCCTGTGTCGTGTGTAACGCCACCCTAAATGCTTGTCGGCGAGAATGACAACCACAATCTCGCTCCAAGAAAATCAAATCTTTGAACTTTAAAAGAGACGGCCCTCCAAAGAAAACGAAGCAACCTCCAGCACACTGTTTTCACTCAGTCGCGACCGAGTCGCAACGACGCATGGTCCCCGATGGCTCCCGCACTTCTCTCGTCCTCCCTCCGACACTGTATGTAGAATCAGGCGAAAGGAAGATTGAGTATGTGCGCTAGGGGTGGAGGTGTGCATGAGGCAGAGCGTATTTGAATCTCCCATCCATACATATGATTAGATCGTATGTAAAGAGTCACGAAAGAAGCAAATGCGCCAATTAAACTTGAGCTTTGGCCCGATCCTTCTCAGCAGAGTTATACCTGGAAAGCTTGTCAGTCTGATCCTCAAACGGCTTGCAAACGCTAAGAGCTGCGATTGCATGGATGCTTACCGAAGGAGCTTCTCGATGAGATCCACGTGTGTCATAATCATTCTGCGGCAGCAGTATCGCCGGCAGCCAAGTTGGTCCATGGCATCACTGATAGAAACTGTCAGAATATGGCGCGCAGAGACCAGGACTCTCCACATACCCATCAGGTACACCTTCATCCAGCAGTTGCAGGTAACGCTCCCACAGGTCACCGACGACCTAGTCCCTTATTCAGCGAGAATTCGAGCTGTACTTAAGTTGACCACATACCTTTCCACAGGAGAAGCAGCGCACGGGGATAATCATTGTGCCCGAAAGTGGGGGTGAAAAATGTGGAATTGGAAAGCTGTCGAGATGAAGCCTCTCAAACTTTTTCCGCGACAGCGGTCAATGGAGCCATTCATTTTCTGCCACTCGTCTCCGCCTAGATTTTCCTCCCGCGAAAAAAAAAAGATATGCTGCTATTTGTCTTGGCCAATCTAACTCAGTCGTCTGCACGAGACTTCGCGTAGGACAGACTCGCTCTGACCCATCATCATCAGCTTACAGCCCGAGGGCCTACCTGGTAAACTGAAAGATCACTACAATGGCTGATTTCCAGTCGACAAAGCACCAAAAACGCTCTCGGGGCAGTGATGCCGCCGAAAAAGTATTGCGACCCAGTGATGACCGAAACAAACGGCGCCGAACCTCTGAAGCCAATGACGCCCCTATGAACCAGCTTGCAATTTCGTCCAGTAGCAGTATCATGTCGCAAGAGACGGAAAAGCGGAAAGGCTCTGCACCATGGTCATTCTCGCGCCCAGTCGGTGGCCGCTACAGCAATCTGGATCCCATTTTGACTGCGGATGAAGCGTGAGTGGTGCTATTATTTTACATCTTGAGGTTCAGAAGCGTCTATGCTAAATTGCGCATTATAGGTATCTATTCGTGGGACTCGATACGTCCGTCCAAGTTTTCTCCACCTCAACGTCTCGTCTGTTGCGTACCCTCCAGATGGAAGCCGGCCAAAAAGTGATCGGGTTCAAATTGTGCCCTGTTGACGGAAGCATTCTATACATTTTCACCTCCGGTTTCGTGACCAAGTGGAACTGGGAAGAAGGCAAACGACACGGCCGCTGGGGGACACTTTCCTCGAATGTCTCGGTTGATTTACCCCCAGTTAAGAGCCCGGAGCATTCTACGACTTATGTCTCCATTGGAATCCAAAAGGATGGAAAGCGAGAAATCTCGATCAATGCCCTGAATGAGAAAAAGCCTATGGGCACCACTATTCTTCGGACCAACGAAAACCTGAATACCATCAAGACCGCGCATGAGGGACGAGTCATCTTTTCTTGTGATGGAACCCATATTTTCCTGGGCACCACAACCAAGTCTGAACTCGAAATCCTGGAATCTGCCCAGTATGTTTGGAGAGAGGCCACGCTTCCGACTACCGCCATCAGTCTTGACCTGCGGGAAAGCTTTTCTACAAAAGGCCCAGAGGCGGTTGATCTGGTCGTTGGAGAAAGCGGAGGGTCTATTGTGGTCTACCAAGACATCTTGAATTCCCTTTTTGGGCATGCAGACAAGAAAGTCTCTCCCAGAAAGCTGCACTGGCATCGAGGCCCTGTTAGTACGGTGCGATGGTCCATGGATGGTACGTTTCAATTCCATTAGCTCGGAAAATTTTGATTCTAACCAGAATTTCGCAGGTAATTACATTATCTCGGGTGGCCAGGAATCGGTCTTGGTTCTGTGGCAGTTAGATACTGGTAGGAAGCAGTTCCTTCCCCATCTTTCCTCTCCTATTTGCAATGTTATTGTTTCTCCAAGTGGCAATTCCTACGTTGTGAAGCTGGCCGACAACTCGATCATGATTATGTCCGCGAGAGAAGTGCAGCCTTCCGCTATGGTGACCGGACTGCAGCTAGCTTTGGAGATTGGAGGCCACAAAGACCCTTCCTCGAGAAAGCCATTTGGTGCTGTTGCGGCATTGCACCCGCAGCACCCTGAGCGCCTTCTTGTCGCCGTGCCTGCTTCTCACTCCAACAATCAAGGCTCTCAACGATCAAATGCTGCTGTGCTACAAACGTTTGACATTCGTGCGAACAGTCACATTTCTCGCCAAGCCTTAGCACGAACTAACACCACGACATTGAATGTCAGCCCTGAAGGGTCTCCGATAGTTGCACCTGATGTTCGGCTCATGGATATCATGCACGATGGAAAGTGGTTAGCTACTGTTGACACTTGGACCCCGCATCCTCGGGATATCGAAGCCGTTGCCTCTAGTGGCTCGGCATCTTTGCGATCGGAATCTTTCCTCAAATTTTGGAAGTGGAACGCTTCTTCTGATATGTGGGAGTTGGTGACAAGGATTGACGCGCCTCATTTCTCTGAAAACCGCTCATCAACCGTTCTCGGCTTGGCGGCTCGTCCATACTCTCATGAATTTGTGACACTTGGAAATGATTCTATACTCCGCTTTTGGCACCAAACTACTAGACACCGCGGTGGCCTGAAAACAGACCCCGCGGAGCCACATCTGGATACCTGGAAGTGCCGGAGCTCCCTTGACTTGACGGGATGCCTCGATAATGCAGATGTGCAATTACCGTCGGCTTCTGTCAGCTTCTCCGAAGATGGCTCTGTTCTGGCTGTCTGCTTGCCATCGAATTCGGACTCCAATGACGGTCTTGTTCTACTTATTAACGCCCAAAATTGCACAATTCATTATCGACGAACGGGGGTTTTCTTTAAGAAACCCTGCTCGGTCCGATTCCTTGGAAGATATTTGATCGTTGCCGCCACGGGATCCATTTCAGTCTGGGATACCGTTGATGACGTCGTCAAGCCCATACAGCTCTCTGATTTCTTCACGACTGATACATGGAGCCCTCTCCTGGCGGTAAACCCTAGGACCCAGTCCTTTGCAATCGCTACCCGAGGCACAGACAGTAGCTCAAACAACTCGCATAAGAAACGTCGCAAACTCCGGTTCCACATCAAGATTTACGATCTCCCTTCTCTGGATTTAGTCTTCCAAGAGAACCTTGGAAGCTGCCCTGTTGGTCTCCTTTCCGATGCATACTCCGGCGACTACATCGTCGTGGATGCTACGGCCAGCGTTCAGCGACTTGGCTGCTTGGACAAGGCATCCCAGAAGAGCCTGCAGCCTCACGAAGTGACCAGTCATCTTAACTCGGGGCTGGCAAGTATCTTCAGCCGCGGTCAAGAGACTATCACTGCTCAGGTTATCGACGAGGACATCTCGGCTGGTCAAAGCAAGGGACTGGCCGGTGTGTTCGGTGAAACCCCTTCCTTCTCCTTGCCCTCTATTAGTGTTCTTTTCAGGAACGTGGTTCAGACCCTCGGCTCCAGCTAGACTGGAGTGTTTGAAAAGGTACAGGGATGTTGATGCCAATGTACATGTTTTTTGGGACAGTGTATTTATATGAATTAAAAGATCTCCTGAAGTCGACATTTGAATCAGATATGGCCGATGTGATGAGCAGTAGTGTCATTAGTGTTGGGATTTATCTTGATCGGGATTTTAATTGGCCTTTGGCCAAAGTACTCAAATACAGACTTTCTGGACACTTTCACATTTGCTGTAACGTCAAGAGGAGCAATGCTTTTCTTCCATGAACGTGCGACAAATAGTCATCCAGTTCGTGGTCTTCATCAATTGGAAAATAAGAGTCGTTCTCGTGCTCATCCTTATCCACACCCTCAATCTTGCTGATGACCGCGTAGGGGTACTTCGCGGCGGTCAATTGTCTTATTTCTTCCACAGACCGCGTTGCTAGTTTTTCGGCCCAATTTTTGGTCGAGATTTCCGGTATCTGGCTGTGTGGACTGATCTGGAGATAAATGAGGCTATGGAGTAATGTGGTATGTAGCATTGGATCCATATACTCAAAAGCGTTACCCGCCCCGTGCTGTGTATTAGCAGAAAAGGATGATGGATCGTTAGCTGCCTGTAGCAAAGAGGGATCAATCTGCATATCACCAATTTCGCTGGCGCTGATCGGGGCGCTTGCAAGTGCTTGGGATGCGAGGGTGCTAATCCCATTATTGATCCCGTTGCCAAGAATGTTGCCCACTTGGGGGCTATTTGATGTCGCATTTCGCGAATCGGCGCGTGGCCTAGATCTCTTGCGAGCAGGATCTCGTTTTGTTTGATCATCACGGAGACGCTTCATCACATCACGACAGAGAACTTCCAGGGCTTTTAAGCGGTTTGTGTGCTCTGGGTCGGCTACTCCTGGTTCAAGGATCCGCTGAAGCAATGATGAGTTGCGAATCCACTGTGCTTTGAGTTCCTGCCAGTGTTCGTCGCCTGCCTCAAGCTTGCTGGTGAAATGGTCTGCTTTGAGAGTACCATAGAAGGCATTCCGAATTTGGCGACTTTCCTCCGGGTTGACACCCAATACATTCTTCGCCTCGGCGATGGTCATTCGCCGCTCTAACGTTCTCATCCGTTTTGTGACATCCATACAGACAACGTCCAAGGCCAGAGCTTTCGCGTCGCGCTGGTTGGGTTCGGAATTGAAGACCTGCTGGAGATGAGGAGACTCATGGATTAATTTGTCCTTCGCCGCTTGCCATCTTTCTGGGCCAGCTATGGTTTTCTTGATGAAACCCGCTTCCTCGCATATCTTTTGGAAATGATCTCTGAGTTGACGATACAAATTGTTGTCCAGGTTTAAATACTGTTTACTCTCGTCGATCGTGGTTTCTGAAGGGAAGCGAGGAGGCCCAGGCGGATCGGCTGGCAGTCCAGCCCACCCGCGAGTGCGTCGTCGACGCTTTCGGGAAGCCCAACGCTCGGCACTCTCTGATTTCAAGTGATCCAGGCGCTCTTTGCGCTTTGCCATGACCTCTGGGGACAAGGCGGGCGACGTCGGGCCTTCGGGGGCAGCAGACAGATCAGATTCGGGGGGAAGAGTATCGACGGCATCAAAGCCTTCATCCTGCTTGTAAACTTCCTGCTGCAATGCAAGAAGACCTTCGTCCTCGGGCTGTTGGGCTCCGGCTCCGGCATGGGATTCTGTCTTCATGCCATTGGGGACGCGAAGCAGCCAGCGGTTCTTCGCGCGCACACGCATTAACTCACGTTCCTTGATCTCGAAGCCTTCATCGTTGAGGAGGCGAAGCATATCACGTTGGTTCGTGTTCCGTTCCCAAAGCTCTTTGACCCGGGCAACCAACTCGACATTTTTGTGGGCTGGGTTTTGTTTGGATGGAAATCCCCATCGCTTGAATTGAGTTTGATATGCGCGCTTGCTAGAAACGGCTTAGAATTAGCATTTTGAGGTGCGATGGCGCGATTCCGGGAGATTCAATATCAAATGAAAGCTCGGGGAGCTTACCTTGGTGCAAATTGATAAGCGTTTCTCATATACTCCATAATCTCCTCCAAAGGTTTTTTGTCTTGGATGTAGAGCTGGTAGCAAATGTCTCTTTTGCCAGCCCAGTCGTAGACCATAGCGGTGGACGCGCTCCTCCGAATGGAGGCGCGTCTGGGCTGAAAAAGATCCCGAGAACACGTAAGAAACAGAGCTGTCTTATCAGACGTTTGTTGTCGCTGCTGTGCGCCGTAGCGTAGACAAAAGCGAATACGACGGCTGTGCAGAGCGACAAGTATGGCATTTAACGATCACGTGCCCTCACAGCCTCCCAGAGTTTGGATACGAGCGCCCTACCGATGAGATACGATGCTTTTCTTTTTCTCTTTACAATGATGATAATATTCCACTGAAAACACTAAATTCACCCAAGGATATTCTAAGCGCCAGAGTCTTACGCCAAAATGTGCGATCGAAGAAACCCCTCCTAAGATTTGCAAAAACAGAAACTAGATGGCTCAATGATTGGACTATGAACACGGATGGTCCGCTGAGGAAAGAAACCAGCTCAGCTAGTCTTCCGAAGCTTGCGACGAATCTTGAAAATGCGTGTCCGAAGCCACGTCATGAAGAGCATCCAGGTGTTTTTCGACTGTGATTTCCACGAGGTCGGTCGTTGCTGATCACGTACTCCCGGCCGCTTCGTTTCTTTCGATGGTGAAGATTTCTCCGAAAGAATCTCGTTAGGTTGGATAGGCGGGGACTCCGGGCCATCTGACTGCTTGCGCTTCACGCGACGCCAGATTTGCTTGTCTTCGGCTTTGTTCTGTTGTTTTTCAAGTCGACGAGCCTTGGCTGCTTCCTTCTCTTCGAATGCCTGCCGGGCAGCTTGAATGGCAGCTGCTCGGGATACTGGGTCTGTGCTGGTCCGGGTGCGAGAGCGAAAAACGAAGTCAAGAGAGGACCGAGAGATCGGAGAAGCGGTATCCAAAGTACTTCCATTATCACGGGCATAGCCAAAGGAGGGCCGGCCGGCCACATTGGTTTGCGATAAGTTGGGAATTCCCTGGATCAAAACGTCACTTTCAATCTGCAAGGAAAGCCGCGGAACGGGCCCCGATGCAGCGCGAGTGGGCCGATGTGTTTCCAGGCTTGCCAGGGTTCGTGATTCAACTTCCGGGCTTTCATTCTCTTGTTCGTTCTCATTCTCAGGAGTTTGATATGATTGACTCAGTGGCGGTGTGTAGGCGCGGGGCGTGGGACGCAAAGGATGCACATATTGTGAACCCCGTCTACTACCACTCGAGGTAGTCCCTGATGAAAATTGAGACGTCCCACTGGTGGACCGATTGTGAAAGCCGGAGGGCGTTCTGCGGAAGGCTACCCCGGTCAGCGAGTCGCTGGGGCGCCGATCCCGATCGAGATTCATGTAAATTCCCAGTCCCTCCTGCTCGGTTGATGAACGAGACAGATCAATGGATGTTGACGGCGCCTCATCACGCGACATCTTCCGGAGCATCGGTTTGAGATGTACTTTGGGCTTGATATGTTTGCTTTTCTGCGACCCATGGTCGTGGCCATCAGGAGATTCATCCAGCTCCGTGGGAGACATCAAGTGAGTGGACTCGACAGTCCAAGATGGTTCACTCGAGGTCATATTTGGTGTGGTCTTCGAGCGGACCGGCCCGCGTCTATCCTCTGGGGCTTGGATAGGCTCGGAGGATTCCGAGAATAGAGACGGCTCGTGTGAGGCATCTGCTTCCAAAGGTGAAAGGGCCGGTCCGGAGTTCTCGGAAGTCCATCGGCCTTCCGTGCCCGCTTGAGTAGCGGAGCGCATCTCTTTTATGTAGCGTAAAGAAGACGTGGAGTCACGAGACATGCGACCCTTCGAAACTTGGAAGACCGGCTCCCGGGCATAGTGACTGTCGGTGCGCGCCATGGTAATGGCCACCAAACTCGAAACAAACACTCAGAACCGAGTCGCAGCTCGCATGGTTGTCGTTGGAGGCGGTACCGTGTGGGAAAGGTATGGGGCACAGGGGAGTACTGAGAAGGCGAGAAGGTTCGAAAGGCTGTAGATAGCGCCGAGGTGAAAGCGGGCGGAGTGGGGAGATGGTAAGCGGGGGAGAAAATAATCATGCAGCTCACGACGGGTTGCGGCGCATGATAAGTCTAGGCATAAGCACTAGGGCGAAAATCAGACATCAGGGATTGGGGAGGAATATTGAGAGGGAAACCGAATGTAGCATGGAAAAGCTAGAAGGGAGCGGTGAAGCCGAAGCCGAAGACGGGGAACGGGGGAAACGGGGAACGCGGCCGCATGCGGATGCGAAGGCGGATGCGCAGTCAGCCTCTTTCCCCTTTCCCTTAGTTTTTCCCTCTTTTCTCCCTTTGTTCTTTTAGATCCCGGAATTTTGCTGAATTGTGATCGGCTTGGATCAATTATGACTTCTTTCGATATCTCTAGTCTCCGTTCCTGTTACCATTGACTTCTTCTTGTCTGCTAAACTTGCTCAATCTGGATGCTCAGTCATCATTGCCTCCCCCCAGCTTACCCCGGTCATGATGAAACAGCAACTCTGGAACTCGGGACGGGGCAGCGTCAAACGACCAATTTTCAAACCGAGACGTCTCCATGCCCTGACCTCACTGCATCGGCTGGCAATGCCAACTCATGTGCCAAGAGCCAAGCCACGCAGCGGAGCCGATCAGACGGCCAAGCGTAATGGTTGTCACCCCCACCATAGTGAATGAAACTCTTCCTTTTTCTCCTCCTGATCTTCGTAATCATGGGTCTTTCCATTCAGCTGTGTCTTTCTCTTCTCGTTCTCCTCGCTATCTCCGGCCAGGCCTGTGGCTTTGGCGCAGGGAACATCGCGTCCTTGTCTCGTATTGAAGGCCAGAACTGGCGCCATGGGGATATCGAGGATACCCTTCTGTCGCTTTTCCTGGCACGCATAGCCGGCGGGCGCAAGTTCGGGAAGCTCGACGTCAAACGAGTATACTTTGGAAACTGGCTTCGGGACTACAGTCAAGCTGTTGACGTGGGCACTGTGAAATATGTCAGTGCGGAGGCTATTCGCATTCTAATATGGGTCTTAGGGTTTATGAGCTTTGGGTGGGTTTGACTTTATTTTCTTCTTTTCTCATTCCTACTATGGTTCTCCGGTCACTGTTTCCTCCTGCACGCTCCCTTCAGATCAAGTATAAAACTAAGCCGGTATTGATCTAGATATGGAACTCGTGAGTTTGAGGTTACCACTGAGCGTCTCGGTTGCTACCAGCCTACCGAGCATATCGACAATCCCAAGGGCTATGCCGAGGGTGAAGACGCACGCTTCTATGACCGTCGTCTCCGTGGACCTGTGGATGATGAGCGGGAGCTGTCGATTGATCCACGGACCGGTTTGAAAGCCTATATCGCTTCCGAAGACATGGATATTGATACCTCTGCTGCTTTGATCCGTCGAGTCCTTGGCCAGTCCATCCAACACGGCCGTCGCTATGCACGATCTGGAGATAACGATGATCTGTACGAGGCCCTTCGCTTACTGGGCACCGGTCTGCACTGCCTCGAGGATTACGCTGCTCATTCAAACTATACTGAGCTCGCTCTCATTGAGATGGGCGAGACTGATGTATTCCCTCACGTCGGACGTAACACCGTGCTCGAATTGCCGGGAGCTCAGGATTATGTTTATCCTGTTGTCACTGGCACATTTGGTGGTGTTGACTTTTTTCACTCAGTGCTCGGTGAGCTTTCCGACAAGACTAAGCAGTCTGAGCTACAGTCTTTGGAAGGTGTCATCATGGAGTCGGAGAATGACAGTCCTTCCGAGAGCCTTCTTCAAGATCTTCTTAATAAGATTCCTAGTGGCCTCCTCGGGGACAGTGACCAGGCTGGGCAGATGGATGACTTCAAGGCCAAGGCCGAAGATGCACGCCACAACCAGCAGGAAATATCTCCTCGCGAGCCGGAAGAGTGGACTCGTTATTTGGACGATGTCCAGAAGCAGATCTATCCTGTGCTAGAGTGGCATGACCATCTCTTGAAGGCGATCAATGAAGCCATCGAGAAGATTCCAGTGCTGCCCGAGCTGATCGAGCAGATTCAAGACCAGATCACTGTCTTTGTCTTCTCCATCATCGCTCCATATGTACTCCCCATCATCAGACAGGTCAAGTCTGAACTAGAAACCGGTTCTTCCGAAGTGATCCAGAGCAGTCGGGAACAGCAGCACCTCGTCTTCAATGACGATTCTTCGTCGGATCCCACCCACTCCATGCTTTCCAAGGATCACTTCTCTAATGTCCTCAACGAGCCTGCTGGACGAATTGCCTCTCAGTGCGTCAAGTGGGCTGTGCCACAATTGATGGAGTTGTGGGATGACGAAGAGATCGACATTGACCGCACTTTGAACCGTATTATCACTGGTATCTTCCATCACCCCGCTCAGAGAGTACACGGAGAAGACGGTGCGAGTGACATTCGACGAACCATGTTCTCAACCGTGGAGCAGTGGTGGAGTGAGAAGAGTGATGAGGAACGTGAATCCCTTCGCGATCAATTGAGCCGTGACGGCGTTCTTGAGGGAAGGAACCACAAAGAGGGTGTAGAGGATTGCGGACACGGTTGTGGCAAGCCAATCGCTTTGCCCAAAGGCCACAATGCTAGCGGGGCAGATTACCAGTCTGGCAACTCTGGTCTTCAAAAGATCGCCTCCGAGGCCCTAGGAGGGGGTGCATTGGGCAGTCTTGTCGGCGGTCTCATCGGGGGCGTAGGCTCTATGGTTCTCAGTGATGGTGGCTCCATCGACCAAAAGACTTTCAAGACAGAGAAACACGACAGTGACGATGAGGACGTGAACCGCGAGCACCGAAGTCGTCACACTCAGAGACACAACGAGTACCACGAGACTGAATCTTACGGTGGCTCCCTCCCTCCTCAACAGGGAGGAGGTTACCAGTATCAAAGTAAAAGCACATTCTACAGTGACCGGCCCGTGCCTCGAAATGACTATCCTGGCGGTGATGTCCTCCGTACCGAGTACGCTCTCAACCCTTCCATGCAGGGCGACCCGTATCAGCAATTCCGACAGGAGGGGTCTGGAGATTATTATCAACAAGAGCGACGAGAGACTTATGGAAATGGTCAGGCCGAGTACCAGCGAATCGAGACTCATTACGAGTATGGGCCTCCCCAGCCGGCCTTTGAGACTGTGCCGCAGGGTTCCCCCCCGCCGCGGAGAATTTGAACAGTAAGTCACAAGATATCCATCGATTACTTATCGAGACTAACTACGATTTTTTTTAAAGAGAATACCAGGCAGGCTACCGCGGCCCACCCCGCGGGGCCTTTGGCGATTTTGAGCAGCCGAGCTACCGGCCTCAGGGAGAAGTCTTCCAGGAGCAGATTTATGGTCAGCGATTCGAGAGTGGCGATGGTGAGAAGTATGGAGAGCGCTCTCAGCATCATCAACATCATCATCACCAGCGACCCTCCAGCAGTGGTTCAGGCTCCAGAAGTGGAACCGATGAGGAGCGTGAGCGATACCGTCACCGTCATCATCGGCACCACCATCAGTCAGGATCAGATGATTCCGACTAAATAATTACTCCTTGTTCTTCTTTTTCGACCTAGAGAAGCACGAGTTTTACTTTTTGCCTTATTGGTAGAAGATCAATACTTCATAGATCGCAAATCCTGAAGAAGAGTTTTTATCGGACCCTTGATACATCATTGGACGCGGCGCTTGAGTATTAGAAAATGCGGCGCGAGATACATTCAACAGCAGCAACAAACATCGCTACTTTGATATCCCTCTACAATCGAGGTATTCAAGATGTCTTCCAATAGAGAGCTTGGGGCTTTGAAAGTCTTCGGCATGACGAATAGTCATCACCTATAAATGTAGATATTTGCTCGTGTTTACCGTCAGTATAATATTACAACACTATTGCATGATAAATTTCGATACCAAGGACTACCATGCCTTGATCTCACCCGGCGCTGGCTGCTGAGTTCGAACAACCTTGTCCGGATTGAGCAAACAGAGCGGATCAAATGCCAGTTTCAACTGGGTCCACGTTAGTTTTATTTGGAGAAATCAAGAGAACCTTTTCGACTTACCCGACGCATCGCATCCACTGTCGATTCGCCCAGCTCATGTGCAAGATAATCTCGCTTGACGAGTCCAACACCGTGCTCGCCGGTCACGGTGCCTTCCATTTCCACGGCTCGCTTAACCATGCGGTGGACAACATCCTCAGCCACTTTCCTCTCGCCGTCATTAAACAGGATAATAGCTATTTGTGGTTAAAGAAAGACCTAATATTCCGAACGGGAGGAGAACTCACCATGGAAGTTACCATCGCCAACGTGACCGCAGATTCCGGCGAGCAGGCCGCTCTTGGTCATATCCTCCTTGGTGGCTTCGATAATGTCAGGCAGTTTGCTCATTGGCACCGCGACGTCGGTGGTCCAGACATGATCAGAGGGGCTTCTACGCATGGCCATCACACTCCACAGGGCCTGCTTCCGCGCGCTCCACAATTCCTCAATTTCCCCCTCGCCCCGAGCAAACTCAAAGGACTTGCCTGAGGCGTTCTTGGCGAGCTTTTGCACCATGTCAATCTGCTCCTTCACGGCTGCGGGCGTCCCTGTGAATTTGAAGAAGATGGTGGGGGCCTCCTTCCATTGACGACTCGTGCTCTCGCTGGCATTGATGCACTTCATCTGGACGTCATCCAGGATCTCGACGCCGGCGACAGGGATGCCAGCCTTCACCACTTGTGTGACACAGTGAGCGGCATCATGAATAGTAGGGAAGCTGGCCACGGCCACGCTTTGGCTCTGAGGCCGCACGGTAAGCTTCAGCGTTGCTTCAGTTACAAGACCGAGAGTACCCTCACTGCCAATGAAGAGTTTGTTGAGGTCGTATCCTGCGCTGGACTTACGCGGACGCTGGCGAGTTCGAATGACGGTTCCATCGGCAAGGACTACGGTCAAGGACAAAACCCACTCACGCATTGTGCCGTAGCGGTAAGCATTGGTTCCCGAGCAGCCAGTGCCCACCATGCCGCCAATCATAGCTCCAGGGCCCGGGTCTGGGGGAAAGAAAAGGCCATCCTTGGCCAGCTCCTGGTTCAAGTCTTCCCAGCCCACGGCCGGCTGAACGACCACGTCCAAATCATCCTTGTGAAGGCTCAAGACCCGGTCCATGCGACGGAAGTCAATGCATACCCCACCACGTGTGGATGCAAAGTGACCTTCCAAGCTTGTGCCACCAGAGTAGGGGGTGACTGGAATCACTCGCTGGTGACAGACTTTCATGATGCGGGAAACCTCCTCGGTGGTCGAGGGGTAGAGAACCAGGAATGGCTTCTCGTCATCTTTGCGGGTATAAGACGACCAGTCGGATCCGGAGTGCGTTTCCACATCTCCCGGCGAAGTGGAAACATTCTTTTGCCTAGGATCTCGACAAAGTCGGTCCACGCGGCCTGCAAGTTGGACGGGGATACATTGTGTCTGGGGCGATCGAGATCTGCGAGGGTGGTGGTCGAAGTTTTGGGAAGAGAGGCAGGCTTGAGGGAGCCAAGGTAGTATGCACCGGTTGAGAAAAAGACCAAAGCTAGCGACGGATTAGCGATCTGGATGGAGGAATCGGTCATGCAACCCACCAAACACTAAAGCGGCATAGCGACCCCCTGCTGACTGAGGCTGGTACTGGGCGAACCGCTCCTGTTCGGCCCGCTCGCGCTTGAGCCGCTGCTGGGTGCTCTCGTAGAGCTGGCTCTTGAATGACGCCTGTTTCTCATTTGCTAGGCACCGGGCAGAAGCGCCAAACAGCCTCTGCTGCGACAGAGACGAAAGTGGTCGAGGTCTAACATTGCGTAGAGCTCGAAGAGACGGCGTGAATGGGCGAACCATGGTGAGGTGTGCAGAAGCGCAAAGTACAGAAGAAGAAGTTCCGCTGAGCAAGTCAATCTCTCCGCATGAGTCTTGGCGCTCCAACCGACGGCCGACCAAGTCGTCAAGCTCAGATTCCCCGCCCCTAAGCAGGCCCCGGGATAGGTATTAGGCTCCTACCGATAGATAATCTATTCCTGTGTTAACTTATTTTGGTGTGAACTAAGATCGTTCTCTACAGCAATTGAGAGTACTGCATATAGTTCATGATGACTTCGAGGAGATTTGGCATCCTGTCCAGTGCAGTAGATAAGGCGCTAGACTTAAAAAGATCTTGGTGCACAATGAGCATCTGAGCATGAGCAGGACCAATACACCCGAAAGCTCACGTGGATCCTGGATGGGATATTTTTTTTTTTTTCCACAGTCATTAGCCAGCAGGACTCAAGTGGCGTCGTGGTGACATCTCACATAGGCAAAAGTCGGGTAAAAGACCGCCGCGGTTAAAATCCCAATTGGATCCACCTGAGGGAAAGTCGCGCGAACGTGGGCGGACTGCGGGGAGCTCTGCTTTCGGTTGGCATCTATTTTCCCGGCCATTTATCAAAGCTCTCATCCTTTCTATTTGATTTCTTATTTCAATTTCTGGATTCTCCTCCCTCATCCTCTAGTTCTTTCACATATCCAACATGGCTTCCGCAACGACTCAGGTAGGGCGAGCTCCACGGTGTTGACTCCAGGAAACTGTCCGCTAACGTGGCGGTGTATAGAACCTTTCCTTCGTCCTAGAAGGCATCCACCAGGTCAAGTTCGAAGATCGCCCCATTCCCGAGCTGAAAAGCCCTCACGATGTGATCATTAATGTCAAATACACCGGAATCTGCGGCAGTGATGTAAGTCGGCCCCAGCTCAATCCGGGGGAACCAAGGGAAACTGACTAGATCTATTGTGACAGGTTCACTACTGGGAACACGGCGCAATTGGTTCATTCGTCGTAAAGGCCCCAATGGTGCTGGGGCATGAGTCGGCGGGAGTGATCAGCAAGGTCGGATCGGCTGTCACCTCGTTGAAGGTGGGCGATCGGGTCGCCATGGAGCCCGGCATCGCCTGCCGTCGATGTGAGCCCTGCAAGGGTGGCAAGTACAACTTGTGTGAGAACATGGTCTTTGCTGCGACCCCGCCTTATGACGGTACCCTGGCCAAATATTATGTCCTCCCGGAGGACTTCTGCTACAAACTTCCCGGACATCTCTCGCTGCAGGAGGGTGCCCTGATGGAACCTCTCAGTGTCGCCGTCCATATTGTGCGGCAGGCACAGGTCAGCCCCGGTCAGTCGGTTGTTGTCTTTGGTGCCGGGCCTGTGGGTCTCTTGTGCTGTGCGGTAGCAACTGCGTTTGGTGCCTCCAAGGTGATTGTGGTAGATATCCAGCAGCCTCGCCTGGACTTTGCCAAGGACTATGGAGTGTCCGGCACCTTCATGCCCGGCAAGGTGCCGGCGACTGAGAACGCCGACCGCCTGAGGGTGGAGAATGACCTGGGTCCTGGTGCCGATGTCGCGATTGACGCTTCTGGTGCCGAGCCCTCCGTCCACACAGGTATTCACGTCCTGCGTAACGGTGGCACATATGTGCAGGGTGGGATGGGCCGAAATGAGATGAATTTCCCAATAATGGCTGCCTGTTCCAAAGAGTTGAACTTCAAGGGCAGCTTCCGCTACAGCAGCGGAGACTATAAATTGGCGGTCCAGCTGGTCTCGACCGGAAAGGTGGACGTAAAGCCACTTATCACCGGCACCGTGAAGTTCGAGGAGGCGGAGCAGGCATTCAAGGAAGTCAAGGCTGGAAAGGGCATCAAGACGCTCATTGCGGGTATCGACGCGTAAAGCCCCGGTTTATGTCTAATGAAAATGAAGGATGTTCAAGAGTTTGTTTGAATGAGAAATGGAGTTCCAAAAGAGATATTGAAGAAGGTTGTTCGATTGATTATGCCTTTTGATCCCGTAAAGAGACGCAAATGACATCCTCGGGAGAATCTCGCCCGAGAGGAATGCAAATATTATAAGGAGTATCTGTAGGTAGAACAATCATGGATAATAGAGCGAACGTCAGAAGGGGTATCGTGCAAGGCATTTAACGAGGGAAAATCAAAAACCAACGCAGGTTGAATGTCACCAAGCCATTTAGCAACAACCCTTATTTCTCCGAGACTGAGGGCCACTTAGGCGAAACACGTCTTCCCATTCCCTCATGCCCCCCTTCCAGCCTTGTCCACCCTTCCCGTGTCGTCGCGAGCTTCGGTGAAGGGGAAGAGCATTTTCGTCCAGCGTGGCGCGGCTTCTGATACTTGAGGCTTCACTGGTTCCGTGATAGAGACCGCCATCGCCGTACTGAATGCCACTCTGCGGGTCATCCGGGTCAATCTCCCCCAGCTCGATTTTGGTCAGGATGATGCGGGCCAACCGCTGGAAGACTTCCTCCACGCCTTCACCGGTGAGAGCCGAGATTTCGACGGCTACCGGGATATTCGACTGGGCCGCCCAGCGAGACGTATCCTCTCGGCTAACCTCTCGACCCTCTGCAAATGTGGCTGTCATCCTGGTTCCGGAGCCTAGGTAGCTGGCTGAGCGTATGGAGCCGGCGGCATCGAACGGGTAGGACGACTGTTTGCTCGACGTGCTCGACGGTGTCGGTGGAGGCCGGCCTGCATCGTCGGATTCCTCTGTCGCATCAGCCAAATCGGCTTTATTTCCGGCCAAAAGAACAGTCAAGTTAGGCGAGGCTAGCGCTCGGGCGTCCATGAGGAAGGTAGGAAGGGCAGCGAACGAGGGGTAGGAGGAGACATCATAAATGAGAATGGCCCCTGCAGCTCCCCGGTAATAGGAACGGGAAACGGCTCGAAATCGCTCGGTGCCTGCAGTGTCCCAGAGTTGCAACTTGATCCGTCTTCGCCTTGCGCCGGTACCCAGTTTAACGATGCGCGAGGCGAACTCGACTCCTATGGTCTGCGAGGATAGGACTCGCCCTGAAAAAGGTTAACGACAGTCACTAATCAATGAGGGGGTGTGGTCGTACACTCATTCTTCACAAATCGGTGTAGCACGCAGGACCTATTGGTTCAACCGTCAGCCAGGACGTTCCGAAGCTCCGAAGACTTGAGAACTTACTTGCCGGCGCCACTTGGGCCTAGAAGAATGATCTTGGCCAGATAATCGTACATGCTCCCCAATTCCTAAGGACAGGTCAACGAGGCGCGGAGGATGAGCCGGGGATAGCAATGTGGCCTACCTGATCTTGATCAGGAACTGAAGAGACATCAGACGTGTTGGACAGACCTCGCGAGCGCACCATGGCGCGCAGAGGTGAACGGCGGGGAATGTGGGAGATGATGAGGTCGAGTAGCGCCAAAGGTCCTCGACCAACTCGTCTCCGACCGCCAAGGATCATCCAAAAATTCTTTGTCCATATTCCCCCACGCTTATTCTTCTGATTCTAGACTCTGATCGAGGCGACATCTTCGGGGGTCCATCCACATGGGACTCGGCTACATAAGTCTGACCGTAACCCTGACCTACACCTACATCTATCAAGAACTACACTACACTACAATTCGATAATACCGTGGCTGACACCGGTCTAAGCCATCGAACGGACCCATGGGTTCATGCGGCTGTGTTTCAGTGGTCCAAGGCAATATAGTCTGACAATCTCTATTTCCATCGAATCCGGGCAATAAATGATGATCGCTGAACGAGCCGATCGTACATGGCGGACTTGGCATCGGATGAGATTCGATGAAGTCATCTTGCCCGGACCCTTGGTCTTGCATCCTGCATCCTGCATCTTATATCAATAAACGTCTCTGATTCGAGACACTGTGCAGGATTTGCCCCACGCTTGGACCGGTATATGACATAAATCTTCCAGAAAAGGTGAAAGAACCTGGCGTGTCCGGACCCTGAAAGGAGGCTGTGCGCTCCGCTCCCATCCTGGCGCGGAACTAAGCCTCTCCAAGAGCCGCGCAGGGAACCTCTCGCTCTTTTTCTTACTTGTTTCCTCTCCCTCGCCTCTTTTTTGCTTTTGCTTCCCCGTTCTTCCTACATCATTCCGTTTCCATACACATCATGAAGTTCGCCCGGGCAACAGCGCTACTCTTACTCAGCTCCACAGGAGTCTCTTCACTCACTATACCTCAGCCCGAGTCCGAATCATCCGCATTAGTCGGGAACGATGATGCGCCTGTCTACAGTGAATTCTTAGATCTCGAGAAGCGACGAGGAGGAGGTGGAGGGGGTGGGCGCAGTGGAGGATCTTCATCTTCATCTTCGTCTTCATCTTCTTCTGGGGGATCTTCAGGGGGTCGTTCTGGTTCGTCTAGCAGCAGCTCGAGTGGATCCAATCGTGGCGGAAGCTCATCCAGCTTAGGCAGTTCAGGCAGTTCAGGCAGCTCTGGTAGCTCTCGCAGTGGCTCTACCAGTTCTTCCAGCAATCGCGGAGGGTCAAGCAGCAGCGGATCCGGCACTCGAGCCTCTTACGGCAGTGGAAGGTATGGCTCAAGTTCAAATTAACCTCCCTTCACCCCCAATTCCCACGCTATTCATCATACAGACGATTCCTCTGCCTACGGTGGTTACTCCTATGATTCTCGTTGGTCCTGAATCGTGACAGAGTTGACCTGCATATTCGGGACGGAGGAGAATCGTCCAGACATGGCAATTTTCGAAGAAAGAATAAAAACTAAGATACATGACAGATATTATGCTGGCGGTGCGCGCACACCATATAGTGCTGGCGCAAGGTCTCCTCTGGGGATCACTCCGTACCTCTTGCCAGTTGCGGCACTGGCATTCTTCCCGGGCATCTGGCTGTACAGTGCCTATGCTTACCCATACGGCCACCCATATTACTATGAGAACGAACAGAACCACCGTAATGAATCCATGCCGGTGGTATGTGTGTGCGAAGAGTATCAAGAGTGTGGTTGTGATGACAACAACAACAGCACCTATTACCAGTCCTTGTTCAATGGGACGCAGCCCAAAAACACCACTGTCACGCGCGTGGTCGATGTGAACGGCACCGAAACAATTTATATCAACGGGACACTAGCTAACGGCACCACTGCTGCCGATAGTTCCTCATCAGGGGCTTCAGCCTCAGTGCAGACCTTGCTGCATGCTAGTGGGTATTGGGTCACGGCGGCCGTGGTTGCTACCGCCGTGTGGGTATTTTAATTCTGCTGGACGAGTTCCACTTGCGTTATGAACAAGCTTGGAGATGGCTGTGTATAACTTTCAGATACCCTTCCACGCCGGCTATAATTTTGCTCAGTTCCGTACTGACATCACTATGGTTGATGTTCACCGGGAGAAAGTCCTCGCGCCTCGCAATCCGCCCGTCGCGCTGTTACGTCGCCCCACTAAACCTGTTGTGGATAAGCGCCCTCCCTTAAGATTGCATCTTCATTTCCTCCACGTCTTGCCTTCTTCACTGATACCAGTGCCATTCGTTTTGGATCCCTGACACGGGCTGTCGCCTTCTTTTGTACCAGCTCCATTCACTCTTTCATACCCAAGCTCCAGACTTTCCGTCAATCCTGAATCTCATCTACCCACAAACACAAACACAAACATAACACTGCCAACATGCACCTCACCAAGGCTTTCATTCTCCTCGTCTCGGCTTTGGCCCCCGTTGCGTTCGCTGCTGAGGCTGCGGCTGTGACCAAAACTGTCACTCTGGTGCCCTCTGGCTATACTCCTTCGAGTTCCACTCCGACCCCGACCCCAACTCCCTCCTCTTCATCTTCGTCGACTGTGACCCCTATGCGCACTAGCACTCCTTGCTTGAGCTCGACCTTCAGCGTCACCCCCGGCTCTTTCACTCCGCTAGTCAAGGCTTCCAGGACTCCCCTCGTGGTTGACTCCGTCACTCAGACCGCTGCCGCTGCCACTGGTACTGCGCCAGCTTCATCTACTCTAGCAACTGGCGCAGCCTCTTCGCTCCAGCTTCCTGGTGCCGTCGCGGCTGGTGCCATGGCTCTCGCTGGTTTCATCCTGGCTTAAATAGCTCAGGTTGCACCTATTGACTGGCTGGTACACACGCGCGCAAGGATCCTGCGGATCCTTCGATAGCGCCAGGCCTGTCGAACCAGTTTACCATCTTGACTGATGGTCACCCACTAAATTTCCGTGATGCGTTTTCAAGTCCTGGATGTCTTTTTTGCTCTCCAGGGCCGTTTTACTCTATTCTTATACATCCTTTCGACCTACCTTTTTGCATTTCTTTCCCCCTTCGACGATTATGGTTGTTGTGATGTGTTCTCCGACCTTGATGCCTATACCCTTTTTCTTCCTTTCTCTCCAACCCGTTTTATATGACATCTGAGATTTCTACCTTCTAATCTTGCTTATATATCTTTGGTTGATTCTTCGATCGACTAAAATAATGCTGACATGGATGCTTGTACTCCATGATCGGGCTTGGATATCACTCGCTTTTTCTGATGGAGACTTGTAGGATTAGCATGATGCCATTTTTGGCCGCATTCGATTTAAATGGCATGTCGCTCCGATTTGGTTCAAGGCGATTTAACGGAAAAGCCTGTGGAACCTACATTTACTTTGTAAATCACCTTCTCCAATTTAAGATGAACAATTGTCAATCGCAAGATTCTTAGCAGAGAATCTTCGAGGGAAAGGACTAAATATGGCCTGTCTTCTACATGAATCCTAACAAGAGTCGGTGCCCAACAAAGAACTATATCATACAAAAAGTGGTGATCGCATCTACTCCGCCTTGAATGTGGCCTCATACCTGTGAAGAAGGTCAGCGATCCAGTCGAACTTTCATTTGAGCATGGTAAAGACAAGACATACCTCTTACCACGGAACGCCCACAGACCCCAGTTTCCACATGAAACATCATGCGGGTCGAGGTCATTCAAATCCCAGCGCAGACTGCGGAATATGTTCTCACCAGGTTCGAGCAGAAGATCGAATTCACCCGCACACTTCTCGTGAACCCAGTTGATATCACGTTCCATATCCCACTGGGTGTATCCGGTACAGAGAATGGGAACCTTGGTCTCCAAGAGCTGAGGAAGAGTCTCAGTCCATTCGTGCGAGCTGGCGGGGGTGCCCCAGACCGGGGTGGAAGAGCATGAAGACGTCCAGGTACGGGTCAAAGGGCTGGAAGTACTGCGCTTTATACATGGTGTGGAAGTAGTCAACGTAGGTGGTAATCTTCATCTGCCCACCTAGACGGTCCTCGACGATACCGCCGAAGGGGTTCTCGGGGGTGCGCTCTGGAAGGGGGAACTCGGAGTCGCGGTTGGCCATACTTTCGGGGCCGATGAAGATGATGTGCAGAAGAGCTTGGGGGAACATGTAAGAGAGCTGCATCCAGACATCACGGGGCAGGGAGGACTCCGCCCGTGCGCCCAAAATGAAGATGCGGACTGGAGGAGCCTTCAGACGCAGACCCTTGATATCGACATCTTCACCCGTCTTGGGAGGGTGCAGGAATACCGCAGCGCTATAACAGTGTGAAATAATATCAGTAACTTGATCATGCCATACGTGACCACGAGATCGATTGTCCTAGATCCAAGCTGAACGTACCGCTCAAACTCTTTAATCCCTCTCCTGTCAAACGGTTCTTGCCACGGACACTGTAAGGGCTAAGCTCATGCAGGACACTCGCAATGGTCTGCGGGTAGGTGAGCATGCGGGTGACCTGGCGCATGGAACGATCGGAGTTGATAGCATCATACTCGCGAGTGTACATGTAGGTATCCCAGTTGGTCATGTTAATAACGAAGTTGTCGTCCTGGACGCCTGGGTACGAGAATTCAGGGAAGTGGCGGCCGGAGTGCAAGTCATGGTCATCCTCGTTGATCTGTCGGATGGTCTCGCAGACCTCGAGGTGAGCCTCAAAGTCATCCATCCAGTGGCCCTCGGAACAATAGATTGGGACACCACAATCGGGACACTCGAAGTGCGAATGGGCCGGCGGCTGACTGGTCTCGTCGGATGTCTTTCGCGCTTCCGGGTCGTGAGGCGATACAGGAGCGCGGGTCTGCTGATGGCTCGGGTGAGGGCAAAATGCATTCTGTTTAATGAAAGCAGCACGTTGGCGGATCGCAGGCGAGGGTGAGTTCGAGAAGGAGTGGAATAGGTTGTCGGGCTTTAAAAGAGCTCGCGTATCGACGGAGGGACCGGCTGACGTGGAAGCGGCTCTCTGCGCCGACGGTGCAGACGGTGACGGATTCGCGGGCGTCTTTCCAGTGGCATTCTTTCCCTGCTCGGGGGTATACCCTCCTAGGGAGCGGTTGTTGCGCTCTGAGCCAAAGCTGCGGATCCACGATGGAGAAACAGCAGATCTTCGTCGCAGATTAGCCAGGCTCTGGAGACGACCTGGAGTACCGGACACCCGGATCCCCTGTCGAAGCACACTCAGGCACTGGACACAGGTGTATCCCCCTGCCATTATGTAAGTTCGTGGTGATGTGAGAAGTAGGCGGGTTGGCCGATTTTCCCTTCAAGGCTCCGTACACGTGATTGTGGAGCTACATGGTCCGATCAACTTCAGGAATTGGAAAATTCACAATGCCCTCTGATGATACTACATTTTAAATATAAACAAGAGCTCGAGCTTGACCGTGTATTACAGAGCACTACAATGCTTTGTACACGCAAAATTACAACCCCCAAAAGCCCCATGCTAGGGCCCCAAAGTCTCAATATCGTGCCACGCCCTTCACATGACTAGAAGATATCTTCCGAAAGACTCCAATCATGGGCATCTCTGCTCGCCCAGTACTTTCCGTTGTGGGACCAGTAATCCTCGCCGGTGATAGGGCAGGTGGCACGGACGAACCATTGGGGGTGGTAAATCTCCCCGTTGGTTTCGCGTTCTCGCCGCTTGGAACGTTGCTTCTCTTCAACGCGGTGCTTCTCATCAGCAGCAAGATCGTACTCGCCATCTTCCATGGCCCGCTGATCGGGACGCAGTCTCGTGTCTGTCGGGGGTAGCCAGTCCTTCAGGCCTTCGGGAAGGGCGTTCAAGGTAATAACGAAGGGAGTGAGGTTGAAAGGCACGCCAGTGGGACGAGCATGAGCCTGCCATACCAGGAGTGTCTTGGCTGACTCGGGGTCCTGGCCAGAGACGGGTGCTTCAAAGCCGGGGGTGTGGCGTGCATAGATCTTGTCGTTCCAGCGACCGCCGATACTCCATCTGGGAGAACCGTCTTTGTCAACCACCTTACCGCTGACCTGGTAGGCCGACGATGCTTTCCACCCGCGGGGCTTGAAGTCAAGGTAGCAAACCTCTCCTGTGGTCCAGTTCTTGATCTCCATGAGACCATAATTGTCCACGGTGGGGTTGCCGGTAATAATGCCAATTACCGAGGATGTGACCTTCTTCCAGGTGTACAGCTCCTCCCCACCGGTGATCGGTCGCAGCTTGAGGAACCATGTGCCGAGCAAATTGATATCAAAAGATTTGCCGTAGAACTTGGATCTCAGGGAGGATTCGCCCCAGTAATCCCATTTAGGCGACTCGGCCCACGCAGCACCAATTGGAGGGTGGTGGCTGACCTGTTCCACGAAGAATCGGTAGCCCTTGTCAGGCCGCACGTACTCGAAAGTCTCACCGAGCAGAGGATTAAATGGCTTCGCCACTCGGCCAATTGTCGAGGCATATTCACTTGCAGCATACGAAGCCACATACACCAGACGTTCCATTGAATCAGTTCGATCAGCTGCGATATCAAGAAGGTCAGTATACTCCAAGTCTTCAGCAACTCGCTGAAGTAATGAGGTTGGCTCGTTGAAAGAGACTGGGAGCGTCATCTTGGTCATGTCCTTGCCAATCATGGATTTCAAAATCCCCTATAAAGGGTTAGCAAATTTTGGACCACGCCTGATAGAAGGATTGCAAATGCTTACCCAGAGAGAGATTTTGGGCCTATTGTCATTGTCCATCTTCAGCTTTGTTCGTACAGGCTCTTCGTAACCTTTGAAGGAAGGCTTAATCACTGCCACCTTATCATTACGAGCTTGAGAGCTTGCATCTTCGGGCTCCTCGTGTTCTTGAGGTTCAAACTTAGTAACGTCCTCCACTTCGATTTCTCCCGCATCAATGGCATCAAAAAATTCGTCGCCATCAGACTCAGAGTCATAGAGACTGCTAATCTGAGAATACGTGGACTTCGCGACAGACTTTTTGTGAGTGGGAACAGGCCAGCCTGATTCACCTCGCTGGCCACCTTTATTTTCGGCTTCCTCCTGACCTTCTTCGTCCCGGTCTTCAGCCAGGATACGAGACGGCGGGCCACTAATCTCCCGGCTGCTACCAGTAGCATTCTCCAGAGCTTCCTTCAGAGCCCGCTTGGTGCGCTTCCGCTTTCCTCGGACTCGCCCATCTTGGACTGCAACTCCTCGTGCTCTTGAGCGACACGCGCCATGCTCTCTTCCCACATTTGACGAAGGTGTTCTTCTCTGTTCAAGCGGTATTGCCAATAAGAGTCACGATCCCGTGAAATCTTAAGGAGGTTTTGTACCAAGCCCTTAAGACTACTAACGGCTCCCTCGTAGGCACCAAGAGCTTGCTCAATTGCCGGATCCGAAATAGTCATATCTGGGTTCTTAGACCTCTCTGCCTGCAGAGAAGCAGACACATTGGCCAAAAGATCTAGTTGAAGCTTTGTTGACTGTGCAGTAATGTTCAAAGCATCCTTGTCCTCCAAAGGCAAATCACGACTGGAAGCATAGTCACCGTATTCGTCGTCATCGCCATCCATATCAGGCGCAGTAGTGACATGGCTGATCGTTCTGTTCACCTCATTGGGAGCATCGAGTGAGCCATAAGCCGAGCCCGCCTCATCCTCGGGTGTGACTTCAAGAGTCGCACGGGAGGTGTGTGTGCTAAGCTTAACGCTGCTGCTGCTACCGGGTACTCCGAGAGAAGGAGGCGCAAGACCCTTGGTGCTGGGTTTGTGACTCAGGCCAGACTCAGAAGGAGTTCCGCTGAAAGTTGACTGGTCCATCTTGGCTTGACGAAGAACTTCTGCGTTTTGCGAACGTTGACGCGCTTCCTCCTTGGCCTCGTCCTTGGCCCACTGAATCGCGTTATTCAGAGACCAGAACCACCGCTTGGCCTCCACAACGTGGTTCGCTTTCAGATGATACTTGACCGACGATTTTCCGTGGATTTCAAATCGAGTCTTATCTTGAGCGTCCATATCTAGCCTAGCGATCTTCATATTGATTGCTCCACGGCAAGCAGAACCAGCGTCATCTGCATGTATAAAATTAGATGAAGGCGACCAAACATGCCACTGTCCATACGAGGCCGATTGTGAAGGGAGGGGGCCGGGGGGGGGGGGAAGGGAGGAGAGAAAGGAACCTACCTTGGTGCTTATAGTAGCTAAGAACACCGTCCTCGAGAACGAACCAGCGCAACTTGTAGCCGGTTGTATAGTTGGTCCATTTCTTGAGATAGCCACGCATCTCACGGGCCTCTTTACCGGCCAAAGGTGCCTCTCCAATGGATGCTCGGCCCACCAGGCCTTGCGCATTACTGTTTCCGAGAATAGCCTTCTCCTGGATACCTCGCTGAGCAAGTGCAGCAGCCGGGGACTTTTTCAACATCGCCTTGGTCTTGTCATCCTTGGTGACATCCTGGGGCAGCTTTCCTTTCTTGTCACGTCGGAAAGGGTCCGCTCCATGAGTGAGAAGAAGCTCAATAAGTTGCACATCTTTGTTCCGAGCACCTTCGTGTAGCAAAGTACCGCCAGTCTGTGCTGTGGTTCGGTCGGTGACCAGATCCAGGCTGTTGACGTCCAAAATGCCTTCTGCACGAGGTTCCTCCAACAATTTCTCTAGCTCATCATATTGCTTTTTCGTAAGCAGAGCTTGGATTTCCCGGGTCTTTTCGTCAATGAAGAGAGACCGGGCCAGCTGGAGTTGCTGGAAGATCTCTGGTGTACGGGCGAGATCGAGAGCAGTTTGACCCCGATAGTTGACGACGGCGTCGTTGACGGAGGATCGACTAAGTAGATCCCGGACCAAAGAGGTGCGTCCAAGCTGGGCAGCAAGATGAAGCGGGGTATTGCCCTCACGATCCCGAGCGTTGATATCCAAGCCCTCGCTTGAAGACAGCACGAATTCCACCACCTGGGGCTCTGCACACTGCAGAGCCAGGTGGAGAATGGTAGTTCCATACAGATTGTTCGCCACTTGTGTATCCCCGGATTCCTTGATAGCCTTGGAAATGGCATTCGTATCACCACTGCGCAGGATCTCGAATAATCGGAAAGTCCGCACTGACTGGTCGAGAGACATGCTGCCCAACTCCGGCTGAGGTGATGAAGCCTCCTTATCATCCATAGTGTCTCTGCCCCGGGAGCCCTGGTTGGCAGCGATTTGCTCGAGGGAGTCCTCGGGAACTGGGGGATGATTTGGGTCCTGAGTTTGCTTGCGACGACTACGGCTGAAGCTGCGAGTGTGCGTCATCGAGGGGCTATTCGTCGAGGCGGAATTGTCCGCGGGGTTGTCGTCCTCCTTGTCTTCGCCTTTGGATTTATCACGATGGAGTAAGGAAAGCGCTAGCGTACTCCGAGAGCGCTTGTGTCTAAAAGAGAGAGGCATATTAGTCACATGTAAATGGACCCGAAGCCATTCCCTCGGATGGTCTTGTCAATCCAGGACAGAGCCACCACCCAGTCAACTCATCCTAACGGAGGGCGTGCTGTCATCGCCGACCGCCAGGGCTCGCGAACCATGGGTCCATGCGGTGCGGGAACAACGTACCCTTCAGGTCTGTCGGACATCATTCTCGGGATGATATTGCAAATGCATGAATGTGCGAGTTTCTAAAAGCGCAATGGCCGCTTGACTTGGGAGGAGGAGGGCAAAGAGACGCCGATCACTCCGCCTTGGCAGTGGCTGACTGTTTACTCTGCCCAATTCGTGTAAACGGGACTCTAATCTTGATGATATACAGTTTCTATAATACATAGATTATCTCCAGCTCTAGCGAGTCTCCCCACTAACCAGAATGACAACGCTTCCCAGTTGTCGCTTCAGGTCCTCCTTGTCAACGTCGTGGGTATCCTCCACTTCACCCCACATGTCCGTCTGCCACTTCACCTCCAGACTCGAAGCTTCGGCCGCGTCTTCAAGACCAAACTTCTTAGTCTGGTGGCTTTGGAGGTGACGGAAGTTTTCGCTCCATTCCGTCACCAAGCGCACTGCAACAAGGAGACTCTTGGAGGCCAGAATGCCTCGCTCCAGACCGGCCAGATCATAAGGAGCCAGCTCCGACACCCAGGTCCGGATGCTATCCTTGGTGGCCTGCGGCTGCGAGACGGGCAGGATGCTCTCGGCGTCGAGAATGGGCACGATCTCAAGACCGGGCCAAACCTTCATAGACAGGAAGCTCATGATGTCCTGAGCAACCTTCATCTGGATTTCTCTGAGGCTCTCGGTCTTACCTTCACCATCCACGCGCTCCAGCGGACGAGTCGTCCGTGCGGGTTCCCAGCAAAGCAGAGTGTCGGTGTCCAAATAGCGCATGGCAGTCGTGATGATCTGGTCGCGGGTAGTGGTAACGCCCTCTGCATCCTCCCGAACAATATCGGCCGCACGCGCCGCGAGGGAAGTCAAGGGAATCAAATGACTCTTCAACGCCTGTTGAGCAGAGGTCATCACTTCCCATTCCAGGGCGACCGCATGCGCCAGGTGAGGCTTTGTGTGAGCGATGGTGAGTACTTCCTTAGTGGGTGTCCTGACGGGTCGCTTATCAAGAAGGACCTGGTACTCGCCTACAGTAGACCAATTATTGATAGTCAGTAAAAGGCTTTGTGAACGGCCAGCTTGCAAATCTACCTTGCTTTCCTTGGACGTGGACATCCTTCCAAAACCGCTTTTTCAGTGACACAGTGGCCCTTGAAGGTTCAGACTGCGTTGAGCTTGTCGATATCGAACTCGCATCTTTCATCTGCTCGGTACTCTGCTGGAAATCCGGCGATGGCGCGGGAGCTTTGGGCGGGGGACCATGGGCAGTAACGGGATGAGCGACTGCGGCCCTCAAGGGGGACGAGTGAATGCGGCGGGACAAGGGTGCATTGTGTCGTACGAGAGAAAGAAGCTGCGAGGGCAATGCAGCGCGAGAAATGCCCGCCATATCTCCAGCTCAGGGTCGAGATTGAGGTTGATAGTCGCGGAGGATGCGGAACTTTTCGAAGTCTCGGCCCGATCGCCACTTACGCGCCACAGGATCTCTGGCCCGCGCGTTCGCTTACCCTGTAACACCTTCAGCTGCAATGCTGATCGCCAATTGCTATACAGGTGGTTTTGAATTTGACCGGTAATAAGCCATATTCTCCAAAATTCAGAGTGCGGGTATCTGACTACTGCACTACTGCAGGGTTTAACGCTGTGCCCAGTACATGTACGATGACACCAACTCGGTCTGGAGCTGAGTTTCTAGGCGTTTTCCAGACGGTGATTCTTGAGAGGATCATCAGAACGCGCATTTGAATTGATTGGATATTATCAACAGCCTTCGGAAAAAAAAGAAAAAGAAAAGAAAGACAAAGATAGCCGATAATTACCCTCCATCTTGCATCTAGAGCCCAGAGAACCGAACAAAGCATCAAAAAGCTAGCACCAGAAGAGGAAACCGAGCCAGGTGAATAGCACATCGATATGCAAAGCGCGAAAAGATCAGGAGCAAAACGACGAATACCGCCCATGCTTTTTGTAATTTACACAAGAGAAAGGAAGATGAAAAAAACTTTCACAGCTCGAGGTTGGCCACCCAGTTTTAAAAAACCAATCATCTGCAGAGAAGAGCGAGAAAAAAAAGAAGATATGAGGTGCTGGTACTGCCGTTGTGACGACACGCATCAGTTCTGTCGAGATTCTCAGGGTCTGACACGGGAAACGAGGTCTTCCTGGTAGTTGAGATACTGCCAAGTTGATTCTGTCGGACTCTCCCCGAGGCAGGCCATGGCATGGCGGCACGAATTGCAAAGTCAAGCCATGGGCCAAAAAACGAAATCAAGAAAAAAGGATTTGAATCAAGCGCTGGACGCATCTAGAAGTGGCATCGAAACACAAGGTAACACTTCAGGTCGGACATGGGTTGATAAATAGGGTCGTTACGGCATTTCATCGTAAGAGGGAGCAAGAAGGCTGGGTTATCACCAGCACTACTTGTTGAGTCCAAACTCTCCAATTCTCCGGCCGAGTCTGCTGGCCTGTGGTCTGTGATCCCCGCCTTTTGCAGAGCACATGCCAATGTCTGCAAAAGTCGAGGAGCGGTCTCCGGAAAATTCGTCTCACAAGTAGCTTTTCTACTTGGTCAGGTAGCTGGGGTAGTAAGGCTGTTTTATGCGATCGGCATCGGTGCGTTTCTTCATACGCTCCGCATCGTAATCATCAGCGCCATCACGGCTGCCCCAAGTTGTCTGGAAGCGAAAAGGGTCAGCTGAGGAAGGTTCCAGGAGGAGCAAATGCATATCAATTTGAAATGGGTATCGGAAACCACATCAGGCAAATCACAGCGACGAGTCAGAAAAATGGCTCGGGCGGGAAGTACAGTGGATAAGATGCAGGAAGGAGGAGTCGTGATCAAAGCGTCGTGATACTAGCGTGTCATAGGGGGGGAGAGAGGGCGAGGCCGACGCTTGGGCAGCCCACACCCGGCCAGGCCAGTGAAAATTATGCGAAAAGTGGAAAATGGTGAGATGATAAAAAAAAAAACAAACAGAAAAAATACGATACAACTTACCACATTCAGTGTCATCACGGCGTACATCTTGATTGCCCCGTGGAAATAGCCGAAAAGAATCGACACGGGCATCAGGAAAACGTCAACCGGATAGCGAATGTAGTGACCTAGTAACTTGATCCACTTGCTGCTGAAAATCCACAAATACAGCGAGGTCATGGCTCGATCGTGCAGGACATCACCCCACGGAACGGTCGCTTTGTGGCACAGCCAAACCAGCAGCAGGTCGCCCAACAGGGCGGGAGGCGACAAAGTGGTCAAGTGTACGGCATAAGCGCTCCAGGGCTGACGACTAGAAGCCAGACGGAAAAATATGGGTTAGCTGCGGCTGAAAAACAAGGCAACTTCTGTGCATATTGCAGCGCTCTTCACTTCCTCACCCAGAAATTACCCACAAAGTCTCAGGTCACACTAGGACGTCCCTTTCGGGCCCTGCTTGCTCCAGGCGAGCCAGCCGGACGAGACCGCATATTTGGACTCTCGTCATGCTCGGGGAGGACGGCTAGTCGGCCTGGTAGACTCGGAGGGGCCAAGTGGACCGATCGGGGGAAACGAGGGTGGCTCAACATGAGAAAAGGGGAGGGTTTCACTTACTACCAGATGTGCTTCTCGTGGAACATACTAGTGAGATTACTCCGCCAGTTACTTCGAGACCAGCGTGCGCATTGCTTCAGGAATCGGGGATTATCCTCCAGAGTGGTGAGCACCTCCGCCTCGGGGTGGTACTGCATGTAAGTTTCCCAGCCATGCGAGACCATCCAGCGAGTGATGAAATTGTCGTCGTCCGCGTTGAGTTGATACTTTCCCCACCACCATTCCTCGTTGGTGAAGGCGTAGGTGAAGCCCTCGTCCTGGAGAATCTTGGTCCGATAGGCCACCGTGCGCCCGGACATGCATGGCAGGCCGCCGTCCAGATTGGTCGTAGCCCCGCAGTCAAAGTTGCGTCGCTCGAGATAGAGAGCGCCCAGATAGCCCCAGATGCGCTGTGAGAGGGTCGGCGCGACAGCGCGGCGCAATCGTTGGCAGGTCACCACGCCTCCATACCGATCGTCCTTTTCAAAGGGGGCCAAAATCCATGGCAGGACAGTAGAAGGCCAGCTGACGTCGTCGTCGGCGAGAAGCGTAATGGCAGTTCGAACTTCGGGAATTGCTCTGGTCATCTGGCGGCGCTTGTTGGGATGCGTGACCGTGAACAGACGAATTCTCGATTTGGACGCCGGCATCAGATTCAACATTCTTTCGGCCCTTTTCCGATTGGCCTCAATAGTCACCAAAAGAATCTCGTAAGGTTGGTTCTCTAGAATAGAACGAATCGTCTCCACCAATTCCTCGCCACATCCCTCAAGCGTGGGAATGATTACCGTGACATCTTGACTGGTCAGCTTCGGATTTTCCGGGGGTGTTATCGGCCGGAACGACCAGAAGGAGATCAAGTTCACGACGAGGCGGAAGTAGCGATAGCAGCTGCTCGGGAGTTAGCGGGGTTAGGGGGAGGGGGGGTGCAATCGCATCACCGATCGAGTGAACTGACAATAGCGCGACGAAGGCTCGCAGGAAAGGAAATGCCATTTTCTGGGGTTCTGAATGCCCGACCTCGGGAGAATTCCAATTCAATCTATACTCGAACACAAGAAACGTGAGCAAGGGTCTCCCGTGTTTGATTCAAGACACAAACCTCCTCGAGCTAGAAGGGTGTTGACACTTGAATCAGCGAAGCTGGCGCTGAGAATGGGCTGGCAGTAAAGAGCGAGGAAGCAAAACGAATGTCGGGGAAGACACAGCTTCCTCAACCAGCCCAGGATAAAAAAGGGAAGAAGGGGAAGGAAATCGAAAGGGAGGAGAGAATAGGTACTTGGAGGAAGTGGAAGGTAGATTAATTTGTAGGGAGAGCACATGCCTACGATGGCAATCCTGATACTAATTCGCGCGAACAATTGCTCGTAAGAAAAAAAAATGTGGAAAAAATCCAAAATAAAAGTACCAAGCTAATAAACAATAAAAAAAGAAAATACTCAAAGTGCCCCAGTCTCCGTGATCGTTTTGAGGGTGCTGCAGGTGTAGTTTTGCCTCGTGCGTCAGAGACCCTGGATCTAGATGGAGGCATCTGGGAGTGGAGAAGGATTGGCGGCGGCCCATGCAGGCGCCGTGACATGGAGTGGACTTGGGTAAGGTACACACTGTTCTGTAAGATACGTAAGATTACCCGGGGGGGGGGGTTTCATGCTCTTGACTGCTCTTGGTGCTTTGGGTCTTTGCTCCGACTCGAGGTTTTCGATCATGCGCCATTCCACGGCCAAAACTTACCCTACCGTGTGCGCGAACACAACATACCGTCTCTACATCCCGATGTATAGACAATGCGGCCCTCCATTGCGATCCATGGATGCCAAAGAACAAAAATAAAATGGAAAATGAAAAATCAAAAATCAAAAATCAAAATCAAACATCAGGCAATCCGCTGGGTCCCGTAGCGCGTGTCCATTCTTCGCCGTTTGGAACCGTAGAGCCGTCCATCTAACATTCTCCCACCCTGATAGGTTTATACCACGCGTGACTTGACGAAATCCCCATTCTCTCAGGCAACCATCCTCAGATCATTGGCCTTAATCTGTCTTTGTACTTGTCGCAGGTACACTGCTTCGATCAACTCGAGTCACTTTAGCCTCGCCGTGGCATGCAGAGCGGCAGGAAGGTCGAATCGAATAAAAATAGACAAATGGGGGCTAGCGAGAACATATCCGATCCTGCACGCGAGATTCCTCCATTGTCGTCTAACTCCCCCCCCCCCCTCCTTTGTCCGGACGGTTGCTTTCGGATGGAGCCACTGCTCCTTCATTGGTGCCCAGCCCATGGCCGGGATACCTTTTTTACTGTATGTAGCTGCACGGTTGGCTGGTGATCGACATTGATTGTTGATTTGATTTACCCGGTCACTCAAGCATTGTGTTCAAGCCAAAAATTCAACCTCACCACTTTCTATCGATTATTCTATTACCCGGTATATACGTGCATACGCAGGGTTAGTGAAGGGGGGAAAAAAAATAAGAGAAAAGATGGGAATCTATTATCTCGCTAGTAGTGATTTGTGGAAGAAATCAAATCATCGGCAAACCCAGACCATCGTGGACACATGGCTAGCGCCGTGGTGGGCTCGCTGTTGGCTAGCGCCATGGACATTTCCCTCGCCGGACCTTTTTCAGCCCCAGGTCGCCAATCAATGAATATCGATCGCCCGTGATTCGCACGCCTTGTGGTACAGGATGGGTTCCTTAATTTTAACGTGCAGCGAGGGAAATCAAACCACGCCGTGACCAAGTCCCACTCAGTCGGAGAGGGTTAGACGTTTAAAGGACCGTGCTGGATAGGGAATCCTAGCGGCGATCGCGACACGGGCGACCACCAATGTGAATCAGATGTTGTTTTCGGGGCCCCTTGGTGCGTTTCGTAGCTTGGGTGGGGCCCGCAAAGCGAACACGACAGGGAATAGGAAATCCGGCAGGACTCCGCCTGAAGTGGAAAAGGAATGAAGATTTGATGAACTTACCTAAGTAGGCGATGAAAAGAGAAAAGTATACATGGGGCCATACAGTTCGAGCTCGAACTCTGGAAATGGTCAGAGAAGGCAAATCGAATCAGCATGCGGCTATCTTCGCATATTTGCCCACAACCGGTTTGAAGGCGGCCCAGTTGGTGGGCGCAACAGCCTTTCGGCGCGGACTATTGAATTGTGTCGGCCCGTGAGAGAGCTGCTTCTGAGATGCTAGCTTGCCCATGCTGACGAGAAAACCTTGGTTCAGCGAAAGTATGGAGTGTCATATACAATACGGCTGATGCAATCTGCTCCCTCTGAACACCGAAGACATTCTCGACAACACCAAACATGTCGAACCGCAGGAAACTAGTAGGCATAGCGTCCCTGTAATGATTTATGTAGGGGCTACCAACAGACTACTAGACTCCTGCCTTTCTGGCTCACAACCGCCTCGCGCCGTCTTTGGCGTCTAATTGTACGGGGAGCTCGTGCTGACATCGGAATCCGCCAGGCCCAGCGGGGCCCGTTCAATCTGCAGCCGGCCTAAAGTGGAAGATCAATTATCTCCAAGGTCGACCGGCTGAAAGTATGTCACAGAGATCAGACATCTGCACAGCCCGAACACGAAAAGGTGGAAAGTCGCCTGAAACTTCCACCGCGGTCTACGCAATCTGGTATCTTTGTCGTCCTTTGCATGTCGCTAAGACGCCTGCACAGGCCAGTTGCATTATGTGGCGACCCCTCCTGGTAATCCTCATGTACAGTACGAAGCATCTCTAAAGGTACATATGAGACGTGCATATCCCGGGGTGGAGAGGTTGCCCGTTCCCTAGTTGGCCACTTTGCGGCTTCTGCAGTTCGATCCTCGGCCGGATCGAACGACCAAGGCTGACAGGGATGGGGTCAAAGGCCGATTCGCCCATAGACCATCACATCCTGGAGTGAAACAGACGCGTATCTCGGCTGCACGGACTCCCCGACCCAGTCTCTGCCCAGTAAAACTCCACACTGATAGCTCCGAGCCCACCCAAACCCCGGGAGCGACCGGCTCCATGCTGGGCCTTAGCAAAGACACTCGACCGGGGCAGAAAAGGGGGAGGCTGGATGAGACCGTGGAAAAGGTGGGAAGGCGGAAAGCTGCAACGCCAAGGGGCAACAGACAGCATTGCACACAGTAATCCACCCTCATCGCCCGTCGACAGGACACGGGGAGGGCCCGGATGAGAGCGATGACATGCATAGGTCGATCAGTCTCCCCCTCTTGTTCCATGTTGACCCTACTGTATGGACATTTTGGCGCCGACGAACCGATTAGCCACCGTCAGCCGTCGGCATACCTTTTCCAACGAATCGCATGACCAAAGCCTCGCAGCACGTCCATTTGCAGACGCCCCTCTCTCGAAACTCACTTCTGTCCTGTTTCCCGTTCTGGATAAGAGGGCGGCTGGAGTTACAAGAATGGGAACGCCATCCAGATCGTCTGGTGGAGCTAGTACTGTAGTAGTATATTACAAGCGCGAGCGTAACAGTGGATCAAGCGAGAAGACTTGAACCGTGCTCGTTCTGATGCCCCATTAGTTTCCAAAGTGGCATGTCTGTTTGACTTCGCAACTCCACCCCTCCCGGATCCACCAGTCCACAATACCATAGTCGACACTCTGTCGACGTGGTCAGTGTCCATGTCAGCATTACTTCCTTTTCCACGATGGTCAAGATCTTGTGCTAACGGCCAGCCTCCACCTGCAACAGCTGCAGGGGACCTCATCCGCGCGCTCTGTCCCGGGTGAGATCCCATCCGTTCTCCGGCGGCTCAGGAGTCTTTCCGTGTGCAGACCGGCCTTGATGCGACCTTGGCCCCCCCGTCTTTTGGCTGGTAACCCCCGCGGGTCCCGTTATTCTCTTTCCCTAGCTGCAGCACGGCTGCAATTTACTGCAACCATCTCAGGATAGTCTCGGGTTAATTACCGACTTCGGTCCCCACCAGCGTCCTCACTAAGGCTAACTTCTCCCGGTAATGAAGATATAGGACGATCCACTCTCTTCGGTTTAGCTAAATTCCACTCGAGGGCGTACTTCTCCACATGTCAGCGACCTCGTTGTGGACACGAATCTTTATGCTAACGAGAAGAGAGCACCCGGTGATCTTATTGCGCAACATGTATCTCCTCGGGGTAAAAGCGACAGATGCAAATGGCTGGACACGTGTCGTAATTCTGAATCACGCTTGTCGTTTCTTGTATTGGCATGAGGCTTGTGGGCAGACTAGATTTGAGAATACTTCAATTGCCTTCATTGACCACCCCAAACCTTTCCAATTGAATCTCATGGCATCTGCAAGCAGAGTCATCGAAAGAACAAAGAACACGCCCATGTACTCGGCGCGACCAGATACCGTTTCTGTCAGTGCGCGATTCATGCATCTGATATGCGGTCATGGCGCTTCCCGGATTGACCCAGCTCCATGCTCAGGCCGCTTATCCGATACAATGGAACGCAAAGCATGAGGCTGCTTTGAGAATGCGGATCTACTAGTACAGGTGTGGTCGACCGTAGAACCGTTGCACTTGCCTTCGCTACCATACTTTTGACGACGCAAACCTAGTCAATGATCCCTCGTATTGACAAGGCTACACAAGACAAATCTCGCGATGACCATCGCGGACGTCCACGAGGGCTCTGACACGAGGCAAGACAATCCTAGCCGCGTCCGTGACGTCAATATTCCTTTCAGCTGTTCATGCAGTTTAATGAATGGGGCGTCCAGTCTGGGGGGGGGCGCGAATAGAATGCCCCTGCTCATCGCTCAAACCAACAACTGTATTGCATGACGGAGCTGCAACCGCTGCTTCCCCCCGAGCCGCTAATGCGCGCCTCTACCAGGTCAAGTTTTGGAAGTGTGCGGCCGATGACTTTCTAGAACCATGCACGATGGTACGATGAAGATGCCCGCATGTGCGTATGTTGGCCCTCGGCGGGTCGTCCGAATAGGCCCCTTCGCGGATGTACCCTTGTAAGCTATATCCCGACTCCGCTATAGTACCATCTCGCAGTTGGGTCTAGTTCGGGCCATTGACACTATCTTGGTGCACCCAGCGCTTAATGAAGAGGCCCGTCCGGCGCAGAGTATGGATATCATATTGAACATATCATTTCGACATTAAAAGGCAGTGCAAGCAATGCCTGTCACATAAAGCCAATCTCAGCCCTACAGCCTTTTCGCGGTCCCTTACTGGACTTGGCAGGGATGCATCGATTGTGATCTATCAGTCAGACTTCCATAGCCAAGCCGCAGGGTCGAAGTATGCCTCGAAATCGACGCCACCAAACAGCCCGATGGCCCCATACAAGTCAAAGTCCCCCTCCAATCCCTCTATACTACCGGAGTCCTCATCCGTCTCCTCGTGCAGGTCCCACCCTCCTGCTCGCCGACCGTTGCGGGTGAAAAAAACCTCCACTTTACACTTCTTCCGGTCCTCAATTAGCGCATCCGCCATAGCAAGCGGGTCCTCCGGAAGCGTGAACAATATTCCTATCCCAACAGTCTCCCCCACGTTGATTGGGCTCGTAAAATCACGACCACCCCATGAGTCATTCACAAAGCGGCATCCGTCGTCAGAGAAGACGCCTAAGCTGCCTCTCTCCCAGCCAGGTGACCGCCAGGAAGGATATGGCCCCGCCACGAAACCGATAGAAAAGCCGCTGGAGTCGGAGCCCGACCCGGGGCCTGCACGAAGGCCAAGGAGCTTCATCTCAAAATATATCATCTTGCGCTTTTCTCTGATAAAAGGGGAATCCTCAGCAGCGAAGTAAAGAGGCAAATGGCTCATGACCAAGCAGTCTCCATTCCGATCGACCGTGCGTCCCTGCCACAGACCACGGCCCGACAAAGAGAGCGCCCCGATGAACTCTCTCTGCAGCACAGGTCGGATATCATGCTCACAAACAGAGGCATACACAGGTGGCGAGGGCCTCTCCGGAAGCCAGAGCGGCGTGTTGTCGCAGAAGTCGTGAGCGCGTTGTGCGTCGTCTTCCGATGCATTCCCTGTGCCAGAGCAATAATAGCCCGAGATGGGCGGCGGAGGGAAGGTCGATGTATCTGGAACCGCCTCCTGCCAGTTGTGATATGGAGGGGGGCCTTCCTGCTGCCTGTCCGGAAAGCGTGCAGATGACTGCGATGCCTCGTAGCTTGGGGGCGGGGGTTCCACCATAGTGACTAGGTGGGTGTTGGTTCCGAGTGCAAGTCAGAATGAGAATCGTATAAGGTTGTCGTGTCCGCATTCAAATCCACGGTGCCAAGCGGGGCTGTGCCGAGTGAGTTCCGTGGATTTGCATTGTCTTCGTCTTTCTGGGGTTTGTCCATAGTTTTGGTGCCTTGAATGTTTAGAACCTGGCATTTGACATTCGACACTTGATTTTACACTCGAAATAGACTTTTAAGCTTGTTCCTCGGCCTTTCTTCTCGCGCATGCCAGCATATTGGTGCGAATGGAGTGGATTTTGAGTCCAACCAAAGGCCTGCTGAAGGTTCCGGCGTTGGGCTCGATCGTGCATTTGGAAAAGGAGCGAAAGAAGTGACATCGGACGCTATCCTTACATATTTGGATGCGAGATAAGAATCGGAGGAGTCACAGAGGGTAACGCGGGCTAAGAATAGTTGGGCTGCAGGTCTCAGTTGTGCAAAGTCCAAACGTAAAATGCAAAATGCACCGTGGCGATTTTTGAACTTGTTCGATCCCTCTCATTCATCCTTCTTCTGTTTTATCTTTTGTTTTCTCTTCATGTTTCCCACCTATGGCCGATCCGACCCACCAACGTCGATCCTCCATCTCGGAGCAAATCCAGCGAATCTTTACGGTCGATCGCTCAGATGTATGTTTCACTCCACGCTGTCAGCGCCCATACTGACGGCCCAGAAACGTCGAAGAACCCACGACCATGAATTCTCTGATGCGCTCGCTCAACTGAAAAATGAGCACAAGAAGTCACAGGCGTCCAGTCAGGCACTCGGGCAATTGGGCCCGGATGAAACTAGACCTAGCTCAGTTACTTATTCTCAAAACTCTGGACTGCCGTCTACGGGCACTTCTCAATCAACCCCTCCGTTTCAACCTGTGATGACCGTGGAAACCATACCACCGCAGACTTCCGGCGTTCAAAACCCAACTCCGCAAGAGATTCTCACTTCTCCAGCAAGGGAAACTGTGCGTCATGAAAGACGCGCTACTAAGAGACTCGAAGCGGAAAGGATAGAGCTTCAAAAACGCTATCAGAGACTAGAAGAAGCTCAGGCCCGACATGACCAGGGCATTTGCGAGCGATCCTCCAACCGCTTGACCAAGAAGCAGCCGCTGGATAGCACTGCAATTCGGTGGCCCAGTACCGATAGAGAAGGAAAAAGAGGAAGGTCTTCAAGTGTCTTTTCTGGTATATTTTCGAGATCAAGACGATCTTCTCGATCGCGTTCTAAAGATTCCGAGTCGCGTCGTCAATCAAGTGAAACCCCACCTACATTACCATTGGCACTTCCAGAACGTTTCGGTACCGCTGTATCGAGAGAGTTGGCTACTCGCCATGGAACTACTCTGGTTCCATCTCATCAACTTGAAGGCACGGCTCGTGCCCTCCACTCTCTTCATCAAGCTCCCAAATCTGACGACCTGAGGGAAAATTGGAGAATGGCCGAAGCCTGGCAGAGAAATAATGGAGCTCATGACTTTGACAATACTAGAGGTTCCGTCCACAAAGCAGAGCTCAATGGTCTGCCCGCAACTGACAGGCTTGTCCGCGAAGCAAATCTTTCGACCGATCTTGACCGCGAACTATTTACTGCGACTCTGCGACATGACGGCAAGTCCATTGGGACCCGGTCTTTCTCTGCTTCTAACCCGCATGCCCATACATCAGCGCGTCCTACTGGTGTCTCGGCAAAAGACCGGGAGCATCGTAAAATCTACCCCAAGGTCCCTGATGCCATGTCTACCAGGGTCACTACGGCACGCCAGCTCCATGATCTCGCGCCATCGGGACACATCCAACGCTCCTATAAGACATTTGGGGCCTCCGTTTCAATGCCGGCAATCACGAAAAACAAACATTTCAAGAAGGACGGAGCACCTGCTGGCCTGCAAGCAAACTCAAGCTCGTTCAAGTCCTCGCACCTCTCGTCGAACCCATTCACATCCAAAGACCCCGAGCCAAAGGAGAACAGTGGGATCGTAAGAGGCTCGATTGCTCAGAGTCCAGACCCATCTATCATTCCATTGCCATTGCGGATCCAAGCATCACAACAGCATGATACGCCAAGAGGTCAAAAGACAGCTTCTGAGCCTACATCAGCAAATGCACTGAGCCATCCTAGAGATAGCCGTCGACAGTCACTTCAAGAGCCGGCATCGTCAAATTTGCACAGCCGCCGACAGGAGAACTGGCGCCCAGGCCAGTCAACAGCATTTTCTGGTACAATGCCAGCAGAAGTCCCCGGTGAAGCCAAGCGAACCAGGAATGATGGACCCCTTCTTCCAATCAAGCATGCAGGCAGGATTGCTTCTCTCGGTCACAGCCCTCCACCGTGGTCAAATTCCGAGAGCCAGAAAGGATCGGAAGTCGCGGCAGATGCACCGGCCGCCATATCCGAGTTCAGTGCACCGGACCAATGTGACCCTGAAGATTCTCCTGCAATCAAATCCGGCCTGAGATGCAGAAACCCATCACTCAACCGGACACCATCGCAGAGCTCGTCACAAGCAAGCTATGATACAGCCGATGAAGAAGTACTAGACGTTACTAAAGCCCTTGTCAAGGAGGATAGAGCCAAGGCCCAACAAAATGATATACCTAATAAAGAGGCCCCCATCGTGCAGAAGCCGCTTTCTTGTGAAATCATCTTACAGAACGAGATCCCTCGGGCAATTTCATCCACCGTGGTACAGGAGGTATCGGCACCGACGATGAAGGCGGCAGCAGAGCAACCTATTGCCAAATTGTTTGTCATTTGCTGCCATTGCAAGTACTGGCACGACATGCCATCGGTGGTATACGCCAGACTCGTAGGCTCTGAAGGACAGTCCTCTGGGTCCGTCCCGTCACGAACGTTCTCTCGCCGGAACTCAGGCGGTCGTAAAGTCTCTCTGAGACATTCGCTTCTGTCTTCAAATCAATCTAACTTCCGACAACTGTTAGCTGTCGAGGGAAAGCATAAGAACAAAGATAAGCAGTCAAGTCGCGAGACTCAGACAGCAACTGGAAGTCCCTTGCCACCTCCCTCATGCTGTTGGTGTGGACATAATATGAAGAAGATCTGCTGCCAGGGATGGACTACACTCGTTAAGATGGGTGAGAGACATCATTAAGCAAAGTGTACGAGTTCTAGGAAGTAATCATAATGATACTCAGAGCAAATGCTTCCTTTTCTCAGTCTCTCTTCGTTTATTCTTCTCTATTCTATCTCAGGCTTATGACATTGTTCAGGGTGGTAATTCTTGACGACGTATTCGTTGTTTTCCTTCTACATTGTAATTGCGAGCTAGATCCCTCTCACAAATTAGATAATAATATGAACGCCATGAGCTACCATTTGACACCTCCATGTTGTGCTATCCTATCCTGATCGTATTCCAACAAGCCATATGAGCTTCATTCACCCGCCCCTAGAGCGCCAGTTCCCGGCCTCATCTCGGCCGTGTCTGTGTTCACTGGGGCTGTATTCGATGGGGACGAGCGACTGAGCGCCACCACACAATATAGACGCGATGAAGCTTGGGAAGCTGGGACGGATCCCATCGGTCCCGTCTCCAGATTCATCGTTACTGTCCTACTTTTCAAGCAGCGCGAAACGGGTTTCATCCACGTCGGGATCGAAATTGTCATGATTTACAGTGCCCTCTGAGCTTACTTTCAATCAAGCACGGCTTCATCTTTGTCGGTCCCAGTCGTGAAATAATCGAACTTCTCTTCAGTGCCTTTCTCTTCAGTACCGCTCTCCTCTGGTATGCCTATTTGAAACCGGTGCCCATTAAAGAGACGCCGAGATCAGTCTCTTGTATCCTTGCACCGCCTCTTCCAGTTCGCCAACTGTGATGGCCTCGTTATCTGCATGGGCAACATGAATACTTCCAGGTCCATAAAGATAGCGCCGAACCTTCTGAGAGCACTGGTCGTGAATGTGTAGCGAAGCAGCATCGGTTCCGTAGTTTACAGTAATCACATCAAATCCATCCACATCGACATCGAAATACTGAGGTCCAGTGCCAGTCGTTGGATTCCCAAAGTCCAAATCAATGTCTTGCACGCCTCCGGACATCCTACTCAGTGCTTTGCGTACGATGTCCTTGATGTCCTCCGGGCTACCCTCCGCAATCCGAACCGATATAGTCGCTTCGGCATATGCAGGAATCACATTGGCTGCCACGCCACCAGAGATTTGACCGATATTTAGAGTGGACTGACCCAGCCGCTCACTTCGAGGAAGCCCACCATCTTGGGGTAAAACATTGGGCAACGAGTCAAGGTGAGAGAGAACAGGAAGCATGGTGGAAATTGCACTTGCCCCTAACCAGGGGTAACCCGAATGTGCCGCTTTGCCTCGTGAGACAAGCGTAAACTTCATGGACCCTTTATGCCCCGCAACAAGACTCGATTCCGTCGGTTCACCGAATATGATCGAGCGATATGTTGGGGGTTCCAGATTTAGGTCGGAGTTTGAGAAGTGTTTCATGCCGACGCCGTCCCTTTCCTCGCCAACATCAAACAGTAGTCCAATGGCGGCATCTGGGTTGTCTCTGAGTGTTTCCAGAACTGCAAAAACAATGGCAGCTACGCTCGCTTTGGCATCGACTGTCCCACGGCCAGCAATGACCAAATTTTGTCGGTCAAACGACGAACCATCGCTCTGGGGCGAATGCAGAGAGTACGGGATGAAAGGGGGAACAGTATCGATGTGGCTGGTCAACAGCACCTCGGGATACCTATTCTCCCCAGCACAGGCATACACGTTGAATCTTCCCTTTTGTTCTTTAGTCTCGGGAGACACGATTTGTTTCTCGACCGTCAAGTTCTGCGCGGCAAGGAACTCCAAGACGAAGTCTCCCACATCTTTCTCATTCTCCGTGACCGATGCTATCTCCACTATGTCCCTGTGGAACGAGAGAAGAGGCGAGGAAGTAATGATCTCATCCAGTCCCGGGTCCGAACCAGCCTCGAGAAGTCGGGCGGCTCGCAATGGTTGTTGGTCTGAGGCGAGCACCGATTTCGCCACGGCCGCGAGGCCAAGAAGATAACCCGGTTTCATAACTTTGCACACGGAGCTATGAACACGGGCAAACCCGAGTAGCTCAGTACTAATGGCGGTTGCACAAGTCTTCAATGTTTACGTCGAGGTCAATGCGAGGGGATGAGGGGAAAAAAACCTCGATAAGAGACTCCCCACAATGGCAGCTTCACATACGGGGGACTATCAATTGCATTTTCCCAACAATCGAGCGGCGCTTATGCATCTCTATCGCTTATGATCTTAATAGCTTGGTTCTTGGGCCTAAAGTTGACGACCTACATCTGACATTTGGCTTTGTTACCCACAATCGCACACCCCTCTACTGCCCAAGTACGAGTAAGAAAGTTCTCTCGTAGTGTCAGCAATTAATTTTGCCGCTCCCGCTCAATACATTGACCTAGGTGAGCAATTACACTTCCCCACGGCAGTTGGGTTTGGTGCAATGGCGAGAGAGCACGCACTATTTGAGCAATATATTAGGGTACCCTTTTACATGGGCAAGTCGAAAATTTGCTACTGAGGACCGACAAGAGTCACCTTCTTTTATCGCCATTTATTTGAGTCTCGCTGGATGAAGTGTTGTATATAGTTCCCCTTTGTTAGGATGGGGACTAGATATGATGACTAATCACTAAGCGAATGGCTTCCCGCGTCAACTGGATTTTCCATCTTCTCCATCTTCCTCCCATCTCATCCAAGCTTTCAACTCATGATGGCAAGAATCTAATGATGCATTCTGGGCCATACGCTGCATTCCATGCACGTATACTCTGCTTACACTGACTACACGCAGGACCGGTTATCCGACCACGTAATCATCCCATCCCCATCCCCAAAATATCCACGCCGCAACTCTTCAATCCAGCTGTCCCAGTCCTCATGGACGATTCACGGACCCTTCATTGGACAGTCACCACAGCGCCACGTCTTGTGGCCGTGACCGACTGGAGCTGGATTGCGAGTCGAGAGAACCTCGTCAGAGGGGATAATCGGCTCATCTTGCTTCGAGTTGCTAGAGCAAGAAAAAGGGCCTTCATAGTTCATGTTACACTTGCTCGTTTCTTCCTCGGAAGAATTCGTATCTTACTACGAGAGCATGACTCCTTGCGCACCTACATTCCCACATATCAAGCATACACCCTATATTCCGCAGCAAATGTGCAATTATAAAACATTCAATCGTCCTCCCGTGCATTACCCATCTATGGTAGATCAGAGCTTGCTCTTAGCCTTCTCATTCCCCACCACATTCACAACGACCTTACCCCAAGTCTCACGACCACCTAGCGCTTGCAAGGCCTTGGGAACACTGTCTAGGCCCACGAAGCTCTCATCCTTGAACGCAGTACCGCGGAACTTGCCCTGCGCCACGAGGTCGAAGATGCCCTGCCAGACAGTGCCAACTGTGGGAGTCTCGAACTTGGCATACTGACCCCAATGCAAGCCCACGATACTCACATTCTTCAACAGCACACGGTTCAAGGCAACCTTCTCAATCTTACCAGCGGCAAACCCAATCACCAGCAAACGGGCATTCCACGCAACACACTTCAAGCTAGCATCAATCATTCCCACGGGGTCGTAGACAATATCGACTCCGGCCTTACCATTCCCCGTCCGGTTCGCCGCACACAGCTTCTTCACCTCCTCCGGCCAACCCTTATCCGTGTAATCAATCACATAGTCGGCGCCAAACTCCTTTGCAATCTCACGTTTGCGCTCCGTTCCAGCTGTAGCAATCACCACCGCGCCCTTGGCCTTGGCGATCTGCACCGCAGCCAACCCAACACCACCGGCCGCCGCATGAACTAGCACCCAGTCACCCGGCTGAACCCCGGCGCGGGTAACCAGCCCACCATAGGAAGTAGGCGCGGTCACGAATAATCCTGCTGCATCCTCAAAGCTCCACCCCTGAGGAACCGGGAGGAGCGTGTGCTCTGGCGCAAGCACGTGAGTCGCATAGGCACCCTGAGTCGCGCCGAACACCCGATCGCCCACCTTGAAACGAGGGCTTTTCAAGGCAGTTGGCACGGCCGCAATGGTTCCAGCGAACTCCGCACCGCCGATCCACGGGAGAGGGGGTTGGTGTTGGTACTTGCCTTGGATCTGCAAGATGTCGAAGAAGTTGGTCCCGGCCGAGTGAATCTCGATCAGGTATTTGTCCCCAGCGGGAGTTGGTGTCGGGACTTCGGCCACCTTGAGATCCAGGGGTCCCTTTACTTCTGGTGTGAGCTAATTTTGAATTGGAGATAGGCAGATGCAGATCGGAGACTCGGATTTAACGGGTGAAAAACGGACGTACCTTGACATATTCGCTAATTTGGACAGCACGCATGGTGGAAATCGGTGCAGGATCGAAAATCCTCTTCGAAAAATGCAAGGACAGGCTTCAAATGGATTCAATGGTACGGGGCAGAGAGTGGCAAGATGGAGTTGGAGACCGATGGGGAATTTGGGGAGCTAGAGCTTTTCCCCGCGTCGGGAGCCGAGGTTCAATGTCGGTAAAGCACAGACTTGGCAACGGCGCAGATCATCCATTGTCATTGGATTGGATTATTCGACATAGGAAAAAAAAAAACAGAGCGTTTGTTCAGTAAGTACATAATTTCCACAGCGTATGAGATATGAGACCTAAGATATGAGACATGAGGTATGAGGTATCAAAAGGCCGAAAGCCGCGAACGCCGTATCACCAGAATAAAACCAGAAGAAGTAAGCAAGAACCAAAGAACGAAATCAAATCAAACCAAGTGTGATCCGCCGCGCAAACACCGAGTATGTAATACACTCAAAGCTCACAAATCCAGGTACAGACCGCCGCCCATGTTCCACGGGGCCAACAACTAGAACAGGGTATAAAGGTATCAAGTATAGGAGGTATCAGGTATCAGGTATCAGGTATCAGGTATCAGGTATCAGGTATCAGGTATCAGGTATCAGGTATAGGTATAGGTATAGGTATTGGTATCGGTATCGGTTTCAGGTACCAGGTACCAGGTATCAGGTATCATGAGCCACGCATCAATTAGTAGCCAACGCCAGGGGGCTTCTGGGCCATCGGATCCTGGCCCATGTATGGCATCAGAGGTGCACACATCGCTGTGTGCGGCCCAGCCGGCTGGGACGAAGGCAGGGGCACCATAGTGGGAGGGTGACCACGAGATGGCACGCTCTTCCTCTCGTGCTCAGGTCTTCCGTGGTAGTCGTATTGGAGAGAGACATTCCGCTTCCAGGGCTTGGGGTCGTAGCCCGGGTAAGCATGCGTCTCATGATAAGGAGCAAACTCGTGAGAGTAACCCCCATGAGAAGCGACCATGGGCACATGGTCCCGGTAGACAGGTGTAGCCGAGTGAAGAACACCGGATGGCGGAGTGATGGGCTCAAAGGGCATGTGATACCAATGGCCCGGGTGGAGGGCAGGGTTGAGATTCATGTCGACGGAGACGGAGCGAGGCGGCCACTGGGCCAAGGCCGGTGTAGTCGACGAACCAGGACTAGGAAAACAGGAATCAGGAGAAAGAGGGAATGCCGCGTAGGTCGGTGTCACAGCAGCAGTAGTACTGGCCATGAGACCCTCAGGCCCAGGCGACGTGTGGCCGGACTGCTCAAAGGAAGCTGTGTTTGGGCTGTGGTCGGAGAATGAGTGAAGGTGTCGGTCAGCAACGAGAACGTGCTCGCCTGGTAGTGTGGGCGTCAACTGCTGAGTCAAAGGAAGGTTCCATTTCTGGTCCACAGCGTGCACACCGGATGATGCATACGCGGGGTGCGTAGACCAGTCTGAACGGGAGACAGATCTCGGCTTGGAAGCGGGAGACTTTTGGCTGCGAGAAGAGACAGATGAAACGCTCTTGACCTCCCGCTCAGACTCATCGCCCGAGGTCGATCCTTGGGGTTTCTTGCGAGTCTGGCGAGAAGGTTTGGTGACTCGCCATTTCTTTAAGCGGCTTCGCAGTTGAGTCTCACTGAATTGGGTTAGAGGAGGAGAATGCTGCCAGATGGCGATTGATCCATCTCACCTGGGATTGAAGTCCTCCGAACGAATCTGTTTGATGACTTGCTTGAGGGGCCATTCCTCTTCCATGTACAATTTGGCAATTAGGGCTTTCTTCTTCTCCCAGACATCCGAGGAGATGGAAGTCTTCATTCTGAGTGCGTGAAGGGGGAAAAGACGAGTCGACAAAGAGTCCACGATACGAAAAAAGAACCGACAGGGGGGGGGGGTAAGGGGAGATGGAGGCGGTTAAGTAGACATCCACCAGGAAAAGTGGACACCGAGGGTCCGGGGAGGCGCGAGATAGACTCAACGAGTCTGGAACTAACACAACAACTAACCCAGAAATCAAACAACTAATCTCCTACCTGGGTCTGTCACTAAACGCTCCGTGCTTTTGCCTCCCCGTGGCCTGGTCGATCATTTTCGGGATGGGCCATGACGATGCTTGACGTGGTCCGTGGATCGTCGAGGATCCTGTGGATCATTGACATCTCTCTCGGGCCAGCACTGGCTCCCTATCCCCAGTTGGTCCCTTGGCGCATGGGCGTTCGTGGGAACCAAGCTCTGTCTAAGAATCCCAGAGGCCCAGAGAAAGACAGAAACTGGACGGATCATTCAACATGACACCTGCTCCCGGGCATGGTGTTGCTGCCCAAAGCTGACCGACGTGGGAAATGGATCTATCCAACTCCTCCAAGTGCCCCTGTCCATGATGCCTCTCGTACTTCGTGCCTTCCACCCGGAAACCCTCCCCTCTTCTCTAGGAGACAATGGCACCAATTCAGGTCGGACCAACCCTACGAACGTGGATAGTGCCTTCCGGTCATGCGATGGACCAGATTCTGTCGACTTGGCTAGCCCTGTGGATTCCTAGCTCCGCTTCAGATAAGCCACTAAGCCACCAGTGTCTCTCCTCACGCCTTTGCTTTCCCCCAGGCCGAACGGGGTCCATCGTAAGTTCGAATCCAAGAGCCGATCCTCGGGTTTCCTCACCGGACAACTTCCCAAAAGAGAACTATCAGAGCCGTTGGGCGTTTCAAACCTTCATCCAGCGAGGAATCTCCAACATGTGCAGAACACCGCATTTTCGGTAGTGGAGATATGTCCGCTTATGGCCTCCGAAACCTCCTACACCCGTGAAACAGGGATTCTCTGAAAGTCCCCTCCCTCTCCGCTGGACCGTGGATGCATCAGGCCCCTGGAAACCCTCTCCTGACCTCGATCTGGCTTGGTCTCCCACGTCGCGGAGACCCGGTCCATTTTTCCCCTTCTGGGCCCCGCGGAAAGTCGCCCTGGACCGAATGGCCCTAGGATGTTCTCGGTAAGGTCTAGCGGGCTAGTCAGAAGCCTACCCCCTCCAGTTGACGCCAATAGTGACGAGATGTGTGGAGAAGCAGTTCGTGGTTGCGCCAATCGATCAGGTCGTGGATCACCCAAAGATCTTCCCGGGTCCTCAATAGTGGATGTTGAAGATCTCCACTGACCCCAAATGCCCAGTGAGCTTAGAGCCTCTCGAGACTGTACAACAAAGCAAATACCCCCAAAGCTCGGACCCGTCGCCACTCCAGGGGCCTTTTCCACCGCCAATCACCGGAATTCGTGGTGAACAAGACTGCAGATGTCACACTATGCAGGATTGTCCATTTCCGGGCCTTTTTTGCTCTTTCCATCTCTGCAATGCAGACGGCAGAATTAGGGTTGCCTTGTCTCCAAGGCGCTGGGATGGCTTTATTCTTGGGTCCCGAGAATAAAGGTGGAATTCTACGTCCACTTCCATGTCCACTCCGATTCCCCGCCGAAAGCGCCCGAAACCCTAGGTTCCCTTCTTTGTCCAAAGTTAATCCGGGCCCCGACACCGCAGCGCCTCTTTTCCGCCCGGAGCCACGAAGAGGCGAGATCGGCGAACCGAGGATGGGCCGGATTCCAGGGCAAGGGTCATCTCGGCGCCGAAGCGTGAGATCCACGATCAGCGATCTCAAGACACATGGCGGCTTCGGCCGCGGAGATGGGCGTTGAAACCACTCCCATCAAAACCCAACTTAGACTTTCTCCTAGCCTTGGTTTGACTCTAATTCTTTGCCCCCCTCTAGATGGAGTCTCGTCAGTCCATCCTTAATTTTACCTCTTGATCGCGCCATCTCGCTTCGTAGACCCGACCTGGATTCAGTGAAACCAGAGCAATTAGGCCGGCCGGTGATAAATGAGGGATCTGCGGATCTCCGTGGATCATTTTATAGCGCAGTTTCCACCCCAACTGGCCCCGGACAACTCTCCCGATGGGGAATTTCCTTGCTGCACGGTCAATCCTCCAGTCACATCATGCGCGGACTGCAGTGGGGAAATTCAAATCCAACCCAGGTTTGTAGCACACGCCGTCGCACGTCTACTGTAGCGATACAGTAGTGTTTCTCTGAACGCGGGGAATCGGTCCTCTGCGCTAAATTGACTGCAGAATGTGAACCATGGATGCAAGCTTCTAGCAACAGGGTTTGAAGACTCTTACTCCAAATGTCTCCGACTCGAACCCTCCTCCCCTAGGCCTCTCGCGCCTTTTGGATTCCCATCGTTTTCGCTCTCACTGGGCCCACCTCTGCTGACTGTGGGCTTCAGCATGGCCTAATCAGCCTCTCAGCACTGCAGCTTTCCTTCTCGGTTTTCCCGAGCATGGATGGACAAGGAAGATCAACCGAGTCCCGAGAAGATCTACCGGTATCCTTATCCGATCATATGGTTAGCTTACTCCGTACTTCATATCCAGGGCTTGAAATCATCCTTCAGGCTTGGTCTAGAGTTCCACTACTCCAATATTATGTCCACCGAACCTAGACAACACCCATAGAAGCTGTTCACCCTCGTCCAACTCTAAACCATCCCAGGAAATTCACAACACCCGGTCTGCGCGCAAAAACATTGGGAAAGGAAAAATGGTAAAGAACAAAAGCAAGGAAATTTAGCGCACCTCGAGTCGAGGCTCTAGCGCGGAACCTTCTTGGCCTCTCAAGAGCTTCTCGCTCCAACTGAGGGTCGACAATGCCAGCAGAAAGTCTAATGATGATGATGATCAGGGTCCCAACAAAGTCCAGGCTACTTGACTCATGTTGGCGGAGGGGGAAAAAACGTGATCCACAAGATCACCAAAGCAGTATATTCTCCGTGTTTAATTTAAGAGACCATTTGTCAACTCTCGTCCCCCCAAAATAAGTTGGAACTCATCCGATCGCAAGTCGTTTCGGAATAGTACGATCCCACTAGTTCCTTAGTGTACCAGAGGACGCATGCGTGACCAATCCCAGGGGAAAGGATGAGGATCTCTGCGCTAACTCCTAGCTCGAGTGGCGTGGATCGGTGGAGACTCAGGAAAGGGTGAACGTAGTTTGACGCATTATACACTAACGCAAAAAGGAAGTAATAAAAAAAACAACAAAGCACAACACGCTAATATTTCCCACCCACGTAGTATACAAGATGAGCCCTCAGACCTCTTCGATGTCTCTCGCACGCTCCTCTTTCCTTCTACCCCTTCCACCCCACTTTGTTCGAGACTATTGCAAGAAGAACCAGAGAATGGCTTTCCCCACATACCACATGGTCAGGGATTCAAAGAGACCACGAGGGTCACAGGAAAGGCAAGAGGTTATTTCGATTGTTCGAAAGGGCGTGAAAAGTCTACCTGATTAGGTAGTTGAGGCCGGACATGCAGCTGGGAAAAAAAGAAAATAGCATTATGAAACGAGGCCAGTGGAGCTCAGATGGAAGAATGAAAGATCCCTTCCAAAACAGCAGCGCCCCCCCCCCCCCGGGAAATCCTCAGAGATGCAACGGTTAAATGTCGGAGAGACGGATGGGCTGTAAATGGGATTAACGACGCCGTTTGAGACGATGCTCCTTGCCCTTCTTGGACTTCTTCTTGCTTTTGTCGGCAGGTAGCACTAGGGGCTCGTCTCGCATGTTCCACTCCATGAAACGCAACAGGTAGTCATCGATATGAGAAGGCACGGGCTCATTGAGCAGCGTAGCATCTTCGGCAGTGGGGAGTGGGGTCCCAACGAGTGCAGGCGTTCCATGTGAAGCAGAGCGATCCTCGAAATCACCGTCATCGGCGTGCTCGAGCTCTTTCTGAGCATTTTTGGCCGCGTCAATATCTTCCTTGTCCTCAACCTGCTCAAAGGCGCGGGTCCCACTCGCCACACGGTTGCCTAGAACGCGGTCCATAGCTGCACTGGCCTCGTCGTGGCCGTCTCGTTCGTCCTCGATGACCGCCTGGTTGCCCAACTTGGTGAAATAGTCCGTGGTGAATTCACCCTCCTGAATGATCACGTCATCCAACATGCGTTTCTGATTGGCTTTGCGGAGAATGTTGGACTCGATGGTATACTCAGAGACGAAGCGGTAGATATGGACGTCGCGAGTTTGCCCGATACGATGGCAGCGGTCTTGGCACTGTTTGTCCATCGCTGGATTCCAGTCCAGGTCGTAGAAGATGACGGTGTCGGCGCCCGTGAGATTGATACCCAGTCCGCCTGATCTGCTCGACAGGATGAAAGCAAGGATGCGAGGATCGCTGTTGAACCGCTCGGTGAGCATTTGTCGTGACTCGACCTTTGTAGTTCCGTCAAGTCGTAGGTAGCGGTGGCCGTGAATGTTGAGGAACTGTTCCAAGATGTCGAGCATCTTCGTCATCTGCGTGAAGATGAGAGCTCGATGACCACCCGCTTTGAGGTCCCGTAACAGCTTGTCCAGACGCTGAAGTTTTCCACAATCGTATTGAAGTAACCTCTTATCCGGGAACGCGATTGACAAGCGCATGCGCGCTTCATGAAAGGGATCATAGGGCTGCTCCTTCGAAGTGTTGGTCAAGAGTCGGGTCTCCACAGGTGTCAAGGCAGCCTCCGTCACGCCCGAAGCAACGGCAGCGGGAGTGACACAAGCAAAATGCTGCACGTAGCCATCCATGTCACGAGATCGCTCCTCGACCGTCAAGATCATCGACGCGAGAACCGACGATCGACTCGAGAGCCAGTCTGCCATATTACGTTTCCTCAGAGGGGCGTTGGCAAGAGCGTGTTCCATGGTACCGGCTCTCAAGAATTCGATCAAGCTGCTACCGTATATAGGACGGCGACCGTGGCGCTTAGACTCGAAGTAAAGACATCGTTCCAGCTCGGCCATTCTCCTTTTCCGGGCAGAATTCTCCAGAGACTCGAGGATATTTTCCGTGCTGGATCCATCGAATTCCATCTTCCAGTTTGTTCGCTGGTACTGGCGCTCACGAAGGGCTTTGAAAGGCCCAAAGGCCATGAGGCGGATACCGTCGTCGGCAAGTCGTCGGGAGATGTCCTCTCTGGACACAGGCGCTAGATTGAGGAAATCCAGGTCAACCTTGGTGAGAGGGTGATCAAACAGCAGCCGACGTCGGACAAGGCTCTCCTTGACTTTATAATCGAGAGCCACAGACCGAGGCATTGCGAAGGAGGTGGAGATCGGCCTCGTTTCGAAGAGATCGGGATGATTGCAGACCTTTCGGAGCTGCATAAGACAGTGGATGATAGAGAGGAAGTTGCCAGAGGCCAGAGTCTCCTTGGTCTGGGCCATCGACATGAAACCATCGTATAGGAAGCGTTGACGCTTGGAAAGCCGACAGTAAACGACATGCTCATACTTGCCGGGCATCTGTTTCTCGACATCGGCCTTCAACCGACGGAGAAGGTAGGGACGGAGAACAGTGTGAAGCTTGGTGACCACCTGCTTGGCCTCTTCGTCCATTGTCTCTCTTCCATGCTCCAGGATTTGCTCCACTGGTCGCCGGAACCACTCGGAAAAGTCCTTCAAATCAGCGAATCCTTCGACTCCAGTGCCAGGACCATCAGAGGGCATCAGGAAGAACAGCAGAGACCACAATTCGGTCAAATTGTTCTGAAGCGGTGTACCCGTCAGAAGCAACCTGGCCCGGGTCTTGAATGTAAGAAGAGCTTGCCATCTCTGCGAGCGGAAGTTCTTGATATTATGCGCCTCGTCGAGAATCATGTAATGCCAGTCTTTCCTCTTAAGAGACTGCTGATCCTGGAGAACAAGCTGGTAAGAAGTGATGAGCACGTTCCAGGCATTGTCATCGGTCCAGCCCTTTCTTTTCAGCTTTCGCTCCTCTTGATTACCGTAATAAGTCATGATCTTGAATCCCGGGCACCATTTCTTAAATTCCATTTCCCAATTGAGCATGACACTGGTGGGAACAACCACCAGATGGGGCCCCCATACACCATGCTCAACAGCAAGATGTGCGAGCAAAGCAATGGTTTGAATGGTTTTACCGAGTCCCATCTCGTCTGCCAGGATGCCGTTGATGTGGTTATTATAGAGGCCCGCCAACCAATCCAATCCGTAATGCTGATACTCACGTAGGGTACCGCGGAGGAGATGTGGGATTGGAGTGTTCAAACCAGGGGCAGGGGAATGACTAGTCTGCAGTGCCTTTTCGATTGGGGCTTCATATGAGGAGACGGATTCAGGTTCGGACGGTTTGGTAGCGAACGTCCCGGGAGAGGCTTCGCTGGATACTTCTCCTGGCCGAATTTCATGCTCAGGCTCGGCATCAAGGGCCTCGGACTGCTCAACTTCCTCAATCTGCCCCGTGGCTTCAGGCGCAGCAGGCTCGACAGACGCGTCCTCCATGGGGTTCTCGGCCATTGAGGTATCGACAATAAATGCATCTTCCGTGGCGGCAGGGGTCCCTTCAGAGGCTTCAACAACTTCGACCGGAGTACCGTCGGTTGAGATTCCATCGTTGGGTGTAAGCCCATTAGGAACAAGAGAGACCTCGTCGGGATCCTCGACGCCATTCTCCTCGGCATCTGGGGCGGAACTAACTTCTGTATCCTTTTCGATTTCGAAGGCTTCCTGGTCATCTTCTTCATCTTCGTCTTCAGGGACTGCAGTGTCTTTGGACGAGAAGAAGCCGAGCAAGCCAGGCCCGCCATCCTCTTCTCCTTCTTCCTCCTCCGATTCCTCATCCTCGCTCGACCCTTCATCACTGTCACCCATATCATCATCCATGTCGGTAGATTCATCGCTATCATCCATCAACACGGAATCAACATCGTCTAATTGAGCATCTCCAGATACCGCATGTGAGTCGTTTTCATCTGGCGCAGCTTCACTTGCATTGGGATCGGTGGTTGCTGAAGTCACAGACATCTGGTCTATATCTTCCACCGGAAGATTGGCGTACTTCAATCGAAGCTCCTCGGCGGTCAAAGAAGCATCAGCGTCGACATTGGCTTCGTCGTCAGATTCGGCTTCAGAGTCAGACATGTTACTCTCGTCATCATCTGAAGAATACAACTCAGAGTCCATGTCTCCTTCGTCGTCACTTGTAGCAAGAGCATCGCTGGGAACCTCGCCTAGGATCTCAGATCGGCGTTTCTCGAAAAGCGCCGTAGACTTTTTGATCGCCCGATCAAGAGCCTGCTGATCCTGCACCTTGCGCTCTTCTTCCCAGCGGGCCAAGCGGACACGGTCAATTTCGGCCCGCGCCAAATCAAACATCTTCTGAAGGTCCTTGGCCAACTGCTTGCGCTTTCCACGGACCTCCTCTTGCTGCTCGCGAAGAATGTCCTCTGGGTTCTTATGGCGTTTCCGATAGGCATCAGCACACCATTGCGCAAACAGCTTAGCCGTCTGCCGATGACGCTTGTGCTCCTTCTCCAGCAGTTTTTGGAAGTATAATGCGTGGTTCACCAGGTGATCCTGGTGCGAGAACTGAGGCGGTGGTTCCTCCTGCTGGTCTGTAATATACGCCGAGCAAACTTCCTCGCTCAACGGACCACCAGGCTCAACCGCATTCAAGACTTCACGTCGCCGCTGAGCTTCCTCCAGTGCCTCCTCCGATGACAGCAGGTTCGGTGCATCCTCGCGATCCACCCATTCTCTGAAAGACTCGTATTTCTTGCCGCTTAAATGTCCTGGGTGCCGAATTGGAAGAATTGGTTTCTTCACTTTGATCCGAATCCGCGGGACAACCTGCGACTCCACATCCTCAACATTTATATCAATATCATCCAGGCCGCCAGCAGCCTTCGGGGAAGTATTCGGGAGGGATGTGCGATCGCGAAGCTGGCGTGGACTGGTACCGTTCAGACTGGGACGAGGGCGATGTGAGGTGCCGATGCTCCGAGATGCCGCTCGCGGGTGTGTTGACTTGGGCGCGGGTGACTGCGAGACCTTTTGTTGTCTACTGGCGACACTCTTGGCGGAATTGGTTCGGGGTGACCCATGAACAGCTGCTTTGCCACCAAGCTTACCATTGACCTCGGCACGCGACTGCGTCACAGTCAGTGGTGAAGGTGTGGCGGGCTTCGCGCCACGGGCGCTTTTGGTCGCGTGTGATTGTTGCGCGGCGCGTGTGTGTCGCTTGTCGGATTGGGGTTGCATTTCCAAAGGGAGCGTATTCTGTCGCCCAGACCGGCGCCGGCCCTCGACCATGAATGAGGTTGGACCCTCTACTCCAGGTTTCTTCCATGGCGGAGAAGGCGCTCGGGGAGTGGCACGGCGCGACGGAGTAGTGTCAGCAATCCTTCGCTTCTTCGACGGCGGACCGTCTAATTCGTGGGTAGCTTCCTCGTCATCCCGGACATCTGTCAGTTCATCGGTTCGCTCGTCTTTCGGCACAGAAGGGATCGACTCGTAGGGGCCAGAATCGGCGGGTTTTTGCAAGATCGAAACTTCGAAATCTGGAGAAGCAGGAGCCGGCGTTACGCATTCATCTTCGGGTGATGGGCCGTTGGGACTGCCGTTTTGCATGACTTAAGCCGCAGACGACAGGGGCCTTCTGAGCAGCTGACCCCAGTTATCGCAACGATGGCGCGGTCGGAGTAGGTGATTTGGGCATCAACGGGTAGATATAATTGATTCAGGTTGCCACCGAAAGTTTGGCATGCTTATCGGCAAGGTGGCGGGGATGGGGACGAAAAAACGAGCTAGATGGGGTAATGCGTGATGATGGTTTTTTCTCGTCGGGGCGAACTTAGACATTGTAAGCGCGCCGCGCCTTGATGCCTGTTGATGCCTCAGGCTTCGGTGCCGCAAACCTCCGTTTCCATCATCGAAATCCTGGCACATCATCTCGGTCCCTACCATCCACTCTCCCTTGATACCTCCGGTCTTTTGGCAGAGCTGTCAGTACTACATTGGATCTCGGTCAATCCACCCTCTATATTTTTATCGTTACTGACCCCCAATTGCAGATGCTGTCTCAACGGATCTTGGCCCGGCGCCTGCCCCAGGTTGCTGCCCGCCACGCTATTGCCCCCCCGCGCTACCTTCTCCAGCGTCGCGGCCCTTCGTGCTTCTGAAGTCGAAGACCCTCTCCAGGTACGGTGTCTATCTGGCCTACGTGCAGTCCCTTTGATGCTGCAATGACGGCATACTGACTCTGTGTGGGACAGAATGGCAACTACCAGAACCCTCCCCGCGTGAAGCGTGCTTTCAGAGATCCCTACGGCGGCTGGTGGGATGCGCAAGAGAAGCGTAACTTCGGCGAGCCGGTTCATGAGGACAATGAAATTCTCGGTGTTTTCAGTCCCGAGGAATATACTCATGTCTCTGCGCGCAAGGGCCTCTTCCAATTGGGAGCCTTTGTCGTTACCTTCCTGGGCCTTTGCGGCGTCGTCAGCATGTTCTACCCTGACAAGCCCAGCGTTCCTAAGACCTACGTTGATGGTCTGGAGAAGGAGCTCGGAGGAGCCAACGCCCTGCTGGTGCGTTCATGATATATCCCACTGGTAACCAGCTGTTAGATCAGGAGCTAACTCTTCTTGATTAGGCTCGCAAGTCCGGTGAGGACAAGTGGTGATTCACATCTGCGTTTCTTTTTGTTGTGTGTAAATACCAGTACGAATTATTTCTTATTTGCGGCGTCCCTTGAAGATCTGATGGTCGATTGGCCAAGGAAGTGTTTCTGGCTTCTCGACACATGCTAAATCAGTCCAAGAAAGAAATCCGACCACTATCCAAATCAGTTCCATTCCATTTGATACCATTTCACTCGTTGGAGACGGCTGGCAGAAGACACATTTGGCTACCGCGGCAGCACGAGACACCAATGCAAAATTCGTAGAGGAAGGGCTAAGGGGGATCCAATTCAAGGATCCCACGCCTCAGCTCGTCCACCTTCCCAGCCGTTCAGCCCGTTGTTGGTATCTTTCGTAAGGACTCGACTCATAGTATGATGCACCCTTGCATGGTAAACACAGCGTCAGTACAAGGGAGAGGACAGGGTTACCCTAGGGGTGTGAATAGTCTCAATCTCAGTCAAATCGAGTCAAAGGCCGATCGTATTGGTTCAGTGGGCATTGTTTATGGTGCGGGCGCCTACGTCAGTCAGTTGGTTCGGGAGCTTTTTTGGTGTTTCAACTCTTCCCCCTCCTTTCTTCACCAGTAAACATTCGAAACATTTGGCTCCCCTCCTGCTCTTTAAGCTCTGCCAAAGCTGTTTCCCAGTCTTCTGGAACAACCCCGTTCGGTCTCCCACTACGGTGGTCTGCCTCGAGCTTCATCCATGGTCCCGCATTCTTGCTGTACCCTCCGATACCACGCAGCCATCCCATCACCCCATGTCGACAGCATCCACTCAGTCCCGGGGGGTCAACCGACGGATCAACAGTATTCAAAATGAAGAGCGCCATTCGCGCAACTCATCTGTCTCCCGACGCCGCCCCCTCAACGCGAACGTCGCCTGTAGCCACGCCCTCCGCGTTGCCTACCTCTCCTACCTTCTACACCCCCGTTCGCGTCGCATTCAAAATGTGCCAGCTGCGCCGGCACGGCCGAAACGGGCGTCTACATCGATTAATGACTTGATGAGTGACTTTTCGCTAGTCAGGGACTCCAAGAGCACGAGGATTCCGCATGGGTTTCTGTCCGAGCTGGAGAAGCGCTTGACAGGTGTCTTGATGGGCAAAGAGAAGAGAAAGGAATACCAAGACCATTTAGTGGTGCGCACATTCGCTGTTTTCCTAAATGTCTTGAAAGAAGACTCGTTTCGCAAGCGCATGGAGAAAGACCGGCGCGCTGAAGATCTGGTTCTTATCTTCTACTCGAACGCAATCAAGGAGCTCAGCAAGGGCAAGGAACATGAAGACGACAGTTGGAAGCTCATGGTAGACCGACACGTCGCTCTTTTTGTGCGACTTCTTGCGCTAATATTGAAGAGTAATGACTGGGCTAAAGACCGTCCCGAGCTGGCGAACCGAATGTCCGTACTGGAAAACAAACTTCTGTCGCAAGACCAAGATTTGATGGAGGGGAATGGCACGACTTCAACAACCGAGGTGGTGGCACCGCTAAGCTATGATGTCAAAGATATGCCTCTTGTGCAGCACGTGGTCAAGGTCTTTGGGATGACACTATCTCAGGCTCAATCCGAAATTGATAAAAACAAATCAATCTGGACTGAGAAAGCAGCGCTGCAGGATCTCAAAACCTATCAAGCTCATCTTAACCTTCAGACCCGCAAGACTCTGTCAAGGGACGACTTTGAGACAGACGATGCGTACGAAGCCTGGAAGAAAAGTGAAGGGCCTGATCTCTCCCAGATGATGCTTGCGATTGTACAATCTAATCCAGAGCTTGCAAAGAGCACGCCAGGAGCGCTCCCTCAATTCAACCCAACTTCTCACGAAGATGACTTGTCAAGAACGTCTTCTGGTCGCGCTGACAGAACATCCTATGTGATTGACACGCCTGTCGATCTCAGCTCTCTTTCGTTAAGTGGAGCCGATAGTGACTCGGATGAATCGGACACTTACACCTTCATTCCGTCAGATCCTCGATCTATTTACAGATATATATTGTCCCAAACCTTGGGCCATGACTTGCGCGATCGGGAGATTGAAGCCACTCAGGCGACATCCGACGCACCATCACTGAAGCTGCTTTCAAAGCAATCTTCAGAAATGCTGAATGAGATATGTCTCCGCTGGCGGATTCCCAACTTCTCCCGCATTGTGCTTTTTCTCGACGTCATTCAGTCCAAATTTGTCGATAATGAGATTGACCTTAATACGCTGGATTCGGCATTTACCTTTGTGAAGGAGGCTCCACCCAGTGAGAGCAGATCAAAGCGAGCCAGTTTTGTAGCCTCGTCCGTCTTTGATAGACGAAAATGGACCGTGCATGACCTTCAAATGATGCAACAGCTTCTTTCTAAGATCCATGAAGCGCTTTTGCGGGAACTTTACGATGTGATGATGGACTGCTTTGAGGCAAAGCCCCGACCTATCGGGCCTGTTATGTACGTTCTTGAGAATCACGTCCAGATGGACCCAAGCTATACAGAAGATCCGGAGGATATCAATCGGTTCTGCTCATACGTGCAGGATGGCCTCGCTCAGAAGGCGACTGAAAAGTATCAGAGTCTTCTTAGTCAATTCGTGCCCGTCGAAACGGAATCTTGGAAGGTGGACAATGTTATCCAGCTGGGTGATGCTATCTCAAAACTTGCGTTGAAGATCCAAAAGCGGTACAGGAACAATCCCGAGATCATGGGGTAAGTTGTTGCAATTCTTCTGATATGTGACCAGAACTGACATTGCGGTAGCGTTAATCCCTATACAACACTTTGTTCAAATGTCCTTCCTATGTTTGCCGAAGATGCAAATGAAATGGTCATCAGGATCATTGAACAGGCCAAATCTGTGGGTGAAGAAATCGACATCGAGGATGGCTTCGATCTTTACCGAAAGCTTGCTGCAATTAGGACTCTTTTTGTGAAAACGATCCCCGAGTATGAATTATCGAATCCACCTGTCATTCTCAACGATGAACTAACTGGACTTAGGACTCCTTTCCCATTCCACGTCGAGAGCCTGCTGGAGGAATTCGTCTGGCGATGGCTCCGTCTGACGGATCAAAGTGTCATGGAATGGGTCAACCAAGCTATCAGACAGGATACCTTCACTGTCCGAGCAGATGAATCAACCGACATTGTTCCAGAAGACAATCGGCACAGTGTGTCCGTGATCGATATCTTCCGATCATTCAACCAAGTTGTCGAAAATCTGGTGAATCTAGAGTGGGACGATGATCTTCAATATGCGAAATTCATGACTGCTCTTTCCAACTCGATTGGGAAAGGTGTGGGGAAGTACTGCGAAACCTTGGAACAGATGTTTGCCCGGGAAACGGACCGCCTTACACCGGAGCAAGAGGCAGCACTCAACCAAACCACGCAAGAGAAGCTTATGCAATTCGCCAAAGATACATGGACGAACAAGGAAAAAATCGAACCCTTCCAGTTCTCCTCGGAGGTATGTATTGAATCTGAAACTGGGCTTGTGCATTACTGATTAAGAGACAGTCTTTGGTCAAGCTGAATAACATCGAGTATGCTCTTTCGCAATTAGATAGACTCGAAAGTGAGATCAATGTGGATGGATGTGCGGATGTCATTGCGAAGAACACTCCTCCACAATTGAAGAAAGTTCGAAAGTCGACCACCTATGTCTTCACAATCAAGGTTGTGGAGGCAGAAGACCTGAAAGCATGCGACATGAATGGTGGCAGTGATCCGTACGTCGTTTTGACCGACGAATATCAAAAGCGGATTGCAAAGACTCGTATCATTTACAACAATCTAAACCCACGGTGGGAAGACGCAGTGGACATCACAACACAAGGCCCACTAAATATCATCGCTACGATCTGGGACTGGGATGCAGTTGGCGATCATGACTACGTCGGTCGAACTTCCATCAAACTTGATCCGGTCCACTTCAGTGACTTCTTGCCTAGAGAGTACTGGCTTGACCTGGACACACAAGGACGACTTCTTCTGCGTGTCAGTATGGAAGGCGAGCGGGACGACATCCAGTTCTATTTCGGCAAGGCTTTCCGTACACTGAAGCGAACCGAGAGAGATATGACTCGGAGGATCACTGAGAAGGTTAGTCACTGTTCCTCTCGCTCTCAAGTCATTCTTGACTGATTTTCAATTCTAGCTTTCTGCGTATATCAGCCATTGTCTGTCACGTCGAACTCTCAAATCCCTGCTCTCTCGTGGACTCAGCATGTCGAGCGTTTCCAACTTTCTAAACAGGAACCGAGGGCAACCACAGGCACCTACAGGGCCCAAACAGGAAGACATTGAGAATGCGCTGGATCCGCTGTTCAACTATTTCAATGACAACTTTGCCATCATGAACAAGACCCTTACCGGCGAAGCTATGAGGATGGTGATGGCGCGTTTATGGAAAGAAGTGCTCGCTACGATTGAGGGCCTGCTAGTTCCCCTCTTTCAGACAAGCCGTCGCACCAAAAGCCCCTGACGATGCAAGAAGTGGATATTGTTTCACGCTGGCTCGTGTTACTTCTGAATTTTTTCCACGCCATTGATGACGAAACGGGCGAAGCCGGAGGTGTTCCCATTGACATTCTGAAATCCACCAAGTACCACGAGATTCAGACCTTGAATTTCTTCTATTTTGAGCCCACGGATAACCTTATCCGTACCTCTGAGCGAATGGCTACGGCAACCGCCAGTCACCAAGCAGCCAATCGCAATCGCATCTCTGCACCCGCCCATCTAGGCGCCACGGGGACCAGTCACGGCGGCCTCGGCGTTCCTGCGACCCGACGCGCCAAGAGCATTATGGTCTCGCGCAACCTAGGAACTATGAAGAAGGCAAAGGAGGAGAAGCGCAGAGAACAGCAAGCCCAGCCTAACGACGACATGATCCTGCGCATTCTGCGCATGCGACCCGAGGCGGCGGGGTATCTGCGAGATCGCAGTCGTCAAAAGGAGAGACTGGCGGCAGCTGCTGCAGCAGATGCCATTGTCAAGCAGAGTTTGATGGCCGGTGCAGGAAGCCGGATGAGTGGGATGATTCCCCAGCGATGAATTGATTTCTTTTGTTGCATACTGCCTTTTTGTTTCCAGCGATTGAAGGTTCTGATACCGCGCATTTGTCTCGAAAATATCCCTGCACTTTTATACGACTGGATCAGCATTTCACCGTTACAGTATTGATTAGGATGTATGATATCGGGGGGTGAATCTTGATATGTTGTTTACTCCACAATCTCCGTTCTCCATTCTCCAATTATCATGAAAGACATGGTCCTTTGCCTTGGGCAAGCTGCAGAGCTGAGTCACCGAGGACCGATATGGTATTAATACCTTTCAACTTCCTCCTTTCCGTGTTCGTGGGCTTTTAGCTTTAATTTACTCCTAGACAACTCCAGTGTCCGCGTAATCCTGAGTTGGGTGTCGGAGGCACCTTTTCCAATCTTATCTACCAATTTTCATTCTTTCTCCCCTCCTCTCTATCTCTCTGTTACCGATTCAAGTCACTTCCAAAATGCATATCAACATCAATCTCGTCAATCAACCATCAGAAACACTTCTCCCGCCTTCGGGAGCAGTCTGCTACGATCCAGTCACAAGGAAAGCTCTCGCGCCCGAGCCAGAGCCCCAAACTAAACGACACCTGTACTTCGCCTACGGATCCAACCTGTCCCCTTCACAAATGAAACAGCGGTGTACGATCAACCCAGCTGTCTCCGGCAAACCTGTGGCGATTGCCATCCTGCCCAAATGGCGCTGGCTGATCTGTGAAGCGGGGTACGCCAATGTCCTCCCACCGCCTGAGATGCGCGTGGGGTCTCAAGACAGCGACATTGCGAACAAGATCCCTGCCTCGGGGGACATTGACGCAGTGTACGGGGTTCTTTACGAAATGGACGCAGGTGATGAGTTCATTCTAGACGGTTATGAAGGTGTAGACCACCAAGCGGACGACGCCAATGGGACTAAAGTTCCGATTGACGTCCGGCCGAAGGAGCAAGGAGAGGGTGACTACAACAAGTGGTATCTCCCAGCGGAGATAGTTGAGTGGATTGGAGGCGATGATCATCCGTTGAAGATGGAGAAGGGAGCACTAGTTCCTACGCTTGTGTATGTGGATGAGGAGCGGGTGATCCTCGCGCCGCCCAAGGCCGAGTATATTCCTCGAATGAACCGGGCTATTCGGGAATGTGAGGCGCTTGGGGTTCCAGGAGATTGGCTTGAGGAAGTTCTGAGGAAGTTCATCCCGAAGGAATAGAAAAGGGGGGGTTGCATGTTATAGATCTCAGACTAGAAGACAATTGAGCTAGAGTCAAGCTTGCAGGGAGCAATTTGTACCGAGGTACGAGGTATCCAGATGAGTCCCGTAGGTATAGAAAATGGGTCATCACAAGAACAAATCAGATGAATAAACAAGCAATCAACAATACAACAAATGTCGAGGTTTTGTTTATGAGTGAAACAGAATGTGGTTCATTAAATGGCGAGAGCCGGCTCTACGGCTCTACTCCAGCGCACAGCGGGGGAGGTAATCTGCAAACACAAAACAAACTGCTCATTTTCGTCAAAGTCGAATCGACTCGGTCTGCATGTTCGGGAGTTGGCGGCTATATGCGGGTGCAGGGGTGGGCTATGGACCCCAATGCGGTGAAACTTTTGAGATGTCATGGAAAGTGCAGCGATCTCGGTAATCGCTAAGGTGTGCACGATTCGTGTCCGAGGCAATTAGGCCTGGCCCGAGAGGAGGGTGTAGACAGGAGCAGGGAGCTTGTCGCGGCCGTGAAGGAACTCGAGCTCGAGGATGAAGATGAACTCGAGCAGGTCACCGCCCATCTTTTGAATCATCTGACCGCCAGCAAGAGCGGAGCCACCTGTCTGAGTTAAAATCGGATCTTATCTGGACAGATTGACGCTTCAGATAGTACATACCAGTGGCAATGATATCGTCAACAACAATAACCTTCTGACCAGGCTTGATGGAGTCGGACTGCATTTGGAAGAAGTCCTGGCCATACTCCTTCTCGTAGCCCTGAGTGATACACGGACCAGGAAGCTTGCCCTGCTTGCGCACGGGGACAAAGCTGGCGCCAAGGCGCAGAGCCAGGCTCGGGCCGATCAAGAAGCCACGGGCCTCAAGACCAACGATAACATCGGGCTTCTGACCACCGTAGGCCTCGAGGATGTGCAGCTCGAGGGAACGAACAAGAGCCTCGTGCAAGGACGGGTCGGCGAAAATAGGCAGGATATCCTCGAAGAGAATGCCCTTGGAGGGGAAGTCTGGGAACTGGCGAAGGGCACCGCGCAGCTTTACCTTAAGACCGGCGAGTTCGGCGGCGCTGGCGGGATGGGAGGAGGCGTGTCCGGCGACTTGGGCGGAGGCATCGAGGGCGGTTTGGGACATGGTGAAAAGAAGAGGGGGGAGAGCGAAGGAGAGGTGGGGGGGGTTCAAGAGATAGGTTATAAGAGTAAAAAAAAAACAGAAAAAAAAAAAATCTAGGTAGGTAAAATTACGGGGCGGGACAGCGGTTGATAAGCCGATAAGCCCCTCCATCGGTAGCTCTATAGTCTGTTCCCGAAGGTTTCCCCCGATTCTAGATCGGATGGCGTGCCTCGCCTGTTCTCGTGGTGGGATCTGTTCATCTTGGTTCCTCTGAAGCTCCTCCTGGTACGAGGTTCAGTCTGCAACCAGGCCAGACACGATACGGGGTTAATGAAGGTAGGAGCGGTCAGCGGTCAGTGCAGATCCAACTATACGAGGTACTACCTAGAGCTCAAATGGTATGGCTGTAAAATTTCAACTGTCACGCAATTCGAGCCGGTTTCTAGAATCCGCACATGCAGCTAAGGTCAACAGGTGGCCGTGTGTCTGGCTGGGGCACTATCCCGCTGCGGGCCTCGGCGCGGTCTGGTGCAGCGCGATGTTCCTACATGTCACGGATCTGCGGAATCGCCCATCGCCTGCTCCGGCGAACGGTGATTCCCTCCCCGGTTGCCCTGAGGGTTTCTAGTGACTCATGACCCAGGCCCCAGGCGAGCTTCCAGACCGGTCCGAGAATGGCCCTGGGTCTTAGACCATCAGGCATTTCAGATGGGCCATGCAGGGTTTGACATCTCGTACAGACAAACACTCTTCTGACGAATCATGCATTGCGGAGGGCAGTGTATCTTGGTCCTGAACCTTGTCGCCCGCGGCCATTCGAGTAATCTGATGCAGGCATGCAGCACTAGCGAGGGGTTCTACTGGAGGGGCCGTTGATGGCGTTCGGCCGGGAGGTCGGTTCTGCAGGAGATGGAGGGGTAATCTCGCTATGGTGTGACCGAGGGGTACTTGCGTACTTATGTACCCTATCGCTATCTGAGTCTATTTTTGGCATGAAGCAAAAATAATAAAAAGCATTATAAGATCAAGATCAAGGTCGGCCCGATCCGGAGCAAGTGCAAAAAAGATATCTCAGGTTTTGTTTGTAGGAATAGCCGAACGCGGGGGTCGAACCCGCAACCTTGAGATTAAGAGTCTCACGCTCTACCGATTGAGCTAGCCCGGCAGGGCTTGGTGAAGGAAGCAAACGTCAATGGTTATATCAAGCAACGGGATTGAAAACCGGGAAAGTCGAGGGATACATTGACAGTTGTAGAACCGGAGCAAGGCACCCTGATCGGTCCCAATGTGGCACCAACATGCTGCACTGTAACTTCCAACAGCATCACTTGAAGATTATAAATTTGAGCTGCAAAACGCGTGCACTCACGTGTCGTAACAGATTTCTAGAATCATAACTTCAATATATATCTTGCGACCATCGGTGAGCGCTCGGTGACAAATAGTCTATCAATGCTAGGCAACCATTATCTATAACATGAAAGAACCCCAGTTTTCCGTACAACAGCGACCGTAGGGTACACTGTTTGCCCATCGTAGCATACAGTAAACCTTCAGAAAGACACAATCTTTGTAGATATGGGCCTTGGCACTTTCATGCTCTTTATCATAAATTTTGCCCACGAGCTATACATCCATGAAATGAAATATAATTTCGACGCCTAGAGTCACCAACGGGTTATCTAGAGTGCGTTACCTCCAGTCATAAGACAAGTTGAGTTATTCAATCATCAGTTGAACGTCAGGCTCCGCTCCAAATTGTGACTATGTTGCGGGTCTCCATTAAATTTGGGTTCAATGCCGCAATCAGGGGAATTTTCTAACTAGAGTCAACCGGCCACACCACTGGATTTGATTTTGATTTACAGATCATGCGTGGCAGCGATAGGATGTCATACATTGACGGATCCGAGGCCATCCCGACCCGGACGCCACGTGACGCGGCACGGGCCACCTCGCTTATCGTTTTTCCGAAACCGCGCCAGCTTTAAAAGGTCTGCCTCCTCATTCTTCCCTCTCACAATCACTCGTCTTTTCACATGGAGCCGAGCTTCTCTTGATGCCCAATGAAGCTCTTCTCCTCTTTGTAATACTCTGTGCTATTCTGCGACATGTCGCCAGCTCCTCTCGTCGAGGAGGCGCATGCTGATCCGCATCTGGATCAGCTGCAGGCCGTGGGCAAAGCGTTCGATGCCCTTCTACTAACCCTCTATCGGCTTACTCACAGACACAATGAACTCAAGCAACATACAGAGGAGGTTTTCAAACAGGTAAATTCCCACCCCGACTTGTTTCTTGTTTCTTGCCCCCTTTCCCCCCCATCTCAAATGATGAGAAAATTTGATTAGCTCTAGATCAGTAGTCACATTCTTGTGGCGGTGACGGATTAACATGTATTATCTGATTGAGATTTGCCTTTGCCTTTCATTTTGCTTGAGACAACTTGATCATACGTGGATGCTAACTCGCGTTCCTTTTAGCTCACCAATGTCACCAGGCAGGTGCCTCCTCAAGATAGACCGCATGCGATGGAGGTGCAGCAGAGGTTACTCGATCAACAGAAAGAATTGTGTCTAGGCCTTGTGCACAAGCCGCGCGTCGAAGAACAGTTGCTGAATTCAATGGAAGTAATCAAGACCCTCGTTTCACACCAAAATGTAGACGAAAATGCCACCCGGGCCATCGTGGAGGGAGTCAAGGGCTACAAGGCATTGCTTCGCTCCCAAGATAGCCTGTCCCAAATATCCTCCGTCAACTCCTGCATGCTTGCCCGCGGACCGGATCCTTCCCTCGAACAAGACTTTACTACAAATGGTACCCAGGGTAACCTGCACTGTCCTTTCTCCAAACCAAGATCATCGCGCTCAGACAACTCGCTGAACGGAAAGATGGATGGTCCCAAGATCCAAGTTGATACCTGTGGACATGTTGATCTGGACCCCATCAAGGCTGAACAGGAGGAGCGACGCTCAAGTACTACGCCGTCTGCCCAGCCGTCCGCCAATTCATCAGGCCAGTGCCCCGTTTCTCGTTGCCCGATCCGATTTTTGGACAAACACTCGCCGGAGGAGATTGCGGAATACGTGGAAAGACACAAGCATGAGATTCCCCGGAGCCATGCCATCTGTGTCAAACGATACCAGAGAGATCCTCAGAATATGCGACAGCTGGACGCCAAGTATGGTGGCCTGATCAACATGATCAGTGGACTCTCTGCCAAGCACCAGGCATTTTTACCGCCACGCCAACCAAACGGAGAGGCTAACGGAGACGGAGAAGGCGAGGTCGAGGGCCCAGTCGAAGGCCGATCTCCACCCTCCGCCTCAACTGAAAGGGTTGAGAAGTGGGCAGAGAACGTGGACCCGGTAACTCCTGGTCCGAATCCCGAACCGAATGAGGACGACAATCGAGAGAGTCGCTTCGATCGTCCGCTTCGTGAAGTTCGAGTGGGTGAATCCCCAAGCAGGCCTTGGGGTATTCCCGTGCCTCTCACCCAGCAAACCCCCGCCTCAGTACCCTTCTCTGGATCCGCCTCCATCCCCATACCTGCGGTTGTGAATCCCACAGATCCATCAATGAAGTCACCAGAAGAGATCCCAGCAAAACCGGCCGGTCGCTGTCCATTCGGACATGGTGCCCCCAAGCCTGAACCTGCTCTTGAAGCTGACGCTGAAGCTGAAGAGGAAGCGGAAGCGGGAGCTGGCCCCGAATCTACCCCCAAACTCGACTCGCCCTGGTCCAACTGGGGAAATGGAAATCAGTCCAGCTCGCCCTATGACTGGACCAAGGACAAGGATGAGAAGCTTGCTCCCGGAGTAACGATCGGTGCTGCGAAGGCTGAGACAACCAAACCCGACTTCAGCTCTCTCCCAAGCCACGTCACCTTCAATGGCCCAGTCTTCTTTGGATACTCGGCTGAGCAGACAGCTGCGTTGATGCAGCAACTGGGCCGGTTTGGCAAATCCTAATTCTGTATACACCTATACTCTGTTCCATCATGGCGATGATTTCCTCAGCGCCAAGCGAAGTCACGACGACACGACTATTCCTTCTGTATCATAGCGTACTCATAAGCAATGCTCCAATATCTCTATTTCTATGACTATTTCTACCCCAATCTTAGTTATTCCTATCGCTCAGATCTACTACTACTACTACTACTACTACTACTACTACTACTACTTTCCCGACGCGACTGTCCGCGGGAAACCTCCAGAGTAACAACCCCACCCAAGAGCGGGGCTCGGCGGCAGTTCGTTATAACATTCATCCCACCATGTTGCGCACCACTTTTCGTCTTCACGCCCTCACTCGTACCTTCAATCCCCGTGTCGCTTTACCTCGTCATCAATTCCTTCCTAACAATATGTCTGCCAACATGTCCATTATCTCTGCCTCGGCTGCCTGCCCTCGTAAGTGACCTCTTATTGGGACTACTACGCAAAACGTTGGCTAACAAAGATGCTTTATAGCTGCTGGTCCCTACGTACGTTTCTATCCCTTCGGACAACCCAGTCGACACTATTCAAATGCCCCTCTTTCCCCCTTCTAATAAATCATGCCACACGAAGCTCCCGAATGCATCATCACACCTCATCCCATGACTCCTCCAATACCACCTACAAAAGCCCCAACTAACCCACTCTAGTCCCAAGCCATCCGCGCCAACGGCCAGATCTTCGTCTCCGGCCAAATCCCCGCCGACTCTTCCGCCAACCTGGTCCAGGGCAACATCGGCGAGCTGACCCAGGCCTGCTGCGACAACATCAAGGCTATCCTTGACGCCGCCGGTTCCTCCGTGTCCAAGATCGTCAAGGTCAACGTACGTGCCCGAAATAAGACACCTTGAACAAGGACAATTCCACAGTCAAGATGCTCGTACTGCTGATGCTGACATGATACAATACAGGTCTTCCTGACTGATATGGCCAACTTTGCTGAGATGAACGCCACCTACGAGAAGTTCTTCGTTCACAAGCCTGCTCGTAGCTGTGTTGCTGTTCACCAGCTGCCCAAGGGCGTGCCTGTTGAGATTGAGTGCATTGCTCTTGAGTAAATGTCATGGTATAGAAATTCAATAAAATGGGTTGAAGTATACTCTTGTCGTTTGTAGTTGGAAACATGCACACGTGCTGCACTTCCAGACTATTACCCTGGTTCCTGTTTACGGTTGAAGTATGTTGAACAGGGGAAGTGATATATTATTACGTGCGATTCAATTGCTATGTAGTCATGCATAAAATAGTTCCGCAGCATAGCGAATCACCTCTCCTCTCGATGTGAACGTTGAATGGCGTGGGAAGAGAAAGCAAGTCTATTAGGGGTCGATGATTCATGAGATCGAGAAACCATAATCTGTTTTGTGAAGTCCAAGATACTGTACAATAATGATTCTGAAGAAGGGTTGCTCGCGATGTATGACGCTGCAAATGATCGGTTGGTGGGTGCCGGGTCTCATGGAGTCCATTTTTTCTGATAATGTAGTGTTATAGGATGCAAGTTGATGTGGCAGCCCCAGGTGGCTAGAGAGGCTCGAAGGGGCTTGAGAGAATGGAAAAGAACAAAGGCGATGCTTAACGATGGGTACTTCAAAAAGACCGGTTGATGAGAAGGATATCATTGAGGAGGTGCGGAGTGCTGGGATTGAGGGAGTGAAAATTACCCTGACTCGAATGTGAACTTGATGTGAAGACCAGTGATGATGCTACATTGTTCTGATAGATAAAGAGCTCTCCCATCATGCGAGGTGGCTATGACACTGCTAAGCTTGCCCCAAGTGTTAGTGCTGTGAGTTGCGAATTGTATAGACTTGTAGGTCATTGAAGAAGGCCATGCTTAATCAGGCTTATCGTTGATATGTAGAATGTATTCTCTTACTATCACTGGGTATATAGTGCATTTAGATGATGTACAGGTTCGTGATGGGGACACCTTGAGAACGCATGGAATACCGCCTCTTGATGCCAATGCCAGTCGCGACTTGCAGAAGGGAATATGTTTCATCGCCGCCACCAACCATCAGCAGACTGACAGGGTTACTGCGCGGGATCCCACTAGCAGTCATTTGGGCCTCGTCGAGGTGCGGCCGAATCAGATAGGGTTCGGCACGAAGGGCGGCAAGTGAAGAAGTCGGCGGTGGACTGTCACTCGATTGAGTCTCGGGGTCTTCATCTGGAGTCTCTGCTGTTTCGGGAGTGGGCATCTCATCATCGTATGAGACGACGACTACCAATTTGAGTGACGAGCGCGAGGACCGGTAGGCGGCGATGTTGCGCAGTTTCTGAGAAAATGTACAGCCACCACGTTTGATGACGAGGACTTCGTGGTTCTGGGCGACATCACGGAGAATACGCTCGTGACAAAGATCGCCAGCAAAGTAGATCGATGACCATGTGAGACGGCTGGTAGTTGGATTGGTGAACATTGACAGGGTGAGCGAGTCGTCCACGTTGGGGATTGGGGCCGCTCCAACGCCCGTGGGAAGAACAGCAGGGAGACTCAGCCGAACGGGAGCATTCTCGTCAGGGTCGTCCCGGAGCAAAGATGAGAACGAGTTGACCAAGTTCGACAACATACTTCTCATAGTGGAGTCGGGTGGGTCGACGATGGAGCTCTCGTCGACGGATGGAGCAGGTCTGCGGCGGCCGAGGTGAAGCTCTGAATCTTCCGAATGGTCTGAACTCTCTGCTGCAGGCTGTTCAGCTCCAGGAGCAGCTGAGCCATTGTGTCGGCGAGCGGGCTCTGCGAGAACGTCAACGACGAGATCAAGCATGGCTGTGTCGCGAATTCGTGTAAAATTGGGATCATAGGGATCGACAACATCAAAGGTGATCTGACGCGAGAGGTATACCTTCTCATCTTTTCCCAAAGGCACGTTGTTGACGACTTGCACCCGAAATCCGTCCTCCTCTGCTCCCATAGAGCCTGCAAGTGGAACGTCTTGAATCATACTCAACCGCAGACCTCCTATTGTCTTGATAAAGATACCATCGCGAACTCGTTCCAATGCTCCGGGACCCAGATTGACTCCACCGGGGAGAGATGGGAATGAGATGTCGAGGGTTGGGCGAATAGTCATCGGCGCGCTGGTGGCATTGAATGGAATGAGCTGAGGCGGCAAAGTCCATGGGTAGAATGTGTAGTTGGTCGGCGATGACAGATCAGCCACCGACACACTGGGGTGATCGGGTGAGTCCTCCATGATAGGACCGCCATATCCACGACCGGGCCGGAGATGTAAACGGGCCAAGCTGGCGGCGTGGAAGATATCTGAGCGTGATGCAGTTGATGATACGCCAAATTCTGTACCTTGAATCGCTTGGCAAACGCCTTCAAAGTTACTTTGAGGCGGCGATGGTTGCTTCCGGCGTGGCTGAGTGGCGGTCTTCTTCGGTATAATCAAAGGGTGGCCTTCGGTGGAGAAAACCCACGGAGCATCGATTCTGTTTAGGGGTGTTCCGGAGTGAACAAGAGGAACATGTATTTGGCGGTTTCTCCAAGGAAAAAGCTCTCCATACGGTCAATCATCTCGCCGGTTTGGACGTCTCGCAAACCTGCCCAACCACACTTAGTCCAGCAGCGTCGCTTCAGGTCGCGAAGCACCATCTCGCCAACATGCAAATACCAAGGATCCTCGGTGGCACGGTAGATATAATAGGTCGATTCAATGAACTCGGGCCGACCACCATACCAAGACAGGCCACCATCAATATCACCCGTAGCGACATTCCATCGCTCAGGAAGAGCAGAGAAGCGTGCCCAAATTGCAGTAGTCAAAAGATGAATCTGGATAGCTTCATCCAACTTACCATCCAGAGCGAGCAGACCAGGATAGTACGCACTCAGACTGTCAATCCAGAATGCGCGCGTGGCACCAGTAATCACATCACCAACGACGAGATGGGGATGTTGATATCCCTCGCCTCGGTACAGATGGCGGTTGATGGACGTATGCGAGTCTTCCCAGACTCGAAGGAAGGAGTCCGGGGAGTGCTGGTCATCGGTCAAGGGCAGATAGTACTCATCTAGCATGCTCCAGGGGCTCTCAGAATCGAAAGGAGGTCTCTCTCCCTCGGAAAGGAGGACATGAGATTTGAAGGCATATTCATAGAAGCTATCAATTCCAGCGCCAATCTATCTTGTTGTTAGCCCGCTCAATATGTCACTTTCAACCTCTTAACTTACCCCAGAGTACGATCCCACCCATTTCCCAGTCTCCGCATCAATGCCGAATCCTATCAGGCCAATTTCACTTCGGTGGCTCCAGACGGCCCAAAACGCTCTCTTGGCCAATTCCTCGTACCGACCATTTCCGGTGAGTCTACTCAGAACGGTAAACTCCAAGACTAAGCTACCAGCGCCGGCACTGCAAGTCTCGGTGACTTCTTCGTCAGTAGCCAAGGAAGAGTACTTCGATTTTTGCTTGGTGTCCTTCGATTTTCTGGTCTTTGTATTCAAAGGAGAGTTCTCGTAGAAAGGTATACCGTGTCGCAAGTTGACTCTGGGGTAGGGTAAACCAGTCTCTGTATAGAATGTTGGCATGAGACGGTCTCCCAGATCAACAGCCAAGCGAAGGAGTTGACCATTGTAGACAAATCCATTCCCCCACTCAATACCACGGTCTCTTGATGTATATGTGCTTTTGTCCCATGCGCCTGCAAAGGCGGCATCTCGCTCTGAGGGTTTGTATCCAGTAATGGGCAGTTCGCCAATGGCGAACAGGTGTGCGCTCAGCAGCCCGCCTGATCTAAAATCAGCCATTGAATCTCCAAAGAAAACAATGCGCTACTCACCGAGTCCTCTAATAACGGTCTCAAACACCTGCACCTTGCTATCAATGTCGAATCCTCTCGCCCTTTCACCCTGACCACCAGGGCCGGGCGAGCCATCTCCATACAATCTCACAAAATCCTTGACACCGTCTTGAAACCGTGCAAAAGACCTCGCACCACTCTCAGGACTCGAAGACAAGATGGCTAGAGTGGACAAGCTGTCAATCAGGGTCAAGGAATAATTCCCCAAGACATCATTGTGTTCATTATGCTTGTTGTCGCGTGTCAAGGGGGCGCAAGTAAGCGGGCGCAATTCGTCTTCGGGAAAGGCGTGGTCAAGGTAATTCTGGAAGCCATGGTAAAACATGCGCTCAGTTTCTTGCCTGTCACGAACGAAGGGAGTCAGCGTTACCCGCCAGGAAGTAGGTTGCACACGAAAACATACCGGAGTTCCTTAATTTGATGATCCCGCATCCCGTGCGCCAGGGTAAGCCATAGCGACAGCAGGATGGCCCAAACCACCATCGTGCACGCGTGTCGAGGGTTGAACATGTGTAAACTCCAACATCGCGTGCGCATCACCAGAGCCAGCCACGGGGCATGAAAGGAGGGCAGACCGGGGTGTCTGACAGGGCAGAGCAAGTAAGTAGCAGTTCCCCCGGAGATAGATTGAAACGGCCCAGAGCTGGTGGAAGGAAGTGTTCGGGGAAGCGGATACGGCCAGATAAGCGGGAATGTTTTTTTGCATTGCATCATCTGGTCCCTGACCCGCTTGGAATATACCTCACACTTACTACACACATCCCTCAACAATATTGGAGGTCAATCATCTATTTCCATCAAAGCTTCTAGATGGTCAATAAACAAAGATCACGCGAGATATTATGCCCTTCGGTCATATATTCTTCAGTTTCATCCCTTCGACAGGCTAATACATTCTGGAGCATAGTGGAAAAGGGACCATGCCGTGAAATGAGTTTCTGAACATTCACTGCAACGAGGCCGCTACAAGCCATAATTATATGAAGTTGAGAGTGTGACATGGTTTATAGGAATATGCAATCCTTGATAGACATGCTGGACAAGAGGGGGAGGGCGAAGGTCATGTCTTCCCGATGATATCTTCCATGGTCTACCCCGAGCTCTTTTCCCGGCACTTCTTTTGAGGACTTGTGGGAATCGTCCACCATAGACAGAGTAGCAGAGTTGAATTAATTCTTCACAGCCATTGTCGGTACCTGATCCAAAAAAGGGTTTGAATGACCCAAAGAGCACTGCAGAGGTAAATGGACGTACGCAGCACGATGATAAAGACGTGATCGTATGGTGTAAGAGGACCGTTGAACTTCATGGGTATGTAAACGAAGAGGACTGAACCATACTATCAGCGCTACCATGGCTTGTTATTTGGTATTTGGAGGCTCACGAGTTAACAGCAGAGTTACTCCGCAGAGGACCTAAAGCCTTTTGACTCGTTCTCGGAAGGCGAGGTTTTGGTTCAGCTGAAGTTGATTCATTTCGTTGCAAATATGAATGGTGATGGACAGATCTGGCGGCCAGAATGAAGATGACTCGAGAGGTCAAACAGCGAGACTGCGCAGAGATCTCACGGGAAAGACATTGGAGAGATGCGAGAGTAGCGGTGGAGGAAAGAGCATTCATATACTGGAGAAAGAGCGATACAGATGAGCCCGAGCATGCAGCTTCCCAAGAAGCCCAGTGTGAAGAATCATGAAGACCGTGCCGTCAATTTCAAGTCGTCTCAATCTTAGTTCATGGGCAACGATCCATATTTTGGAGAACTGCCAGAAGCCTCACACCTTCTTGGACAATCGGCAAGACAGGAACTTATCAATACAGGCGATTATTGGCAGTCACTAATGTGAACAACAAAGACTAATATGTTGAGCAGGAAGGAAAGATGCAGAGCAGAGCAAAGGAGTAGATGGGAGGCGAGAAAAAAAATACACGTTGTATCGATCCGTGAACGCATCGGCCCCAGTGATCTGTAAGGTGAATATTGTCCCAGCAATTTTTTCCACTAGAGCTCTTTCGCTGATTTGTGACGATATTACTTGGAAATTTCTTCTTCAGCAGCATGTTCGGATATATAGGTGATTTCAATTCATTTGATTAAAACGGATGGTGAAATACATTCCGGAGACAAGTGACAACATCAATCAGCTCTTTGCATAACGGGAGCTTTCCAAGGCTACCTCCAATGATACTCATCGAAAGGGTGGGCAGAAACAAGGAGCGTCCAAAGGCCGGCCAAGCATTCAAAGCTAACACAAAGGTAGAAAAAGAAATTTCCAGCTGTAAAGTGGTTCCAGGCTCTCAATGTGGCGAGAATGAATGGGTACGAAAGTGAAGAGAACAGAAACGCTTCAATCGACTTGTGGTGAAAAGACCTAAAAGGCAAGCAAGGTGTTTACACAAGACGGTGTTTGCCAACATAAGAGATAATGAAAAGTGATGCATCTTTCCCAGACGGCCATTATGGTAGTAGCAATTGTTGAAGACGGCGATGGAACTCGGAGACAACTAAACGGGTCGGATGGTCAAGATGTTTGTGGAAAGATGAAGAATCACTCCGAATTAAGACCAGCGTCGAGCAATGGGGGAAGGTGCAATGGAAAGTTCTCGGAAGTGTAGTATACATAGGCCTTAAAGAGATTTAAGTGTTCATTGTGATCAAATCAACGCCCGCTTATCCAATAATACATGTTTTTGGTATCTCTGATGCTCATTTGCCAAGTTCCCCAAGCATCAAGTTCCGATCAGACGAGCACGAAACAACTGCAGCTGGTTAGCCAAAGATCCCCTTAACTCCGCAGATAAAGGACTTACTGATTGGCTCATCATTGGGGGAGAATCGGACGTCGTTGACCGTTCCCTTGTGACCGGGAAGCTTGTACAGAAGCTTGCCAGTCTTGCAATCCCACACCACTACACTTTGGTCACCGCTACCGGCGGCAATCTTCTCACCCTTGGGATCCCAGCTGGCGCGGATGAGATTCTTCTCAAGGCCGACGGGTGCACCGTCGAAAGTTCTGACCTGTCGATTAGCCGGGGCGAATGGTCGAATATCCCAGGTCCGGACAGTCGAATCGTGAGAGTTAGACAAAAGAGTTTGTGAGTCAGGCGAAATCTGCAGCGAGGTGATGGTGTCGGTATGTCCGGCCATGGAGTAGACTACAGCCTTCTTGCGCAAATCCCAGACGTGGATTGTGTTGTCGATGCCACCGCTGTAAATTTCATTACCTTGCTCGGACAGAGCAACAGCAGTAATGGGGAGGTCGGTCTCAAGGTAATCCAGAGCATCCTTCTGCCGGGGATCCCAGATGCCAATGCATCCATCATCACTGCCACTAACTAGCAATTCTTGCCCCCGCTTGCTAATGTCGAGGCAATTGATGATCTCTTCATGACCGACATGGCGACGTACACGCTCGCCAGTTTCTACATCCCAGCTTCCGAGTGTTGTGTCCGCCGATGCCGAGAACAATGCCCGAGAGTCGCGTGCCCATTGTAAGTCAAGAACCGCTCCCTTGTGCCCCGTCAATTGACCATAATTTTCACATTGTCCATATGTATTCCAGAGCACTATTTGAAGATATGAGATCAGCGAAAAGGTCGGAGTCTCGCGATTTATGGGTGCAACGTACAGATGGATCGATCCATCGAGCCAGATGCGATGTGCTGCGCAGTTGGGTCGAACCGCACCGTAAAAACTTCCCCCGAGTGACCTGAATTGCCCATTAGACTGAATATTCGACTTGGTTGGAGGCGTATCTTACCTGTGAGCTCCATGATAGGCGCATCGAGGCCACTTGTGCGAGGGACCTGTTCATGAGGTTAGCTGGTGGCCCACATGCTAATCGCCTTCAATTAAACGGCGGGGAATCCATACAGATTGGATGAGAGCTCCATTTTGTGCCGAAGAGCCCTTGACTAAGGCAGTGCCAGGGTTGAGGTCGGCGTCGGCTTTATTTCTCTTGACCACGAGCTGGCTTGTAGACCCGAAGGCAGCCTGAGCGGGGCGTTTTTCTCCCGACATGTTTGCTGTGTAGACTCGTCGAAGCCCCTGATAATACAAGGGACCGGGACCGAGACCGAGACCGAGCAAATGGGATTTTGAACGTGCTCGTGGCGGGAGTGCAGAGTAGCCCGGACGAGGCCTTGCGCGGGAAGAACGATGATCCCACCTGCGGTGAAGGCGGTGAGCACGACTTGTGTACGGCGACGAGCTTCAGCAGTTCGCACTCCCCGCATTTAAGCTACGTTCACGATCCACTGTCGCATTCGCTTGTCATTGCACGGAAACTTCGGTTTGACCTCTTCATAATATCTCAGTGGGTCACAGTGCCACTTGAGCAGCCATGTCAACCACGAAAGCATCCAGAATAGGAGAAGAGTAAGTTTACCTCACTGTTGCATGAATGCTGTGCTGACCTGATGCCCTACAGAATATGGAAGTCAGTAGCCGAGCCCTTCATGATGTCGCCTTAATAAGAAGCGGCCCCAACTTAGCTGCAATAAATCTCCGACGACGGACTAACCAGCTTTCTCCAGAACGAGAATCGATAAGGTCAATGCGGAGCTGGTCACATTAACCTACGGCACCATTGTGGCACAATTATGCCAAGACTACGATAGTGATTACAAACAAGTGAACCAGCAATTGGATAAGATGGGTTACAATATCGGAATGCGACTGATCGAGGATTTCCTGGCTAAGTCGGGAAGTGGGACGCTGTGCCAATTTCCGAGACACAGCAGATATGATTGCCAAGGTACGTACGCGGGGGAGAACTCGGGACAAACATCTCACTTACATTCCAATTAGGTGGGATTTAAGATCTTCCTGAACGTCGCACCGACAGTCACCAATTGGGCGAGCGACAACAACCAGTTCTCGCTTATCTTTGACGAGAACCCCTTGGCGGACTTTGTGGAGCTTCCCGATGACGGACGGGCTCAGGACGAGCTGTGGTTTTCGAACATCCTATGCGGTGTGCTTCGTGGCGCACTAGAGATGGTAAGATGCCCTAAACCTTCTTACCTGGCGGACAGGTTCCTTCACGCTGGGTCCGATCACTGACCCGGACACCAGGTACAAATGCAGATCGAAGCGCACTTTGTGAGCGATGTGCTCCGAGGCGATGATACCACGGAGATGCGGGTCTCACTTGTACGATACATCGAGGATGAGATGCCACCAGAGGAGGAGTAATATCGAGTGCATCAGGACTGGCGTTGGGCTTTCTAAATTTATTTCTTTCTACACACTTTTCTCCACTACCTTGGGAAGTGAAGGGCGAGGTTGAAATTAATTCATGTTCAATTCATGATCTAGAGACTGAAGGTTCCGTACCTGTAGCAATTCCGCGAGGTTAGGGTTTATGATCTATCGTGATGTAGGAACGTCCCCGCCACGCAAATTAACAGCATCGCGACCAAAGTTTAGACTTTGAGACCGAGATGGCGGGCCAGCCTGGGACATCCCTAGATTGTATGATAGTTGTCGTTCGGGTCGTTCTGCTAGGCAATATCGTCCGAGGACTCGGTAGCTCCAAAACCAAGGACAGTGAAGTAAAGTCCAGAGGTGTCGGCGTGGTGTAACATTACCGTATCTTTAATACTGATCTCCGCCCTTTCCGTTTCTCATTTTCCTACAGATCGAATTTCTCTCTTTCGCAACTTCCCACCCATTTCATCCAAGCCAGTGACTGTGGCTTCTTGAGATTTCCGATTGGTTCGATCGTCGATCTATCAAGTTGTGTGGAAGCACTCTACTCTTTTTAGACTCCCGCTGGGATCCATCGCAGGGCTCCATCGCGGCATATCATCATAATCAGTCGTCTCCTCGTTTTTTTCCCCTTCGCCACTCAGACAGTCCCTTTTCACCCATCGAGATCCCGGGCTAGAGAGTCCTCATATTCATCGTCGACGACATCCCCATTATCCCAAATTGATTGCCAGCACATTGAATGCGCCCACTGGTGCATGCCCAGAAATACGCTTGACAGCGCCGTCCCCAGCCCCGGAATACGAGGTTAATCCGCTCCGAGCAAGCGACTCTCCCGCAGCGCGCAGAGAGTCCAGTGTCCGCCAGTCCGCCCGTACCCCCCCGGCTCCCTCCCCTTCCACTGTAAGATCCACCTTCACTTTGGACCCCTGTGTCTTTTTCCTCTGTTGGGTCTCTTTTCTTTTCTCTTCGTCTATTGCATGTCCGCTTCTTTTGTTGCTTGCGAAAACTGTCCGACCAGGCTTGTCTGGTAGCGCCTTCCCCCAACCTCCCTCGCCTGTCCACTTTTTCCGCCTCCTTAGTACTTCCGTCATCGAAACCCTATCGACCGCGCATCCATCTTTTTCGGTGCTCGATGAGCGTTGCCTTCATCTGACCTTTATGAGTCTCTAGTCGTCGGAATATTACAACCCGACACCTTCTGCGCTCCGTCTGCGATTATCGGGATCGTTCGATTTTCCCTATCTCGTCGCGTGGCTCGTTCGCCCCCTCCCCGGCACAGACCTTCCCGGTCTCCGCACATTTGGATCGCAAAATAGCGAAATAGTCGATAACGAAGTTTCCAACGCTTGCGCGGTTATACTTCCACGCGTGATAACACATCTGAGCCTCATTCGGCTTCGATCCCAGCCCCGAAACGCTCACCGCTTCGGGCCCCCTCTCCGTTCCCACGCGTTGCTCCTTCCACCCCGCGTTAGGCTTCATCGCCTGAGTAGGTGGATGCGCGCTTGGAATCTGTCGATACTCTCGACTTGAATCGCCCCGTAGAATCCGGGCAAAGGTGGCTGCAGTTCCACCATTCGCCACCATGAACCCGATGAACGTTGCTGGAATGAACCCGGGGGTTGGAGGCCCTGTCGGCGGTGTCCCAATGATGAACAACGGCTCCACGGCTCCTCGTAACGACGGCAATGTGAACATGAACACTCCCGAGCTCATGATCACCAACCTCAACACATATATCTATGACTACTTCTTGAAACGTGGTTACCACGAATGCGCCCGCGCCCTCGTCCAAGACGAATCGATCAAAATCAACACTGACAATGGCCCAAAGACCAGCCCTGGTAGCGGAGTGAACGGCATTGATGGCGATTCCATGATGACCGATGGCAAAGACGGCGAGAAGATGAAAATCCCTGATGATCTTCCTCGTCCTAATCTACCTAACGAAAGCAACTCGTCATTCCTCCTGGACTGGTTCAGCCTTTTCTGGGAGTTCTTTTGGGCTCAGCGCCGGAAGGGTTCGCAGCACGACGTCCGAAATTACCTACAACACACTCAGGTACGGAACAGATATGCTTTTGGCGTCAAAACACACACCGGTATCTAACTGCAGGACAGAACATGATGCGCCTTCGGGAACAGCAGCACAACCAACTGATGCGGCAGCAGCCTATGATGCCCGGCCAAGTGCCACTGAACATGCGACGCAACGGCGGCATGGTTCCCCCCTAACCTGCAGAAGACTGTCTTGCAGAACAACACCGCCGGCCTGTATGCTCCGCCTGGAAACCTCGGAATAGGTGTGATACTGACCAGACTTTTTTTTTTCAATTAGCTCCCAACAACAACTTCAGGCCCAAATGCAGAAGACTCAGCAGATGCAAATGATGCAGCAGATGCAACGCGAACAGTCCGACATGGACATGAACGGGAACCGGCCGCAATCACCCGCATCTGCTGACAACGCCCCATCGCCATCGAAACGCCCACGCCTCGAGAACGGACAGCTGTTGGCCCCCAACGGCCGTGGACAAGGACAGGGAATGCAAGGACAGCCCACACCGCAGGCCCTGATGATGCAGAACGGAATGCGCGCTGGTATGAACCAAGCGCAATTTCAGCAGTTCCAGGGACAGGCTGCGCAACAGAAATCCATGCAGGTATATGCTCAAAACTTGGCCCTTCATCACTCGCGCTCAACCTCAAATTCCCAGGGTATTCCGAATGGTGGTATGATGAACCCCGGCATGATGCAGAATCAGACGGACATGGTGGCGATGCCCGATGGCCAAGGAGGAATGTATTCCATGGGTCCCGAGTACTACGCTTCGAACGGTCAGCTGCCCGGCGGTGTCCGGCCTGGTATGCCGACACCTGGCGGGCAACACGGCAACCACGCGCTTCAGGACTACCAAATGCAGCTGATGCTGCTTGAACAGCAGAATAAGCGGCGTCTGATGATGGCTCGCCAGGAACAAGATACCATGGCCGGCCGTGAGGGCCAGGGCCCGATGCCCGGTCAAGGAGCCTTGCAGTCAGGCACCTCCCCTCAAGGTAGCAGGACGGGCGCATCTCCCAATCCGAGCGAGCAAATGAAGCGAGGCACACCCAAGATGCCCCAGAGCGGCCTTCCCGGATCGCCTAGTGCTGGGGACATGCAGCCTCGTGGCTCGCCAGGATCTATGAATCTCAATGGCGGACAAATGCCGCCTGACATGGCTGCTAACTTCTTCCCCGGTGGACCAGGAATGCGTCCTCCCCCGAGCTCGAACCCGGCCTTCAGCGGGCCTCAGATGGGCCAACCGATTCCCGCCAATGGCAACCGTGTTCCTAGCGGGCAATGGCAGCCTGGCCAGCCGATGCCACAGCATTCACCTGCGACACAGCCTCAAGCCGGCACACCTCAGGAACGAGGCAATATGCCTCCGCCTCAGGCGCCTCCCGGTGCGGGTCCGGCGGGCCGCACCCAGCCACCATCCCCTCAGACGGCTGGCAATGCGCCACCCACCCCTCAGCAGGCTTCTAAAGCAGCACCCAAGGGTAACAAGAAGAAGCCCAAGGCGCCCGCCAAGGGCAACAAGGCCAATGCCAACGCCGCCGGTGCCACGCCATCCAATGACTCCGCCGAGCACGCGCAAACGCCTACTCCGTCCACTCCCGCCACGCCTCATCCTCCCAACTCCTTCAACAAGGGCGGAGCTAATGCCAATACCAATGCGCCACCTCAGCCTACCTCGGCTCCTGCTCAGCCGTCAATGGTCCAACCGGCTGCGGATCAAGCCCAACCCTTCCAAGATCTTAACCCCCCTTGATGTACGTGATGCCATCCTCATCAATTTGCTCCAAGTACTAACTTCTTCTAGACCAATGCTTTCAGCCTTGACTTCAGTGCCCTAGACAATCCCGACATCCTGGAGAGCTTCGATTTTGACACTTTCCTCAACACCGATGCAGACGGGACTGGCTTCGGATTCGACCCCAACATGCCATACTCCACAGATGGTGTTGAGACTGGGGCCGGTGACGGCCTTTGAATGATGAAAAAGTCTTGACGGTTCTCTTCAGGTGTTTAAATCTCCCGATATACCCTTGTTTTGTGTACATTTTTTTCTTCTCTCGATTTAACGTGCGTTCTGATGTTCCCGCGGATACTCGATACTCGATGCTCGATTCTCGCCTCTGTTTATTCATGTCCCACTCTTTCGCGCGCATGTGTGTATGCATGCAAAATGTGAGATTGGCGTTGGTGTACTTTGTGGTGTTCGCATTAACCCATTTATCTCTTTCCAGAGTTTTCAGAGCCAGCCTCCAGTGCTGAGAACCTCATTCCTGTATTCGAGAATAGTTGCACTGTGACCTACGAGTTTTTGCTTCTCTTCTCTCTCTTTATTACTATTTTACCTTATTCCTCGTGTGGTTACTTAATTCTTGCTCATGGCCCCCTCCATGTTCAGTATCCCAGCTCTACGCTGCTCTTTTGCCCTTTAACTGAACCCTGATCTTTGCTTCCAATTTCTTCTGTGATCTTGACCTTCATTTCCGTTTTCATCTTTTACTTTTATCCTTCTTCTTTATAACCTTCAGCACCACGCTGCTCTCTTTTAAATCATTTTCTCTTTTCTTTTTTTTCTTCCATCTCCTCTTCCAATTTTGCTCACTTCGAAAACCTTCAATCAACAAAATGAAATCGAACCGACTCAATTGAGGGAATCATAGGGGGGATTTTCAACCAGAACATTTGACTTGACTTGGATGGAGATGAGGGCTTATAAGGGATGATATGTGAACGAGTGAATATCACTCGGGTGTTGTGCAGTTGGATACCTAGCGGAACTGGATTTTCGCAATGCTGTCTTTTTCATGTTTGGGATCTGATTGAGCTCAAATGTTCGGGATTCTAGATGGACTGTAAGGAGTAAAATTATTTTACATTGAATGATTGACATTATGGAATGGTGTTTCCCGAATAAGGAGTCGGATTTCGGTAGAAAGGGTTACGATGTGTCGATTCGTGATCAAGTGATCGAACCTCAAAGAAACACTTCAGATTGTTTTTTGTCGATCCAACTTACTGGATGTTATATGTACTGTAAGACCTACAGGTGACCTTATTTTCTTGAAACAAAATGGTGAATTTCTAGACCAAACAATTTTATAATCATGGGCAAGTTAAAAGTCGATCAATCCCAGCAAAAGCATCAAAGTACATCATGTCCATAAGACATTACCCCCGAAACCGATCCTCAATTTCCAGTTCCAAGCCACGCAGAAGAGGAAGTTCATTACGATATTCATCGCTGTTGAGCGAGATTTCCGCATCTTCTCTGAGAAATTGCAGCAGATATACGATCACCTTCTGAACACCCAAGGCATGGGCTTCATTGTGTGACATTCGTTGAATTTCAGCCAGCCAGACAGGGCTTGCACGGCACAAGTATGGATTGTTCGAGTCGAAAGAGGCACGGACGACATGAGGAAATCGTGGACAGGCTTGGAGGTTTGGAAATTGTTTGATTTCTGGAATGCCGATCTTGAGAGCATGGCAGAATCCTGAATCATGAAGTGGTTACTCAAGGTCCACGTGGGAATCCCAGCGTCAATACTTACGTTCCAGTAATCTCCAGTAAGAGGCAGTGGCATGAAGTTTTCGTAATGCAGTCTCAACTGTCTTGAGCAAGGACAGCTTATCTTCGGCCTTCTCTTCTTCTTGGGGGAGCTGAGGAAGTCGATTTTTCAGCAGCGGAATGAGGTTTGAATTGGGTCTTGGAGGGACTGGAGATGGCTTGGGGATCCGGCCAGTTGTCGTGGCCTGCTGCATCGGAGAACTTGAAGTCTGCTTTGCCTTTTTTTGAGACCGTTTCTTGGGCTGCTTAATAAGGGAGCTCTTATTCTTTTTCCATCGTCTTCTTCTTGGTCCTCTCTTCATGACCTTTTGTAGCTGCACTGGAGATAAAGTATCCGGAGCCTGAGCCTGGGCCGTTGGAAGCCGATTTTGGCATGTACAATTCATCATCAAGCGCTGTAGGTCATCTTCGAGAGAATTAGTAAAGTCCTGCACGAGAGAAAGAGGCAAATCCTCATTCGCAATAGGCTCCGTGAATGGTTTGACATCGGACAAATGCATCGGTGGATCAGGCGATTCTGGACCTGATGTCACCTCAGCGATGAGAAGCTGGTGCACTGCAATATGGGCCACTGTATTCCGAGCTTCTCCCAAAGTGATGCACTGTCGGGCAGAGCGGAAAACCTGGCCTCTCACAATAACATCGCAAAAGTACTGAGTCCCCAAAAGGCCCTCCACGTACTCGGGTTCCTGGAACCCCTGGGCCTGGCAGTAGTCTGACTGGAAGTTAGCATGATTGTAGAACCTCCGACTTGCTGATCACCGTCCCCGAGGCAGATTGTTCACTGCAAAATCAGGGAATACTTACCTTGAAGTATCTGTATCCAGCTCCATTCAGGTCCAGAGGGTCCATCCATAGGCTGGGGTGGGAGAATCCAACCCGAATGGAACTTGCGCAGCTTTTCAAGGCAACGACGGCAAGCAATGACCCGCACGGCGTTGACATCCTCTGAGACAGGCTCGACGACCACCGTGTGACCATAGATCTGGAGTCGAACTCCGATCTTCCCATCAAGTCCATACTTGTATGTGAAGCAAGGTCGGAGGTTAGCCATGACTCCGAGGATGCCAAATACGAACAGAATCGTGGCTGATGTCATCTTCTTGACGTCAATAGATCCGAGTCGGGCCTCGAGAACATGTGAGTAACATTCTATGACTAGGAGTAACACGTACCGGTCCCGAAGTGACATTGGATTCCGTGATCTGTCCCTTCTCAAGCCGAGCCAACGGATCTTCAATTGAAGAATGTCCCACAGAAATCCCCGGAAGCTGAGAGGTCAACATCGAGGCAGATGACGGTGACTCTGGCTTAAGAGCGAGAGAGAGTTGAGGAAAAATATGGCTCGGGTTAGCATCTTCGTCTTCCTGCACATGCTGAGGAACACGGACAATCTGAACTGCAAGAGGATACTGAGAATATCCAGAGTTGTAGAAAGGAGGAGGATGTCCAGTAGATCCAACCTCCTGAACAGACGAAGAGTCATAAACAGAGACACCTTGAAAAGAAAGTCTTCGATCAGACCCAGGCTCATTTTCAACAATGTCCACATTGTAAATTTCTTTCGAAGCGCCCAGGTCCTGAACAGACTCAGAAGTCTGCACAGACGCAGAATAATGAGTAGACTCATCGTGCACATCTTCAATGTGTATGGAGTCTGGAACCTTCACTGACAGAGATCCACTCCTCAATGGAGTGAACATTTTTTGTAAGGAAAATAAATCCGCTCAAGAATAAACAAGGGAAGGGGAGAGGGGAAGTGAAGAAGAGAAAGGGAAATCGACGAAATACAAACAAGATGTTGAACAAATCTACATTGAGAAGGAGCCATACACCCGAATTCACATCAGGAATCAACAAAGAATTAAGTGAAACAGGAAAGACACAACAGGACACAACAGGCCAATTAGTGCATACGTTCTGTGATGCATGCTTGTTCACTCCGGTAGAAATATATTATACAAATAAGCCGGTAAAAGTAAAGCCGACTGGAAAGTCACCCAAAGAACAACAAGCACGCAGAAGACCGCCCGGACCGCAGACCTACAGCGTGGAGGAGATAGAAACAGTATCCTCATTGTGTCCTGAAACCTCACGACTGTTCTCCTTGACAGTTTCGGCAACCAGTTGGGCGGGCTTCTTAGGGGTCTCCTGAGTATCATCCAGAATGATAATCTCCTTCCTGCTCTTCATGTTCCCACTGGGGCTTAGGCCGAGCTTTGCTAGGTTGACGGTCGCCGATGGAGTGTTGGAGGGAGCGCGGACACCGCCAACTTTGGTTGGGGTGAGCGCCTGTATCAACATGTTGTATTGATCGTCGTCCATGTGGACTTGCTCGTAGCTGTTTCCAGCATCGCTTGAAATGGCGCGGCTGCTGGCTGAGCTACTGGAGTAATCAGGCATGGGGATATCTTCGCGAGAGGATCGGGCGCCACGCTGGCTCCAGCCACGCTCATACTCACGCTCGTTGAAGAGTGATGTTGGAACGGCGAATGGTTCAGAGAAACGGGGGTTGACGTTGGCGTATCGAGGGTCTTGATCACTCCACGCCTGAGGAAGGGGGAAAGGTCTATTCTGTGCCCAGGGATTATAACTTGGTGGGACACTGGGCTGGTTTATAAATAAAGGACGTGTTCCAGACTTGGAGGGAGAGTGACCATGATCGTCGGCTGCCTTGGGCTCAATGGTATCGGTATACTTGAAGGTGGGTCGAGGAGGCGCCCACATAGATGGGTTGGGCCAGGCGATGTTGGAGTATTCGAGGATATCTGAACACCCATGTGAGCAAAATCCAGGAGAGCAGAACAGACGACTGACGGAGTGGAGCATGTTGAAAAGAGAACATGATGACATCTTTGATCCTTTCAAAAGGAGGCGAGCGATGAGGACGAGAGAATCCTTCGGCAATAATGAGACGAATGCGACCGTTTGAATCGCCTGCATCCCAGTGGCGCTGATCCAAGATCTCGCGGTGGAAAGGAGGAAAACGGAGGGCATCCTGATTGCCGTCGCGGTCGATGTGAGAACTGAGGTCTTGGAAGGTCAACAAAGGACTATCAACAACCAAGAACAAAACACTCACCGATCACATAAGGCCACTGGGTTCGCTGAGAGAAGAAGCCACCCCTGAAGAGTCAGTCAAGTTCAGACGAGGAGCTTCAGTACTCACGCAACACATTGCTGATCCACAAACACGCGCGCTTCATACATGAGCAAGTCATCTGGCTGCATCATGCCCTCGATGAGACGAGACGGACGAGGTCTCTCCCAAGAGTGTATAGAGAAGCGAAAAGGGCTGTCCTTGGCCATGCTGGGAATGAAAGTGGTGAGAACAGGAAGCTGGCCATAATTACCTTGGATAGGATAGTAAGAATGGCCGGACGATACACTTTGCAGGTAAGGGGACTCCTTATCTTTTATAACGAAGCACTGGGTCTTGAACTCTTGCAAGGGCACCTTGGTGCCCTCGGAAAAGATGAGAACATCCCAATTTTCGTAACGCATGATGGTCTGGACGAAGATGAAGGAGAGATGCGCAAAGATTCAGAAAGATATGAAAGTTCATGGGAAGGAGACAACCCCTAAGGTAGGAACGACTCCCACAATGATACCTTCTACATGTCATCCTGGACGTGTCTAGAGGGCAAGACCCCTTGAAAAGAAGATCAAAAGTTTTCAATGCTTTCAATTGTTTGGAAATATGTCTAGCGAGGCGTAGGGGCTCACCATCACCGTTGTGAGGGACTCACGGGATCCATGGAAAACATTTATCAAGAGCTTTGAGAACGTTGGTCATATCTCAATGGATCTTGGCCTAGGATTGCAGCAGTCACGTTCGGATGGAGTCCATAGACATCAAGACAGAGACACGAAATCCTACATCAAAAAAATCAAGGCAACATTGGAATCAATTTCTCTTCCCTCAAAAGACAAACTCAGCGAAAGGGGGGAATCATCCGGCAAAACGCCTCCAGAGCGCACCTCGGCCAAGAATTACAGTACGGGCCTCTCTCCGTTTCTCTCGGAACCAGAAACAAACATCAGCTACACGCATAAGCATCGCCGGCTCATCATCTTCATCAAAACCCAAACATGACAAAGAGGTGTTGTACATTCTAGCAACCAAAAGAAAGAACAACACAACTCAGCGAACATAAAATTCAATTTGGCTTGCTCGATGTGACGGAACAAAGGAAAGGGGAAAGTGGAACTTTTCGCAGAATGCCTGCCCAAGGAGTATAGAGTAAAGAAGAAACGCATGAACAGTACGGACTTTCGTTACACGCGAACAGGACCCCCTAGGGCCGGGAGGAATCGTGAAAAAGAAAATAACAGCATAGCATAAGTGTTTGGAGAGGGACGTTGAGATAAAGAAAAAGAGGAAGCAGATACGATGGGGTAGGTGGAATACAGAAAGTTAAAAAGTGTTCGGGGAAAAGAAAAAAAGGAAAAAAATCCGGGTGAACATAAAGGGGGGAAAGAAAAATTGGGAGCTCAGATCTTGCTAAGATAAAAGCGCTCAGGGAAATGCGTAGCACAGGGACGTAGGAGAAAGATGCTCATCAAGAGCTATAGAGGAGCGCTCAGACTCGGCAAAAGGGAACTCAGGAATAGCAAATTTGTCATGACACAAAGGACCCATCATTGGAATGACGCAAACAACTCCTGCTGGTGCTTTCAATCAAAGGAACGCTTACTGGAGAGAGAAGAAATGAGTCAGCCGACCGAGCCTGTAACTCAAGAGTGTTCGGGGGCCGGGCTGCCGGGGTGGCTGCTAACCTTCATCGGGGCAAACCCGCCATACTGGTGGGCCGGGGCATGCCCATGGAGGGGTACATGGGAGGAGGCGGGGGAGCCGGGCGATAAGGGCTGCCAGCGGGACCAGAGTTGTTCTGGGAACGACCCCAGCTCAAACGCACGCGAGAGTTGCCGATGGGGTATCCCTGCATCTGGTTGATGGCCATCTCGGCAGCGTGGCGCTGGACGAACTGGACGAAGCCGCAGCCCTTTCCAGGGGGGGATCTTGACGTAGGTGATCTCACCGAAGCCCTGGAAGAAAGAGCGGAGCTCATCCTCGGTCACGTAGCCCGACAGACCACCGACGAAGACGGTGGTGTTGTTGGGGTCGGTGAACTGGTTCATGGGCTGAGGAGCACCGTAGAAGCCCATGGGGGGACCGCCCATCGGGGGGTACATGCCGGCAGGGCCGGGCATGCCCATGTTGGCAGCACCAACACCGGGACCCTTGTTCTTGGGGGTGGCAGTGGAGATGCGCATGGGGCGGTTGCCGCAGTAGACACCCTGCATTTCGGTGAGAGCACGCTGCTGGTCGTTCTCATCAGAGAAGCGAACGAAACCGTAGCCACGGGACATGCCGCTGATGGGATCGGTCATGATCTTGGCGGACTTGCACGAGGGGAAGCGGCTCTGGAAGAGCGAGACAAGGACATATTCGTTGACCTCGGGGCCGAGGTCACCAACGAAGATGGAGTACTCAGGACCACGGTCGTCGCGGCTAAGAAGAGTCAATATCAAGCTGTGTCAAAATTTCATGGCTAATTGTTTCTCACCTGCGGTCAGCGAGGCCGCCACCGGTAGCCCAGTTCAGCTTGAAGACCCGATTGGTGTTGGGCATGGGGGTGCCGTTCAGGGAGAGAGCCTTCGCAGCAGCGGCCGGGGAGGAGAAATCGACGAAGCAGTATCCAGCATTGCTCCTACTACCAACATTAGGACCTAGGTGTCTCGTATTGGGGGTGGGAGAAATGGTCTAGTCTTACCCAGAGAACTTGTCGCGGATCATCTTGACGTTGACCTGCTCGCCCATCTGGAACCACAGGTTGCGAATGAAGTTCTCGTCAATCCAGGGCTCAAGCTCACCCATCCTGGAATTAGGAGATTAGCATTCGCAGACGGAGACTACCGGATCGGGTCAAGAGAAGACGTACCAGAGGGTGGTCTTGCCATCAGCACCCTGCTGGGGAACGGGGGCACCAGCATTGGGCTCACCAGGAGCGGGACCCTGGAAACCAGCGCCCTCAGCGGTGCCAGCCATAGCAGTGTCGGCGGGAGCCGGAGCACCGGCAGCGGCGGCAGCGTCCTGGTTGGGGAAAGAATCAAAGTTCTGGAAAGACATCTTGAAAGCGAAATTCGAAAAAGTCGACGTAAGAATATAAAACGGTCTGCGACTGAAACTTCGTGGAGTCGTTAAAAAAAGACCGTAAGATCAAGCACACGTCGTGATGAATCCAGGAACAAAGGACGTGAAAGTTATCTGTGCCGAACCAGAGAGAGCGTTAGAATTTCTTTGTTCTTGGATTATAGCGCAAGCTAAATGAAAAAAAAAAATGAACGAAAGTCCGTGAATGACGCCTCGAAATGCAGAGTGGAGTGGGGAAAGAGATCGTGGACACGAGAGCCGAAGAGATTTGGGGGCCGAGCGAAGGCGGAATGAAGCGATTTCAGGCAGAGATCGCTAGATGGATATCGGGCGCGTGGAAGTGCCGGGAATCGCCAAGATCAATTTTCCTGGGAGGAAAAACAGCGCAGTTGATCAGGGACGGAGAGAGTCGTCGCTGGGACAGGTAGGGGAGGAGACAGGGCGATCGAAAGCAAGTTGCGCGTGAAGCGATGGGTCCGATGCGCCGGCCGTTTCCGTCTTCCCAGCGTCCCAGCGTCTCAGTGCCCCATCGATTGCGACCGTCCACCACGCAACACTCCACTCGCAGCCCACTCAACCGATGCGACCGCGACAGGTTTTCCGATCAGGGCGAAGGGCGTTGATGGACGAGGTGGAAGCCCGGGGGAGCAACAGCGAGGATGGGGCGGCGCGACCATCCGATGTGAACCCGAAAAAGCTGGATTCACCCGACGGATCTCGATCTCGATCTCCTTCTCATTCTCTCGAGCGCATGATATCGCTCATCGTTGGGCGAAGGCATCGATGACGATGCGCAATGAAGGGCAGGGCGGGGGGGAAGGAGGAGGGTGGGCGACTCACCAGGAAACAGAAGCTCGATAAACTAAAACAGAGCGTCTGAAAAAGCACAACTCCCGATGCGCAAGAACGAAATCCGCAAACCGTGGGAACAATAGGAAAGGGGAAGAGTGTAGGAGGGGGAAAGCGATGAAGAATGAAATCTCAGATTCTGATGAGGGGGGAAGACTGAGTGGGCTCGTCTGGTACGCCGTGATACGGCGTATGGTATTGCTGTTATTTTACATGATCTCACATATGCGGGGATTCGTCTTACTCTGTTCCAGGATCTCGGGATTACCATCAGAGTATGTATTATTGATTTGAAGTCTAGCTAGTGCTTTGCTATATTGCTGTTTCATCTAGTAGAAGTTGGAGATGCCGATCTAGGGTACAATTTGAGCCGTCTACCTCTGGACCTTAGGTATATGTCGTCGACCTAAGACCGAGGAATCTAAGGCAAGGTGCCTAAAAGGGAGGAGCAAGGACCTGCCGCCTTCCTTGCAATGTGACTCGTCCAAAGAGCGCCCGTAGGCCTTATCGGTGCGATCGAGATGAATCTTAGCAGAGCGTTCCTAGCTCCCAGGCAGGGACTCTCCTAGGGTCTCGGGCACTTAGTGATTCAGTGATGCATACCTATCCTCGGTGCCGAGATTCGAATTCATTACTTACACGAACCTAATGACGACGCGGACCGGAAAACCTGCAGACAAACGGCTCAAGCTCCACATGCCATTCTGTATGGAGTACAGAGCACAGAGCACAGAGTTCAGCGTACTCAGTCTTCATCCCCAAGTTATAGTCGTACATGACCTGCATCTTCTGGAAGCAAGGCGCTTCTCAGATCCATGTCCTTTCGCCCAAGGCAAGGGATCGATACGTCACCCGCGTCACGTAAACCAGAACCATGGGACCGTGGTTTAGCAGTATTAGGTTGGGCTGGTTGGGCTCGTATCGCAATTACGCACAGATTCCCGAGCTGTTTAACTCCGGATTTCTCGCTTGGGACGCGTTTTCGGGTTTTCAGGTTTGCAAGGGATCTACTGCCTAGCCTAGTCCTAGTCCATCCGGTACGTTTGCCCTGCCCTTTCCACCCTAGTGATATCGTAATTGAAGGCGGACCTGGCCTGTACTCGAGCTCTTATACTCCATAATTTGTACTTGGTATTCCGGACCTCCGTACTCTACACTTCTGAAGTAACCTATGTGGATAGCCGACCCTGCAGCATTCAGCACCCAGCACTGCAGCACTGCAGCTGGTGCAATCAACGCGCTCGCTCAACTTGGGCATATTAATAATGACGCGAACCATGGAACACAGCTTCGCAGCCCACCATGCCCTACTCACACGCAGTGCACCTCTAACCGTCCGCTGAATCTCACCATAACACTGGCAAAGAAAATGGGAAACTGGAAACACAAGAAAAACATGAGCAAAGCTAGCAGAAACAGGAATTCAGAATACATTCAGCTTGTAGGTGGCTCAGGCGCGAGGCTGAGTCCCCAAGCCAGGCTCCACATTCAGGGCTCGCATCCACACTAGTTTGCGACCTTCTATCCAAAGAGCGCGCTGGAACTCGCTTCTCTCAATACACAGTATTTTGCATACAACGGTCCTGGTGCATACTGCTTCTTACATGTAACTTTACTCTTTGTACCTGATTGCACCCCACTGCGTTCTTTTTTTGGGCAGTGCCTTACCTTTTCCTTTTCTAGAAGGTTCGTGGTGGACCCTAAGTGTATCCAGATCGGATAATACTAGATTCACATGGATTCATAATCAATGCATTGCTCTGGGTCCCGTGTCCTAGATTTTTCCCAGAACTGAACATGACCAAACCAAGTTTGTGGGCTTACTCGCACCTGTGCTAAAACTAAAATTGAAGACTAAAACTAAAGTATCCTAGGATGTCTCGTAAGCTAGCTCCGAGCTGCATTCCTGCAGTAATTAGCTACCGTATCCTCGGAACCAGGGCTAACTCATACACATCCGTTAAATCCATCCCCACCGGCAGATATACTTCACACCTCATATATCCCGAATCCCTGGATAATTCCAGGAAAAGGAATCCGTATCCCCACGCATGCTAGGTTAATATAAAAATAAAAAGACCTCACATTCTCATTCTCATACCTCATGACTCAGACAAGTCAAACTACAACCCGTCCCCCATACCATATTCATCGCCCCTTCCCCAAAATATTCAATTATCCCAAATCGAAATCAACCCAGAATCAACCCAGCCCCTCCCCTTCCCCTTCTAATAACATAAGCACCCCATCATAAACCCTCGCAACATCCTCCAACCAAGGCTGCTCCTCCTCCTCATCCTCCTCATCCGGCAACATCCCAAATACCGTATTCCTAGTCGTCTCCGCTAAACTTCGAATCCTAACCTTCTGCGTCTGCGTCACGAACTGCCTGTGGTCCCGAGCACCAGGAATCTCCTCATTCGTAAGCGGATGGCGCCCTGTGCACAAGGCGACGAAGACGGAGTCGAATTTGTGAAGGATTTCTAGAGTCGGGTAGGGATCGAAGGGGTATGTTTTGAGGGATTTTTCAAGAAGGCCTGCTAGGGTGAGAAGGGCTTCTGTTTGGATTGATGCTATATTCCATATTCGGATTGGGTTAGATGAAGTGTTCAATGGTACTGGTGGTAATGGGTGGGGGAATTGTGCTGGGCTGGACATACGCGTCGCCGAGACCCATAACATGTCAATCAGAGTATTGATATCATAAGCTAATTCTTCAAAACTCTTGTAGCGGCGTTCGGCGGGAGCTAAGTCTGTGTCTGTGTCGATGCCCATTTCGGCTTTCATTTGGCGGTAGGTGATCCGGTCTAGGCCGGCGGTTAGGCGGCCGCGAAGTTGAGTTTCTTCTTCTGAGCCGGGGGTTGCTGGGTGGTCTCTTTGCCTTGGAAGAGAAAGAGTTGGTGTCCATGGGACATGAGATATGTTGTTTTGGGGCTGGGTTTGGCTTTGGCGTTGACTGGGTTGGGAGAGGACGTCTTCAAATTCGACGTTTGAGTCGGAGTCCGGGTCGGCGCTGGGCATTTTGATGTATTTTTGTGGGTAGCGATAGGTGTGAAGATTTCGAGGTCCGTAAGATGAAGTATTTTGATGCTTTTGTAGAGCTTGGAGAGTCGATAGAGAAGAATCCTCGAGCTATTTAAAGCTGGAAGGTGTGAGAGATATTGCCGAATGTCATCACCTTGAAGCTTCGGAGTGGGGTATCTCTAAATCGACGTTAAGGTGGGGCAGTCACGGTTTGTATGCAGCTAAATGCAGACTTTAAAATTGTTGAACATCCACATTCATTGAAGCTCAGAATGTACAGAGAGATGATTTAGTGGGATGTCATGCCAAGCCTTGGTCTGTGCGGGGCCCGACAGTTCATGGACTTGTGTTATTTCACGACTATGTCAGGAATCTATACGTGTGTGAAAAACTGGATTTGAATGTGTAATACACTTTGATATCTCCCACCGTATCTGTGTTTTACGCCAACAGATAGGCAATACAATAACTCATCACTGAATCAATGTCAAAATCATCAGCATCCGCCTTCAAATCAATGCAAGACTCCAACAAAACCGACTCCATTCAGAAGGTGAGAAGATTATTTTAATGCTGGTGTTTGATGGCATGGCAGACAGCGAACAAAGCGCGTCTCGCTACACTGGCCCCAGCTCGTTCATCCCGGAAGACAAGGGTCCAAAAGAAAAACAGAACCAAACTTACTGCAAAAAGGACTTTTCAGAACAGTCCAGCAGAACTCCCAAAACGCCATGCTGATGCGGTATCTCACTCTGGCTGTAAATGTAAAAAGGAACTAGTTAGCACAATCCCGAAATCCGCTCATCTCAAGAGGAAAAGAAAAAACTCACGCGAATCTTTCCCCTCCGATCCCTCATATCCCTCAACTTCCTCTTATCCTCATCGAATCTCCTCAGCAATTGGTTCTGCCTCTCCTTCCTCTTCTCCCTAGACTGGAAGCGATAGAAGTCCTCCAAGCCCGCCGCCTTCTTCTTCTGCCTCTCAACCAACTCCTTCATCTCATCCTCCCTGGCAATAGAGTTAAGCTTAGGCCCATGCACAACAGTGACGAAGCCATCCTCGTCCGGCTCCGCAAGACGCTTCGTCTCCTCCCTCTTGCGCGCCTCGGACACCGCCTCGAAGACGGTCATGAACTCATTGACTGTACGCAAGAGTGTTGCGCGGTCTGGGTACCGCAAGCGCTCGTGTGCGATGTATCGCTGAAGTCCGAGAGGTGGGACACGGTCTGAGGGGAGACCTTCGCCCCAGACGATGGAAGTTCCTTTTCTAGCAGCCTTTGAGGCTGCCTTCAAGCTTGATTCCATGGAAGGGACATCGGGGAAGAAGACGATAGCGTGAGCCCCAGATTTTTGAAGTTCTCGGTTCCATGTTGATGGGAGCCAGATATTTTCTAGTTGGGACTGGAGGTCGTCGGCCGTAATGCGCTTCCGTTTCTTATGGCGGTGGGCGAGGTTGGAGTCGGTGACGACGGTATTCTTTTTCACGGGAACATCTTCGAAGGAGACTCGCTCGACACGGCCGGCGGAGAGCTGAGTGCCGAAGAGATGGCGGATGTGGGCTTCTGTTGCGTCGATGGGCACGTTGACGAGGAAGAGGCAGCGAGACGAGTCCGGGGTTGGGACTCTGGGCTCGTGGGGGCGGAGGTAAACGTAGTGGGTCGCTGGTATTTTGTCGGAGGGGAGCTGAAGTGGGAGGGTGGTATACCCGGGGACTTCCACTGTGACTTTCTTCATTCTTGGGGGTGGTTGTTGGATTGCGGAGTCCGTCGAACTTTTTTGAAGTTTTGCGCTTAGCGTGAAATTCTGCCGCATGTCGTGGGCGGCTCTGTAGGCGGTGGAGTGCTCTGAATGTATTAGGGCTTGGAATGGGCTCAAATGTCGTATGAATGCGATGTAAAATCTGCTGAATCTAACTCTACACCTGTATTAATATATGATGGGCGATGCCTATAAATTGGTGGTACTATCGTTCCGAAAATTCCCTTCATTGTCGGTCATTCAGCTCAGACTTTATCAGGATCACTGATGCCCCCGTTGGTAATGATATAAGTGGCCTCACGTTCAGGACAGTCTGCGACATAATCAGTACAAGCAATACGGTAGACAAGGGAGCTTACCAGGCGAATCCTGGATTTTAGCCACGCGCTCCTCCCCCGGCCTTTGCGAAGCAACACCCGGGTCGTCGACGCATGAGCAAGAACATGTCCACCAACAGGCTTGCGCCCATCAGCACCAGCAAAAAGCGCACTAGCACCAGGATCACTTTGAACCTGGTTTGTCTGCGACAAATTAGCAACCCAACCAGCATAATCATCGGGTAAACATACCATCAGAACACAGACATTGAACTCTACATGCAAGTCAGCTCATATCCAAAACTCAAAGATTCCTTCTCAAAGCAGCAAGAAATGTTTCACCTTCAGCCATATGCGCCAGCTTCATCAAAAACTGATTGAGCTTCTGCTGTCTCTCGGCAAGTTCGCCACGTCCACAATAATCAACCCGGAAACAGTTCATAATACTGTCGATCACCAGTAGTCGATAATCACCAGCGGCAAACTCGCGACTGAGTAAATTGAGCAATTCAAGTTGGTGCTCGCTGTTCAGAGCTCGAGCATATGCAATATTCTCCTGCGCGGTGTCAGGATCCACGCCGTAGCGTTCGGCGATTTGGGCGATTCGTTCAGGGCGAAAGGTTCCTTCTGTGTCGATGTAGGCTACTTTTCCGTCCGCGCCTCCCAGGGATTTGGGAAGTTGAGCGACGACAGCCATTGTGTGGGAGAGTTGAGTTTTGCCACAGCGAAATTCGCCGAAGACTTCACTGATGCTCATGCTTTGGAAGCCTCTGGTTTTGTCAGTAAGCTGGATGAACGGAAAGAGAAAAAACTACGCACCCATTGAGGATAGAGTCGAATTGCTTGCTGCCGGTTGAAATGCGAACCACTTTTTTGCGCTGATGGTGAAGTTCCATGGCAGTCATGAAACCTGACGCTGAAGGCTGTATGAACTGATTAGATCGGACGACGAGAGTTGGGGGTTGAATGGGTATACCAGGCACTTCTGGATTGCTTCTTTGACTTTCTCAACTTTAACCTCGCTGAAGCCCTTGATCTTCAGCAGCGTCCTTCGGGTCGCACCATGGACAGACTGTTTTGGTTAGGTGGGTGATACCAACAAAGTGACTGATGCTCACAGCGACAGTGTAGAAGCCATTGGCTTTGAGCTTGGTGATATCGGCTGCACCGATGCCGTGAGATTGGATGGTATCGATGTCGACGATGAAGTCCTGTGCATTGCAGTTAGTTGATGTCTTGAAGGCTCATATTGAACGATGTACATCAACAGTAAACTCGTCGCCAGTGTCTGACCCAGCCATGGTCAAGGTGATGATTTGAGATGGGAAGGCGAAAGAGGAAGATGGGACAAGTCACTGGCGGGATCAAAACACAGCAATGTAGCAAGACAGCAACATTACATCACAAGCTACAAGCTACAAATACATCTACAAAACACACAGTATTCGGAAGTAAGATTTGCGTTTTCATGTTCTCAGCACCGAGGAATCTTCCCATCGGACGGCCCCATCCAACACACTTCAATCCAATTTCTCTCTGCAACCACTCAACCTCACCACCATCATCTCTCGTCTCCTCTCTCCTCGGCCTGGAAAACCGCAATCAAGAGTAGAAATTCATCAATTCGAGAAAGATCATCCATGGGAGATCCAATAGACAAGACGCCAATCATGAGACTTGCTCATCAAGTCAAGGGGGGGCTAGGGCTTCGTGAATCGAAATGGAAACTTTTCTGTTTCGTCGTATACAAACATATGAAAATAATGAAAATAAAACAAGGCCATGACACGGGAATTTGGTCAAATATATGCAAAGGAAAGGAAAAGGAAGGGTGCAGAGACTCCGGAGAGAAGAAAGAACCAATCCCACCCTCACCCCCAAGGGCGAGGGGAGAAGACGGGGAGGAGGTGGATTTCGAAAGTGACCGTAATACAGAATGGAAGAAATGGACTCCGGACATTCCATGGAAATGACACGGTGGTGAGACAGTAGGATATATTCTCAAACAAGTCGCTTAAGCGACAGCAGTGGTAGGAGCCGCAGCCGGGATGGGAGCAGTCTCGGCAGGAGTCTCGACAGTAGCAGCAGCAGCAGCCGCCTCAACAGGAACGGCACCGGGGACGGCCGCATCAGCGACGACATCAACAGTGGGAGTAGCGACCGCCTCAGCGGAGTTGGTAGGGCAGTCACGGGAGATGTGACCGGCCTCGGCGCACTTGTAGCAGACCTTGCCAGCGGAGCTCAAGGGGCCACCGTTGGGCGCGGTGCAGTCACGGGAGATATGACCGAGCTTACCGCAGGCATAGCACTTCATAGCCTGAGCCTGGCAGTCACGGGCGAAGTGGTTGGGGCCACCGCACTTGTAGCAAGTAGCGGCACGGGGGTAGCCTTGGAAGCCGCCACGGAAACCACCCTGGAAGCCACCGCGGTGGCCAGTGGGACGGCCAGCGCCGGGGGCAGCGGGGTTGGTGCAGTTGCGCTGGATAAATCAGTATCAGGGAAACACATTATGGAAGTAGATCGTCCACGTACAGCAAGGTGGCCAGGCTGGCTACAGTTGTAGCAGCGGCCGTTGGCACCACCGTTCAGGCGCAAGGTGGGGCAGTCAGCCTGGACGTGGCCGACGCCCTGGCAGTTGTAGCACTGCTTAGCTGCGTGATGTTAGGAAGAAGCGTTAAAGACGGGCGAGAGTGCCTTACTCTCGGTGGTACGGGGAAGAGGGCAAGCGCTAGACTCATGTCCTGTTTTGAATGTATGAGACACGTTGATCGGCGACGTAGAGGTGTAAATAGACATTAGAATTGGAGGCGAACATACCAGGCTGCTTGCCTATGAAATCACCGTTAGTATTCGTCTTCACAATGGGTCAAAAGAATCACTCACAGTTGTAGCAGAGACGCTCAGAAGACGAGCAGACCTCTACGTCAGTTAGCGGGACCAATTCCAGTATCCAAAAAAAAAACAGATGCAGAACTAACCGGCATAGTGGCCAATGTTGCCACACTTGTAGCACGCACGACGGGACAACATCATCACGAACCTACCGCATTGTTAGTCCTCGGTTCAATCCCAAGCCCGATACCTGCCCAAGCTCGAACAACCCCGCCCCGAACAGAATCCCTCATGCCGCGTCTCGCCACAAATTATTTCCGTTGACTCGCAAATCAGGAAATTTTCCAGAATCAAGTGGTGTGGTCGCAGACTCGGCAGCGCGGGATGGAGGGGAACTGTCGACGATCCGCGGGGTTTCGAGGTTGGAGGTTGAAGGCTGGAATTTGCAGCTGGTCGCAGGCACAGTCGTCAAGGTTCTCACACGTACACTTAGTCAAATCAAATCTTTAAATCTTGTCAGCGAGGCTTAAAATGAGAACCTTGGAGAAATAATGCACGATGTTCACAGCCCACCAAAGAAAAAAAGGCCGCCGGAAAAAGTGGGACGCAGATGAAAATCAACGCACACAACGCAGGAACTTGACTTACCCTCAACAGACACAAACACACACACACACACACCTGAAGACGAAGATGGAGAAGAGCAAAAGAATCCAGAAACCAGCTAAAGAGAAAGTGGGTGCGAACTCGTCAAAAGTTTAGCTCCCGGGCTTTTCCGTATTGCGTAAGGTTGCTGATTCACCGGCCATGTGAAGCTTTGAGTGTCAAGCTGTCAATGTCTTGAATTTAGCTATATCTATAATGTACATTGCGTTTGGCTGCCTTCTTCTCTAGGATGAACCAATTGCTGCCCCTTCATTCCACGTCAAAAGCTACTCGGCTATGTCGATGCAACCTCGCAGATCAAAATGCTTTCATTTCGTCCTTCCAATATCTCTTTAGTACAAGCGCATAAAAATGGACAACAAAATAATCTAGGTTCGCTTTTACTCTTCCCTCTCCAAGATGGCGGGGGCCTTGATCTCCCGTCCCTTGAGGAATTCGAGGTTCTCTCCGCCCTGGTTTTGTTAGTCTTGAATAAGAGAAGACAGGGTTGAGGTTCACTTACGTAGCTGATCAGAGGAGACACCTCAACACCAAACGCCTCAGCCTCAGTAATGACAATGCCGCCAGCAGCCTCGACCCATCGCTGTCCGAGCTTCATAATGTCGTCACGGCTGGTATCGGGGTCATCCTCGCCCGTGCCGCGGGCATTCTTCAACGGGGAGAACTCCTCCTCGCGACGAACTTCAATGCTAGCAAACTTGTCTAGAGGAGTCATGGGGAAGACATCGAAGACGAATTGTTCAAGCTTAATTCCATTAGGCTTCTCAGGCTTGACAGCCTCGCCGTTGTCAGGGTTGACACAGCCAATCTTCTTGCGAGCGACGTGGTGGGGGAGCTTGTGAGCGAAGTTCTCAATGAGACTCGAGGAAGCGGAAAGAGTAGTAGTGGTTGACGATGTTGGCGGCGCGGAACTTGAGAACATCAGGCTGCTTAGGGTCCTTGGCTTCGGCGGTTTCCTTGTCGATCTCGGAATACTCTACGACATCAGGCTTGCCGTTCTTCTGGACGATCAAACCGACGGACTCGGTGGCGTTGCGCTTGCGCACGACCTTGGTGGCGATGTCGACGTCCTTCGCGGCTGAGAAACCCATGAAGACAGGGTCGGCAACCTTCACGAGGCAGTTGTCCACGCCGTACAGGTGGATGTGCTGAATTCCGCGGCGGCGCATGTCCTCACGGGCACCGGAGGTGATGAGGGCCTGGTAGATACCACCGTTTCCATCGGGAGCGACGGCGACCTGTGATTGTTAGCTTGCGTTTCCGGTTGGGGAAATGAAAATATCGCACGTACCTTGCTCTTGCTCTCGAGCATGATCTTGCCTTCATTGGAGATACAGGGGAGCACACCCTGCTCGAAAATGAAGACATTGCTCTTATCCAGACCGAAGTAATTCTTCTCGGCGAAGTATTCCTCAGTGGGCTTGCGGGTAGGACCGCTAGTCATGACATACCAGGGGATGGTGGCAGACTGACCACCATGGGCCTTAGCAGCGAGCTCCTGGAGCTTCAGGATACGCTCAGCCTGGAGTTGGAAGAGAGACTTCTCGCTCAGCAGACCAATGTCGTAGCAACCCTTGGGGGCGGAGCTACCCAGACGGGTACCCTGACCACCAGCCATCAGCACGACGGCGACCTTGTTCTCTGCGACTTGCTTGAGGCCAGCATCGTACCAGCGCTTAATATCGGCGGGGTCAGAGTCGAGGATGGAGGCGGTTGCGGATTCGGGCAGGGGCTCGACGGTGGCAGCGGCGGCTACCTCGGTCTTGGGCGGGTTGAGGGCGGTCTCGGCCAGCTCGTTAATGCGGACGGGATCGAAGTTGGTGAGCTGGTGGAAGAGCCGGGACTTCTCAGCGGTGGGCAATTCATCGATGAAGGCAAAGACCTGGCCCTGGTTGGCGTCATTGTACTTCTTCTGAAGCTGCTGGAACTCCTCGGCTGAGGGCTCGCGGGGAGCTTCCTCGGCGGAGCCCGAAAACTTGTTGATCAAGTTGGAGACGGTTTCTCTGATTGCCGCCATTGTGAATTGAGTGTTTGGGAAAAAGGTGGGGGGGGTTGGGCAGGAGAATAGAAAATGAGGGGGAGGGAAATGTAAATAAAGCGCGGGGTGAAGCTGAAGCTCTACACCGTAAGTTGAGGAATGCAAGTCGCACCCGCATATTATTTTTAGTCTTTTTAGCCCGACCACAAATCAGAAAACTGGAGACGAGCACTAGTCTTGGTCAGTGAGACCTGACCACTCATTAACATGATCTGACTCTTGTGCCCCGCTAGCGGAGCCTGATCCGGATTTACTAGGTTTTGCTACGATTTGGAGACAGGATTGGTACATGGCACATGTTGTATGCTACGTAAAATAAATACACTATATCCTTTTCATCATCATGAAACATTCATCGCCGATCCCTATCGCGCCGGTCCCGTTGTCGGTCTCGGTCACGCCGTGAGTCTCTTCGAGGACTCCGACTGTGTGACCGCCGACGATACCTATCCCGCTCGCCACGAGGACTGCGACTACCTCGTCGATCACGATGTGAGTCTCGGCGAGGACTGCGCTGGATGGGAGGAGGGCCTGACGAGTGGGTTCTCTGCTTCTCCTTCTCTTTGCGCTTGTCGAACATCATCCCGTAGGAACCGTCGTCCTCCTCCACTCGATCGTAATCAGAGTCTCGGTACTGACGTTTCTGCTCAAGATCTGCGACACCACCGAAGCCACCTCGTTGCTTGCGCTTGGTGACAGTGGCATTGCGCCAGCTTTCGGATAATTTAGAGACCTGGACTGGGGTCAGCTTAGCATGGAGAGGGAAGAGGGGTATGACGTACACTCTGTGAGAAGTCGACGTGGATGCGGTGGTCGTCGATCAGCACTCCTTGCATTTTAAAGTAGGCTTGTTCGCAGTCTTTCTGGTTTTCGAACTCGATAAACGCGTACTGCAGGCTGTCACCGGTGCGCTTGTCGCGAATGACCTCACACGACAGAATGGCACCGAAGCGGCTGAAGATGAGGTTGAGGTCCTCGTCTGATGAGCATTAGTAATGTCGCTAGTGCGTAAGCTGTAGAGAGAAAGCCTACCTTGCGTAACCGGGTTCAGTTTACAGACGAACAGCACGTTTTCCGGAGGCTTGACATCGGCGAATGGAAGGTCACCAACCATCTCCAGAGTCAAAGCTTGGGCGCGAGCCTCGCGCTCCCGGCGCAATTTCTCCATAGCCTCTTCATCCATGTCATCGTCCAGATCTTCATCATCTGCGATGCGTACCGTATCCAATTGCGCCTTGGAGGGCACAGGGCTCTCGGGCGGTTCCACCAGACCAGCTGGATCCTCGAACGGATCATCCAGCACGACTGTATGACGGATACGGATATCCTTCAGGGGTCGACCGCGATCATCGATGAAAGCGCTATTGATCTTCTCCAAGACATCGAATCCCTCAACGACCTTGCCAAAGATCGCCGCCTTCCCATCCAGATAGTCCAGATTATCTCCGAGCGTGATCAAAAATTGGCTACCGGCAAGGCGCTGGTCCGGATCGTTGGTCGCAGGCACCGTCGCCATACTCACGGTGCCGCGCTCGGTATGCTTGAGTTTGGGGTGTATCTCCACGGGGAATGTCCTCTTCGCAGGGCCGTCGAGGACTCCCCAGACAGAGGAGCCGCCATCGCTTCCTGGGGCATCGGGGCCCAGAGGATCGCCAGTCTGGAAGGAGAAGTTCTTTTGGACGCTGTGTACGGGAGAGAAATTGTAGTACTTGAGTTTGCACAACTTCAAGAAGCTAAGAAGGGTGAGTAAAGGTGTAGGTGGACTGGACTGGAAGGCGTACTTTTCACAGGCGCGGGGGGGAATCATCGACGAGCAAGTCGATCACAATGTCGCCCAGAGAGGTTTCGAGTAGGGCGCTCATCTTGAGGTGTGCGACTTCAATCGCTGGGCTGATGTCGCAGCTTTGCGCGAGTCAAGATCCGAGCTCGGACCAATCAGATGTCTTAGGGAAGCTGAACTTTGGACCTTTGGAGTTCAGGTTTTATTCCTTGTTGTTCTTCGCCTTTCTTTCTCTTTTTTCCCCTTTGCTTTTCTTGCTTTTTCCTATTCTCCATTTGTCCCACCAGCAGCCTTCAGGAGGATTTAAGGAGGGTTCCCGGATGATCGTTCCGGGCGCTGGTGTAACTTGACTTGCCAATATGGCGGCATATCTTCCGAGTGTCAGGTCTCTCTCTCTCTCTCGATCTGTGTTTGATTCTCCCCCTTTTACTTCCTGACACGAGGGCTCGCCTTGACCTGTCGTACGAAAACGGGGAAGGCAACGGGCGGACTCCTGCAGCGGGCAGAGCTTGCTGTTTTTTTTCTATACACGTGGATCCTTGAGAAGTCTGGTCTTGATCAGGATCGCGAGTCATGGAGGATATTGTTATGCATGGAATGTATTTGAGACTGTCTGTGTCTGCCCCGGCGTGGAGAGTCTAGGTTCCCAGGAGCTCCGGAGGATCAGAAGACGTCAGGGTTAGACGAGAAGGTGTAAACGTGTATTCAATCTCTACGTACCGGCGTTCACACTATGGCCTACTAAGCCCGTGAGATCCAAATGTCATGCATCTTTGGTCCTCCGATTCGCCCTCGTTGCAGATCTCAACTCCGAATCCCCAATAGTTCGCTGGGTTTTCTTTTTCCCCTTCCCCTTTCGATCTACCTGCAGCGCGCTAAAAAAGGCGCCCAAACCGGACCTCATCCATGTTGTCGATCAGGGCGCAACCTTAGCACGATCCTGGTCGGAATTGCTTTTCCAGGGCGCGCTTTGCGGGGCAAAGATCTCGGCGCTTGTTGATCAAAATGACAGGTTGACACCTGCCATTCTTTTCTTTTTTTTCCCCGGCTCTTCCTAGTCTTTGAGAACCGTTGAGACATGGTGGTCTGAGACAGGTCGTTTGCACTATTGACCGAGGAGAATACCCAGCTATCGACACAGAATACAGATTACCGGGCACAGGACGGATATAGACACAGACGTACACACATATATACACACACACACACAAATATACACACGTACAGAGAGCCACACAGAACGCACAGAACGCACAGACAGGAAGGCACACAGACACATAGATAGGTCCAGACCTAAGCCTCAACGTTGTTCTGCTTGCAGGACATGGCACCAATCCAAGTTTCGACCCAGCCTGATGATAGAGCAAACATCACTCGAACGGCCCACCAAACGATCCACCAGATTGCAGTGCCGGATCGACGCCAGGGCCTGGCGACAAACGTACGCGGCAGGCTTCCATTGCCTACTGTTCCTGGATCTCGGTCCAAGCACGCCCCGGTATAGCCCTAGTACAGCTAGACAGCTAGACCGCCAGCCTCCAAGTCCAAGCCCAAGCCCAAGTCCATGTCAACGTCCAAGGGAAAAAGAGAGATGGGGTTGGCTGAAACATTCCTGGCTCTTTGGCTGGACTTTTCTTCATGGTCATGTCCCGTGTGACGTTACTTTGTGAAACAACGTCTCGAAAAGGCCGGGTCCTGCTGGTCTTGCCTCAGGAAATCTGAATAGGATGCACTACGGTTCCGTGCATATCATTTCCCCTGGGTACACCAAGCAGAAAGGAAGTGTTCGAACGGCTTTGGGTACGGTTTTCCCCGGGGTTTTACGGGGAAAAGGCCTCCCTATTGTAGATGGAAACAAAACATATAAATTACGAAATTACTAAAAAGGGGGGGGGGGAAAGATGAGGGCAATCACACCGATTGTTACCATGATGTGGCCATAAATCGAACCCTACCGCCAGAGACATTCTTTCTCTTTCACTTGTTTCGCCTCCAATCCTCAAAATGACTGGGAACATCTAAGATCTGCTCAAAAAGTCTAGTCAATCGACCCCGGTGTGAAGTGGACTTGAGCGTGCTGACATTCTGCCAGTCATGGATTTCTTCTACTCCACAAAACAGTCCGGCTTTGAGTCCCGAGACTCTTCCCAATACATCTCCCGCTCCATGTGCGGTATGGCTCAAAATGAGCTGGCTGACCGGTCTGCCGGTTGTATCAGCCCTGCGGCCGACGACAGCAAGTTGCGCAATCCTCAGCGACGTCGTGTTCCGGTTGCAGTATGTACCTCTCTTTCACGATCTTAAGCCTCCTCTAACGAGTATAGTGTCGCCGGTGTCGAAAGAGAAAGATCAAGTGCAGTGGCGACACCGGCGATGGCCAGGGTTGCTCTAATTGCCGCGGTGCCGGCAATACGGACTGCCAATTCCTACGAGTAAGTTCGCCTTCAGATTATTTACTGTAGCGCTATAGACTTATTCCATTCAAGGTCCAGTCAGAGAGTCTGGGTACCTTCAGCCAGTTCCCTTATCCTTCCCCAGGAGCAGCGATAGCATCATCTCATCTTGGAGGCATCTTTACACCTCAAGCTACCAGAAAGTCTATGCTTCCGATGGGCTCACCTCAAACTCGTATGACTGGGTTTCCACGGACCCCAGAATTTGACCTGGCTGATTCTCACGTCTTTTCGCGGCCGATAGGCGTGGATTCGATTCCCTACGAGAACGAGCAATCGGTCAACTACAGCCAGTCTCCAGCGTACATGCTCCCCAACGCACCATCAGGGTCGAACATCGACTATGGAACGGCGCCATGGAACCCTAAAATCTGGGATTCTATTTTCAGCAGGCAAAACAATGGAGTCATATACCCAGATCCGGAGACTAACGACTCTCTCAATCAATCTCCCTATTCCTACATGATTCCCAGTCAAGGAATATCGTCGACCGATATTTCTCAGCCCAATTCTGCTGCCATGCCTGTGGTTTCTTCAGCAGAAGGTCCTGGGACGGATCGGACACTTCCAACTCCAACTTGCTCCAGTAATGCAGCAACTCTGAACATTCTTTCACCCGAGCCAAATCTAGTCCAACTCTCTGAGTACAAGGGCAATTATTGGAACCAGCGTGGTGGCACCTCGCCTGACTCACGAATACCCGCCCATACCGTCCCCAGCAACGCACCCAAGTGCACAACCAGCACAGCTCCGAATCTCCTTTTCACCTACGTGCCTATGCCAACAACAACCGACGAAAGAACACCCACTTTATCCACCCCAGCAACAGGCTCCTCCTCATCAACCAGCGCCACGTCATTTACTGGCCTAGATCTCGTCGATCACGAATACAGAAGTATACCTGACGACCGCCATTTATCGCACAAACACAGCGCCGGCCAACGTCTCGCTATGTTAAACGAGTGCACACCCGACATCTACGGCTACAGCAGCGAGAAGAAACCCCGCGACTCAGCAACCCTAATGAACGGCCTCTCCTACCAGCGTGTACGGCATCCAGACACCTCGGGCCCTTTCTCATTCAACATCCTCCCAGATACACTGCCAGAGTATCACCGCGTGGTCGAGAATGTCCATAGGCCCCCCCATCTCACCGCTGGGTAACCATGGCGCTTACTAGTTGACTATGGTAGAGCGGAGTCCATTCCACACCCGTACATTCTCCTGATACGGATATCGACATGTAGACCCCTGTATGCTTCGGGGGGGAATCCGGACCGGCTGAACGATTGGTCCTGCCGCAGCTTGACTAATGTATTTGGGGGCACTTCGTGCTCATGCGGCTTGTTTCCTATTTGCTTTTTTGCCTTTCGCCTTTTACCCTTTAGCATTTGTTCGTTTTCTGCTCTTGTCTACTCCTGTCCCGGTCCGCGGCTCTTTTTGTCTTTTTCTTTCTTCTTGTGCATGTGCTTCAAGTGAGAGTCCCTGTTTCTACCATTTGATTCCCCCTTTGAATCTCCATATTTATTATTTGCTTGCTACGTGCTTGTGTCTTACAAGCCTCGGTCCAAATTTATTTACCGTGCTTGATATGTCTTTACTTGGCTCGGCGGCGGATATCTTTCTATGTTTGACGCAATTGTCAATTCTACTCGAATCACCTAATACCCGGGTCACGTCTCCAATTCCTATACCTCTCATATCCATTCCATACGCTACCTTTGCGCATGTATACGACAATTTCCATGATTGACCATCGTCCTGATCTCTATCCCCTAATATTCATTTCATCTTCCAGAATCTCGCTATCATATCCAGATGAAATATCCCTATCCTAATATCGAGAGGGTCTGCCTCACCGGCCGGTTATTTTTTGATTTGCGGTAATTTGAAATATACTTTGAAGGGATCAGGGTCCCAGGATTGTACTAGCATAAGCGAGAACAAGAAAAACGCGTTGAACAAGTGAGAGCTGAGAGATCCCGAGCATCTTTCATTTTCCAGATCAAACCTCTTCGAGTGGTCACCAATCTCACTCTGCTCTTGAGCGTTCCTCAAAGGTAGATTTGGAGGTAGATAGTCTAAAATGAGGTTCTGTCTATGCCTTTCTTCTTTCCTTATCTCTAGCATCGGGACACCCCATCAGAATCTAGTGTCTAACGTCTCGTGTGCCGATAAGCGGTTCTAAGGCGTGGTCACTCGAAGGGCTATGTCATGGTATATCCGGACGAAGATTAGGTGCATATAGCTTAATACAGAAAATCACGCTCGAAAGAATGATACCTTGTTATATCAAATCATATATAGCAGTCTCAGTCGGCCAAGTCCGAAGGAGGTGGACATAGAGTTTGAGCTGAGTTTCTAACAAACCCAAACTAAACCCAATATATATGACCCATCACCTCTAATCAACCCCAACCACCTTTGAAACGTTCAGTCATTCAAGTTATCACCTTTGCCTATCAGCACGTGTAGAGAGTACAAGACATCAGAATCTCTGTGTAATCCTTTTCTAATTGATCCTGCACAATCTCGACCCCCACACCGGTCTTTGAAGCGGACTCTGCATCTTGTACGTCACGCGCAACTTTCTTGTCTAGAACTCTATCGCTGCAGATGAATATCTTCCGGTGAGGATCCTGGTAAATGTTGAAATAAGTTGAAATAACGTGAAGTGATACTTGGTACTTTGATATTTTGGTATTGGTCTTCGATCTGGATATAATTAACTCTATGAGAGAAATATATGGGAACTTGAATGTACTATGTCAGTATGATAAAGAATATAGATTGGACGTGGGAGATGTATAAAGTCCCAACCCAGTAAACCCTAAGATAGGCTTCGAATCGAGTTGAAAAGAGGCGTGTTGAATGGCTGTATGAGCTATCTCAAGAGATAGACTTGTCTCAATCAGTCTTAGCTTGGGTGTGTCTATGCAGACTCCATATGTCACTGGGTGAAAGATTAGTGCTTGGTTCTTAGTTAGGTGATCGTTAGACAGCGTACGCAAACTACAAACTACCCAAGGGATCTAGACTACGAGAAATCCCCCACCTGTGCGTACGATCCCCGTACGCACAGGTGGGGGATGAAGCACCCAGCACCAGCTACTTCCATTGCTTCTTGTGGACAAGGCAGATAATGCCATCGGTTGAGGTACCCGTCGACACAAGGAAGGCAAGGACTACATCTACACCTCTCAAATGACAGAAACAAAAATATGTATTTCATACCCGGGCAACAGCCGAAGCCCGGATTCTCATATCCCTTTTGATCCACGACGCCTTTGGGGAATCATCGATGGATGCAAGATCCTAACAAAGGCGGTTTCAGTTTCAACCACCTCCAGGAAAGATGGCCGAGTCCGAACAATTTTTGAAGTTTTTGTTTCTGTGTCAGGCAGGCCACCCTTCCCCACACCACCCATTCCAGAAGAAACCGGAACTGAAATAGATGGGCCACCGGACCACCGTCATCGCCATAATCATTACAGGTGAGACGTTTAGTCCTTGGACTTCTTGGGGCCCTTGGTCTTGGCAGTACCGCGGAACTTCTTGGAGCGGTTCTTCCGTTGCTTGCCTGTGTGGTTGTTAGACTTGTCCTAGATGAATGCAATATGAAGGGAGACGCACGCTGCTGGCGGGAAGCCTTCTCGATCTTGTCGGCGACACCGATACGGACGAGGCGGTAGTGGGGCTCGAACTTCTTCAGGGCCTCGCGGAGTCGTAGACGAGGGCGAAGCCGGTGGACTTGCCACCACCGTACTGTGTGCGGAAACCGAAGACGGAGACCTGGTCCTTGTTGGACTTGTACAGGTCGGCCAACTTCTCGCGGAGCTCATCCTTGGAGACGTTGGGGCGGTTGGGGTGGAGGACGTCCCTGGAAAAACAGAGATGTCAGTCGCGCGGTCATTAATTCGGTGTGTATATGTGTAGATGAGTGTTTGAGAATGCGATCGTGGTGGTCGTGTGTCGGAAAATGGTGTTTGTGTGCTCGGAGTCCAATTCTCAAAATCCTCCTCAAAAATGTCGCGAATCGAGGGGAATGGAAGGGGAAGCTTACACGACCATCTGCTTACGGGCAAGCAGAGGGTTGCGGATGAACTTGCGAGTCCGCAGAGTAACGGGAGTGTCGGCCATTTTGGTGGTGAGTGGTGATGCAAGAAAGGGAAGGGAGTGAATGTCGACTTTCAATTTTCGTGCGGTGCGCTCGGCTACGCGGTGCCACTAGCCCCGTTTGGGAAGGCTGACCTAAGTGATTAGTCAACTATCATTTAGATTGACACCTGAGGAAAGAGGCTTATTGAATCTTATCGATAAGAGATAGCGCTTCCTTATCGTCTCAAATTATCTTCAAGTCTTTCCCATCGACTGCGTGGGGTTAGCCATGGCGGACTCAATTCGCACACTAGCTGTGCAGTACTTCCAGCTAGTTGATCCGCCCAACCTGGCACTACCACCGGGCAATGTTCTCGTTCACCCAGCCGTACAGCAAGCCATATACGAGCAAATGTTCGACGAAACGCTCACCCCACTCCCGCCAGTCACGTACCGGACAAGAGTCTTGAAGCAGATCATCGCGCGAATTGAAGAAGCGATCACAGACCCAGAAAAAGATGTATGCCAAACCCTCTCCTATAGTTACAAGATAATGCCAAACGAAATTGAAACCCCGACTAACATACTCAGGAAATACTCGATAGCCTAATGGAAAGCTGGGGCAACCTAGTAATCCTCCCCAAACCCTCCGCCCTCGAACAAGCCCAACAACTATCCTCAATAAAATACACCGCGCCTATACAACCCCAAAACTCAACCTCAGCCACCAACGAACGAACAATCAACATCCTCGAATCCCGAGGCCTCATCCTCTCCGGCGGCACAACAGGAAATAGAACCTGGGAAGCAGCCCTCCACCTAGGCTCATTCCTCTCCACACCAACCGGAATGGCCCTAATCCACGACAAACGAGTAATCGAGCTCGGTGCGGGAACAGGGTTTCTCTCTCTTTTCTGCGCGCGTCATCTAGGCGTGAAGGGCGTTGTTGCAACAGATCGCGAGCTATTCCTTATTGAAAATATGCGCGCGTGCGCGAGACTCAATCGCACGGATGAAGATGGTGATATACCCTTTTACCCGGCAATTTGGGATTGGGGAACAACCCTTGAAAAGACAGAGGAAATGAATTCAATGACTGGAGGCGGGAAGTTGGAATTTGATGTTGCGCTTGGAGCTGATTTGGTATTTTCCCTTTTCACATTCACTCCCTTATCCCCATACTCCATCTCATGTAAGTTTTTTTGGTCGATAATGGCGATGCTAATTTCAAAATTCAGATCTACGATACAGACCTCGTCCCCCTTCTAATCTCAACCGTCCAAGACCTATTCTCGAATTACGGGGTCAGTCAATTTATTATTGCTGCGACGTTGCGGAATGAGAATACATTCCGGACCTTCCTTGATGCGTGCGAAGGAAATGCATTCAAGGTTGAGATGTTGCCGTTTGAGTCTACTGCGTCGGAGGAACAGACTGGGTTTTTCCATTCGACGAGTATTCCGATTCATACGTATTTGATTTCGAGGGCGTGAGCTGGAAAAGATGGGAAGGAGGTGTGATTTTGTAGACGAATACCCAGTTGAATTGATTCTTGAGCTGCTTGTACCTGGTATTGGATACTCTTCTGGGTAGATATATCTATGGAAACAAATAGAAAGACCACAACCGTAAAGGAGGGTTTAGAGCTAGTTGCCAGGTGGTCAGAAGATAATCAAATGGGTCTATACAGTGTTTATTGATGTGTGACGGCTTTGGATTCATCGCTGCCGCTCTGCGTAGATACGGACCATATAATGATGAAGAAAGAACATTTGGATTATTGTTATTTTTGATACATACAAAACCCGACAGCCTGTGTCGTACAGCTGGTGAACTCAAAGGAAACCAACGAATGTGGGTATCATGGATTGCGAATCAAGACATCATGCTCGCAGCTATACAGACCAATAGAGGTCGAACTGAATGAGGGGTATAATGCAAGGGAAAACAGGGATAGTAGCCTGTGTTCTATGTGCAGGATCGAGAATCACTCGGCGAGAGTTTCCCCTTAAAAGTTCTTCATCTACGCCTTGTGGATGGATGCGGATGGGAGGTTGAGGCGGAGGGCGAAGGCCCATTATGGGACCTTTTTGGTTCACGCCTGGATAGCGGAAACGGAGAGGATTGTGGGTTGGATTTGCCTTGAGGGTTGGAGTTGATGATCTAGGCGCTATATCCGTAGTAGGAGCCGGCGCTGGCGCTGGCGTTGTTGTCGGTATTGAATCAGAACCAACGTCAGATTCGGGAGGATGGATTTCGTCTGAAGTTGGAGCCATGCCCCAACGACCGAGGACCCAGCCTCCGACGCGGCGGCTCAGGGTTGCTGGTTTGCGCGGACCTAGGGTTGCAGTGGAGCTTGTGCTGTTGCTATCTGCTGATGCAATGGAAGCGGACTCCGAAGTAAGATTGTTTCCCGCGGCCATGGAAGCTAGCAACGAGCGAGAGGACTGATCAGGTGCTCTTGCGCGGTCTGCGATGATGATCGGAGCGGAGAGGACGGGTGGAGTCGAGAGCAGCTCGATACTGGGAGAGACGATGCGTTGGGGGATGCGCATGCCGGGGTGCCAGTCACCCATGCGTGATCGGCGGTTTGTGGGTGTGTGTATGTCCATGCCTGCTACTGAGAGAAGACTGTCGTGGGACGCGGACTTTCGGAGACTATATTGCATTTGCAAGTCGAAGACATTTTCAGAGTGGTCTGTGATGGCCTGGGAGTAGTCCCCTGTTGGGGACGATTCTGATTCTTCGGGGATAGAGGGATGATGGTTGATGCTCTCGCCTAAATTGAGGAAGCCTGAACGGTCGTTTTGGTCTTCATTCAAGAGACTCAAATTATCTGGTGGATCCATCATGGGACGGGTTGGCAAGTCGAAGGCTTTGAAGTTGCGCGCTGCCATTAGAGGTGAAGAGAAGACGGTGCTTTCAGGGCTGGTAGGTTGGGAGAATTCGGATCCACGGTCAATGCGGTCGAAGATGGATGATGATTGGAATGCGGATTGCGGAGAACTTGCTAATGAGCTTGCTGGAGGTGTTTGCAGGGACCAGCGGCGAGATTGCGGTGGGATCGAGACGGATGTTTGGGACAAAATAGTGTTCATAGATGAGCCAGAGGACTGAGAGCGATGAATGGAGCGACGGGGGGAGTTTCCCATAGCAGAATGTAGAGCTACAGGGCTTCCGAGAAGAGGACGTCTCTTCTTCACGCGTCGGTTGAGTGTAGCTTTGTCCTTTTTCGAAGATGTTGGTGGGTGATAGTGGTGATGGATATGGAACTCCTGTGACACACGGCGTTCCTTTAAATCTTCCTCTTTCGATTCCAGTTCTTCGCTCAGGGTCGTGGATGCAGAGAACTCGTTTCCATCTTCACCAATACCGGCCAGCGGTTGGTGATACATGACTTGATCCCGAAGATTTTGGACCTCGTTATTCGAACTCTCAAGCATTTCCCGCAACTCCATGATTCCGACCTGCAGATTCGCATTGTCCTGCAGGATATCCTTGACGAAGCGCGAGACCACATTGGTTCCCGGATTCCCCGATGCAGCAGCCGCGCCTTTTAGACGTCCAGCCGCATTGTCCAGTTCGCGCTCAACGATTCTCTTGCGCTCCATACGCTCCACAACCTCCTCATGCCTCTGACGCTCTTGCCTCGCCTCAGCCTCGATGCGCTCCACCTGATCCTCAAGATCTCTCAGAGTAACTTGCGCATTTCTCCATCTTTGCATAGCGCTCTTCTCATCCTCCTGCACGTTGGCCAAACTCTGCTGCAATCTCTCCTGTTCCGTTTCCATGAGCACAATCTGCGCCTCCAAATCCGCCGCTCTGGCGGCAGCAACAGTCAACACCCTCAACTCAGCTTGCGTATTTTCCAGCATAGCCGTAAGTGACTTGATAGTCTCATCGGACTCAGTCACCGACATATTAAGACCCTCGAGCTGCTCAAGTAACGCGCGATTCTCTTCAACAATACGCGTATTCTCCGCCTGGACAGCATGTTTCTCGCGTTCCAGCATATCGACGCTGTCCAGGAGACTTTGGCGGTCTTTTTCCGCCTCGGCCATGTAACTCTCATGACGGTGCAGCAGAGCCTGTAATGAAAACGTCAGCGACGAGGAGCCTAGACAATCTTCCTTCGGAGCATAATCGACACAAGTAAAGGCCATCACGGACGCCAAAGCAGCGAGTAAGGACGGGCGAGTCCATAGAAAAGTCAGGCATAGGTGGCCCAAGAATGGTGTAGAGCAGAGAAACAAAGCATGGGAGGAGAGATCAAGAGAGCGCCATAACCCAGATTCGACCCAGAGCCCAGGAATGACAAGAAAAAAGAAAAAGAAGATAAATCAGACATGCAGCTCTCAGCTCAGCCATCTCCCATACCGCCGATCCCCAAAATGAATACATCATACATAAAAAAGAAAAGAAAAAGCTCCAACATACCTGACCAAGTCTAGCAGCATTAGCAAGATCCTTCTCCAACCCCATCAGCGCAACATTATTATGCTCTAGCAGCGCACAGTCATCCCTGCCGCAACAGCAGCGCAGTGAGGGCGTGTTTTCGCTCTCATGCGCTGGAATGCTGGGGAACAAGTCCCGATCGGTATCCATGACGGGAATGTGACCCCCTGGAAAAAGGGGGTTTCTTGCATCCGATAGCAGTCCGCCTTGTTTACTGTACTTGACTGGGGCGGGGATGCAGTGTACAAGTCGCAAGACGGGGAAGTCCCGGCGTTTGGGCAGTTTGGGCAGCTGATTAGTGTAAAGTGCTCTGGGATCGGACCTCGGATGAGTAGCCTGCTTATGTAAGGCACACAGATTTCCTGATAGGGAGGTGGCGGAGGCTATAGATTGAAAGAGGAGGATAATAAGAGTGACCGTTAGATGAAGGAATCGAGAGGAGAGTAGTGAAGGGTGATATTTCCAGCCTTACTCGAATATTGAATGTGGCGAGGATCATCTCGGGTTAGAGCATTCTAAGTATCCCTTCAGGTACAAAGTACGAGGGATCCAATCTGTACCCAACCTTATTCGCGACCCGACCTGATAAGAAATCGACATCTATTTTTATTGGTAAGACTCACCAGTTGGTCTCAATTTCTGAAGTCTGATTGGCATCTCTACTACATTGTTGACTCGCTGTGCAGAAGTAGACGGCAAATTAATCAAGTACGCTAGAGCATTGGTGGGCTGGGTACAAATCAAACATTCTGGCTATCACGCAAGAAAGTAAGGAAGAGAATTAAAAGAGAATCAAATGGACTCAATGCATTCAAAACCCCAGATATCAAAGATAGTAAAACCCCCCCCCAGCGCCGATGGAACCGAGCCGCAAACCGCAACCCTCAAGCCTCAAAGCAAAATGTCATTTCGAACATTGATGAACGCCCCAGCGCCGCCGTCTTCACTGATCTCGTTTACTAGGACCTCTGTTTGCTGGTATAAACGCTCTAGAGCCGCAGAAGATGATTTTCCTAATGAGACTGTACACCGGTAGATTAGTTATCCATCCTATCCTTGGAATAGTGGAAACTAGCGTCAGAACATACCTAAAATCGCCGAGTTCAACTCCTCAGCAACAGCGACTCTCCCCGAGGGATCAAGATAATGACCATGTACCGAGCGCTTCGGATCAGAGTATGCAACCAGTGAAAAGATATCGTCCAGCATCTTCTTATCACCGCCATCCTCATCAGACGGATAATCCATCCTTAATTGCTGACCGTACTGCACCGCCTCGGTGAGTAGTTCATTGATCCGCGCTGTGGTCTCAGGCTCCTCGGTATCCATGCCATCTGCGCCCCAGGTTCCGTCATCGAGTTCCATTTCCTGATCGAAGACGGCATGCTCGTCGGGGATGCTTTGGGAGGAGCGTTTGTTTGGTTCCGGCGCGGAGAGCTCATTGTAGCGGCGCATTACTTCGAGAAATTTGCGGCAGCGGAGCTTGAAGTGGATGTGGGGGTAGTCTTCAAGGACGTTGGCGTAATAGGCTTTGGTGTGTTTGAGAGCTTTGTCAATGTCGCCATCAAGGATGGCGGCGCGGATTTCTGGGTGTGTTAGTGCTTGGTCTTCCACTTGTGGAGGAGAGCTTACTGTTACGGTTGATCGCTTCTCGGTCCTCTTCCACTTCGTATTTCTTCAGTGGTTCTTGCTGGCCATTTTGCAGCGCTGCTGTTTCGGTGGCAACCTCTTCGGCGAATGCACGCGCAGTCTCCACGTAGCCATCATGGGCGAGAAATTGAGCAACGAGTTCCTGAAGAAGTGTTGACTCAACCAGCGGGGGTTGTAAATCATCGGTGCTGGTGTTGTTGATCTCAGCCTGTATCGACGCTCTTTCTTGCTAGGAGGTTGTTAGCTTCACGTCAAAATGAAAATCCACAGAAAGTTCATCATCACATACCCTGACCATGCCGTCGATATCGAACACAAATGGTTCCTGTCCAAAGTTCGCTTTCAAATGTACGGGCGGCTGCTTCTTCATACCGACCGACGGATAGAGCTTCACATTGCGCAGATCATGAAAAGCGTTGCCTTTTGCTGTCAGTTCTCCTTCTGAAATTCGGGGGTTGCGAATGACGGGGTGCATACCCAAAAAGACGCCGTTCTTGGTAAAGAAAGCTGATCCGGTGGAGAAGTTGACTCCACATCCGACGGTATCTCCAACACCAAAAGTTGGCCCATATGAACGACCCTGTCCCTGACTCTCGCCAAAAAACGACTTGCCGTCGTCGCCGTGATAGGCCCAGGATTCCTGCTCCCAGCCAGGGAGTCTCTCAACGGAAGCTTTGGTACTCGAGAATCCGATACCGATCATTCTGGTTCATCGTCAGCATAATCTTCAAACTACCGGCAAATACATAATCATTCCAACATACCCCTCTTTCGGCTTCGACTCGATCTTTATCTCAAAGTAGTATATACCACATTGTGGCGGCATGGGATTATCCGCCCTTAGCGCCGCAGCTTCATGGTCGTGTTTGTGGACCGGGCCCGTGTATCGCACGTCGAGAGCATCATTCGATAGCTCCAACCCAGCATATTTATCCGATGAACTCCACTGACTCGGCAGAGGTGTGAGGGGGTCTGCTGTGGGGGGAGGCTCCTTCTCGATGATCTCGTAGGTCATGCCACGATGGGACGGGGCCATGCGGGGAAGATGAACATTGCTAGACGAGGTGGAGAGGGGCGGATTAGAAGCGGAAGTTGTGGAGGAGGTCTCGCGCTGCTGAGCTAGCTTAGCTCGATGAGCGGCGTCGAGGCGATGGATGTAGCGAGAGTTGCGAAGGTAGGAGGGGGTGAAAAAGGTCGGACCATCGGTCAAGCCGAGCGGGTTGTATTCGATCGGGCGCAGGTAGCTCGCATACTTGCGTGAGTATGGAGGCAGGGCATCGGGCGATGAGTTGGATCTCCAGACTGGGTTGAGCTGCATGTCTGAATCGAAGCCCCGGTGAAACCGGCCGTCGGGCAGAGAGGGCGGCGGGTAGGAAGATACGGGGTTCGAGTTGATTAGATGGGAGAAAGAGCTAGAGATCGGGGGAGAGAAAGCGGTGCCCGAGACGACGGAGGCGTAGGAGGAGCGGCCCTGGCCGGAGGTGTATGGAGCTCCTCGAGCTCCACCGGGGACAGGAACGTCGGCCATGTCGGTCACACCCTGAATTCACGACTTACCAAGGCGAAAATGAATCTTGGACTTTTTCTTTCTTTGGATTTCCTGAGAGGTTTGCTGACGTTGCGTGACAAGCGGGTCATCTGGTGACCGGAAGCAGCGAAAGGCCGCAACAGCCACGATCACAATCACGATCAACCGCGAAAGCTGCGGAAAATCAAAATGAATTGAAAGCAGAGAAAAACAACCGTTGAGCTTGACTGCGGGGAAAATCCGGGTGCAAGAAAAGGAGGGGAGATTGTCACGAGGGCCCCTCCCCAATGTGTCTATGAACTTGATTTCACTGCTTTCCACTGTTGATTCAAATCCATCTGCGTAATGTACGTATCTTTGGATAATTTTGCATTACATTGGCCTCGATTAGCGAGTACTCGAGCAGCAAGCCCTTATCATAGTTGACACCTAACTACGGAGCTTGTCACAAGACAGAACCATTTGTTATGCAGCGCTATGGTACCATCCACAGCAACCCAGATCCAGTCCAATAGAGAATAAAAACGTATCCGAGCCCAAACCCCAAACTATAATACAAAGAGTGCCCAAAATCCTGCCAAAGAAATGCCCGATAGCTTCCAGCTTCGGAACATGCGAGCCCAGACCCTCACACCAAAAGCCATATCACTTCCAAGACGCCGCTCCATAATCCAAAACCGAAACAAAGTATGCTCGTAGAGAGAGGGAAAAGATAAACCAAAAATAGGAACAAGAGAGCTGAAACCACCAAGAGAAAAGAAAAGAAACAAAGGAGGCGGAAAAACTAATGTACAACCTCCCCGGTGCCCTTATGCAGCCATAGCGATGGCAGGCGAAGAAGGCCCGACAATATTTGATGGAGCAGGTGTGCTATCTCCATCACCCGAATTGCTCTTCTCACTGGGAACGGCACTGCTGCCATTGAGGGTATCGGTACCCGGAGCAGTGAGTCCAGCCTTGGTGTCACTATCTCCGCTCTCCAGGACATCAACCTTGGACTCGACAGACTCGGACTTGCTGAAGCTGTGACCGCGCCATGAAGGCAGCTGCCAGAGAATACCGGTAAAACTTCTTAACTTCAAAGGCTGACGCTCCCATTTGCGACAGGGGGCACCAGTACGGTCGAGAGCGCGAAGCCCGGCATTGATAGCGCCAGTGTTGGCCTTGGGACCTAGTCGAGTCGCAGCCGCGACCTTGGCAGCATCGCCACCTTCTTCCCTGTGGTATGTTAGTATTGTTCTTGTTCTCGATTGACGAGGCAGCTTACAGTCGCGGCTTCTTCTTGGGCCCGGGTCTACCCCTAGCTCGCGAGCTAGGCTCAGTCTGTCCGTTTGCCCGCTTATTACCAGGCTTAGGACCGGGAACTCCCTTCCGACGTGGGGTGTCAGCTGGAGTAGTCCCAGCTGCTGGAGTCGAGTTTGCATCGGCGTTGGAGTCATTGTCGGCAGAGGAAGGGCGGACGGCCGGTACTTCGGTTGATGAGGCCGGGGAGAAGCGTTCGACACCCTTGGCCGGGGGGGGATAGGTGCGAGAGTTTGTTGTCGGTGGCATTGTCCATGAAGGACTGCAGCATGTCTGGGGACAGCTTCAGGGTGACGACTAGCGAGCTGGGAGGATTTTTGGAGCCCTTAGAGCGACCGTTGGGGGTTGAGCCAGCGGGCATGATGGCGGAGCGACGGGGCGCGATGTTGGCCTTGAAGAGAGAATCTCAATCTCGGAAGGGATTAAAGATGGTAAGGCGTAAGGGCGGCGATCGTGACGTGGTCCACCGCCCGGGCTATTTTCAGCTGTATGTAGATGGGTTCGAATTCACGAGGCTGAAGTGATGATGATGATCACGGAGGGAGGGGAAGAAGGAAGGGAGCAAGATGGGGGAATGTGGAACGGGGACACGGGAAGGGGGGAAAGGGAAAGGGACAGTGGATTTCATCTCGTTTAATTTTCTGGATAGCGAAAGGTTCTTGAGAGAGACACAGGAGGTGCGATGTGGTGAGGCCTCGCGTTGTTACCGTATCGGTATTTACCCTCATTGCCTGCGCCATCGGGCGTGGGTTACCGTATTGATACGTCCTCAACAGTGAAACCCGACTTTTGCTTCATTCTATCCCGATGAGATCTTTACTCTGTTATTTTTGTTTATTGATCCTATTATACTCCGGATAATACTCCCTTTTTTTCCCCCATTCTTGAGCATCTCTTGATATTCAATCCTCTATTCAAGTCGTGGAAGTGGACAAGCCCAACTTATTCCCTGGTCCGTGGATGGATCTCATTCCTGACTCCGCCGAATCCCGAAATGGCTCACTAGTGGTTCCCGGACAGTTTCGCAATAGCCTGATCAAAGCCTGTATGGGCCATACGCCCGCCTTACACTCGTCACAAAGACCTTGCAAGTGACCCAACGCGCCACTTCGGGGGCGAGATGCGAGATGAGAATAGTGTGACGCCTGACGGCTCTACACGGATTTGATCATCCGAGAGTCCTCCGGTCGAATCATTGAAGCACGGCAATGTATATTTCGGTACAAAGTCTAATCTACGAGGTCAAAAACTCAGCCCTACTCAGCCTTCTCCATCTTGCGCCGTTCTGCGACCTGCGCGACGGCGCGCTGTACCTCAGGACTCGATCGCACTCCGCCCAGGATCAGCCCCTCTTTCATCCCGCGGCGTAGCGCAGACACACTCTCGCGATCGCCTCGGAACGGCGCCAGGCCGACTCCCAGCATCCGCGTGGCCTCGAAGTCGGCCTGCCGCGTTCCTGCAACTAGTTGGCCCATTCGTTGCATGGTCTGTAGCGAGATCTTGTCTTCACCGGCGGCAGTGCGGGCGCTCGGCGGCGCAACCTGGGAGATGAAGATGTGAAGTAGAATGGATGCACGACGGGCTAGAGTCAGTGTCTGGAAGGGAAGAAGGTGGAAAGCTGGCTGGGGCATCCAGGCCCATAGCCATGTGGGGAGGTAGGCTGCAGGCATGAAGGCAGCCTGGGGATGGGTGATAAGAGCAAGTTCAAGGGTCAACATGGCGGCAAAGGTATAGAAACGCCACTGTAGAGAATGTCACTGTTAATGCTTGTTCTCAAAGTAGCCGAATCACTCAGGAAGTATGAAGCCGGGATCACTCACGTAGCGTCCCCAGTTGGCCCACCACAGCCAATTTAACACCAGCATGGTCACGAAACCTCCGATATAGTGCGGGACCAGAGACCGAGTAAAAGATACGGTGATGAAGTCGCGCATAGTCTTCTGGTCACCCCAATTGAGCATGTCTGGCCCAAAGCGGTCGTATGCAAATCGCTTCACTGGGTTCGCCAGTGTTTCCTGAGCTTGGCGCAGGTACATGAAATAAGCATCCGCGCCGTTGTCCACGCCAATTTTGTCAGGGTGGTGTTGGGCAGCTAGTCGGCGGAACTTTGACTTGATCGTGCGCTCGTCGGCGAAGGGTGATACTCCCAGTGCTTGGTAGAAGTCTCCCGCAAGTTGCACTTGGTGGAAGGTTTCGTACAGAGTGTAGAGAAGGTAACTTGTGACCACAAAGATAAAGATACGGCGACGGTGGACATCGTGTCGCGGGGTTCCTGGCATTGGACGAGGCTCGCCGGCACGGATGGTAATGCCATAGTAAACAGTCTGGAGGATCGCGGTTGCGTACTAAAATGTGTTAGCACAAACTTTCAGGAGAACCGTCCACATCAGGGGTCCACTTACATTGGGCAGAACAGCCCACCCGATGTAAGGGAGCACCGAGGCCATGGCAGTTGACCTCCTAAATTCACCAACTCCCAAAGTGTCTGAGATGCCAAGCTGGCTGAGGATCGCCCCAAACCCCGGCGGTTAACGGCGTCACCGCCCTTTCTTACCGCCTTCCTTTCACAGCGCAAAATGAAGAAGAAAAAAAGTTCTCGAAGTCTTCGAACCATAAAAAAAAGATCAACCATCCACCTTAAATACAGCTCCGCGGAGCCCCAATTGCGCCATGGCCGTCGACGCAATGGATATTGATACATCACCCCGGACAATAGACGAGCGCAAACGCAAGTCTAAGATCAAGGACGCCTCACCAACGAAAAAGCGCAAGGCCGAGAAGAGCAAGAAAGATGAATCCACGACGGCCTCAACCTCGAACTTCGAGTCCCCATTCTCTCTCACTACAGCTACATTGTACCTTCCGCTTTCGCCCATCTCCATCTCGGCCTCCCATGCGCAGAATTCACTCGTGGCAGAGCACCTCTCGCCGCTGCTCTTGACCTACTACCCACCATTGAAAGGTATCGTCATGGCTTTCTCCCAGGTCTCTATCGCCAGTCATCCACCATCATCCAAGCCGCGCCACTCAGGCGACCCGAACCCAAAGCCTTTGACGCTCGCCAAAACCGCCGATGAATACGGCGTGCTCTACGTCTATCTGACAGCAACCTTCCTCGTCTTCCGTCCCCGACGAGGCCAGATCCTCGACGGCTGGGTGAATGTTCAGTCGGAGGGATTCCTTGGCGCCGTCGTCTTCAATTTGTTCTCCGTGGGCATTGAACGCAAACGCCTCCCGACAAACTGGCGCTGGGTTCCGCCGGGCGAAGACGGCGAAGTACCCGAATCTGCTGGGAACGGAAACATGACCACAGATGATGAGTCTGGCACTCAGCGCGCACCACCAGGCTTTGACGCCGCCAAGGAACAATTCCAGCCCGCCCCACTGGCTGCCGACGAGCTGGATATTGACGGCGCAGACGAGGACGAGGAGGCTGCAGGTCACTTCCAGTCTGTATCTGGGCACAAGGTGCGCGGAAATGTGAAATTCCGTGTTGTGGATATTGATGTCATTCCTGGCTCGGAACGGGAGCGCGGGTTCATCAGTATCGAGGGGACGATGCTCACCCCGGAGGAAGAGGAGAACTTGGTGCAGGCCGAGAACAAGGGCCAGTCATTGCCTCCTTCGTTCCTAAACACTCCCGTTACAAAAACTACTCGGGTGATCCCCATTTCGAAAGAGCCGAGTGCGGCGAACTTTTCAAAGGCGGAGCTCGAGCCAGAGGTGACAGCCAAGAAGGAGAAGAAAGAGAAGAAGGAGAAAAAGGAGAAAAAGGAAAAGAAAGAGACAAAGGAAAAGAAGTCCAAGTCCAAGAAGGAGAAATAGAGGCTGTATGCATATCTTTTCGTGTTTCATTCGGCGGGCGTTCGGACTATATAAGAATTCCTTCAATCAACGTGTACATGCAATGTCCATTTGTCATTCTATTGCTTCCAATCCATATTAAAGACTTCAATCTTGAATCTTAGATCTTCAGAACATCAACACCGCTCTGTACCTCCTTCTTCCCAACCATCTTCCCCTCTCTCATCAACTCCGCACACTTCACCATAATCGGATCCATGCCCATGGTAGCAACCGCAACCACCGTCTCTCCCTTGGTGTAATAAGCCGTGAATTTCCCACTCTCAGGCTGCACCAGCACCACATCATCAAACCCGTTCCCGGTATTTCCACAATACCTCATCTGGCCTCCAACCGCACTCCAGAACACGGGAATAAAGTCCTTGACACCCACGCTCCTCACATCGTTCCGTTGCGCATGAGCAATGGCCCGGCCAACACTGCGTCCGGCATTCTGAGCGACATTCCAGTGTTCGATGCGCACCGGTTTGCCCTCTCCTCCAGGCCCGTTGTAAGGATAAGTCGCAATATCACCAATGGCAAAGATATCATCATGTCCACGAAGAAGGAAGTACTCATCCGTCGCCACCGACCCATCTTCCTCGAGCGCAATCCCACTCCCTTTCAAATAATCCGTAGCAGGTCTCACCCCAACACCTAAGATCACCACATCCGCCGGAAGAACCGTACCATCTTTCAAGTGAACCGCACCAACATCTTTCCCGCCCTCACTCGCCGTAGCCTTATCAACCGAAGCACCCAGTTTGAAGACAACACCATTCTTCTCCAGATTCTCCTGGAAGATCTTCCCAACTTGCGCACCCATGATCCGTTCCATGGGAACGTTCTCCATCCCAACAACAGTCACATCGTATTCCTTGCCTCGCAAAGCATTCCCGACTTCCATGCCAATGAACGAGCTTCCAATGACAACAACCTTGGGCTTCTCCTTCTTTTCCAGAGCAGAGAGGATCTCCTGTACATTATCCACACTACGCAATGTAAACACATTCCCCAGATCGAAGCCAGGAAGCGGAAGTCTGCGCGGGATTCCACCCGTCGCGAGCACGAGTTTCGTATACGGGATACTCTTTCCGGATTTGGTCGATACAGATTTCGACTCCAGATTGATCGATGTGACTTCGTCGACGAGAGTGGTGATCCCGGCGTCGGCGAACCATTGTTCTGGGCGGAGAGTTATCTTTGACGCGTCGGGGATGAGAGCTTTGGAGAGCTTTGGGCGGTCGATGGGGATTGATTCTTTGGAGATGCTTGTGATATTGCCTGAGAATTTCAGGGCACGGAGAGTTTGAAGGGTCGAGATTGTGCCGGAGCCTCTGATTTGGATGTTAGATTGTGTTTCAAATTCATGGCCATATACTATAATGGATATATGGGAATGGGGATAAAAGACGAACCCTCCAATAATGACGACCTTCTCCTCACTAGAAACAGAACACTTTCCAACGGGGTTCCGGTGTCCGGATTTAATATCATTCTCTGTACCGAGAATATAGACAGCGCCGTTCTTTTCTGGACCTCGAATTTGGTGAGTGAGTTCAGGGCTGGCGCGTCTTCGACGTCGCCGGTTGAGATATTGTAGCAGGCTATTTTTTTTTAACATCAAAGGTTAGTTATCGTACTCTTGCGTCCTCCTTTCGTAAACGGGGTAAAAAAACCCCCCATGAAACATACCACCGTGCCAGGGACAAGTCAGTCGACCATTAGCTCCAACAACGCCGTTCTTCAACGGAGCACCGTAGTGCGAGCACTTAGGGGTAAGGGCGTGGACTTTGCCATCGTAGTTTACAAGAAGGACTTTTCCATCCTGGACGCCTTCAACCTCAACCTCGATCTTGTCGTTGGGGGGCGAGGGAGGAGAGGGAAGTGAAGTCCTTGAGTTTGAATTCTTGGGACATTGTCGAGATGGTTCTGGTTCTTGTGCTTGTTTGGAATGTTGGACGTGGTAGATTTGAGGGAATCAATGAGCGGGTTACACTGTGGAAAGGTGCTCTGGGTTGGATGGGATTGACTCTGGCGATGGAGCTAGGAAGACGGAAATGGGCACAGCAAGAACACGGGCATGGATTAGCGGAGCGACAGCCACACCGACAAGTCCGGACTCGTGAGACGGTGATTGGTAAAGCTGGACGTGGACGTGGACGTGGCAGGGAGCGGGGGAGTGTGAGGGGCATTGGGATGCTATGGGAGGGGGGTGCATATCAACAGGAATGAAATAGTGGGAATGGGTTTAGGGTATGACTGATACGGCATTCAACCTTAGAAAATATCATACGAGTCTGCTAGCCAGGGCAATTGGGATCGGGTTTCATTCGATTTCACTCGATTTCACGATATACTTCGGTGACATCACGGTGAGACCAAGAGGCCAATCAGAAACCCCGGATGGTCACCAAAATCCTGCATTCTACTTGGTCCGCTGAGCTATGCAGCGACCTTGGCCTAGGCCGATCGGATGGGTTCGATCTTCGATCCCACTTGGAGTGATGATGTAGTTCGGATGCTTTGGTAGAAATATAGCGAGTGTACATAGGTGATATCCCGGCGTGACGCCTAGATAAGGTACAAAAGAATGACTAGTAAATACAGGGCTTGTATAGCCCAAATAGATAAGAGGAAGAGTTTAGAACTTCCGCGACAATCGCTTCTTCTTCTTCTTCTTGCTCGCTTTGTTGATCTCGGGACTGACGCTCACTTCTACGCGCTGCATCGTGTCCGTTGAAGCGCGAGTTGGTCGGTCCGATGTCTGTGGGGGATTGTCGTCCCCGTCGGCTATGGATAACCCGGTCACGTCGATCTTGGTCTTGCGAGTCGATTGGCTTGTTCCTGCCGAAGGGCTGGTCAGGTCGATGACTTCTGACAATTGTGAGCCGTTGGGCAGAGGCGAAGAGACGGGTTTCTTGGAGCGTGTCGAGGCAGCAGGTGCTTCGGAGGCCTCTATGCTGGCTTTCTGAGACCGAGATCGCTGGGCACTGGGGGGCGGCATGCGTGAGGAGTGTGAGGAGCGCGAGCTGGATGGAGGGGATGGTTGGGTCAGATGGAGGCTTTGCTCACTGTGGACCAGGCTATCATGGTCCTCGAGGTCCTCATCTTCCTTGTCGTGGTCTGTGTTGTCCTGGTCTGGATTTCTGCTTCTTAGCATGCCCAAAAGACTTTCCCAGGAGGCTGGTCCCTTGGGCGTGCCAGTCATGGGATGCTTCGGGCTGGAAGCGGTGCTGCGAGCGGGTGTCGACTTTCCCGAGTGACTTTTCGCTAGTGGGACCACGGACAACAGCGAGTCAGTGCCGCCAGATCCATTTGCAACGAACAGCGGCTCGTCAAAAACCTGGCGATTCTGCTGCTGGCTTTGAGGAGGGTATGGGGAGACAGATTGGTTGGCAGATAGAAATGACAGAGCCGAGTAGTCCGGATTGGGATTCTCCAAAACAGACGGTTCTTGTTCGATCAGAGTATGGCCGTCGAGGTTCACTTCGTCATTGCGGCGATTGAAACGACCGCTTAGCCTTGTCCCGGGAGAAGAGAACGCGGAATGAAAGCCAGAGAAGGAAGGCGAAGGCACAGCAGGTGTATCACTGTGCTCGTCATCCGCATCCAGACCTTGCATGTGTAGGCCTTGCGAGCGTAAAAGTCGACCATCGCCAGGGGTCTGGACCAAGGGCACGTCTGACCTCGCCGGCGACCCAACCTGACTAGCGGCGGTCACGAGCGTGACAAAAGTGGTTTCGTCCAGTTCCATATCAGCTGGATCGGGAGCGACGCCCTGGGCATTCGGCATGGAGTCCGCGACTACGGAAACACTTTGAATGGGTAAGCGCATGAAATCCAGACCGTTTCAGTTCACTGACATGCTACCTTCTGGCGCGTCTTGGTCCCCCGTGTCCTCATCGATAACTTGAGGCGCCGGTCGTAGAAGCTTCGGATCGCTCAGCTCTGCAAATGCAAGCTCGCGATAGCCATCATCCTCCTCCTCGTCAAATCCTGGCATCTCGAATCCGGCGTACTCGCGGGGCTCATCATCCTCGTCGACGGGTGCTTTGGGTCGTCGATCGCGGATTGCAAGTCGCACATTGATCGTCCCATTACCCATGATTTCGTGAACCTCGGCGACTCGGTATTCAGACATGCGGGGCTGCCAGTTCGTCGCCTTGGACATATCCAGTTGTCGGAAGGCGATGATTGCTCCGACCTTTACTTCAGATTCAAGCAAGTCTTTAACAGACGCCGGATCCTCAGGCAGAGCCGGGAGGTCAGAAGCGGCCGTTGTGTCGTTCTCTGCATTGGCAGGTTCGTCATCATAGTTGAGTTCCATGCCCTCCTCGTAGGCAGGCCAGTCGTAGTTTGCTTTTTCATACTCTTCCTCTTCTGGATATTCATCTTCGTGGTAGACTTGAATTCTCTGCTTTCTCTTCCGCTTCTTTCCCCAGCCATTTCGCTGGCGAATGAGCGTATCCGCATTCTTGTCCCATCGGTTCTCGAAGGGGAATGGAGGTGAAGTCAACTCGATATCATCGAAAATACATTCGGTAGCTTTGATGATCAGCTTGTTCTCCCAGTCAACTTCCGAGTCACTTTCCTCCTCTTCCCCTTCCTCTTCAGCTGGTTGCGCCTCTGCGTTCTGTCGTCCGGAATTGACTTTGGTAAACTGGGCCGCTAACTTTCGTCGCGTTGCCTCTTCGTCCTCCTTGGTCTTGGGTGTGCGCACCCCAAGAGATCCGAAAAGCAAACGCTTGGAACTGGCGACGTCCAGCTTCCGTCGAGCAGGAGCTTCTTTTGAAGATTTCACTTCAGGTGCTTCGTCTTCTTCAGGAGCAGGCTCTTCAGGCGCAGCTTTCGCTTCCGCTTCAGGCATACTCGTATCAGCAGTTTGAGGTGGAGCATTCTCTTTCTCGGAATGATCATCCACATCCACACCACCAGAAGCAATATCCCGGAGCAACTTCTGTCGCTTGGCTTCGAATTCCCGCTGCTCCTGCTCCTTTTTGGAAATTTTAGTCGATGCTGTGGACAGAACACTCAGCTCGTCAGGTAAAGGTAGATGAGCACCTCCATGCCAGCCTCCATGAGTCTCCTCCCATTCACGCAAAGCATTGAAGTCTGCAGAGGCAGGCAATACACCAAGCTCCTTAAGTTTAGAGAGACGGCGGCGCAACTTGCAGCGCGCATTGCTCTTCTTAGTCCGTACAGAGCCTTTGCCGGGAGCATTAACAATGGGAACATGTGCTGGTGTTGATGTTTCTTCGCCTCCAGACTCAGACTCAGACTCGGACTCGGACTCGGACTCAGACTCGGATGACGAATCATCGGAGCTGGAGTCGGAGCTGGAATCTTCCACTTCGGAAGTATGATGTAGCTTAGTTTCCACGTGCATCGTCCCCTTTTTGGGAGCTGTGTCATTTTTCGCTTCGTTAGTCTCCACATCCTCATCGGATGAGTCTTCTTCCTCTGATGATGTTTCGCTCGGGTCGCTGTAGTCACTTGAGGGGGCTGAGCCTGATTCGGAGTCGGATGTTACGGCAATAGCTTCTTCAGGCTGTTTTGTTTTCATAGCTTCTGACACAGGTTGACCTCCGTTGAATCGTACAGCCTTCGAGACTCTCGGAGAAGAGTCATCTCCACGGGACCGCTTGCTAGAGAGAGACGATGCTCCCACAAGCGACCCCGAGGAATTTGGTCTCTTGTCAGCAGACGAAGGCCTCTTTGCAATTAAACTGGAACGCAGTGCAGGACCACTGGAAGCTTGCGCCTGTGCCTGATTCCTGATATCAATGAATTGAGAGTCGGGCTCCTCAAAGTCTGCCTTCAAGGCCTTGAGCTCAGTATCCAGGTCATCTTCTTCGGGATCGGGGTCCGATGTGTCTTCTCCGCTGTCTGAGCCATCCGAATGATCGATGTGATGCCTGATGACAGTTCCCATTTCAGAGATATCATTATCTGCGGGTAGAACAGAAAGTTCTTTTCCAAAGCCAGTTTCACCGGGCGGAAGCCACTCTCCATCGCCCTCCTCGTCGGCATTAGCATTAGCGTTGTTGCCTCCGTAGTGCAATGTAGAGTCAGGCCCAAAGTCCCAATTAGAGGAGAAAATAGTCCGACGTTTCTTTCTTGGGGGAATGGTAATTGCTGGGCGGGAGGATGTACCCCGCTTCAGATACGGAGACCCAAATGCAACACCATCAATGAGATGCTTGCCATCGGCCGTAATCTGGTCTCGCCCGCACAGTCGGCGTGCACGAAGATCTGCTAGTTGAAGAGCTCGGATACTATAATGCAAGTTAGTCACTGCCCCATATTCACCAAAGTGAACGAGCATCGCGTTGGACCAGGAACACCTACACAACCTCGTCTCCATCACGAAGTAATCCGTCAACCTCCATGAAGTGTAAACACTCCGATCCAGCAACCTCAACCACGTAGTCCTCCAAGCCCCACTGACCCCCGATTTCAGGATCGAACATGCTGGGTTCTGTCTCGAGCGGTACGACCTCATTTACATCCTCGAGGAGTTGCGCGACTGTGTATCCACCATTCGAAAAAGCAAGATTCGGGGTGCGGGTCGAGGCAATGGCCGCCGCAGACGCAGCGCCGTGAGTGCCATATTCCGTGGAAGAGTCGGTGGTCCAGAGAATGCGCGTGGCTGGTAGGCCGTGGCGCGAGATTATAAGGTGAAGGCGCATTGTGCCACGAGGTCGGGTATGTGCGTTATATCATCGAGTCAGGAGGTAGAGGTGAATTTTAGAAATTGGTGTTGGTTGCGCGTGATGTTTTGCAGCTTCTTACAGAAGCGGTGTGGGGTTATTGGGGGTGACACCTCACAATAGAAACGCGCAGGGATATTCAATATGATGGAAGATATTGAAAGATTGTGGAAAGCGTCATACGGGGTGAATGGACAAGACTAGAGTTCGAGCAACTTCCTCGTGCAGCTCCGAAGAACTGAGCTCGGCGTGAAGTTCGCGCTAACCATCTTGGGACGTATGCCTCAGGCGCTACTGATCGGCGCTAAATCGATCTATATTATAATATCCATCATTGTGGACTTGCGAGCGCTTCTCTCTTACTCTATTCAGTCTTTCCTCTGTCACTGGGGATCATCCACATGAAATTGAAAGGTTTATTTGAAGATTGTTAACCTTTGCTGCTAGTGATTCTATCATGATGGCTAGAGGGTTGCTGAGCTGAGCAAAAGGTAAGACCGCCTTCGTAATGTATTATGTAGTTCCTGTTCACAGGATGATCCTCGAACACAGAACCAAAGGACCAAAGGCTTCAAGATGTAGAAGGGTATGAAGGATGCAATTGACGGCAATGGTGCGAGCAACTTTGACCGTAATAGCTGTACGGACCCACTGGGGTGCTTAGGCTCGACCAGTCGAGTCGCAGCTTTCTTAGTCCTATGCAGCATAACAATGATGATGCCAAACTCAGATTTATCTGTCTGCGCTTCGGGGAACTGGCTTTCGACTAGGTACGCCCAGATTCATAGGACGCATATTTGCATGTGACGGCTGGCGATTTACAATCTGAATCCTAGGCTGGTTATCCGCGACTTGTTGGTATTGCGGAGGGCTTTCTTCGTCAACTGGGTTCCGAGAAACTTTCATGATACTTTGGGCTTGTCTGACGGGCGAGGTAGGAGGAGATCCGGATATAGATTCGGGCGGAGTGGTGGGCAACATGTCAAAGGACTCAGAGGACGAGCGGCGTCCCCGTCCACGTTCCCGGGGTAGCGTAGAACCTTCTGCCGCACGGCCATCCTCATGGACCTTATCCGCTTGGACTGGGGATTTAGCATCAGTTCCTGGTTCCACTGTGCTGGCGTCTGGTGGGTGATACTCGCGGCGTGGTCCATCTACCGGGCTTAAGTTATCTGCCATAGCATCCTCGTAGCTGGGAGGGGCGTCATCATATGTGGGCCCAGCTTGAGCTGCGTTTGGGGCTCCGGATGGTCGGGGCGGGATGGCGGGTCTGTTGTTTGTGTCCGGTGAAATTGTTGCTGGTTGTTTGGGAGGGGTTGATTGTGATGCTGCTGCGGCGATGGCTTCCAAAAGGGCCTTAGGGGGAGCGATTCCAGAGTAGACCTTGACTGGCATTCGCAAGGGAAGAACAATGAGCTGGGGCTGCAAAAGTTAGTACATTGTAGGTGAGGACGGTACCTCAAGCGTTACCTTCATATTATAAGCGCTGCCGTGGGTCATGCCGACTCGAACTTCCAACTCATAAGCTCTCTCAATGTTGCAGGTTTCAAATGAGGGGGCCACGGAGTTGGGTAGAGGTACAGTGGCCCATAGCTTCGGATCAAGGGCCCATTCAGTACCCACTGGATCTTCTGGCCTGCCTAGTGGTATTGCCATATTGCTACGACTCATAACGACCCAAGAGGTGCTTTCCTGCCGAGTAAAATCATGCGCCAGGATCTTGGTGTAAGCTATGAGCTCAATTTGCAGCATTTGAAGGAAGATGATGTCCGGTGTATCTGTCAGCTTTTTGACCATGAGACGGAGTGGGACAGGTTCGTTGCAGGTGAGAATAGAAGGATTTGGGAGTCGAGCATCCACAGACACTCGCGGAGGTTCCGAAGTATCCCGGAACGCGTTAGTGCCTCTTGTGAAGATACCCTTTTTCCGGCTCTCCATAGGCTTGGAGAACTGATGTTGCCGTCGAGCATAGGTTTCTTCGTTGGGATCCCCTGTGCGAGGAGGTTCAATGGGAAGGAAGTTGATTGGCACAATCTATAGGAATTAGTCAAATTGGTACAGAATGCGCTTGTATGGAAACTCACAGCTCGAATATTTTCTTTGTAGAATTGTGGCCTAATGACTGTGGCCTTTACAAAGTATTTGATGTCAGCCATTCCAGGGAATCCACCAAATGATGGAGGAAGGGTCTTCTTGACGTGGCGGTTGCTTTCGCGAGCCATCTCCACCTTCAACCCACTGAAGTTGAGGTTGGTGAGCATGCTGTTACTGGGGTTGCATGCATTATTGAAAGGAAACTGAATGAATGTAAGAATAGGAGTGGTGGTACATCTCAAAGGCAATGATTTACCTTGAACTCAAATGGGTATTCATATGATCCAGCGGCGAAGGTGTAGGATGATGCGGGCGACCCGGATTGCATGACAGCCGCCGTGGGAAAGACGGTTGCAACTTTGTAAAGGATCTTTATAGTTTAGTACCTGTCTAGAAAAACCATCCAGCCTTCTATCTCACCTTGTGCACCTCCAGCTCTGTGATTTTCTTTTCTGAGTGCACATTGTGTGGGTTGCGAGGTCCAGACAGCCTGGTACGGCTCTCACCTTCCAGCTTGACCTGGATACCTCCAATCGCAGCTTCAGTAGGCAAATGTAAGATGACCCTGCCTGAAAGGAAGTCGAGATTTGTGTAATGGGTGTGTCGGCTGTCTAGCACGATCGTCGCGGACATGGCGGCGAGCGCCCGGGGCCCCTTCCCTTTTTCTTTCCGAGGTGGTCGGCACGGGTCGTCGATCGGCTGACTGGAGCTTCTGAGCCGGTCGCGAAGGTGTTCAAGCCCACTAGACGCGTATTCGGAGGGCTAAAAGGGACGAGGACTGGGATGTCGGAGGGGGTCAATGATGCGGAACAAATGCGAGGGGAGCCGGGAATGACGTTTTTCGGGCCGCAGGAACAACTGACCCCAACGCTCTCTTTGTATGCAAGCTTCCTAGCTACTCAATTCAAGACTCCAAGCTGCGCCTCAATGCGCTCAGCCACATTAATTTTCCTGAATCGAATCTGGACCCTGGCAACGCGAAAAAGTACAGGATTTCTCTGGATCCCATCAGTAGCTCTTCAATCCGGATCGCCTTATAGAAAGAGCATGGCCTCCGAATACCGATTGCAAAAGCGTTCTAGTCATTTCCAATGTCTACGCTAGTTCACGACCCGCATTCAGCCCTATCTGAACATTGAAAACCTGGAAAATCGGCACATGGGCTTGATAAACTGGGTCTCCAGGCACCAGAATTTCCGCGCCATCCGTAGTTGGCCTACGCCTATGACCGCCTCAATTGCGCCCCATCTAAAATAAAACATCCTTGAATATCGAAGATGTCATTACATCCCCCTTGACGAGAAAGAGGAGTCCGATTTTTATCCCTGCGTCTCTGAACCCGGGGTAAATTTCATTTGGTCTGTGCAGGGCGATCTTTGCTCTGTTGTGACCACTGTCATTTCGGCTCAGATAAAGATCGGATCCGAGAGCCCCTCTCCCGTGTCAAATGATACACATTAAACGACAAGTTACCAGGTGATTGAAAATGACTTTAGAATTGAATTTTGATGGGTTCGATTCTGCTATTCACCAAAGCCTAGAACTCAATATGTGTTCTCGAAGTAGGCACAATGGATGACTTGAAAGCCTAACGCGGAACCCTAGCTAATTGGTCTATATACTCGGATCGACATGCGTACATTTCGACAACGCCCTTGAATTGAGCTTAATATCTGCCTCATATAACTTTCTATATATAGCACTCCTAAGATGATGATGATACGAAGAGGTCCTTGCACTGTAATTTAGTGTTTTCTGAAAATTTTTCTCTGCACTCTCTGCAGCACAAGAAAGAATTTTTCTAAGACTCTTCTCATTCTCTTCCCATAACATCCTTCAAATCGCGTTACAAACATTATTGGATCAATGGGCTGGCCCATTCCGAGCTCGTGGAATTTTGGCAGTCGTCCTAAAGGAAGAGGCAGCGAGGTATGGTTCACAGAAGTTGGCCTCAGCAGAGTGGGAGGAAGAGACGGGTCGAAGAGAGAACATGGTAAAAGACGATGTGCGGCCGCTCTTACGCCGTCTCTATCATTGAAAGAAGTATCAAATGTGCCAACATCATACCCTTCGTGCGCAATTGTTCCCGTACCCGGATGCACCGACTTTGCTTCCACAATAGCTCAGGACACCTTTGATTCATCTACCCTCATTCACATGATACTAGATACACGCCTTCCAATTCCTTTGCTTCACCCTTGTATATACATGGCTGTCTATCATCTAGTTATTCACAGAGTCGATCGATTCCACGAAGAGCAACTATCAAAGTCCCTCCTTCGACAACATATCTGCATCATAAGTTGTCAGTCAGCCCAACACCGAAAACCACGATGGCCTCACTCACCAGCAATATCCAAATAGAATGCAATCGCATTGAATTTCCTCGGATTCCCTAACAGATCCCCTGCCAGAAACTTCAACCGATTCGTCCAGTTAATCAAATCCAAATGACTAACTCCCTCCAGCGTCCCCTTATACCCACGGTCTCCCCCCCACCGACTACTAGCGACACTGACCAAGCCATCATTCGGACCTTCCATTTGGGCTAAAATCTTGTGAGATAGTCGGAAGACGGACCAGATACTTGGCTGTACGGCTGCGCCGTAGGAAAAGTATCTGCCCCGATGTGTTAGAAACAGACTCAACAACGAAGACTTTGAACGTACCGAACTCCATCCACGTCGGGTGTGTTTGGGTTGAATGTCTCGGACATGTACTTTCTGGTCAGTTGGGAGAAGGCGCCTGTTTCAACTTTCATTCGGTTCAGGGTATAGTAGACCTGTGGGAGACGATCGGCTGAGATTCGTAAGCTTTAGATCCAAGTATTTTAGACTGTGAACAAACCTCCGATCTGATCTAAGACGTAGTCCGCCACGTATGATCCTATTTCAACATCAGCAAATACACTGTGAGTAACAGTCACCGGGCTGACAAACCTCGATGCGGAGTTGCGATGGTAGTCAAAGACAATACTTTGAACTGTGGTTGCAATTTGCTGATCATGTATCTAGAGTCAAGGCCACTAGATTTCCGTCAGATCTTGCATCGGGCGCGGGCGAGTTTCTCATAATGCCTCACCCCTAGCCATGTGTCAGTGACTGAAGATTTTTTGAATGGTCTATCAGGGGATCTCACCATGCTATGAGCAATGATATTAACATCTCTTCCCCGCGCTCCGGACTCAATATCCCGCGCCAGTTCTTCTGCACGCTCTTCTATCGTCGAAGATGGGGGCACGGAAGCTGTAATGACCTCGATGCCTTGTGCTGAAAGTGCCTCTCGAATTCCGCGCCAATATTGCACGCCAGGGAGGTACGGACCCGCTAAGCGCAGTTCATCGAATCCGAGGAGACCATGTGCAAGAACGATGGGGTGTTTAGGTGCGGCTGGAAAATGTGAGTAGATATACGAAATAGCTGAGATGGTAAAGTTCAACACGAACCATATTTGTCTCGAATCACCGAGTATTCATCGCGGATGACTCTGCCATGCTCTTCCAAACGCGGCTCGAGGATGGAACTTGGATTGCGCGAGGTTGCGCAGAAGGTTCGACGTGCCGTGGAAAAGTAATTGACTTGGAAATTTACTGGAGCCCTGCTTATCCTAAGGATAGCACCTGCATATCCCATCGTCGCTGGTGCGCAACGCGGTCATGACTGGAACAGAATGACGCAACGGGAAACATTCAGCTGGGTGCCTCAGGCTCCTAATCCCGGGGTATCTCCATCTTGCGTCGGTCTAGACTTATACAATACGTCTCGCCGGGGGAAGCATATATCCGATTTAGCTCCTTCAGAGATGGCCTGAGGTACCCTGAGTGTGGATTTGAGGCCGAGCAATAGCTAGGTCAACCAGATTACTGTCCTTCAAGCCTTACTCCTTCATGGACCTCTGAATCGCACCGATATGCTGTACGTAATGAAATTTCATTCTATGCAAAGCTCGCCCAGGACCCTGGAGTGAAACTCATATTTGACGTCGAAGCAATGGATATCGATGAAGAGCCACGAAAGTAAATCTTTATAGTGACAACCGAAGAAAAGCAGAAACCAAAACTCTATGCAGCAATCTTCTCGGGCACTTCAGGCTTGACATCAGTTGTAGCCTTGATCAAGTCTGAAACAACCTTTTCACCATGCTTCTTGCCAGCAGCCTGAATCTCCTTCAGCTTCGCTTCGGCCTCCTCATTCGCCTCGTCCTCGGACTTTTTGAAACCGCTCGAGTGCTGGAGTAACGTCAGCGGTTAGATCACAGAGAAGTTCCGACCAGGAACAGCGTCCCCCAGATATATCACTCTTGATCCTTTGGGAGTGGGTCTCACCTCAGCCTCGAACTTCTTGTATTCCTCTTCCTTCTGATTGCGGTACTCCTCAATCTCCTTCTGAGCCTCAGCCTTGGCGTCCCTTATCCGCTTGGTGCGGTCTGTCACAGAATAATTAGGTCATATATCGGTGATCGGGGAGTCTAAATCGTACATTCGCGCGCTGTAGAAGGCATGTGTCAGTAACGGCTCCACCAGACAGGGACAGATCAAGACACCTACCTTGTTGAACAATCTTCTGTGCCTCTCTCTCGGCCTGTAATCCTTATCAGTTCCAGCTGAGCAGATCCTACCACCCATTGAGACGTACATCGAGGAGGGTCTGAATACCCGCGGAGTTCTGAGCCGACTGAACAACCTTCGATCTTAGCAACTGAAACACATCCCGGAGGACCAGAAGACAGCAATCTCACCATTTTGTCTCGAGAACCCTCTTCAAGTCTGGTGAATCGTGGGGAACAAATAGATTGTGAGGGGAGGCCGGAGCTCGAGCTCGATCAGCCACGCATGACCCCCCAAGGCGGTGGGGCTATTCTGCCAGAACCCACCGCGTCGATAACCCGATAATCCGCCCCCATTTTCAACTTACTCTTTTGTTGCAGTTGCGGTCTTCAATTGTACCGGTCGTTTGTCGTTTATCATGTCTCGCGCATCTAAGCTGACTCTGGCGGCCACTGGGCTGGGTACCGCGGGAATCATCTACTTCGTGCACTGGGCGCAGGAAAATGACAGGGCAGTATGTGCCGAATTACCTTGTCTTTCTAGAAATGTTTGCTAACAGTTCGATGTGTCACAGGCTATGCACAGAGGGGTTGAACGCGATATGGAAAAACAGCGCATCCGAGCAGAGCGCCAGGCCGATTTCGAGATACAGAAACGCCTCGAAGAGGAATACCTCAAGCTTCAGACCGTAACGGCTATCGACACTCCGAGTTCCACGGGAAAGTCTTCAGGAGGCAATAATCCAGTGAATGGCTCATAGCACAAATGCAAATCCGAAAGCTGCCCGCTTCTCGAGGTGGCCACCTGGATTGCCTATATGCATATTTGGTGGGTTGATCCATGCTGAGAATCGCCCTCAGTGATTATTTGCTAATGACTACATAGGAGTTTGATATCTTCTGCGAAGCATGTGTATAAAGATGGCGTCATGTACGATATTCCTTGATGTATTATAAACAACAACTCGCCTCTATCCTCGATCGAAGGACTTATATCCGAAGACATGATTCTTATATTGACGGTGACATTTGTGCCAAGCTACTTGACTGGGAGCTCTGCGAATGTTTCCATGGCGCTTTTGTTGCTTGAAAGGAGACAGATGACGGTCTGAGCGACAAACCCTTGTTTCCTGAGATGTACATACCTGCTCAGGTTTCTGAATTAGGCCGCCATGACGGAAGCAGAAGATTGGCCGGTACTTGACATCGAGGATATACCACTGTAGTCAAAGCTTGGAGTAGCTCGATGTATATATTGTCGAACATTATACCTAACGTAACAATTCAATAGGGATGAGATTACGCATACTTAGTTGCACCACAAGGGCAAGGAGAAACAAAAAAGGGTCGATATCAACAGCATTGATAGAACTTCAATATGCAATCTTCGGGCAAAACCAATATTTGAAGCTCTGTACTACTTCTGTGGTCAAACCACCAGGTCGTACACTGCACAGATTATACCGAATCCGCCCGATGCACCCATCCAAGGCCGGCTACAATCGGAGGCCGGCTGAATTCCGGCCTCTGGACGCTAAGAAAGCCTATCTATGCCTTATCGTCCAATCAAAACTCAGTATATGAGCGCCAAATCTTGGCACTGGGTAAAATATAGAGGCTACAAAAGCACCTCGATGAAGAAAAGCATGTCTAATAGACCTTATCACCCGAATGGATGATAAAAATCGCCTCTCCAGGAATCAAGAGATCTACTCTGGGGTATTGATTAGTTCCCTAGGGTTCCGGTCCTTGTGGAAGGACGACTGCTAATCTCTGGAGACTGCTGGAAAAGGCTTAGCGCGTCCCCGTGACCGTTGGCTGCCCTCGCCGACTGGGCGGTTGTATAGAGCATCGCGAGATGTTGATGATGCTTAAATCTCTTATATTGACTCGGGGTATCTCTATGGGGCTCCCGAGTCAATTAAAGTATTTTGCAGAACCTTGAAGTCAAGCTAGATCGCCGATATCACCGGATCCACGCTATGTTGCGTTCTCTTTCGTAATGGTGGGAATGAGGCCGGAATTGATACCGGCCTCTGAGTATTATAAGAATCTGCTCCAAACCCGCCCAAATCCTCGAGCGATCTGTTCTCCTTTCATCTCCAGAGAAGCCTGAAATACTCCCTCCTCTTTTTTGGCCCATACACTTTCCTTTCTTAGTTCCCGACTTAGCCTTTTGACTTGGTCTAAGCCTTGATCACCCTACACAGCAAGCCTTCCCCTACCTGTGGCACGTACTCTCAACCTCCTACTTGAACATCTGCTCCATCCCTATCCTTTATCACTTGCCCATCGTTGTCTACCATCATGACTCGAACCCAGGTGCCCTACCCTTCCCCTACCACCCTGAAGAAGTTCCCTCATGTCCATGATGACCCGTCGTCCATGTCCCATGGCCTGGACCCCTTCACTATCACTACCTCCACTGGCTTTATGCCTTATGCTACTGCCCCTAGTGAGCTTCCTGAAGCCTTCAAGCCTCTTCAGTCTCTAGTGGAACGTCTTCCTGTCCTCAAGCTTGATGGGACACCTGGTCTGCTGGCGACGTATGAGCTTGGCCCTGTCGTCGACAATGACTTCCCTGACCTGACTGATGAGGTTAAGAAGCTGGTCCTACCTGATGGCACCCCCGATAAGTTCAACATCGCTGCCGTCTTCCGAGACTACACCTTCGTAGCCTCGTCGTACCTGCTTGAGCCCTGCTGGGAGAGCTGGAACAACAGCGCGGACAAGGGATACGGACTTGGTCGGGACTTCTTGCCCAAGTGTGTTGCTCGTCCTATGTACCTCTGTGCTCAGATGTAAGTACATCATACATCTCCTTTCTCATGCTTTGATCATACAAATTTGGATTTGTATTGTTGTTGGACCGCGCTAACACAACCTAGTCTGGACCTCCCTCCATTCATGTCTTATGCTGCCTCGTATGCTCTCTTCAACTATACCCTTGCTGATCCCTCTAAGGGCTTGGACGAGTACTCCAACCTGCGTTTGATCCGTGGTTTCGAGCGTGGTCTTGATCCCAAGAGTTCCGAAGCCGGCTTTATCCTGACTCACGTTGACATGGTCAAGGAGACTGGTGCACTCATCAGTGGGGCTCTGCGCGTGGTTGATAACATTGAGCAGAACGGCCGTCGTGAGGATATTAACGATGGCTTCCGTGAGATCCTCAATGCCATGGAGAAGATCGAAGCTTCGATGGAGAGTATGTTGTCCCTTTACCTGTTCAACCCCGAATCCACTTCTTCACCTGATTGAACCAAGCTCACAATCTCATAGCCATGTGGGGAAACTCTAAGCCAGCCGAGTATCTCTCTTTCCGCGTCTTCATCTTCGGCATCACAAACCAATCCATGTTCCCCAAAGGTGTGGTCTACGACGGCTGCGAAGACAACAAGCCTCTCCACTTCCGTGGCGAGAGTGGTGCCAACGACAGTATCGTACGTATATGACTACCCATCACCTATCAAAATCTAACCTTATAGATCCCCCTTCTCGATCATCTCTGCGAGATCCCCATGCCCTCGACCCCTCTCACCAAAATCCTTCACGAGTTCCGTGCCTACCGACCCCTTCCGCACCGCGAGTTCCTCACCTACATCCGCGAAAAGTCAGAGGAACTCGGTGTCCAGAAATATTCATGCCAAGACTCCGAGACGGCTGTCCTCTTCCTTAAGACTCTGAACCATGTTCGTAGCTTCCGCTGGCGTCATTGGCTATTCGCACGCGAGTACATTATCCGCCGCACCCCTCATCCTACTGCTACTGGTGGAAGTCCCATTGTTACTGTGAGTGTTCCGATCTCGCTATCGTTCATCGTACACAGGCTGACAGGTTCAGTGGCTCCCCAACCAATTGTCAGCAGTTATGGACCTCATGGTTACCATCTATGATAATCACCTCGCGCCTAAAGAGGGTGTTACCATTGTTGATGGTCATGAAGACCTGATCGCCTCACACCGTAAGCAGGTTGAACCTATGATGGAGCTTGTGCGGGATCAGAAGGAGAAGTTGGCCAAGGAAGTTGAGCGTTGGTGCAAGGAGCGTGGAGTCTGAAAGGTGCTTCCTCATTTCGTTTCGTTCATAGAGTACCCACGACTTTCTTTTCTCTCAAATGAAATGAACTATTTCAGCTTCTCGAAACCGCTGATCTTAAATCAATATCGCATTGTCAAGTCCAGAAGCCAATTGATGGGTATAGATTGTTCCATGCATACGTTTGTTAAACATTACATACCAGAATCATCAGAGCATTTTCAGTCAGTTCAGTACAAAGCGTGACTTTGAACCATGGCCGCGTCGCCTTCAACGTCCACAGCTGGCTTGGTTCCCCTCAGCTGATCAATGTGATCTTTCAAACCCTTGTTGAAGTTGAGAATACACATAATCGAGTTGATGATTGTGCAGGCCATCAACAAGATAGCTATTGAGGAGAACAGGCCCAAAGAGACTTTGTAGGATCCCAGCCCATCGGTGCTGTTGGTATACAATTTGTACAGCGTATTTATCTCACTAGCAATGAGACCGCAGATGAAGATCTATGGACGTTGAGCCTGAGACTTGTCCATAAAGGGCAATAGAGACTTACTACAGGAATCGACATGGATTTAGTCTTTTCATTTCGAGCGAATCTTGCAGCCAAAAAGAGTGCCAGGATAGCAATGGGTACCATGGCGGCGTTAATTATGAAATCATCATCGATGTGACCCATGGCGAGAAGGAGTTGAAGTTGACTTCCGAAGATGAAGAAAAAGTCAAATTTCAGCAAGGCGATGTATACCTAAAATTGTTCAATCATTCGTCTAACCCGCCCAACAAGGATCGCTCACACCGCAAGGATCTGGACTCACCTGATAAACATAATACCTCCGATTCATCTGCAAATCGGCACTGATGTTTTTATAAATCGACCACGAGAATTCCGCCCGCAATTTCCACGTCACTCCCATCATGATAATCGCCGCAACTCCCAATATCATCGGAACAAGCATTAGCTCGATATGATAATGATCGAACAGATCCAGACTGATTGTACTATTGGTCGCAAGACTCTTGATCGTCTTTTTCACTTCCCAGATTTGGATAATCCCATAGGTAAACAGTCCCAGATTACAAATGCATAATCCGACCAGCTGGAAGGTATTTTTGCGTCGCAAGGCATCGTAGGAGAGACCAAGTTCGTAGAGGAGAGCGAAAATGTATAATCCGAGAAAAGAGCGAAGCCGTAACGAGCCATCATCTGAGCCGAGATTGGAGAGGTGATCTGATATACTGATGAAGACCCATCTATCCAAAGGAAAAACGTTGAATTAGTTTTGATTCTCTGTTGATTTGGGTTTGTTGGTATCATTCATGATGATTCTCCGGGAAAAGGTTGGGCTGTGCGGGGAATCGTACGACTCGATTGCAACCGTAGCGATCGTCTCGATGATCACCGTTGTGAAGAACGTGCGCGTCCATAGCGTATTCGGAAAATACACCCTCGACCTGCGCTGTCCAGCCGCCGCGCGCAAGTTCTCATTCAAGGTTGCATCTAGAACGGGTGATTCAGGACGCGAAAAGTCGTCGAGTTCAATGTATCGGCCTGATTGAGGCAGTGGGGGTTTGGCATTGGGATCGTTATCAAAGGTAGTGCGCGCGATCACCGAGGACACCGTGTCTCGCATTGTCAATTAGAGGGTCTGTACCCCGGTGGAAGACATCGAGAGAATGAGGGAGAGGGAGAGAAGGCGAGGTCAAGTTCAAACTATAGTCAATAATGGCCGATAGTCTCATTTCCCATCGGCCATCTATCAAGACGATTAACCTTATTGGCGACGGCACGCAGAAAAGCAGTGTGGAACCTCAAGGCGCGAATTGGGGCGCAGACCGCACTAGAAGAAGCCACAGCTCGAAATTAAATGGATCGTCAAGGATCGGAGTTACTTATTTCGAAACTAGTCTTGGCGGGCCAGGCACACCACGTTAATTTTGGGCAATTCGTGCGTATTTTCTTTCCATTTGACGCTAGTTGGCACTATTATGGAGACCCGAAAAGAATACGAAAGTCCCGAAGATAGCGTGTCCACGCGTATGCTATTTACGCTAGCAGAGCGGGTCTACCCCCTTTATTCTTCGTCAGGGCTGAAAGATAAATTTGGAACTTCGTCGACACTGGGGTAAATACTACTTTTTCAGAGGCCACATTAATCTAGGCGATCGGTGATAGGGATGCATATTAAAATGAGATCTTGATGTCATTTAATTAGTGCGGATCTTGCAACTATGTTATCACCTCTAATTCTCTTTCGCGTCCATAAGCCACAGCATCGGACGATACATCTTCACAGCCGCCGACAAGCAGCCGATCGAGCTTGACTCCATCGGTGGTAGTTCTAGCATCGGCGCACATTCGGATTGTGACCCCACTGATGCGCGTGTGAGAAACGTTTAGGACTTTTACATCAGGGGCGATTCCCAGGATGTATCGCACAAAAGCATCATTAACATCGCGCATATGAGAGATACTCAGTTCAGAGAGCTTGAAGTTGGGATTATGATGTTTCATCGCCAGGATGGCTTTCAGGTCGGCGGCAGACACATTGAAGCACTGGTCAATGAACACGGTCTGGATCGGTGCTAGTGTACCGATGAGGAATGTGGCGAGAATTTCCCCAGTGACAAACCCCGCATCGAGGAAAATAACGGTGTTCAGATTTGGTAAATTATTATCCAAGGCATCCAAAACTATAGGCGTCGATTTCCCTCCCACGATGCGGAGGCACTCCAGACTGGTGGGCAGGTGGACAAACGTGTCCCGCTCGATACATAGCCCGCTAAGGTCGAGACGGCGGAGTGGTGGATAGAACCCCTCATAGTGTTGCATGAAGATTTGCTGGTACCGTGGTGGGTTCCAGTCAAGTCGGAGCTCTTCCAGGTTCGGGTAGGCGCGAGGTTCAATGTCCTGGGTACTTGTTAGCGTTGTAAACAGCACGGACCGATCGAATGCTTACCACAAGGAGGTTAGGCAGAAGCACGCCGGGCACAGTCATGGGTGGGGTTGGAATCTGCTGAGTGGCCAATGTGATGCTCTTGAGGTTGGAGAGACTCTTCGGCCAGTGTCCACCTTCAATAAAAGCTAATGTGGAGGGCCTCACGTTCCACAGGGCAATGCGCTCGAGGCGGGGGAGCTCAATTAGGAGTCTGCCGAAATTATCGTGCGTTACCGATATGTCAGGCGACAGAGTAAGATTCTTTAATTGTTTGTGACCTTTGAACTTTTGGAAGAAATCCTTGAAGTCGTAGTCAACCCACAATTCGAGATGTTCAATGCGCGGACATCTGCTCAAGAATTCCATGGTTTTAGGCGTAGATGGAGTGGCTAGGTTCTTGATGATGGCACGAGTGAGCATAGCCTTTGAGCGACGGATGTATGATCGGACTGCTGTCCATGGCACTTTGCCTCGCGCTCCAGACAAGTCGATCTCCATCCATAGGGTGGGTCATGGAGCCAAAGAAACGCTCCCAGTCTTTACATACCCGCAGGATCGCCCTAACGAAGATGAGCTTACGAAATTCTTGAGGGTCAATCGTACTGACACGATGTTTTTGAAAGTGAAGTGTTGAATCACCATAGCCGCGATTTCAAGAGGAAGCATGGTGAAGGGATCATTCCGATTGAGCATCATGCGATCGTGGAGCTTCTTGTGTAAAAGCTCCATCATCTACAGGATCAATAAATGATCGGGACGACCATGGGACAAAAACGAACCTCTCGACGCGGATGTTTGCGCGGGAGAACCTTCAAACCATATGCGTAGATCTCCAACGCCTTTTCTGGCTTTCCTTCTAAAAGTAGAACTTTGGCACAGCGCAGATAACCCTGAAGATGGTCAGATCCGTCATGAGAGATGAGTGACGAGCAGCTTACTCGGTCATCATCTTTGCCTTTCTTAATCATATGTTTCGCATCACGGCGTGCCAGATCATACTGTTCAAGCTTACAGTATGTAGCAGCACGGTTATCAAGAATACCGATCGCATCGGCATCTTTCACGTTCAACGCCTTAGTCGGTGATTAGCTACCATTTCGGGTTAGGATGATTGATGGACTACCTCGCCAAAGGCTTCGATAGCAGCCTTGAAGTCACCCTTCTGGTATAACTTTTGGCCTCGTTGATGAGGGCCAGAGATAGGAAGCGGCATGGTCTCCTGCCATCGACTCAGCTTTGCCGAACCGATGTTGACCGCGGTCAAGGCACGGTACGTGTTTATTGCGGTTGGCCTGAGGCGAATAGTGTCTTGTTACCGCCTTGACATTGTGCCGTTAATCACCGCTCACAGTAATATTGTTCTGCCGAACTGGTCTCAACGCCCCGACGTAGCGGGCCATGTTTACTTTCTTCCGCTTTGGTTTGGATCTTCGGACACTGCGACAGCTCCACAACACGACATGGAGGCGCAGAACTTGCAAGCCGCTTCGACTTATGTCAATAATATCTTGCTGGCGCGGGGATTACTGAAGACAGGTCATCCGATTGACTTTGCGCAGCCTGAAAATGAAGATGGGGGGACTGAAGCTACCATGGCGCGGATTATCAACCTGGTTAATGACCTCGTTTTGAGGAGAGACGTACGTCGTCTCTATTCTGCTTGTCGCATTGATTCTCAACCATTTATAGCGCGAATCCGAACACCGTGAAAACCTGGCGACAACTATTCGCACGCTGCGCGCGAACGAGTCGGAGCAGACCATGGAAATTGTATGTGCATGTCGACAGGTCTTCATACCTTCCAAGGCCACTGACTCATGAATATTTTTCTCTAGGGAAAACTCAAGACAAAAGCGTCAGAGCTGAGTCGTTCTCTCGCTCTCGCAGAAGCTCAGGAGCGAAATCTCAAAACCAACATGGCTAAAGCCGAATCGACCATCCGAGGACTGAAGGAACAAGTCCAGCGCCTGAAGACCACTGTACAAACAGTTCGCGCGCAATGCGCCAACGATATCCGGAAACGTGATCTCGAAATGCAGAGACTCAAGTCGCATCTAGCTGAGCGACAACGGGGGAAGCGGGAGGGGTTGGGTGTCACGACTATCAACATCAATCCCGGCGCAGACCGGTCACGCTTCGGGGCGAGTGGTGGAGATCATATCAACGATCCCGGATACAGTTTGAAGCAGGAGACGACTGATTTCTTGACAGAGCTATGTCAAAATTTGAGTGACGAAAATGATACCCTTATTGAGCTTGCCCGAAACACTATTGGGACGTTGAAGGAGCTACAAGGTCTACCGCATGCTGAACCGGAGCATGAGGAGGATGAGGTGTCCGGGTTGTCCATAAGCCTAGGACCAAAGATGTCGGGGCCCGTGTCTACGCTTCCTACGTCTTGTGAAGAGCTGTCTAGTAACATGGAAACGGTACTGGAGCACCTGCGCACACTACTCACCAACCCTTCTTTCGTGCCGTTAGAAGAGGTTGAAGTTCGAGACGAAGAAATTAAGTCCTTGCGTGAAAGCTGGGAGAAGATGGAAAAGCGGTGGAAGCAAGCTGTTGCCATGATGGATGGATGGCAACAGCGTCTAGCAGATGGCGGAGACGGTGTGCGCATGGAGGAGTTGAAGCGAGGCATGAATCTTGATCTAAGCTTCACTTCCAACGATGAGGCAAGCATGCTCAGCAGGGCTTCAAACATCTCGCCTATCCTGGAAGACCAGGAAGAGACGAGCGATGCCAAGGAACAAGTCACCGAGGAGCCAGAGGTCCCACAGACCCGATCAAAGCTTCGTAAGCTGCCCAAGCGCTCTGAACGGGCTCTGCAAGAGCGCAGCGACAACGCCCGGCCCAAGCGACTCCGCAAAGTATCCTTTACGCCGGGTCTGCAAGGATCACCATGCGAACCCACCCCCAACAAGACAGAAGATGAAACGCTTCTGATCAAAGCCTACAAAGCCAATACCGTGGCCCGCAGACCGTCACGACGAAAGACAGATTCCAAGCCCACTCGCCAGGTAGGGAAAGTCCTAATTTCCAGTGTGATCGAATATTAACTCATCTAGGCCGATGGCGCTGAACCACGAATGAGCGTCCGTCAGAAACTAGCCGCAGCCGAAGACGAGGCTCGCGATGCCGCACAATCACTCAAAGAAAAGGAAACGCGCAAGCGCAGCAGATCCGAGAAGTCATCGAGCCGATCGGGCGGTCGACGTCGGAGCACACTCACCAGCGACGAACTAGATGATCTCATGGGAATGTCTCGATGAGGGATAAAGAGGCTCATGTGAATACTGTATATACCGAGCGAGCATTGTAAATATGGAGTGGGCTCTATGGTAGATTTAGCTGTAATGCATAATTTCGGTGTTGCCATAAACCATGAAGATGATGGGTGAAAACGAACCTCGGCTCAGTCGGTTCTCCGCATATTTCAAATGTTAACGCAAGCTCCACCCCAAGCTTGCCGTGGTCCTTTCGATATCGAGAAGATTTTCAATCACCGTAACTCTTCCATACCAATTCCAAAGCCTCCCATAACTATCCAACCTCCAACTCAAAACTCTCCCATCTCCGCACCCAACATATCAACACTACCACAATGACGTCCCCAGCAAAAGAATTCCACGGCTGGGTCGCCCACGACTCTACAAGCCCCCCTAACATACACAACATTCACTCCCAAGCCATTCACCCCGACTGACATCGAGATCCGCATCACGCACTGCGGAATCTGCGGCACAGACGTCCACACTCTTCGCTCCGGCTGGGCACCAACAGACTACCCCTGCGTCGTCGGCCACGAAATAATCGGCTACGTCGAGCGCATTGGCTCGTCCGTCCCAACACTTCCCTCTTCGCCCGCATCCCGATCTATCAAAGTAGGTGATCGCGTCGGGGTCGGCGCGCAGAGCATGTCCTGTCTCAAGGCCGATTGTGAGGCATGCGCAGATGGACAGGAAAGTTACTGTGCGCGCATGACGGCGACTTATAATAGTCGGTATGCGGATAAGTCAAAATCCTATGGTGGGTTTGCGGAGCGGTGGCGCGGTCCTGCGCATTTCGTGGTGAAGATTCCTGAGTCGTTGCCTTCTGCTCAGGCTGCGCCGTTGCTATGTGGTGGTGTTACGGTGTATGCGCCTTTGAGAAAGTATGGCGCTGGGCCTGGGAAGAGTGTTGGGATTGTGGGGATCGGGGGGTTAGGACATATGGGTGTGTTGTTTGCGAAAGCGCTAGGTGCGGATCGGGTAGTTGCGATATCGCGATCCAGCTCGAAGAAGAAGGATGCTGTTGAGGGCCTTGGGGCGGATGGATTCATTGCCACTGGTGAGGATAAGGGGTGGGCGAAGAAGTATTCGCGGACCCTGGATGTGATTATTTGTACTGTTTCTGGGCCGGATATGCCGTTGGCGGGGTATTTGAGGTTGTTGAAGAGGGATGGGGTGTTTGTGCAGGTTGGAGCCCCGGAGGATGCTTTGCCGCCGTTGATGGCGTTTTCGTTGATTCAAAAGGGAGTCAAGATTACGGGGTCGAGTATTGGGAGTCCGGAGGATTTGAGGATGATGTTGAAGTTGGCGGAGGAGAAGAAGGTTTTGCCATGGATTCAGGAGAGAAGGATGGGAGATGTCAATCAGGCGTTGGTTGATATGCATGAGGGGAAGGCGAGGTATCGATATGTTTTGAAGAACGGGGAACAAGCGAAGCTGTAGATAGGATACTGGTTGTATATGGAATTGACTGTCTCTTGTACAGTTTTGATTTACACTGGGAGCTATTCAAGATATGAGGACGCAAGAAGAGAGAGGTTGAAGTAAGATCGAGGACCTTGGGAGTAGTTTTAGTACATCGAACCATTAAGCTCCTAAACAAAGCTCAATGATGGGGCCGTCGCCAGCTTCCATCTTCCTGCATCTCCCTCCTATTTTTTCAACCCCAGGAATAGATGTAATGAAAACTGCATAAGATTTGGCTGGGCCACGATCAAGATCATTCTCGTTTACGGCCAATTGGACCTTGTGGTTTTTTTTTTCCCCCCATGTTTGGCAATTCTTACTAGCATCATAAACTGTTAGGTTTGTCCGCTGCGCATCAAACATATTTGTACCTCTATGAAGGAATTCTTCACTCTATGTCCCGCAACGACGAATGTCACAGTCACCACTTCCTCTAAGCCTCAGGATTGGTTGCATTCTATTTCGGTGAAGACCAATTCGGGTATTCTCCATTGCAAGTCTACTTTGACCGAGACCCATCTATACTCCACCACGTGACCGTAAGGTTTAGCTCACTGTAACCTTGGTCTTGGCTGATGGAGAAGACAAGGTTGAGTGACCATCAAAATCATCGCCAGAATAGTTAGACCCACTCAGAATATCACCATACAGATCTCCAATGCTGAAGAAGCATCTACAAGGGGTCCCAATCAGAGAGCATCCGTACGGACCTGGCACGTGACCGTGACACTGTATTTGGGGGCCGCGCGAGTGATTGGCCCAGCACCGTGCACTGCCTTCCAGATGTGCTGAATTTGGGGCCATGCGGCGTATTGCGCCCGGTTCAAAACAATTCTGGTCCAGTGAAATGTATCGCCTCAGGCCTCTGAGCCTTGCGATGATCACTTGGTTTGTCGGTGCGTCTGACGTGTGCCCCATCTGACATCCGTCAGGACAATATATATAAAGTCCCCAGCGTTGCGGTAGACTGAATGCAAAGTAAGCATTTTCAAAGCAGAATCAGTTCGAAGGATTACACACGATGACTCCCCACCCACGCGTCTCAGCCCAATACCACATTGCCCATAGTGTCTGGCGGCATGACTACGAGGTCTCAGGGTCGCATGTTTTCCACGTGGATAACTCTAGTCTCCGACCGGGCAAGCCAGACCTGACGTTCCACGCCGGCCTGGACACAAACGCCCCCCGTCGCGGGAGTTTGCAAATTCCGACACTTTTCTTCCGACACCGAAATCGGGCTAGGCGACCCGAGCAAGCCAGGAATCAGTTGGGAGCGTATGAGCCGAGAAAGCCTGCGTAAAGTCCAATACGCCTTCGGGCTAAATTGTGGTGACGGCCGGCATCACCGCTTTACATGGAAAAAGACTAGTTCGCTAGGCGGCAGCCATTCTGGAAACCTAAAGCTGGTCGACGAGTCGAGTGGGAATGTGGTCGCCGTCTTTTCCTCGGGTGGATCCTTCTCGATGAAGACGGGCCAGCTAGACATTTATACGGATTATGGTGAACGATTCGCGATCATGGTGCTCATCTCAGGCATTGCGCTCCGCGAGAAGTTGAGACGGGCGAAGAACGCTTCTGGGAACAGCGTGGGCTCCGCGGGGGCCGCAGGTGGGGGCTGTTAGCCAAGAGCCAAGCATTTGAACCCTGAGAACTAATACGAAGTAACGAGACACGAACGTGGGGAATATGTAGCGGTATGGAATATAGCGTCTGTTAGGACTTGGCGTACTGTATTGTTTGTTTGTTTTTTACTTCTCTTGGGTGATACCGGCCCAGTGTTAGCCAATCTTCACTGCAGTTTGAACCTATTTCAGAGTGGATCCAACCCTAAGAGCTAATGAAAAAGCTTGGGAGTCGGCTAGCTCCGGCGCGGACCTTTGACCGGACCCTGCATACCAAGCCTTTGGTGCGAGGCAGTGCAAGCGATGCAAGACAATGTTTCAGACCATACAAGCTTCGCAGTTTGATCGACAGGGTTCATTAGGTCATCCACGGTGCCTGTGCCCCTCGGGGAGTATATCGTGTTGTGAATGCTGTTGCCTACGCATGGTCGACTTTGGGGCCATTGGGCGAAATTTTTCTAGTTTCCGTACCTTAATTTCCGTTTCTTATTTTCTTATTATTGCTTGGTGCCGAGCCTTATTCCGAGCCTCTTCTATTCAGGCTTTCTCGGCCATGAATATGAAGTTCGTTTCGGTTTCGGTTTCGTGACTATGGCGCTCCGACGACCGCACCGGAAATCCCGGCACGGGTGCATGGAATGCAAGCGGAGACGAGTCAAGGTGTGTTTTTTTTCCCCATCAACTCATAGGGCTGAGTTCGGTGTTGATATTGATGGCAGTGCGACGAGGCCAGGCCGACCTGCTCCAACTGCCAAAAACGACATGCGGAGTGTGAGTATGGTTCGTCCAGCTCCTTGCTCTGGGCTAATGAAGAGCCCTCGGGGAGATTATCGTCGCGTGCCTCGGGGTCGGACAGTGGACTGCACGGTGACCTTTCACTGGGAAGCCCCGGCTCCGATTCATTGGGATTATTAGGGAGACTGAGCGGCGATAGCTCGACCCCCGCTGCTCCCACCGCGTTGAATCTGCATGATCTCGAGCTGATGATGCAATGGTGCAATGCGACGTTCTACACGCTCTCTCGGAATGAGCGCACAGATGCAATCTGGCGAAAAGCAGTCCCGGAAGAAGGCCTTCGGCATCCATTCCTGATGCATGGTATTCTGGCTCTGTCTTCTCTGCATTTGGCGAGGACCGCGCCCGAGGCTTCGGGGCGGGCTGCGTACCTCAATCGTGCGGTGGCGCACCAAAACCAAGCATTGTCGCTGTTTCGCGAGCTTTTGGGCGATATTAATGAAGGAAATGCTAAAGCGATGTTTGCATTCGCCGGCATCGTCGTCGTCTACACTTTTGGCTTCCCCCATACACCTGATGTGCACGATCCATGGACCTGTGTGGACGACCTGTACCAGGTTCTCGTCTTGACCCGAGGTGTTTCACAAGTCATTCGATCTCCAGCCGACTTCCTCAGCCACGGATCCTTTGCACCAATTCTCCAAGTTGACGAAAACCCCGCGCCATTACCAGACGACGCGACCACAGCAATCCGACGCCTCCACGAAGCCAACGAGATATGTCGCGCCCGCGACCCACACCACGAGACAGACGCCTACACCGTAACAATCGACAATATCGCCGAAATGTTGAGCTGGGCTTATGGCGGCACGACCTCGACAGTCATCGCGGGCAGATGGGCCATCAAGCTGCCGCCACGGTTCTTGGACCTGCTACGCGAGCGGGAACCATTGGCACTCGTAATGTTAGCGCATTATGGCGTGCTTTTACAGCATCTGGAGCATCGTTGGTGCTTTGAAGAGTGGTGTGTGCGGGTTGCAAAAGCCGTGTGGGCGATTTTGGACGATCAGTGGAGACCGCTGGTTCATTGGGCGATGGGAAGGATCCTCGGCGAAAATTACCTCGAGCAGATTGACACCCTGTGATGGAAACGATGGGATACGATAGTCTCGCAAAAAATCCCCCCAAAATTCATTTGTTTTGGAAATTGCAGGCTAAATGTCATTAGCGAGGCCCGTCACACACGCTCTACACCAACATCGATCCGTCGGAGATGCTCAACCCGCCTTTTGTCGTCATGACATGTCCCCGACCAAGGAGACAGTTGACCTCGCTTGGATGAATCACAATGAAAATCACCATAAGAACAAACATCAACAATCCATCGAAAACATAAATAAATACCTCGTTACTCATGAGGGTCCCATCGGTACCCTGGGCGTACTCGACAACACGAACAACGGACCGAACGAGCACCAAGATGGACGACGTGTGCAAGGCATACATGTGTTTCCGCCAAGGCGTATGATCAGCCGCAATTACTGCACTCGGATGCGAGATCAACCTGCTCTGGAACACCAGGGTGCTGATCAGGAAGAACCCGAAGAAGAGGATCTGCACAATCAATCCGCCAACAATCACATTCTGCCCAGTATTGGAGGGTTTATAACTTCCAGAGTCACTCGAGCCGCTGACCATAATCCCGGCCCCTATCGACATGAATCAGCAAACATCTCACCATGAGATCTGGGAAGCATACCAGAAGCCTGCATCAAGAAACTCAACACATCCCCGCCCACAAAGATCTTCGTCATCCAATTCACTCTCACGAGGGCAAATCGCTCCCCCTTCACAAGGACAATAACTCTTCCAAGCTCCATATAGATACTCGCCGCAAATAGCGCTGGTGCGATCAGCAGCAATGTGCTCTGGATGATATACGGCCCTGTTGTCCAATTGGGTGATTGTTGCGCGGACATGGCACGTCCAATATACCCGACCGTTTCGACTGATATTGTTAGATGACCTCTTCTCAAAAGTTGGGGTTATGCACGTACAGTATCCGCCGAGAACGAGCGGGATGAAGAACCATGTGCGCGTGCGAAAGAGATGGTATGTGTGGAGTAGGGTAACAATAGCGAAGAGGATTATGAAGAGGACTGCGGCGCCCATTGAGGGGTAATACTGGTATGCTATCCAGCCATCGTGGGAAGACATTGTGTCTGTTTGCGTGCTGTCACTTGCTCTTGAGCCTGAGTTGGAAGCTAGAAAGGGATTCACAAGGAAATGAGATGTATAGCAGAGAAAACAATATAAAGGCAGACCAGCAGCTAGCCTGCTTAAATAATTAAACAAGCCTTCTCCAACATAACAATTCCCTCGAGTACTTCAACGCCTGAAATGAGAAAAGGCAACATCATTCCCTATCTGACCAATCCCTTTCGCATCTCCAATGCCACTTGCATGATTCCTTAGTGGATCTCGTATATCTCGTAACTAGCAACAGAACGGGTATAACCTTATTTATCTTCCACCAATCAGGATCCTTGTCGTGGACAGGGATCTATAGATCGATGGCCACTTGGTGTAAAACTGGGGCAAAAGGGGATTTAGTCGTTAGGCATCTGCTTTCTACATCTTATTCGTGTTGCGCTCTGCTTTAGGCTAGTGGCATTGGTGGGTCCTAATAATAGAACGAGTGCGCTCAGTTAGTTCACTATTGTTGTGCATCTCTTTCGATATTTCCTCGATCTTGATTACAGATTTTCTTACCCAAGACTTTCCTTTCTGTATATACCTGTAAGCACGAGTAGCGCGTTCTTATTAGGCATAGGTCAGAACAGTGTACATGAACTCATCTACAAAACCCTGTCTCTTCAGAGAATATCATACTTGAGACTGCTCAATACGAAGGTTGTATGTTTAGAGGAGCGAAGGAAACCCTCCCGCTCCATGTGATCACTGATAATAGAAGAAAAGTTGACTTCTTCATTCAAGATAGCTCCGTGGAAGCGAATCCCCGATTCCTTTGCTACCTGGAAACTCCTTCAAAACCACCGCAGCATATACACCAATATCTACGTGAACTTGAACGAATAGTGCACGAAATGAATGGATGAATTGAAAAATTGAGGGTTTCTTATCGTTTGGTTTCCTTTAATATCTTCGTTGGCATCTTTCCTGATCGATTGAATTTGAGCCTCGACACCTGAAGATGAAGGCGATAAGTATCAAACCACGTGACCTATATTTTCACGGGCTTCTCACGCGTCGACGAGTGAAATTCAGCGATTGCAAAACACCGAGCGCTTCGGTGGACAACTTCGCCTGACCTTACCGCATTGTCATTCATTTCTTCTCCATCGACTTGTGCCTTGTTTTGACTCCCCTTTGGGCAATTGCTGCCTCTGATCTTCAGTTGCGGCCCAAACTTGCGCTCTCTTTCCGACGCCATTGATTCACCACTCCGGCAACAACAACCGCCGAAATGACTTTCAAAGTCCCATACGATTCAAGCCCGCCGTCAACACCGGACAAGGGGAAGTCACAATGGAGTCATCTCTCTACAACCCCCGCCGGTCCTCCGCCTTCGGAAGGCGACTCCTTCACTCCCCAAGGACATCCGAACTCGAAGCTTTTCAACAGCTCTCAGATCGAGTCGCACTCGAATCAACCAGGCTTCAATAACTCCCTCTTCACCAAATCCGGCGGGTTCAACACAAATGACAGCATCTTCGGTTCCTCTTTCGGGTCTGAGTTTGCCCAGTCCAAACCAGCCAAGGCGGCCCCCAGGTCCTTCGTTGCATCCCAGTCTCACTTCGGCTCGACCAATGGAGGCGGATTCGCGCAGTCCACGAATTTCGGGCAGTCCAACGGCTTTGGACAATCAGGCGTAAGCCGATACGAGGAAGAATACGAAGAGGGGGAAGAGGAGAGGGAACCGGAAGAGGAGCTTGAAGAGGAGGAGGATGCTGAGGGGGATATGGACATGAGCAGTCGTGAACCCTCGACCCGTCTCAGCTTCCTAGATTCCAATTTCGGAAATCCGCTCCCAGCACAGCCTTCGGCGCTCGGCCAGCGCAAGCCAATTTACACGAACCCTACGGATGCGAAGCGACCGAAACTCGACGAGCGCTGGGCGCAGCAATCGCCGATTCGCAAGACCAAGCTCTCCCCGAAAAAGTCCTCTGCCATGCCTTCCATCCTGCATCAGCTTGCTGTTCGATCCCGCCAGGCTGCTGTCGACGAACCGGCTGACATGATTATCAACACAGAGGATACGCTCGGCCGAATGCATGACGAGCTTAGAGACATCCAGTACACACATCTCGATCTTGATCTCATCCTTTCATATACTGCGAACAAGTTGGCAGCGACTTGGGATATTTGTGCGGATCGCAGTGGGATTGTGCGGCCATATGGCTCTGGAGCCAGCATTGGTCCCGAAAAAATGGCTCCTAATCTCGTCAAGGCAAGCTTCTTGGCCTCTTTGATGCTGCAAATTCATCATCCGGGCCGTGCGTCTAACCCCATCGCCACTGCCTCTAACCCGGCTGCTCGAACCGGACACAACAGTATGGTCAAAGCCATGCAAAGATCTGTCGTGGCCACCCCATTGCCTCAGATTCTGCTCGACTGGTTGAACGGTAATCATGCATCCCAAGCTAATGACTTGCAAGCACTGCGCTACGTCGAGCCCAACCCGACAGCCTCCACAAACTTCTGGGATATTATCAATTCCGCTGTCCTTCGCGGCCGCTTTGCGGAGGCTGCCGAGATTCTTCGATCTGCCGATTTCAACTATGCGCGATCGGCGCTCGAGGACGGCCTACCACAGCCGGGCTACCGTGGTATTCAATTACAAAATATCCAGCGCTGCGTGAACAAGGCGCTTTCAGTGCTGGATTCTTGCCCGGGCTTCCAAGATGACGACTGGGACATAACCGGTCCTGACTGGAACCACTACCGCAAGCAGGTGCTTGCTGCGGTCAATGACCTAGAGGACTTTGCCGAGGGCGAGGAGAAGGATCAGCCAGTTCCTCTATTGCAAGAGAACCGTGGCTTCCAGGCCGTCAACTTTGGTCTTTCGAACTTCGGACAGAAGCCAATCTCCTTCAGCCAATCTGCGCGCATGGCCGAGAGTCGTGTCCCGTGGAGCATCTACCAGAGCTTGCGCTCTCTATACCGCATTATTCTCGGTGACCCGGCCACTATCAAGGCCCAGTCTCAAGATTGGGTCGAGGCGACTATCGGTCTGACTGCCTGGTGGGATGGTGAGGATGATGAAGGGACACCTGGAATCGACTTCCGCACCAGCACATCGAGCAACGACTTCAGGCGCTCACGCGGATCTCGAAGCCAAATTCGTTCCGTGGATCGCAACACTCGCGATGCCTATCTTCGACGCCTGGATCTTGCTTTCGGTAGCGCAACCAACGAGCCATCTGACAACACGGGATTCCGGGTGAACACCATGAACAGCGTTGAAGTTGGTCTGGCCAATGTGTTTGAGGGTAATGTGCAGGGTGTTGTCGAGTTGATGCAAACCTGGTCGCAGTGCGTTGCTTCTGCTGTTACAGAAGTTGCCTGCCTTGGTGGCTGGTTCACCTCTGCGGAGACGTCGAAGAAGATGCCTGGTTTGAGTGAAAAAGACTTGATGGTGTTATCCTACGGCCAGGACAACGGGCCGATTACTCACAAGCTCAACCGAGTTGATATCATACGTGATTATGCCTTTGGTTTGAATGACCGGGGATCGATCGAGAATGAGACCGGCACCCGAGAGGGCTGGGAAATGGCTTTAGAAGTATTGAGTCGTCTTGATGATGCTAGCGCGACGAAAAAAAGCCGTGTCTGAGATTGTGGACAAGCTACCGCTGGATGATGTGGCACAGATGGACAAGTTGGTCATGCTGTGCTCGGACTTGGGACTGGAGGAGACGGGACGAAAGATCTCCGAGGTATGCTTTTTCTACGAAGCCGATAGAAAACATGTGCTAATGATCTCAGCGATTTGGTGACTCGAATGCAGCCAAATCCGATAGTTTTGGCCTTGCGCTCATCTGCTATGCGCGTGCTCACAACCGCCGCAAAGTCAAGTCCGTCGTGGATCTTTTGATTTCCTACAGCTTAGTCCACTCTCGCGCATACCCTGCGACGGCCGACTTGGACGCCAACCTTCGTTCTTTGATCAAAGATCCCAAAGCGTGTTTGACATCCATTGCATCCATTGATGAAGACGCCGCTGCAATTCTTCAGTTCTACCTCAGTGGTTACGCAACGTTGCGTCGGTACTACGAGATCCGTGACGAGGCCTTGGACCTAGAGGAAGGCCAGCAACCCCGATTCAAGCCTCTTGCCCGACGTCGCGCCGCCGCCAAAGCGCTCACAGCTGTGGTGAGCAGCGCCGCTGACAACATCTACGGCGGTCTCTTCGATCCCAGCCGCGACTCCGCTGTCCAAGTTGACGGACTCCTCGCACTTCTGGGCGAGACCCTCATCTTCGTCAACCGTAAGTACGATCCGACATGCGCTTGGAATCCACGTATTGACGGCTGCCCAGAACCTACCTCCACCCTCACTGTCTCCCAACAATTCACGATTCTCTCCGCAATCGAGGATTTAGAAACAGTGACCCCCCTGTCTTCGCGCAATGCGAAGAATGCTTCCGCTCCACCCTGCTCGGCTACAACCACCTCCCCGAAGGCGCCGCTCTCTCCCCAAATACCATCCTCAAGAAATCCATCTCCAACCTCTCAGCCTCAACTTTCTCCCTTATCGGAAACGAGCTTTTATCAGGTCCCACCTCAGCTGGCAGCTCAGGTGTCCTTGTCCCTCGACCCGGTGACAAGGACTCGGGCCGAGCTCGGGGATGGGACTGGCGTGCCGGTCTGCCGGAGAGTACCAGGGGTGAGGATGTGTTGCGGATGCTTCGATTGGGTCTGGCTAAGGGTTTGAGCTTTGGGTCGTTGGGGGCCGTGTAGAAAGTCGAGCTGAAATGGGTCTCAGGGCTTGTATGATTAGCGGAATTTTTTGAGACCTTAGCATTAGCATAATGTCTGTTCAGGAATCCTGAATCGGGTTTGAACGTTGCACCTGCGGTCGAGGTGTAGATCGTCATTGAGGTCACGGACTGCGGATGATCAAGGATCGTCAGTCTGTATCTGTCATTAGACTCCAGTCTCTAAACTCTATGGTAATCGGCTAAGGCCATCAACATGTCTACTTGGTGTGTTGAAGTGAAGACACTCGTTCGTGATAAGAATCATCTCATGAAATGTAAAGATAGAACCATATGAACTACTCGGCCCTGTTTCATAGTTCAACCTTCCCTGTTTGTGCCCCAGTGGATCTCAGCCCTACGGGCCCCAGTCGCCAAGGTTCATCTCGTGCGTCAGCAGCTGAACGTGGGAGCCTAATCTCCACCAGAATCTCCCACGAACACTGAGCCTCCCCAAAGGACACCGCCAGATATCGATATGAATCACTCCAGAAACCAGAACTCGCTATAGTCAAGCAGCGAAGCAAGACGGTGTAGAAAAGAGTGACAATGAGGCGCAGTAGCGGGAATACAACGCCCCGATCCCTATCATTCAATCCGACTGGACTCTTTCGTCGAAGTGGAACCCTCAGCCTCGCACCAGCCCCTCACCGAATCCCACGTCTTTCCAAAGCTCCTTCTTTCCCGCTTGTTCTCTTCCGTCGTTGAGCCTCTGACGTGAGGTAACATGACCGGAAACTATGGACCAGGACTATAATTATGACTATGATTTTTGACCTCCCACTGGCACTCACTCACACTAACCTAATCAGTTCAAGCTTTAAGAACCGGGACCTCCAAAAATCAAAGCTTCCGCCTCCAAATGAAGACTACGGATCAGGCCCAAGTGGATCGACATAGCTCGTATTGGTTGAAGTCTTTTCGGTGATTTCCGTAGATTTCTGCCTGGGGCTCCCATAGGGCTGGACATTTGCGGGATGCCTTGCAGCTGCTTGTGGATCTGCAATTCCTCATGGCCCAGGACAATGAGGGGTCCTCTCTCATTCCGTTTTTTGTTTATATATCGACCCGGCCCAGGGCTTTTCCTCTTCAGCACTTCAGCGCCCTTCATTTCCATTGCATTCACACGGGCTGGATCTCGCTCTTTTTCTTCTTTTTGTCTGCTTTAAACCCCCCCCCCCTTCATTTTCACCAATCCACCATTGGATTTCCATTTCCAGCTCACAAGCGCATTACCAGTTCCATTGCTTCACCATCAACTCGATCACTACCATTACCACTATACCAATCTCATTCTCAATCTCATTCTCATACTCGTACTCACGCACTCCTTGAAGGAGAAAAGAGAAAAGATATTCGAAATGTGCTACAAAGTCGTCGAACGCTACTCCGTCTGCAAATGCATCTACCACCAACACTCCATCGACCCTTGTTCCGCATACGGTCAACGCGGCCACGCCGTGCAGGAAAAGACCGTGCTTGTGGGCTATGCGTGCTCAAGGCATTCTGCTAGGGGGGTCGACATCTTCGCCTGACGCTGGTCGTTGGCCGGATTCCGGGTATGAGAGTTCCAAGTCTTATCGCTAGACGGTGATTGAGGACTCAATGCCTGGAGGGGGTGAGTCGGTTGGATAGTTCTCTGGAATACAACTTGACTTGACTTGATTTGGCTTGACTATGGATTGAGGGTTCTGGCATGGATAATGGGTGAATATAAGGATCTCCCCTTGATGGAGAGTCCAGAATCAGGGCGGGATATGCTTATGTTCTCTTCTTGATGAAGAATAGGACGGTGAACTGATTTGATGGTACGATTGATGGATTACGAGAATGGGCGACGTCTGAAATGTCAAACTGCGGTCTCTGCCGGGCGCAGGGGCCGTGAGATGGAATGATGTGGTTCTCTGGTAGACCTACGAGTGATGGAGACAGTGTATACTACGTGGACCTTTCACTCCGGAGTGTGTGTTCTTTTGTTTTTGCGTTTCGTGGACTGGTTCTGCGTCTTTGCATGTGAGCGCGGAGTACATTGTTAGTTTAATATGATATTTTTGGTATTTGTTACAGATTCTTATTGGAGACTTGACGATGTAGATTCTCTTTCCATTGGAGCCTTGATTACTTTCCCAAATCTTTTCGTTGTTAGTGGTATTGAATTTTGTCAGTTTTCAGGTTTTACATGTAAAGTACGGTGGTTTTCGAAATCAAGTACATATTGACACACTTGCAACTTCTTTCACGTCCTACCGACGGATATTTTGAAAATGGTTCAGGGGAAGATGAGATCTGATAATCACTAATAGGTATAGGGAGACAACCATCCTGCAATTTCTACTTTCCCGCAATGCAAAGCGCTACATTTGAACATCGCCAATGAAGCGATGACGCACTCTTCAACATCTCTATCTTGAACACTATCTGTATCTCGAATGGGAATTATATGCACAAAGTTCAAGACCGAGCTTCCTACTTAAACACCCCATTTATCAAAAGTTGAGGTTCGATAAAGTGCAAAACTACAGCATCTCAACCATTCAGAATATGTTGGCTCAGTCAACCACAATAAAAAGCACTGATGCTTGTGGGAGGTATCATCTCCTTCGATCCTTGAATTAATGTTATAGAGATGAGAGGGTTGCTAGAACGTAACACTGCTGTATCCAAAACCCTCCATCGTCTCCTAATTTATTAAATGGAACCGGCACGCACTTCCCGTCACAGTCCGTCCTGTCACAATTAAGCCGGTCCTTGCAGCCGTCACCTTTGAGACACCACTTGCAGTCACCATCGTTTCGGCACCATTCACCCCGTTTATTTCCCCAGCCCCTCGCGCCAAATTTACTTACGCATAGACGCGGACAGCCATTTGAGCCATCACAGAAGCAAGACGCGTCGCCACAATGACATTCTGCATCATTAGAACAGGGCTCACCGTGCCCAGCTTTTTTTGCCCACGCGAAGACCACTGATATGGCCGTGATATATAAGACGGGAAAACGCATGATTTGTTGCGTGCTTGTGCTGATTCATTATCAAATGATGACAGTTGTAGAGAAGTGATTAGTGACTTACATAGGATATTAATTTCTTCGCTGTCGTCTAGGTATGTGGGATGGAATAGGAATGTCTAACTACCGGTTCCTAGCAGACGACTATATAGGAATGGTTTAGGATGCAAGCATAATGGGCAACTGGAGGAGCTGCGATTAGATGATTCATTACAAGTCGAGGGTTTCTGGTCAGATAATGATGAGTGCGTGATCACGATTGAAAGCTTACGACAGGCGCTTGACAGTCTTTTGCCGCACAGAAATTGCCAGGTACCATGGCATGCGCATATGGTGATTAGACATGAGCGTCATGTGTCATGGGCTGGGCGACATAGGAAGCACCGAGGATGTAGCGCCTTTCTCTAATGATTAATCAAAGCCGGTAGTAGAACAAAAAAAAGTTAGAGATCAGATGTCGCATGCTTGTCAATTCAGAAGATTAAAGCAGCTATATTGGGCTAGTCCTTCACTAAACATACCTCGTCATTTCAGATCGCCAATTCTAGATTGTCGTAGCCGTAGATCTCTTACCAATCAAAACATGGGTCCGACGAGCAAGCCAGATATCCTGACGTCCATTCAAGCGTAGCTCGTGACCTCATAAGGTATTTCCGCTTTCGGATAAATCTGGTGGAGACATTGCAGAACAAAGCCAGCGGGTGGACGTCTCGGACGGAACTACGTTGACCCTCGTCGTCAGATTACTCATCTTTCGTCTCCTGATCAAGTCGAGGAACCCGCATAGAGAACACACAGCGTGAGTCCGACGACCTTGACCGGATCAAGCCAGTGGTTCTGTGGGACAGGCTTGCCCAGAGAATCCGGAAATTAAGAAGATCAGTCAAGCAGTTAGACACTAAGCATGATTGGGAATAAACATTCCTGGGGTTTGGGTTGATGATCACCGACTTGACATGTAACCAGGATCGCCCTCGCTCTAATATGTACTTGATCAACCAGCGATACTCAAACATCATGAAACTCTTCTGCGCACACCAATCTCATTGATAAGAAATTGAAATGACGAGTTAGGATTCCCCACAATGCTTCAACAATTCACTTCACCAACACATTTCCCACATGGCACCCACTCGACCCGCCCGGAAAAGCCGAGCCCAGATCTGGGGAATTGCCGGCTATAAATTTCCCCCACATCCCATTGACCTCAGCACAAATTGACTCCGACATAGAATCACCACCATGTCTCTTAATCCCATCACAGTCCTCTACAAAGAGATCAATGGCAGCAAAATCAACACTGACATTTACCTGCCTGCGACCGCATCTTCAGAGAAGAAGCTATACCCCGTTAGTGAGTTCACACCTGCATTACATCCCTAAATAATACCAATACTGACCGGAACAGTAATCAATATCCATGGCGGCGCTTTCATGCTAGGCCATTCTCGCATGGTATCCATGCCGCAGATCACTGATTGCCTTGAGCGCGGCTGGATCGTACTGGTCCCTAACCACCGACTATGCCCTGGTGTGAACTTGCTCGAGGGACCAATGCAGGATATCCGAGACCTGCTCGCGTGGGTGTATGATGGACATCTCGACGCGGTTCTACAACAACAAGGTCCGTACGGCGCAGACTTGGACAATATCGCAGCATTCGGAACGTCAAGTGGTGGGCATTTGGCGATGTCGTTGGTATGTTACCCTTCTCACGCTCAAGTCGCCCAGCTATTCTCTTGGGTCAAAGTCAGGAAGAACTAACAAAGTAAGGGCTGGAATACTCCCAAATCACCCAAAGCAATCCTTTCATTCTATGGCGCCGTGCATTTCACTCACCCATTCTGGAAAACGCAACTCCCTCACGTGCAGGCCAAATTACCACCTCACCTCGATCCATCATTCTTGAACAAGATCTACGATGAGATCCCCATCCCAACTGACAGTTCCGTTTCACTGGAGGGACAATCCGAGTCAGGCGTCTCAAAGGGCCCGGACTTCTCCCGTCCCCGCGACGCATTCGCTTTCACGCAGATCGCGTCCGGCAATGTCTTGTCTGCCATCTACCCGGACTCGGAGACGAAGGATCCAACTTTCAAATCTGTGGATCCGCTGCAGAATGTTGCCTCGAAGTTCCCGCCGACTTATATTGTGCACGGGATGGCTGATACCATGGTGCCGATTGATTTGAGTCGTGAGCTTTTTGCTAAATTGAAGAAAGAGGGTGTCAAGTGTGGGATGACGGAGGTTCCGGATGAAGAGCATACTTTTGCTAATATTATGAAGGTTGGATCGAGGACTTGGTGGTTGCAGAGGAAGGGATTTGATTTCTTGGAGGATATTATTGGGCCGGGGCCTCAATGATTGTCTGGTGATAAGAGACATGTCATAGTCATATTTGCATTATCTCAAGCAGGGATTCACTGGCTTTGCTGCGTGTCTTGTGTGAAGGGGGTTGCAGCGAAAACAATCTCTCGTGGGGGTTAGGACAGCGACGAGGCGAAGCTGTGAGGTTTTCGGATCTGACCTAGACAGCGCTGTTGTGTAGAGCTGAATGAGACAAAGTCCGTTGATAGTATATTGATTCAAATGTATTATGTGAAATTTACGAATTTGCTTGGTGCAATACAAGCATCGTAAGTCAGAGTGTGGGGTACAGGGGGGCAGCACCTACGAGGAGTGAATGCGCGAGGTCAGAACCAAATTGGGTCTCCGACTTCCTCTCAAACTTTTTCTTCTCTTCGATTTGCTATATCCTTCGTATCTAGGCTTGTGCCCTTTTTATGACTCTTAGGGTAACACCTGAGAGCTGGAAGCGCTTTGAATTTTTCAGTATCCACGAAGCCTGTTTGGAAATTTCCCCGACCCGAACAGTCGAGCCAATTTTCAATCGTTCCACTGACCCCCACCTTCCCCGTCATGAAGACTGCCAACGCGTCCAAAAGTCTCTTCACCCGAACTCGAAGTCGAAGTCAGGTAGCCATGGAAAATAAATGGCTCGGGTGTCTATGTGCAGGGAACCTTCATTTATTTCCTGCACTCAGGGGAAATTCAATGTATTGATCTGTAGGAGAAGCTACAATTTGAATCAAAGAGGCCCGCGGGCAAAGGCGGTCAGGCTGCACACTGTACACCGCCTTTGCCGGCAAATGTGGCCCCCGCGAAACTAAGTGCCTCGCCCCGGTCCCTGTCCTGGAAATCCCACGTTAATTCTAACTCTGGTCAACACGAGCGTAATTCTCCTACCCCGGCTAGATGAGTAGATCTTTCCCCAATAGCTCTCACTAGTATCAGTACATATAATTCACCAGTCATTTTTTTCTTTTTTTTTTTCTTTAATCTCGGGGACCATCGAATTTCACTGTTGTGGGCGCGGGTGCCCGAGCCAAATATCCCTAGGGCGGGCCGAGAGCATACCACCATACAACCCGCCAACCATCCGGATAAACCATCGCTAGCTCTATACCTGTGAATGCACAGGCCAACACATGACGGTCTTCTCCGCGTCCCCGGAATGACCTAATTTCAGAATGCCGTTGCCAGGTGCCGGCGGAATGTTTCTGAATACATGATCCGGCGCACACGGGGGTCTCCTCCTCCTCGTGATCCCGAACCCGACCGCCCTGACGCCATGAATCGGACCGACTAGCCAAACAGCAGCCAATGCCAGAACCGAGAGTGGGAAAGAAAAAGCCTGCCATGTCTCAACCCCGACCTACCCCGACTGCCAAGGGGGAAAACCCCACTGGGGAACCCGCTTCTTAGGGTATTTCTCGCGTGGGGGTCACCCAATTCCGGAGCGAGGACAAAGTGCGCTTAGTAGTGTGGGGGTAAATCGTGCAACTTTGGTCATAAAAATGCAAAACCCTCTTTTTTATTTCCCCGGAATTTCTCTCTCGAGAAAGTGGCCTGGTTGAAAGAGACAGTCCTCACAATGGCGGACGATATCTCACGAAACACAAAAGATATGGGGATCGAGATTGAGAAGGAGAGGGTCGAGAATCTCGAGCACGTGGCTGAACAACACAATCTCCTGCCTCACATTGATCCGGCTCGTCGAATCGTGGTCGAGAAGAGTCTGAAGCGCAAGCTTGATGCTCGCTGCAGTCTGTTCGTGTTGATCTATATCATGAATTACCTCGACCGCAACAACATCTCTGCCGCCCGTTTGAAGGGACTGCAAACTGACCTCAACCTCACCGACAATCAGTACTCGACATGTCTGAGTATTCTGTACGTTGGCTACATTCTGATGCAGGTGCCTTCCAACATGTTCATCAACCGTATCTCGCGGCCATCATGGTACATTTCCATCGCAATGACCCTCTGGGGTATTGTTTCTACGTGTTCCGGATTCGCGAAGAGCTTCGGCGACATGGTGGGTATTCGCTTCCTGTTGGGTTTCGTCGAGGCGGCTTTCCTTCCTGGTGCCCTCCTCATTCTCTCCAAGTGGTACACTCGCAAGGAGCTGACCACTCGAAACGCCATCTTGTTCTGTGGTAACCTGATTTCGAACGCCTTCTCGTCGCTGGTAGCTGCTGGAGTCTTGTCCAACATGCAAGGCGTCTTGGGCCACGCAGCCTGGCGCTGGCTGTTCTGGATTGAAGGTTCCATCACCATGGTCATTGCCATCTCCTCTGGCTTTATCTTGCCTGACTTGCCCACCAACTCGAGCGGCTTCACCGAAGAAGAGCGTCTCGTTGCTCAGCTTCGTATCATTGAGGATGTTGGCGAGGCCGATACGGATGATGAAGAACAGAGTCCCTTCAGTGGCCTGATGATGGCCCTGAAAGATTTCAAGATCTACATTATGATGCTGGCTATCACTGCCTACGTCGTGGGATTGTCATTCAACGCCTTCTTCGTAAGTTTCATCCTCTGCTTCAACGAAAGTATGTCTCAGTGTTACTAATTTCTTCCCTTTATAGCCCACTCTCACCGGCACCCTGGGCTTCGGCTACGTCCCGACTCTGCTCATGAGTGCTCCGCCGTGGGTCTTCTCCTGCATCTTCTCCTTGATCATCGCCTGGCATGCCGATAGAACCCAAGAAAAGGTCACTATAGACCCATCACCCATAACCCAGCCAGCAAATCCAGCTAACAACACACCTAGATCTGGCACATTTACGGTCCAATCTTCATGGGTCTCGTCGGCTTCATCATTAGCATGTCAACCCTGAACGTAGCAGCCCGCTACGTCGCCCTCTTCTTGCAGGCAGGATCCTACGCAGGTTTCATCGTCTTCTATTCCTGGATCAGTTCCTCCTTCCCTCGCCCCCGCCAAACGAGCCGTCGCTCTGGCACTCATCAACGCCTTCAGTCAACTGGGTAACGTTGCCGGTTCATATGTCTGGAACCTGTCCGACAACGGCTACCGCAAGAGTTACGGAATCGTGACGGCCATGTACGGTTTCGCCATTATCGGATTCTGGATCTTCCGCATGATTCTCGTCAACTTGAATAAGAAACTTGAGAAGAGTGAGGCTGAGTGGGATGCTGGACATACCGATGCCCAGACTGGCGCTACTGTCGTCATGGAGAGTGCTGATGAGTCGCTGCGTATGCGCAAGGGCTTCAGATATCTGGTCTAATTTGCGAAATTGCTCTGATCAGGTTGTTTCCCCAGCAAGGACTTGGCGTTTGTTCCAATGCTGTTTGCTTTGATGATGGTGGCCGAAAATGAGGTCTCCGGCTCACTTGGCAAGCATGTACATATGGGAGTAGCGATGACGAGTCGGTAATCCCATGTTATCTCTTCTCTTCTCAGAAATGACAGTCACGAGATGATGAAAAGTAATTTACCATCCATAAACCCTCGTAGGTTCCGTTCACGAGTATCACGCAAGAAATGGAGATCGACATATTTTTCCCAGTCTTGAGGGATCGTGCCTATTGATAGCTATACAGTAATCTAAGTCTTGAATAAGGAACAGAAACGTCGAAGATCGTAAGGTGCAGTAACAGGAGAAACAGGAGACTCAATCGAGCGCCAGGGAGGGAGAATTAATTCATTACCGATATGGCTGAAGGTATTCCACAGCAAGCTCGCCACTCCCTGAACACTATTGTAAATACAATAATTTTATTGTTTATATCTCACCACTACCTTAATTATTCCAATCGCCTTTTGTTTAGAGATAGTATTATACCATATCTTTTATAAACTTAAGAGCTTTACGCATTAGAATAGAATGGTTCTATTTATCGATACCGCGAGTGTAATTTTTAGTAAAGCGATATAAAAGCGAAGTACTTCCTACGATATTCATAATCCTCACTAAACATTAAATCCCCGTTAGCTACAGGCAAAATTCGAAGTTCAAATACGAAAGGATTATTAAGATGTGAGGTTAAGAATCATTGTATTTACCATGGTGTTTGGCGGTGGCGAGCTTGGTGTGAATTACGTTAGAGGGACTCAAGAACTCTGGCTTTTGAATTGCTTGATCAATTGCCAGGGTAAATCACGAAGCACAGTTTGTGAGGAAAATATACAATCCATCGCACGTCATACAGTAGGATATTTAGCATCATGATTCCGGTAGATACAAGTAAAGATAACACCATGGATTTTTCTCAACATCGGGATCTGGCGTAGTATTTAAAAGTATTTTTTCGGGCGAAATGAATTGATGCGACTAAGAATAGATGTTGTCAACACGACGAAGACATGCTTGTCGAGCAGATCGAGAATGTATATTGCGACAAGTCTAAGGGCCCCTACAACGGTACAATACCTTGTGTAAGCTTCGACCTCAAAGTCTAGCTCCGTTGTCCCAGTGTTTGAATATGATCGATAACGATACTTCATTTCGAGTATAGGCAGAGCTGCAAAAAGCCAGCGCTACCACGATAAAGGGAGATGCAACTTTCCATATTGATCGGATATTGATGGCAATGATATTTTTTTTTCATCTCAGTCATCGCCTCTAGTCGACACGATTCAAATGCGCTCTTCCCATTCGCGCTTCTAGTGCTGAAAGTTTGATCCGTTGACAGAGCAGGCTGTAATACCAGTTGACCAGAGCCACCTGGCATTTGTTGCAGCGTTGTTGCTTTCCAGGCACTGTAGCAATTACGTGATGCAGTACGGAGAGCTCTCTTGATTGGGCCATAGAAAAGTCATTATAATAATCCCCTGTTCCATCCATTGCGAGAAGCTCAGCCTGTTGAAAAACAAATTTGTAAGAAAATACTACGATCGAAAAATCCTTTTAAAGCGACTTCTCATCCACTTCTCGTATTGTTTGCTAGAAGAGAGTGTTTTTTCCACTTTGCTCAATCTATCGCCGACGGGCAATCAATTCAGCATACACTGCAAGCTTTTCCCTGCAGGGCCTCTGCAACCGCATAATAAGCCGGCTTAGCCTGCAGAGTGCTGTTAAAGAGATCAGCAGCACCCTGACCCCCAAATGTGCCCGGCACCCAAGAATAAGCATCATCAAAGTCCCAAACAACCACACCAATACAACGGGGTCCAGCCTGCATGCAACTGGTGACACTGGTATAGTAATCAGCGGCCTGTTGCTGCTGAACACTTTCAGTGTAGAAAGGAGCCTCGGCAACGCGAACATCGAGCTCAGTCACAGCAACATCCAAGTTAGCCTTGATGTAAGCTTTCTTGGTGGAAAGCTGATCAGCAAGGGAAGGTGTCTCGCCAACAATAAAATGCGACTCAAGACCAACACCATCAATCCGGATTCCACGCTTGCGTAGATTACTGACGAGGCCGAGAACGGCATCTGCTTTGGTTCCGGGGTTCTCAATACCGTAGTCGTTGTAATAGAGCTTCACGTCATGGGCGCCAATCTCCGCCAGAGCCTGCTGAGCATACTGGAAGGCGAGGTAGAAATAGTCCTCTCCAATGGTATCGTACCAGACACTCGAGGAAAATGACCCATCGCCATTCAGGGCCTCGTTGACCACATCCCATGAATAGCAGCGTCGACCATAGTGCTGAACAGTCTTGTAGATATGGTTCTTCATCACCTTCTTGAGAGCTTCGGCTGTCCAAGTTGTCGATGTAACAAAGTCTGAAAGCTCGCTCACCCAGACTAAATTGTGGCAGCGTACACGAGCATTGTACTTCTCAGCCACATGTAGGAAGGCGTCTCCCTCGGTGAAATTGAACACGTTCTGCTCGGGCTCTGTGTACATGAACTATATTATGACACACGCTTGTAAGCCAGTATCGATACACAGATTATGACTCAATCACTTACCTTCATGGCATTGGCGGGCGTAATCTCGCCAAAGTTCTTCTGCAAGACATTCAAGTACGCAGGGTCAGTCGTCTCGCCTGTTCCAGGGATATCGGCCGCGGTGCCAAACCACAGCTTCCCATGGTGCTGTGCCAGGGAATTGAGGTCAATGTCGTCTTGGGGTTGGGGATGAGATTGGTGAGGAGCTGCGTGGCTAAGGCAGGCAAGAAGAGCCGTGGCAGCAATGACCGCGTGCATTCTGGCAAGGTTCTATAAAGTGGAGATTGGCTAGAGAAGAGTGTTTATCTAAATATGCCAAAATACCACAGTATTTAAATGCTTGAATCTAGAAAAAAAGGGTTCCCCGCAAAAACAAGCAGTCGGCAGTCCCAATCTGTGGAGTTAATTTCCCCACAGCCTGGGTCATGAGCTCTTCATCGCTTGCTGGGATGGACAATGCTTTCAGGCAAAAAGGGTCGGAGGATCAGGCTATATTCGATTGGAGAAAGGATCAGGGGACTGCACTAATTTCTATACCCTGAGCCAGAGAGACCACCTAGCCGTCGGTTGCGAGTCTCCGAACTTACACAGGACAAATTCACAGAGTTTCCTTTTAGGCTAAAATATAGATAATGAAAAGTCAGAGCGGTTGTCCGAGGTCTAATAGCAATTGCTGAGGAGTTGAAATTAGTGACCTGCCTAAAATAATGGGAGACAGACCGAGAGGGGTGTTTAGAAGCGATTGGTCTCGGCCAATTCGGTAGCGGACTGCAATTTGGCAGCAAATTCACCTAATTCATTTCCAGGATAGCGCCTGTGCTGAACGCTTGCGAACTATGACAAACTTGGAGAAGCGATGGTCCTTAGCGCATGACTGATATGGGGAACTTTTCCCCGCCTGAAGGTACATCTCGGCTATGCCTGAATTCTCCCAGGCACGACAGCCGACCTGCAAAGCACCCCCAACCCCGGTAGTTCCTGAATATCATTATATAGTTTAGAGTAATGGATTGCGCGTGTATATAGTACGTTAGCCTTTGAAAGATACTGTGCATGTAGAAAAGTTAGATCGTGAACTATTGAAGAAGGTACTTTGAGCTTCTTCTTTCCCATGTCTGTGACCTCAGTTTCTCTCGCATTAATGCAATGCACACACTGCATCATATGATGGTCAGCCATAGTCCTTATACTTGTACAGAGACAACTATCATTCTTTTCTACAAGGCAAAAGGTGTGTAATGGAGGGGTCCATATCTACACCTATATTTTGATCATTGTTTACAGCTCGAAAATGGATATTGCACCAAGAATTCAGGTCATTTCTCATTTCACATGCTAACCACCCACGCTAAGTACAGCACGGATTGAATTCAAGGATGAAAGATACCACAAGGCTGCATACCAACCCGGTGGAAGGGATCTGCAGAGCGGCATTGTCCTTATGGCTTGCACCTGCGAGATGCACAGGCAGATACAAGATAAGCTGGTCATCCACCCGGACTGAGTCCTTATCCCAAGGATTCGGGGGTCACAACTCAGGGCGGATAGTTGTCTGGTGCATCGGAGGGTCCATCGATGTCTAAATCTCCTGCTCTCCCCTTCACCACCACCACTCAACACCGAATTATCGTCCCCGCCCAGCCGTAGCGCAAAGCCTTTTCACCAACGGCAGAGGGCTGTTTTTGTTGTTTTGTATGTTATTTTGAAAGCAAAAGCAAGGATGCATGATGGCCGGTGTTATTTCCTGCGACCAAGACGAAGACCGGGCATGTTTGAATATCCGAATATGTTCCTTTCCGAAGGTAAGTTGGACAGGAGCAAATCCGGGCCGAGAACCATCTAGCGACGGACGACGATACCCTGGCGGCGGACACCGCTGCGGGCACGACGGTACTCCTCATCACTATCCTCAGACTCGGAGCATGAGGCATCCGAGGACTCAGTGACGTAGCCGCAGCGGCTGCCGCCACAGTCGAGCTTGACGCGGTCTCCCTTGCGGGTGATGCCGTAGCGTTCACAGCGGCACTGCACGGGGGGGGTCGCTCATGGATGACAGAGACGAGGGCGAAGTTGAGCCAGAGGAGCGCGAAGACAGCGATGAACCGGCGGAGCTGGGTGGGGAGTTGCTGTAGGGAGTACTCGTCAGATAGACGGGAGCCGGCGAAGCGGCGGGTCAGGTCATCGACAGTAGGAGCGAACTCGGCTTCACGGAGCTGGCGGGAAGCGTAGGGCTTGGACGGCTTGGGGTGCTGGATCTTGGAAGGCGAAAGAGCGCGGCCAGTGGCGACGTTGGTCGAACCACGGCGGGACTTGTGGGAGCTGCGCTCGGATTTGCCGCCTGGCACGTCCAGGATGTTGAGCTTGCGGCCAGTGGTAGGCTCGACGGTGTACTCGACGGCGGGGTCGTGGCTGACGTGGTACCCATCCATGATGTAGTAGTACCAGTAGCGGGCGCCGAGCTGGAGCATCGAAGTTTGGAAGCGGAACTTGCCATTCCAAGCACCGGGCTTCTCTTCGGCGGAGAGGGGCAGCTGGCGAGAGTAATTGTCCCAGGATCCGACGAGGTGGACAGTCTTGACGTTGGACGAGGTCCGCAGGGAGAACTTGAGTTGAACTGCGGCCATTGTGATAAAAGATGCGAATCACAGAAAACAAAAATAAAGTTTGTCGTAGACGTATAGCGTAAAGCGTAAAGAGTAAATTGGTGATAACAACTGAAACTACCCGAGTTCAATTGTCAGATTGTATGATTCACTCTTGAAGATGGAAACCAGTTCCACGACAACGAGAATATAAAGAATATATCCGAGCGAGATTAGATTAAGAAGATTTGTTGATAGAGCTGAAACAGCAAGGCAGACGTCGACCGGCGACGAAATAAGGCTGTAGTTGGAAAGTAGTCGAGTTGAAATCCGAGCAAGGCTGAATAACACAAAGAGCGCAGCTCGTAAGTGTTCAGAAAGGGTTTTGTGGGTGTTTGAGTTGTAAGAAGGTGAATTAAGAATAGTATAGTTGGAAAGAATAAAAGAACCTAGCAACCAGTGCTTAGGATTCGACTCGAAAGGGCAGCTCTAACAAACAAACGCTCGCTGAAGAAAAGAAAGAGAAAGTGCGCCTGGGCGGTTATGGCCAGTTTTAAGGGAATCAGATCGATCAGCGCTGCAGAATCGTGTTGGTTGTTGCCGTGGGCGCATATTCTTGGTCCATTATTGGCTATGAGGTGTGTCGCGCAGTGACGGGCTGCTTTGCTAGTCTCCCGCCAATGATCATCCCGGATTTGACGCTCGCGGTGAGACCGGATGAGGGTGGGTGATCGAATCAGCTTGGATCATGGGCTTCTGTCAAAGTGGTCGGATGCGACCTGCAGTCGACCTGCAGAGTCTGGGTTCTGGACAATGCCTGGTGCAGGGCCACTGCATTGTCCATGGGACGTCATGTCGTGGGATACTTCCAGGTGGAAGGGTGTTGGCCGGGCTTGTTGGAAACGTTGGGTCAACGACAGACTGCATCGAAGCAAAGCAAAGCTTGAGAGTCAAGGCACAAAACTCCATCTTGATTATTAGAATACCCCGCGCACAGCCCTGGAGTTGGCCGCGGGAGGATCCTGACGACCCCGCAAGATAAAGTGCCGGGACGTTCCCAACTCCGTCAGCATCGTCGAATCTCGCGAGGTCAATGCAAAGCCGGGAGCCGGACTTGCAGAGCTACTGAGGCTCTTGCGTTATTCATGGCATGCGCAGCCGGGGCTTCCAAGCTCACGCGGGTCATAACACTGGTTGGGGTGATGATTGGCGTAGCGGAAATGCCCCCGGAAGGTAGAAGACGTGTACGAATATGATCGGTCAAGGAATCTGTCCGGGCTGATGCGTGGCACAGATTGTATCGAAGTCTTGATAGAATCCCTGTTGTGGAGTGGAGGTGTGCAGGGGAGAGATAGACTACAGTGCGATCCATGGTTGGTTTTTCAGCCGAACCAACTTTCTACGGGATCCTTGACATTTGATTCTCTCTTCCCTCGACTTGGGAGCTATAGACCTCTTTGATATGTTCTCGGTACGAAAGAATGTCTTGATACAACACTCAAGTCAAATCATGTTCGACCGGCTTGTCCATGTATGTGCACTGACAGATGCTCTGAGCTGGCCTTGTCTGACAAGTACTAAAAGTCCTCGATGTTGTTCGTTAAATTATGGGCTATAGAAGTGTTAGTTGAGTGGTCAAGGTCTCGTCGACATATCGATTGGAGCGCTGACTACAATGTACAAATTATGATGGATTGAGTATGCAAGGACTGGGTCATTGGATTCCTAGCAGACGTCGTCGGCACTCGATGACTGGGATCGGACAAACACTCTTCTCTTACTCTACACAGCCAGCTGTTCTGAGTTACCAATGGATCATGAATACAAAGAAAGAATTCACTATGTATGACTATTTCTGTATCACCAGACGAAAGATGCTCTCAGATCCCCGACGCCGCAAAAGTCCAACGACGCATTTTTCAGCAAATCATTAAAATACAAAAAGATCACCGCACCGACACGCCGGACCGGTCGGTAAACATCCTCGCGGCAATGTTCATCGAGGCCAGCTCCTGGAACAAAAGCTTGGCGGCGTATGGAATGTGCACCTGCGAAATCCGGTGCTTATTGTTGCAGAGGCGGCACTCGAATAGGCCCTTCTTCAGTTTTCTGAAAGGAGTCAGTATTTTGAATTCACTCGCGGAAGGGAAGGGGACTCACGCAATAGGGGTCATCAGGCCGCAGTCGTCACAAATATGCACGCGGAAAGGATCGGACACGTCGAACAGACGCTCCTTCAAGAAAGCACTGGCTCCGTGGGCGATCATGCAATCACGTTCCATCTCTCCGAAACGGAGACCACCGTCACGAGCACGACCTTCCACGGGCTGGCGGGTCAGGATCTGCGTTGGGCCACGGGCACGCGCGTGGATCTTGTCGTCGACCATGTGGCGCAGACGCTGATAGTAGGTCGGGCCCAGGAAAACCTGTGCCACCATCTTGCGACCGGTGTATCCGTTGTACATGACCTCGAATCCACGGGACTGGTAGCCGTGCTCGCGGAGCAGACGGGAGACGGAATCGACTGTCACGTCGGTGAAGGGGGTGGCATCACCTTCGAATCCACGCAGCGAAGAAACCTTACTCAGTTGACACTCGATCAAGTGAGCAATTGTCATACGAGAGGGAATGGCGTGCGGGTTGATAATCAGATCAGGGACAATACCCTCGCGAGTGAAGGGCATGTCCTCCTGACGATAGGTGATACCGATGGTACCCTTCTGACCGTGACGAGAAGCGAACTTATCACCGATCTGGGGAATCTTGGTGGTACGCATGCGAACCTTGACGAACTTGAGCTCGTCACCACCAGTGGAGACCAACACCTGATCCACGATACCACTCTCAGTGCTGCGAAGAGGCGTAGAAACATCAATTTTGGTGTGAGCCTTAGTACGCTGTCCAAGCTCTTCGGCCTCGGGAGCCAAAGGTGCAGTCTTGCCGATGATGATATCCTCACCAGACACACGGACACCAGGGGCAATGATACCGTCATCATCAAGCTTGTCGTATGTCCCCTTGCGCATGCCAATGGTATCAGATCGCATTGGCTTCTCGAAGCGCTCCACAACTGTCAAGCCAACCATCTTCTCTGAGTCTGTGTATGTGCGGTAGAAGAGACTGCGGAACAGACCACGGTCGATACTGCTCTGGTTCATAATGACGGAATCTTCCTGGTTGTAGCCAGAGTAACAGGAGATAGCCACAATGGCGTTCTGACCGGCGGGCAACTCACGGAAACGCAAGAATTCCATTGATCGAGTTGTTGCGAGAGGCTTCTGAGGGTAGTAAAGAATGTTCATCATGGTCTCCATACGCTGTGCAAAATTCGTCAAGAAGACACCCATGGCTTGTTTACCCATGGCAGACTGGTAGGTGTTACGAGGAGACTGGTTGTGATCCGGGAAAGGAATAATACTGGCACAGACACCGAGAATCATACTGGGATGAATCTCGCAATGTGTCCATGTGTGTGCCCGCTGACTGAGAATAGAACGGACTCGCTTGTTGGGGTCATCCGAATCGGTCTCAGGCAGCGCGTAGCCGGCCTGGAGCTGCTTGGAAATTTCCAAGTCTTCAGGCGTCATGACAATCATGATGGTCTCTTCTTCCTCGGCGTCCACCAACTCCACAGCTCCGGAGCGGACCAAGCCCTCCCATCCGAAATAGCGCTCACGGCGATCTTCCGCGTCCATATCTGCCGGCAATTCTTTGTCCTGCTCGAGCTTTCGGATGTGCTCCTTATTGAGAACCAACGATCCAGCATTTTCACTCTTGGGATCATTGTCAATGGTGAAAAGAGGTCGACACACACGACCAGTATCCGTGAAAATCTTGAACTCTCGGTCACGAATGTCACGAACCAAGCTGACCTCGTGAGAGATCATGTTTCGACGGCGCAAAGACATCATGGTGGTGACAAGATGCGACGGATCGCGATGAATACCGACCCAAACACCATTGACGAAGACCTTGGTAGCGTTGGGTGTGACTTGGGGCTCAAACTCTTCAAGAACCTCCATATTACGCTGAATCATGAAGTCAATGATGGGCTCACTGGGCGTACCTACAGTAATGTAGCACATGAGGGCCAAATTCTTGACAAGACCACAAGCTTGACCTTCAGGAGTTTCAGCAGGGCACACAAGACCCCAGTGGGTGTTGTGAAGCTGTCGCGGCTTGGCGATCTTTCCATCTCTGCCAATGGGTGTATTGGTACGACGCAAATGTGACAAGGTCGAGGCATAAGTGTATCGACTCAGCACTTGAGACACACCGGCCTTGGCGCTGGCCGCCTTCTTCTGCTCGCCCCAGTTACCCGTTGCTAGCGCATACTTTAGACCACTTGTGAGGGTAGCGGCCTTGATACCCATGTTCAAGTAGATCTCTCTGTTGGTCTCAACACATCGCTGCACGTAGCGCTGCAAGTCACGAGTGACTCGGGTGAACAGAACTCGGAACAGACCCGCCAAGAGGGGTCCAGCGAGATCCAAACGCTTCTTGCCGAAATGATCACGATCGTCGACATCGCGGCGACCGAGAGCACACTGAAGAAGACGGTGCACCATGTAGCCAAGGAAGAAGGCTTTGCGAGTCTCACTGCCCTCGCTTTGTGAGATATGCGGCAACAACTCCTTCTGCATGATCTCCCGTGCGTAACGCACACGGCGCTCGTGGTTCAAATTCGACTGAGAGGATCCACGCTTAGCGATAAAGTCCAGGGCAACCTCACGATCTTGGATGACGAAGCCCTCCTCAATACACGGCTTCAACATCTCCAGCATCGGCGTATCGTTCTTATCATAGCAAATATGATTAAGAATGTCCTCGTCAGACACAACACCCAAAGCACGGAAGACAACGACGATAGGAATGTCGGTCTTGACGTAGGGCAGAGTTGAACGGATGGTAGGGCCGAAGCCGCCCTTGGCGCTGTCACCCTTGGCGAAGAGCTTGAGCGCAAGCTGCGACAGAAGTCGCGATCCCTTCTCGACTGCACTTCGAATTTCAGCAACGTAAGGTGTTGGGCTTGGGGGTGCCTTCTTGAAGACCTGAACGATGTTTCCGGCACTTCGCTCCTGTGCAATCAACACCTTCTCACTTCCGTTGATGACGAAGTAACCACCAGAGTCGTAGGGGCACTCATTCCAGGCGTAAAGGTCCTGCTCAGGCAAATCCTTCAAGATACAGTATTTGGACTTGAGCATGATGGGCATCTTGCCAATGAACACAGGTTCCTCCTTCTGCTGCTCCATGGGAAGCTCCTTCTGCTCCCACTGGAGGTATGTGCCACGGGTCTTGGGGTCCGCATCAAGATCGCCTTCTGCGTCCTCCGGGTCGGCAACCAGACGCTCTCGTCCTTCCATGATTTTTTTTGTGACGCCAAGGTAAAGGGGACTCGCATAGGTAAGGTTTCGGAGACGTGCCTCTTGCGGCAACATGATTGTGGTCGCTCCATCACCTTCTGTGACGGATGGTCGTGAAAGCATGACAGTTCCGAATTTCAGCTCGTAGCGGCGGACAACGATCGGCTCGACTTCGTCTTCGGCGGGGGGAGCGTTTGGTCGAGAACCACTTGTCCTTGTTCCTCCACCAGTTCCTGCATCGTTGAAGAAATGAATTCATCGAAGGAGTCGAGCTGCTGAGAGACGAGACCCTTGCTGTCGAAGAAAGAAGATATCACGGTCCAGCAGTCTTCCGAGGTAATTCCCTCATCGCCATCGTCGTAAAACTCATCTTCGTAGGCTTCGTCGTATTCAGCCATGTTTAAATTTGTCGAGGGCCCAGAAAGGAGCCCAGGTGCGAGTGTGAAAGAAGAAGAGGCTCCTCAGGTAGCGCAAGGCGCGTCGGCTGCGGAAAAGCGTGAGAAATACCCGCGCTGCAACACCCGCCCGTCAGAGACTGGAGAATCAGTATCTGCAGTCTGCACAGGCAAGTGAGGGGCAACCTGAGGGGTCCGGTAGGATGTGAAAGAGGCCCAGCGATTGCAGGATGAAGGGACTGATCTCCGAGGATCTTGATGCTTCAGCGCCATGAGGTGCGCTAGCCCGATGAGTAGATCACGTGCGATGCGTGGATAAAAGTCACGTGACATCATGCGACATGGACTGGCCGGAGTGACCCAATGTTGAGGACCCAAGGGACCATCCCAAAGGCTGTACTAATGAAAGCAGACGCTCTGATTGCTGGCCGCTGAGATTATTGTCGGGGGATCTTGTGAGGTATAGTTGTCAAATGCGTGAGCGACTAAGATGTTGAGACTGCAATGTATATTTTTGAAATACGCACATCTGCATGTGAACGCCACCACAACAAGCGTTGTCGATCGACGCACCAACATGATCAGAATTACGGACGCCGGCTGTGAAGGCTTCTCTATTACGCTGCATGGACGTCTTTAATCTGCAATCAGATAGTCTACCGTAGCGCAATCAAGAGTACTAGAAGATCCACGAAGTCTGTGCTTCAATGTATTACATTGCTGGCCACGATTGAGCCTGTCAGGCAATCACAAGAATTGCAGCAAGGTGCTTAGCATGTCCTTGAAATCTTTCTGGCCTTCTTCCTCCCCTTCAAGTCCATCGAGTTGTTCTATATCGGTCAGCATTGTGTGTTCTGTGGTGAGAATGTAACTTACCTTGCAAGGTACCCTTCACCAAAGACAAATCCTCATCCCGATCTGCCAGAAGCGAGACAACCTTTTTCTTAGCACCATCATCCTCGGCGATAAGCCATGCAAGGATGATATCGATCGTCTGCAGTGAGAACAGACCAGCGTCAAACCTCCGCGACAACCATTCACCAGCCATGAGTTCCTGATCCTCCGACGAAAAGCCCTCGCGTTCTTTCGCAATAGCCTGCTCAACCGGCGAGATACGAGCAGCATATTCCCGTCGAAGCTTGATAAGCTTCTCGATCTTCTCATAGTCCTTCTCCATAAACTTGGCCAGAGTCCTAATCCGCGCCGCAGAACCACCAGGCAAAAGTCGAAGAAGCGAGGCAAAGATGCCCAAAAGGTGCTCGATGCTTTCAGACTCTTGCTGCGAGCTGTAAGCAGATGTCCGGTGAGTATAGGGTTTGATATTACCTTTTTCATGAACATTCCGAATACTGTTCTCAAGCCTGCTGCTTCGATCAATCTTTCACAAGCCGGAGCACCTCCAGCTCCACCAAATGCGTGATCGAGAACGCGAAGAGCACGTGGCTTGCTGAACTTGCCTTCTTTGAGCATGATCAAGCCCAGTTCGATGCCCTCTGCTTCGATGAACTTTTCTTTGCCTAAATCTTCATCGACGAGGCAAACTAAGGAGGCGAAAAGGTTCTCTACATATTCCTCCTCGTCTGAGTCCCTCTCAGGATCACGTTTCCGGTATGCGCTGAGGAGCTGGAGAATGATGTCGACACCCTCGAGACCGATGAACTTCTCCCGGTTCTTGGAGGAAGATTGCAGGAGAATGGCCAAAATCTCGGCGGCATACTGCTTGTTTTGGCCTACGGGTGATTCTTTCTTTTGGATGCGTGTCAAGATCCAATGTAAGACTGAAGCGTCTTGCCCTATCTTCTCCGCGAGCGGGTTCTGCGAGGAGAGATTTTCTAGGACACCTGCATCGGATTAGCATTGAAGAAGCTTTGATTGAAATTTCACATACTTAGCACATAATAAACACCGGCACGATCAGTCTCTGAACTCTCATCCAGACGACCGAGATTTTGCGTCAAAAGTTCGATGAGATCGGCATCCATCTGGATATTTTAGTATTCAGTCAACATACGCACCAGTAGCACTCACCATAGCATTAACTAGGCTATCCCATTGCCCCTGCTCAGCTTCCACGTCTTCGTCAGTCAGCTCACTGATGATCTGAATGGCATCAATCGCAATATCCGCATTTTCGTGGGATAGCAACGATATTAAAGAGCCCACGCATCCCATCTTCGCGAATTCCTCATAGAGCTCAGGGTGCTCCGACAGAATTGAGAGTCCTTTGATCTCGGTGTCCAAATCGGCCTCGGATGCCATGAATCTAGCGCAATCAGTCAGTGTTTAATAATTTGTGTTCAATTTGATCGACGTACTTTTGTGGATCGCCTTCAAACTTCCCACGAAGCTCTGCATTCTTAGAAATCTTTCTCTCGAAGTTGAGCGCAAACCGGCGCACCCAAGCAGCGTCGAACTTCTCAGGCTGTGATTAAGCATTCCATCAGCACGAGGACTTTCCAAGCTTCTCAGGAACACATACCGCAGTCTCTTCCTCTTCATTTTGATCGATGTATTGCATAGCATCGGCAGTCTTCTGTTCCATGCCTCCGCCAAAGAAACGTCCTTCCTCGTCATCTGGTATATCCTCTTCACCAAAGTCGGGCGGCAGATCAGGACCAGCTTCTCCATCATCCTCAATGTCTTCCTCTTCCATGGGTTCCTTCCCTTTCGTCCTCACTTCGCCATTGGTGCCCAGCTTGGCCGCTTTGTATAGCTCATCTGGTCTTGTCAGTACGTTGCGTCGGGCGCGTTCGTGTGCGCGGGATGAATTGGACGCACTAGGATCATGGACGGGCTCGAATTTGCGCTTGGAACTTCCTGCCGTGGACGGTTTCTGGCTTGTCAGAATACGTACTTGCTTATGGTCTCCGGGGACTTACCTTGAAGAGCTCGTCGACGCTCGTCATGGCTGCGACGTGAGAATCTTATGAAATGATGGCGTCGCCCAGCCCAATTTGGAAAGACAACTTCAGAAGGAGAGATAAAATTGTGAAAGTGAGAAGCAAGGACTATTCACGAAGACGAAGTCGCATTGCCTGCGCGCAAATATGGTACGGGTGACGCTGCACGCCAAGAGTGCAGTGACGCCAAGCGGTGACCGGCCGCAGATTTCTCGATTCTCCGATTCTTCAACATCATCTACCTCTTTTACAATCTATCCTACCAACTACTTTCTTATCAACCGCTACAATGGCCCCCAACCGTGTTGTCGTCTCCAGCAATGGTCGCCCCCAGAAGGGTTTCATGAGCACCATCTACGATGAGGCTACCTCCCCGAGAATACCACCATCGTCCGCAGCCTCCTGATCTTCGGTGTACGTCTATCTAAACTCTTTCGATTGTATTGCCATGATACTAACATTTAATAGGCCGGTGTCGCGTTTCTCCACAGCAGCCTCGGCGAGTTCCTTCTTTCCTCCGTAAGTCGCGCCTCCCAACACAGTACACTGTCCCATTGAACGGATGAATTGGAACTGACTCGATGCAGCATGTAAACCGACTCCATACGCCTCAAATCGACTCGAACCATTTCTTTGGAACATGCGAAGCATACTGGCGTCGGTCTAGGGAACATGTTGGTAGATACGTCTCGTCCGATGCTTTCGATATCTCTGTATAATAGTTTGGGCATGCGCATCGCAGCAGCCCGGGTGGTTTGTTATGAATACCAAGAATTTTGACATTATCTTTGGAAACGGTTCTCTAAGACCCTGGTATCCTCGTTCCTGGTATGGCAGCGTCGAGTCATGACCAGGCCACACGAAGGGAAAACGTACGGACTGAAGCGACAGATAGACGGACAGGCGATATCCAGGAGTATACTGTCCACGAGCTCCGGGCTTCTATGCATTGTTTGGACTGGTGGTCATGTAGCCTGACATTGGTACACAAGGTCGCCAGGCGTGCACGACGACAGCGACACGCAGCAGTCAAAATCACGCGCCACAATACGCTGCGCTACATTAGGAGTGAGAGAGCATGTCCCCATCCAAGCTAGAGTTGAGCAGGTGCAAGAGCCTGATGATCTCATGAAGGACTTTACATTGATGACAAACCGAGCTGAGGAAGGAGAGAGGAAGAAGATGAAGCGATTAGGAAATCGAGGGGCCTTGTGTAGAGAATTTTGCAGACCTAGGTGCCTGGATCTCCTTGAATCTTTGTTTTTGAGACGGTCTTGTCATTTTATAGCCAGGCGTTCCATTCTCACATCAGGAAGGATAGTTTTATTCAAGGCGCTGAATTTTCCATTCTTTCTGTCCCTCATCCTTTGCCGTAGCAATTATTTGAGATATCTTTCCAGAGATGTTGAGATTCAGTCTCATGGCATCCGCCTCGTGAGACAGTTTTCTCGACAGAGAGACCTAGCCGGCGATCAAGACTCCCTTGTAATTTGGTCCGACTGTAGAAACCGAGTGTAAACCTGAAGTGTACAGTGACAGTCGTAGGGCCGAATCAATTGACGCTCTAGAGTTAAAGTAAGTCTCCTGTTCCAGCAATCAAATTTCGCGTATCTACCCCATGATGCAGTGCTGAAGGCAGTATCGAAGCAGCATCAGCTGGTGGTGAGGGTTAATTCCGTATAGTAGTGCACAAATAAACAAGGTCCTTTTCAACCCCTCCAAGGCTCGATTTTGTAGCTGGCGGTGGATGACCGCATATATACACAACCTGGGCTACTTTTCGGGATGGACCTCACCTGGGCTATCTCAATATTGAATCTCAAGCCGGATAAGCGTATGTGCCAGGTCAGGATGAAGGTATCCCCGCTAGGCCGAAAGGTTGTTGGTAAGCCTCCACAGAATACCCCACACCCCAGACCGAACACCGCCTTGGGATGAACCCGCATTCTCACTGCCGTTGACATGATCCGCTCTGTCGATCTCTAATCAGCCTAAGTCGCGTTCCGGTGTCAAGACTCACTGTCATCAAACTTCCTACCCCCAATGCAGGCCTCTGCGTAGCCATGCCTCTCTCTCCCTCTGGCAATACGCTGGCCTTGAAGCGCAAGTTGCAACAAGCGGGGCCTGCGACAAAGCGACATCATCTCCAAGGCTACGACCCGCAGGCCCCATGGCTATCAGAGACCAAACCGCCAAGTGGCTGGCGTACGCTTGGCGACCAGGCTCTTCAGAACTCGTTGCCCATAGCCAATATGGTCTCCGCCGTTCAGGATCTAATCGATCCGGATTTTGATCCGTTGACTGCCCTGTTAGACGAGGAGCCCCGGTTTTTGAAGCCACTGCCAGATCGCATATGCTCTGAAGACCTCGAATTCTTGCGCTTTCGTGGTGCGCTGTCCATTCCAGAGACTGGTCTGCGCAATGAGCTGCTGCGGTCGTACATTCAATGGGTGCACAGTTTCTTGCCCGTGTTGAATCTACAAGAGTTTCTACGATGCGTGGCGGAGAATGATCCAAATGGAAACGTCAGCGTTCTTCTTTTTCAGGCGGTTATGTTTGTTGGGACGGCTTTTATCGACCTGAAGCACTTGCAAGCCGCAGGGTACTCGACAAGGAAAAGTGCACGCAATGCCTTTTTCACTCGATTAAGAGTATAAAGTGATCCCTTCTCTTTTGACGACCTCTGTGCTAACCGCTCTGTAGCTTCTTTACTCCTTTGAATGCGAAGACGATCGTATTGTTATTGTCCAATCCCTGTTATTGATGACCTACTGGTCCGACCCCGAAAACAGCCCACAGCGGGATATCTGGGATTGGATTGGAGTGTGCAATACGCAAGCTCACTCTATCGGTCTAAACACCGACCCTGTCTCGAGCGATATGGATAGTCGGACTCGACGATTACGAAGCCGTCTATGGTGGTGCCTGTACTCCCGAGACCGTTTGATCGCCATGGGAATGCGACGCCCACTACAAGTGAACGAGGGGACAAGCAACGTGCCATTGCCTAAGTTGGAGGATTTTGACTTTGAGCCGTTCTCCCCTTCTGCGGTGGCTCTCTTCCGCTGTCGACAACTGGAAGATGTGTCGCATCAGAAGCGCCTGGCCACCATGTTCATCGAGAAAGCGAAGCTTTGCCAGTGCATTGGTCGGGTACTTTTTGCGCAGTATGCACCATCACAGCGTCAGTTCGGTGCCACTGACCGCACCACTGTAACTTTGATTCCTCGACAAGCCTCCGAGTCCGAGTTCATACGATGCACTCAAAAACTAGACTCGTGGCTGAGTGGTCTTCCGAAAGATGCCCAATTTATCCCGCAATCAAAAATCAATTTCGGCGATGGCGAGGATGTGCTACTTCTCCACGGCGCTATGCTTCGCATGCTATTCCATGCAACCACAAGCGCGCTGCACAGACCCTGGGCAGCCGGCTCAAAAGACCAGTCCAAATCTCGGTTGGAGATGCGCGATACAGCTCGCACTAAGATGCAAGACGCCGCCGCTGGCATTACACACATCATTCAAGGCCTCAACCAGCTTAACCTCACACGTTTCCTCCCCCAATCTGGCGTGACAGTAATTCTCCCAGCCGCAGTCGCCCACCTGTCAAACTCGATGTCCGACAATCCTGCCGTCCGCGAAAGCAGCATCTCCAACTTCCATCGCTGCATTCAAGTCCTCCACTGCCTGAAAGACATCTACCCAGCCGCCAACATCGAATTCGCCAACCTCGAAGCCGCCACCAAAGCCCAGTCCGCCAACTGCAACTCCAACACATTCTTCCAAATTATGCAATATAACTTTGCACCACCCACACCACCCACACCACTCACAAACATCAACACTCGAAACAAAAGCTCAGACTCTATGATCTCACCCCGCCCCGGGGCGGAATCCCATTCCACAACCTCCATCACGGAGTACCAAGATCACCGCAAACAAAGCACCTATGAAAGCCCCTCGAACACAAACCCATCTCGCCGCCCCTTCCCAAACGACTTCGACGACCACTTCGCCGAAACCACATCCGCCGAAAACCCATTCAACTTCTTCACCTTCGACTTTGACACTTTCCCGAACATTTCCAGTACCCCGGAACCAGCCCTCTCGCCCTCAAATGACATAGATAGCATTGACTGGACACAAGCCTTGTTCCGAGGACATCTCCCTGAGCTCGATAAGGATTCCCCCTTCGAGACGAAACAAAGCTCGCAGCAGGAACAGGAGCAAGAGCAGGATCCCTTTGATTTTGCCTTGAAGGATGATGACAATGGAATGGGGCATACTACGGCGCATCATGATATCACGGGTGACTTGGATCGAGATTTGGGATTTCAGACTGGGGATGAAATGTTCTAATCAAGGATGGGTGTAACACTTGATATTTGTGAGATGCAATTTGATGTGAAATTTAGCGTCAATCGAAATTGTACGATAAGAATCCCTTCCACTGGGCTGGAATTTGACGATGAAGGAGTATGAGTAGTAAATCCGAGACAGATCTTCCTTGCTATTGTCTACTTCTATTATGGATATCATTGCTATCATCTGCTCTCTATCGATCAACCAGAGCGACCTTTTCTAAAATACCTCCCCGTGCTCGTATTTCGTCAAGCAATGAACGGCACAGACTATGCCTTCTGCGCCCAGCGGTTCTGCTCATCGCCCTGTTCCCAATCTCTCTCCGTGTATCCAAGTACCTTCTTGACCTCCGCGACCTTCTCGGAGTCTCCGGTGTTCTTGCCCAGGTTATCACTCAGCTTGACAGCCGGGCTCCCATTCGCAGTTGAGATCTTGATGACAATGTTGAGGGGTTTGGACTTTTCGCCGTTCGATTTGTTCGTGAAGTCATCTATATGAATTAGATTTTGCCTGACCTAGAATGAGAAAGAATTTGGTGGAACTCACTTGTAAAGAATGTGCCCACGCCAAATGTAGGAGTAAGGTGTGCCTCCTCAGCAATCGTCTTGTATTCCAGACAGTGCTCGATATTCAACGAATCGGAGAACACGACAACCTTCTTGTCTGTGATACCTTCGCGATCGTAGAAGTCACGCACCATCTTAACGAAATACGTAGGGTCGCCTGAGTCCTGTCGCACGCCGGTGTATACCTGGGCGTACGTCTTGGTGGGGTGGCTGCCGCCGGTGGTGACAGGTGCGGCGATCGGGTTTTGCGCAGTGGTCAGACTCTGTGGTGAAGTTTCCACAGTTGTGTTGGCTCCAGATGGCGCAACAGTCACCGCGCCCACGCCCGCGCTTGTGTACTCTGGGACGGGCTTGCGGAAGGCATCAAGGAAAGCGGGTGTACCGAAAGTATCGGTGAGGGCAACGCCGAGGACCTGGTTCCAGATTAGCTTAATAATTGAAATATGCGCGAGGCACAAACATACCCCCTCTCCGAAGCAGCCAAGCCAGTATCGTAAAGCCAGCTCGTTTGCATTCTTGTAGTCATCCGTAATGGCCGCGATGGTCATGTACCACTCGTGCGCAACCGTTCCAACAGCATTGGTGCCGTACTTCATAGCAAAATGCACGTTGCTTGTTCCGGACAACACACCCTTCCACCCCTTCTGCTTTCCATGCTCGGCGGCACGCGTTAAGCCCTTCATGACCAGATCGTGGGTGTGGTAATCTCGTCGGCGGCGCGATCCAAACTCCGAAAAGACACATCCATGCTCTAGAAGCTCACAGCCTTTGCGATAAGCTTTCTCTTCCTGGCCCTCATAGTCCCAGTCTTTGTCCGAGAACATGAAATAGGCCTGGCTGGTTAATGCCAGCAGCGGGATCTCGTAGAGGATGGTGTCAAGCCACAGACCCTTGACAACGTATGACACGTCACCCTCGTCAACGTCGCTACCCGTGTCTTGCGTGGGAGTGAATTTGATCTCAATTTGCTCGGAGGGCTTGAGCTGAAAGGTTTCGAGGAAGGTGAGATAGGCTTCATTGAGGTAAGGGCATTTCTTGCGAAGCCAGTCGCGTTCTTCGGAGGTGACACGGATATTGGAGAGCTCTACGTATATCAGCACAGCTCATATAGAGCTAGATAATGGAGTCCTGTACTATCCATCTGTTGCAGAAGCCATTTGTATGCCCCGCGTCGCAACTTCATGTGCGGGGTTCGATTCGTGAAGCTGTACGTCACATCTACCAGAAATTAGCTTCACGCGCGTCAATGTCCAGATGTTGTTTACTTACAGACATCCGGGAAATACTTCAGAACCGCGCATTGCATCGTCAATTTGTAGAGATCAGTATCTAGAAGGGAGGAGATGCCCTCTGGTAGCGGGGTAGCTTCGTTGCCCATGGTGGTAGTCGACCGGAAGCACCGCTCAGTGGGCGAGATGTCAATTAGAATATTCTGAAGTCAAGGACAATGCCGGTCAATTCCGACAATTTGAGAGGGCGAGGTGAGTCCGCTCCAAGGTTTTCTTTCTGCGCAATTGTTAGACGAGGACAAAACCGAGATGGCTGTTTGCACCGTTTGCAGATGTTGGGAAGTGTATATAATTTGATCTCCCAGGTACGTTGTAGGATATGGACGTAGCTGTCTGGATGCAGTGACGCAAAAGCGATGGACACTTACGCAGTATTCTATAATGTTTTCCTAAGGATCAACGAATAGCCGCTCGCAATATACGCTCAGAGTCAAAGACCAAATCGGCTACGGACTGGGTTGGCCTCACCCCGCCATGACGCGTGTCATTTGCTCGGGAGTAAATACCTTATTCATTCAGATTAGTATTACTTGCAAGCCTGGATAGAGTAAAACTTTGCAGTTGATCCTATGTACACAGCTGAAGTTTGCCCGCCTAGGGTGCTTTCAAAGGTCGGGGTTAAAACGTGAAGCACACATGAGACTATGGTCATGACCTATGACATTATGGTCCTCAAACAGTATTTAGCTGGATGACAAATGCTTTTCGATAAATAAAATTGGAAAATAAAGAGCGTACGAGTGGGGAAGAAGAGATTACAAGGAGCGACGTCCAGAAGCAGATGCAGGCTGATGTGGCTACAGCTCGGCCATAACGATAACCTCCGAGAGCCACGGTATTGAACTCTTCATTTATTTCTTGGAACTCTCTTGAGCATCTCTCACGCACTTCTCGCTTCGTTCTCTGTTCCTTTCCTAATGAACCCTTGTAACTGACATTCTGTTCGAGGGGACAAGTCAAGCCCGTCTATTTAGACCCGTTCATGGTCTTTTTTTTCACACCAAAACGTAGCAATGTGATAGATTATTCCTAAAGCCACCGAAATCAAATCATACTTCGAGAAATCCGTTCATGAACTTCGCCGCTCAACCCAAGTGTTGCCTGCTGAAGGTACCTACGGGACAGTAACCTGGTACTTTGCTAATTTCCGAGCCTCTTCTATTGAATTTATTTATTGCAGCTTTCATCATATTTGAATACTTTTCTCATTAGAATAACCTGGTACGGGCATCTCAAACCTCCAATATCTAGCAGGCAAGGGTGCCACCCTGACTCAGCAGGCATGGCTGACTCAGCGGGAGATCAACGTCGCCCGTCCTGCGATTGACCCTGCGCCCGAAGTCTGAGTACGAAAAGAGCCCACAGACTCCAGCCGCGGAGCTTATCGCAGAAGAAAGCGGCTTAGAGAGGGACACAAGGCCCTTCGCAGGAAATACACGCAAATCCGACCGTACTCCATCCCGCGGCCGAGTTCCGCGACCCCGGCCCCAAAAAGCAAAGCGTCTGAAGAAAGCCGTATCCCCTGTGATAATGGCGCATGGCGCGGAGGATTGCGCAACTGTGCTAGAACAGTTTGTGCACGACGTGGCTAATTTGCCTCTCGAGATCAACCACTTGATGGAGGAGATCCAGGCCAAGGACAAGCTCATGCAGGAGTGCCGCGCCATCATCAACTCGCGCGACGGAAGCATCCAGAAGTTCATCAAACTCAACGGCAGCTTGACTCCAAATCCGAAGGAAGAGCAGTATAGCAAGGCGGTCTTGCAGAATCTCGACCGGTGCGAGGCTCTCCAAAGCGAGAAGATCCAGCTCAGTGAGAAAGCATGCGTGCTCCTCGACCGGCAAGTGAAGCGACTTGACGTGCGCATTCGGGACCTGCAGAATGAAGGTCTCCTCTCAACCGAACCGCCGCTTCCCTCACTTTTCGACAAAAATAGTCAGACGTACCGCGATCCGCCGAAGGTATTCTTTCCAGACTCCAACTCGAGCGAGTCTACTTCCTACTCTACACCTCTCAACCCGACTTCCGGCAACACAAACCCTATCCTAGCTGCTGCCCAGCGCCTCGCTCAGCAGTCAACCCCCCCGCGCCTCAGGTCTCTCTGCTCTGACAGCCCAACAAGCCGTCCGGAACTCCGCTCCAGCCACACCAACGGGCTCCGCCGCTATGCACCTCCAACAACGACAGCGCGAGTCCTCTGCCAGTGCAGTGGATAGCAAGCGCCGCCGCCTAAATCCATCTCTCAGCACCCTCCCTGCAGCATCCTCAAATCTCCGACAATCATCTCTGGGACCTGGAACCCCCAAAGCCGGTACTCCTGGCGTCAGCCGCGCAGGAAGCGCAGGTCCACGCTCTACCGGCATCGTTAAGAAAGCGTTGACTAAGAAAGTCGCACCTCATCACCAAATTAAGAAGATCAAAGCCTCAAATAAAGCCAGCAAGCGTTCCTCAAGTGGAAGCCGGCTCAAGAAGAAATCGCCTAATGGCGACGGCGACGAAGATGACGATTCCATGCTCAGTAGTGCTGACATGTCGGACTCGGATAAGAGCGGCGCGGAGGATGATGAGGATATGGATGATGACGATGACGATGAGGAGGGTGCTGAGGATACCAAGGTTTATTGTACTTGTCGTACGGTTAGCCATGGGGATATGGTGGCTTGTGACAATGATAGTTGTCCATATGAGTGGTTCCACTGGAAATGCGTGGGCTTGTCACGGGAACCGGTTGGGACGTGGTATTGTGATGAGTGCCGGAAGACGTTAGGGAAATAGTCTTGATTCTTGACTTTCCCTATCTCCTCTTCTCTCTTCCAGCTCATAATTTCCCTCACACGTTCCTATTTGCCCTTATATCTGTCTTTTATCTCATGTTAGGCGTCGACATGGTGTTGGTTCGGTTGATATACCCAGGCGAATATGAAACTCAAGGATTTATCGTTATTTAATCCATTCAATACTCAATGAATCTCTAAACTGTTGTGTAAGCAAGCCGTATGCTTGGGAAGACCGATTGGAAGAGTGCGATTTGGAGACCTTAGCCTCAGCCTCAGCCTCGAGGAACCGAGTATCCGATCAAATGGTCTTCCACATTTGAAATCTTTATCTAGCAAGTACTACGTAGCTATAACGACTACAGTCTCTCCATATGAACCGACTATCAATCTTAGGACCTCTTGTATATAGCCTTCAACGATTAGAAGTACAACTTCCACGTACTTTCCGATGCTGACACTGTCTCCATAAGGTATATTGTATGACCATCAGGTCTAGTAGATCCTGTTTTGCGTCCTGTGCACCGACAGAAGATCAGGTGTTGAGGTACATAATGACTGTGGTGAGTTTCGACTGCTTATTTTGACAAAAACTCTGTGCCCTAGAAGCCTTTTACTTGCCTAAGTGGTAACTTTTTACTGTCACTTTAGTCACAGGCTGTGTATTTCAGTGGATTCACTCTCATTTTTAATATCTCATACTATAGGTCAGTCTACGACCCAATGGGGACAATTGACCCAGACTGGATGTGCGTTTTTGGCTGATCCTGATACTGTCTTTCCGCTCCTGTCCAATTTGATACATTGACGATTCAGGGTAGGCAGTGACACTGTTTTTCAGAAGAACTGTGTATTCATCTATCTGAGACACGTCTTCCAAAATGTCATACTTTTCGTGCTCGCCAGAATGTCACATTGTCCAACTTCCATATACGAGATAGACATACAGCAACTGGGCAGCCAAAATCAAAAGTTACAACGCCATCGCTATGCACAAATCCCTTTTTGTGATCCACCATCGTCCATGCAAACATGAGCACATTTCATGCCGGTATCAGGTCATAGGGACACGAGAGCGGGAGAAGCTCCCGTGACCCAGGCTTGACAAAGTCCAGTTTCAAATCCCGCGCAGCTGTAGCATGCAAGGACGTTGAAACCTAGACCAATGTACAATCAGAAGGCGAGGTTCTTTTCCATCCACGGATCGAAGTACTCGCATGTTTCGGGGCTGATGGCACCACCCGGTGAGCAGAGTCGGAAGCTGGGGCAGGGTCCGCAAGGAGAGTCGGTCATGCCGTTGCTTTTTCCAGGTTCAGTGACTTGGACGGGCTCGTCACCTTCGGCGGGCTTGCGGGACTGCTTTTCCTTGACGGCCTCTGGGTTTTTGACGGATTTGTAGGCAGTGCCGTTCTTGAGGTTCAGCTCGACGAGCTTCTTGTCGAAGCAGAGCATCTGGAGGAGTTGAACGATGCTCTCCTCACCCAGACGCACTGGGGTGATACCGGATTCGTTGACGGCGTTGGTGATCGTCTGCACGGTCGGGTAGCCCTCATAGTTGAATGGGTAGGGTATATAGGTCTTTTCGGTGGCTTCGGACTTGACCTCGGCCTTACCGGTGGCGGTCTTGATGCGCTTAGCGGTGCGACCGCGGTCAGCCGGAACTTCGTACCAGCTCTTCCGGCTAACAGTATACTCGATGTAACCCGCGACACTATTAATGAAGTTGGCGTCGAGCACGCCGTCGGTAAACCAGGCGCCGCCCGTGATGTCTTCGCTTGGGGCTAGGCCTGCCAGCATATACATCTTGCGGGTGGGGAATTTCACATTATGCACGCTTTTGATGTAGTTCTTGCCCTCGAGCGACTTCAAGCATCGATCGAGGATCGATTTGTGCAGGTTTGTGCGAGTTTGGATGGCACGCACCCAGATGCCCGATCGGGCGGTGGAGTGGATGACATTGTACACTAGCCCCTCGTCGGCGCTGAGATTTTGGAGTTTGTCGGCATCTTCCCGGGAAATGAGCTTCCATGCAAGTCGCTCATTCCTGTCCTGATGCAGTCGCAGTAATTTCTGATCGACCAGTTGCTGGGTGCACTTGAGGAGGAGTTGCGGGTCATTCTTGGGGATGATGTTGAGGTTTAGGAAATCTGCCTGGTAGAAGAGGTGGTTGGTGTCATAGGATTCCAGGCAAGCATCGTAGAGCTGCGAGGCGAGCTCGCCGATTTGAGGCTCGGCCATGGTTGGAGAAGGATTGGAAAGACTATGTTAGGTCGAGGGGAGAGGATCATAGAAGGGAGGAGAGGTCATGACCGACTCAGGCTGCAATAGCAGGGGGTGAGGAGGTTAGAGAGGCATGGTCGGCTTTGTTCGTCGCCGTTGAGTCAGAAAATGAAGTTCGAGTGTGTTTTTTGTCGACTTTTTCGCAGCGGGGAGGCCGAAAGAGGTTTAGTGCAAGCGGAGCTTAAGTGTCACGCTGCGCCTGCCTCAGGCATGAATATGGTCTGCCGCGGAAATTTCGAGAAGCTCGCGGACGTCGGAGCTCATAACCTCATAATCTCAGGTCCTGGCTCATTGATTCTTACAAGACCACCAATTGATTTTTTTGCATATTCTCATCCATCATGTCTGACGCTTTGAAGGCTGAAGGCAACAAGGCCTTTGCGGCCAAGGACTACCCTACTGCCATGTATGTTGCTACCCCACTTTATTCTGATGGTGATGCTAATGAGAGTCTAGTGAGAAATTCACCGAGGCTATTGCTGTCGACTCCGAGAACCACATCCTCTACTCTAACCGTTCTGCCGTGTACGCTGCCCAAGCCGAATACCAAAAAGCCCTTGAGGATGCCGAGAAGTCCATCAGCATCAAGCCGGACTGGTCGAAGGGCCATCTTCGCAAGGGAGCTGCCTACCGCGGCTTGCAAGATTGGTGTAAGTGCAAGAATATACGCTGACTTGATTTGTGGCTAACGGGCTGGTAGTGGCCGCTTATGATGCATACGAGGAGGCACTGAAGCTGGAGCCAGGCAACGCCCAGGCCAAGTCCGGTCTGGATGCCGTCCAGCGAGCCATCCAGGCAGAGGCTACGGCTGATGGTGTCCAGGGTGACCCCATGGGCGGTCTCGGTGGCATGTTCAACGACCCCGGCATGTATGAGAAGCTAGCGAACAACCCCAAGACCGCGCCTCTGCTTGCCGACCCCGACTTTATGGCGAAGCTCAAGAAGATCCAGTCAAACCCCAACAGCGTTGGCGAGGAAATCCGTGACCCCCGCTTTTTGCAGGTTATGAGTGTGCTTCTGGGTATCGATATGAGCTTCGGCCAGGATGGTCCCTCCGGACAGGATACACCCATGCCCGATGCGAAGCCCGCGCCGCCTAAGAAGGAGCCTACCCCCGAGGCCGAACCCGAGGACGAGGAGGCTGTTGCCAAGCGCAAGGCTCAGGAGGCTGGTGATGCCGAGAAGAAGATTGGAAACGACTTTTACAAGAAGAAGCAGTTCGACCAGGCTATCGAGCACTACGAGAAGGCTTGGGAATTGAACAAGGATGTCACTTACTTGAACAACGTTGGTGCGGCCAAGTTCGAGAAGGGCGATTACGAGGGTGCCATTGAGGTCTGTCAGAAGGCCGTCGACGAGGGACGTGACCTGCGCGCCGACTTCAAGATCATTGCCAAATCCTACGCTCGCATTGGTAGCGCCTATGAAAAGATGGGCGACCTCACCAAGGCCATCGAGTCCTACAACAAGTCGCTCATGGAGCACCGCACACCCGACGCCCTGGCCAAGCTGCGCAATGCGGAGAAGATCAAGGACAAGGCCGAGAAGGATGCGTACCTCGACCCCGAAGAAGCCGAGAAGGCTCGTTTGCTCGGCCAGGAGAAGTATAAGGAAGCCGACTGGCCCGGTGCCGTGGAAGCCTTCACCGAGATGGTCAAGCGCGCGCCCAACGACCCCCGTGGCTACTCCAACCGTGCCGCAGCCCTCATCAAGCTTATGGCCTTCCCCGGTGCCGTGCAAGACTGCGACGAGGCTATCAAGCGCGATCCCAAGTTCTTCCGCGCGTACATGCGCAAGGGCCAGGCTCTGATCGCGATGAAGGAGTATAACCGCGCTTTGGACACCTTCACCGAAGCCGCCGAGCACGACGACGGTACCAATGCCCGCGAGATCGAGCAGCAACAGCAGAAGTGCTTGGATGCACAGTTCAGTGCCCGCGCTGGCGAGACTGAGCAGCAGACTATGGAGCGCATCCAGAATGACCCCGAGGTGAGTCGACCTAATTGAATCATGTATTAAACGACGTACTAATCATTCTCAGATCATGTCCGTCCTTCAGGACCCCGTCATGCAGAGCATTCTGCAGCAGGCCAAGAGCGACCCGGCTGCGCTGCAGGAGCACATGAAGAACCCGCAGGTGCGGATCAAGATCCAGAAGCTGATGGCTGCTGGAGTGATCCGTCTGGGCCGGTAAAGGCTCATTTTTACGAGATTGAAGATGTGACGAGCTGTGCTGCAGATTCTGTTTTCTAAAATATTGAGTTTTAGCATGTATCTCAATTGCCGATATGACTTCGAATATTAATGTGTTTCGTCCACATATTTCAGATCTCAAGTGCTTTAGACCCCTCGGGCCTCCGAAGGTTTGTACCTCTTTAGATCAGAGGCCACTGAGTAAAATGCAATTGAAACACATTTCAATTATGCTTTAAGATAGATATATATATACCTGAGAACCTGTGCGAAGCATAATTCCCCTTATATGAATACTTTTGGGATACCTTGTCATACACCTACTTTGTACCTCAATGCAAAGACACAAGTCCACATTCCGATGTTGGAAGTGACCATTGGGAGGGTCAAAGCAAAACCCTCCACAGACAGAAATTTTACCAACTCGCTCCCCACCGTCGGCCCACAAGGTCACACAACGCGAACACGCCAATTGGCAGATCTGCATGATGTACTGGAGCGGGGCGGGAAAGTCAAGGCAATCATGTTCACTGGCTCTCTAACATGCGTAGAAGAACTTCCAGCATCGCGTAGTGTATATGACAGGTCAAATTCAGACCGGCCCAAGATGGAACTCAATTCTACAAGTCAAGCGCCGATGACTGCAGTTTCACAGCTGATATCACAGCGCTAGAGAACTTTGGTGGAGAATTGACGACTAGCACCGGTTTTTCCGCAAGTTTGGGCCGATCGGGCAATCGGGCGGGGGTGCTGACACGTGTATGGGAGTATAATGTAGCCTTGAGGGCTGGATCTGGGCTTGCGATAGCTACGGGTGCATGGATCTTGTCAGTAATTACCTCCCCCCTAGATTTTACCCCAGACTCTTGAATTTAGGGGGTAATTAGACTCGGTCCGAACCTAGGGGTTGAACAAGAGGGAAATGAACATGGTAGGGCTGGTTTTCGCTATTTCCCCTGTCCAGCCACAGCTCCACCGAGAAAAGTGGACGCGAAAGCCCGATGTGACCGCGATCCCTAATCCAGAATTGGAACTGTGGCGGTGCTACACTATTGATTCGAGTGGGTTTTTCCCTCCTTTTTTCCCCCCTCAGATAAGATTACCATCAGTACAAACTGAATACCGATGTACCTGAGTAGGGTTGCTGCAGGCAGTGTCCTTGAGAATTAGTGATTTGTAGTACATACTGGTAAGCTGAATCCCAAGAGGTAGAACCGAGACACGGTAACCACGATCGGTATTAGCTCCGAGTACGTCACTGATCTGCGATCCGAGCTGATCGCTCCCTTTTCCTTCATTTTCTCCAAGCAGAGTAGGCTCCAGTGTATTACTAGGGCCTAAGCCATAGATGAGCTCCATAGCTCCCTGTATGGTGTATTACCGAGCCCAGCCACAGGTGCCTCGCTCTTGACGCAAGCGGCTGGGATTCGTTGTCTGAGCTGCCCCAACCGCCGCTCTCTCTCCTCTCCTCTTTTTCTCTCCCATCTTGTACGACTTCACCCTGGCATTCTTTTCAATCCCGGGTCTCGACGACCGTATGTGTTCAGTATCATTCCCTCCTCCTTTCTCACGAACCTCGTACCCGGTTCCGATCAGTGGGTCCCTCGGCTCAACCGCTCTGACGTTTGCCTAGTTTCCTCAGCACCAACCGACTCACGAACCACACATCCAGAGGCCCAGCGTGACCCTCGCCGACGGCCAACATGGCGTCCGTCGCCGCGGAGAAGACCGAGTTAAAGGAAAAGGGCATCATTGAGGCTGCGACTGACCTGGCCCAAGACCCCGAATCCAAGGTCAATCCCGACACAGTGGAAGAGAAATTGGTGGAGGAAACTCGAGAGGCTGGTGTACCTGCCTACCAATTCGATCCGGATGCCTCGCCAGAGGACAAGGCGGCCGCAGCGCAATCAGTATGTCATCCTGGAGAGATCGTCAGATCGCACACTAACCATGACCGAACTAGCGGCTGCCGCCTGGTTTCCACCACGACAAGAAGCCCAAGGGCATGGCCGTCATCACAGACCAGGTAGGAGTGGTCTGCGCCTGTAGCGATTCCATTTGACTGACCCGTAAGTAGGATGGTGGTAAAGCAGACTATGACCTCCCGCCCCCGAAATCGGCTACGGCGCTGCTGGCCGAGGATGCCAATGCCAATGGTGGTCTGAGTGCCCCGCAAATAGAAGAGGATATGAGGTGGGCGCGCGACCGTACTGGTTGGGCACCTAAGTTCGTAACCGAAAAGACAGCGGCCGACGATGAAGAGGGTACTTTGCTCGATCACCAGACTTTCTTAGAGGGTCGTTTGCCTGACAAATTCTTTGGTGATTGGTATCATAATGCCGCGGTCATTGTCTTTGCGTGCTTGGGCTCGTGGCTGATCGCTGCTTTGGGTGGTGGTGTCGGCTGGGTGCTTTTGATCATGGCAGCTTGCAGTACCTACTACCGTACATCAATTCGCCGAGTGCGTCGCAATTTCCGTGATGATATCCTCCGAGAGATGTCCAAGGCGCGCCTGGAGACCGACACCGAAAGTCTCGAGTGGATCAACAGCTTCCTCGTCAAGTTCTGGCCCATCTACGCTCCGGTTCTGTGTGACACCATCATCAGCTCCGTAGACCAGGTTCTGAGTACCTCGACTCCCGCGTTCCTGGATAGCTTGCGCCTGAAGACCTTCATCCTCGGTACTAAGCCTCCCCGCCTAGAGCACGTTAAGACATACCCAAAGACCGAACCAGACACTGTAATCATGGACTGGAAGTTTAGCTTCACCCCTAACGATACCATGGATTTGACCGCGCGTCAGCTGAAGAACAAGATCAATCCCAAGATCGTGCTTGAAGTCCGACTTGGTAAGGGTGTTGTCAGCAAAGGTCTGGATGTCATTGTCGAGGATATGGCTTGTTCTGGCTTGATGCGCGTCAAGGTCAAGCTGCAAATTCCCTTCCCTCACATCGAGCGCGTGGACGTCTGCTTCCTGGACAAGCCTGAGATCGACTATGTCTGCAAGCCCCTCGGTGGTGACACTCTGGGTTTCGATATCAACTTCATTCCGGGTCTGGAGAATTTCATCAAGGAGCAGATTCACAACAATCTGCAGCCTATGATGTACGACCCTAATGTGTTCCCGATTGAGATTGCCAAGATGCTGGCCGGAAACCCAGTTGACCAGGCTATTGGTGTCGTTGCAGTTACGCTGCACGGTGCTCAGCAGCTGAAGAATGCCGACAAATTTGCTGGTACTCCTGATCCGTATGCTGTCGTCTCTCTTAACAACCGCACTGAGCTCGGACGCACCAAGGTTGTTCACGACAACGACAGCCCCCGCTGGAACGAGACTATCTATGTTATCATCACTTCCTTCGCAGATGCCCTCACTATTACTCCCTATGATTGGAATGAGTACCGCAAGGACAAGGAGCTTGGAGTTGCCTCATTTGGCTTGGACAAGCTGGAGCAAGAACCTTTTCACGAGGGCCTTTACCTTGAAGTTAACGCTAGTGGCCGTCACCGCGGTGCCATCCACGCTGATATCCGCTTCTTCCCTGTGCTTGAAGGTCGCAAACTCGAAAATGGACAAACTGAGCCCGCGCCCGAGATGAACACCGGTATCGCACAATTCACCATCGAACAGGCTAAGGACCTGGACGGAAGCAAGAGTATGGTCGGCAAATTGAACCCCTACGGTGTTCTGCTTCTCAACGGCAAGGAAATTCACATTACCAACAAGCTGAAGCGCACAAACAATCCCATTTTCCAGAATGCTTCTAAGGAGTTCCTGGTTACCGACCGCAAGAATGCACGTCTGGGTCTCATTATCAAGGATGACCGTGATTTGATGGCCGATCCTATCATTGGCCGGTACCAGATCAAGATGACTGATATGCTCAAGATGATGGAACAAGGCAAGCAATGGTTCCACCTCCACGGAGCCAAAGAGGGTCGCGCCAAGCTGACCTTGAACTGGAAGCCCGTTGCCTTGGGTGCTCTTGCCGGGGGCGCTGGCTTTGTTGATCCCATCGGTGTGATGCGCTTCCACTTCAAGGGTGCCAAGGACTTACGCAACCTCGAATCCATGGGCAAGTCGGACCCTTACGCCCGCGTTCTCCTCTCTGGCGTTACTCGCGGCCGCACCGTCACTTTCCGTAGCAACCTTAACCCTGAGTGGGATGAGGTTGTCTACGTGCCTATCCGTAGTGCTCGGGAGAAGCTGTCTGTCGAGGTCATGGATGAGGAGACTATCAACAAGGATCGTTCGCTTGGCTGGGTTGAGTTAAACGCCGCTGACTTTGTGCATGAGACCGAAACTGGCGAATATGAGATCGATGACGAGAAGCAGGTTCTCAGCAGTGCTCTGAGTACGAGTGGAACTGGTTCTAAGAAGGGTACGATCAATTACACAGTCTCGTTCTTCCCCGCCATCCCCGTTGTCAATCCCGAGGATGAGGTTGAGGAGGAAGAGGAGATCGAAGGCACTGGTACTGAGACCGATGGTGCCCCACGCAAGAGCATGCACTCCAAATCCGCCAGTATTGATTCCAAGGCCTCGAAAGCCTCGAAGGCTTCTAAGGCCCTTTCAAACGGCGTTCCCAACGGCACCAACGGCGAGAGCTCTGGCCGTGCTAGTATCGAGACTACTGCTTCTCGTCCTCCTACTCGTGACTCCGATGCCACTTCTGTGCGCTCGGTCAAGTCTATCCCCAAGACTTACATCAGTGCTGAGGACCTTCCCAAGTACGAGTCTGGATTCATCGTGTTCAAGTTCCACGACGGCCAGCTGGCTCACTCCAACGTGCAGCTCGAGGTCTTGATGGACGACTATATGTTCCCTGCCTACACCTCGGCCAAAATTCACTCGACTACTCTGAATAACACCGACATTGGCGAGGCATTTGTTCGTGAGCTTGAGTTCTCCAAGATTACCCTACGCCTAGTCAACAAGGACAATCGCAAGGACAACAAAGAGGATAACATTGTCGCCAAGTTGACTGGTGATACTCTGCCCACGCTCCAGCGCATCTTGTACACTCCCACTGAACTCATACTTCGCTCGAACACCGGCCAGGTGAGCAAGGTCACCGTCAGCGGTCGCTACATCCCCGTCCGAATGAAGTTGGATCCCAAGGAAAGCATCAGCAACATGGGTTCCCTTCGCGTGGACATTCTCGACGCTGCCGACCTGCCATCTGCCGACCGCAACGGCTACTCGGATCCCTTCTGCAAGTTCCGCTTCGGTGAAGACGGCGACGTCGTCTTCAAAACCAAGGTGCAGAAGAAGACCCTGCACCCTGCCTGGAACGAGTTCTTCGAGACCCCCATTAAGACCCGTATCGATGCTCGCTTCCATGTCGATGTCTACGACTGGGACTTTGGAGACTCAGCCGATTGGCTTGGATCTGCTAAAATTGACCTGGAGGACCTCGAGCCTTTCGTCGGCAAAGAAGTCACTTTGCCCCTAGACGGAAAGTCTGGAGTGATCCGCTTGAAGCTTCTCTTCAAGCCCAGCTACGTCGTCCGCTCCCGGCAGGGCTCATCGACTTTCTCCGGCACTTTCGCAGTGCCCGGTAAGATCGTTGGTGCGCCAGTCAAGGGCGTCGGTTTCGTCGGCGGCAACGTCGTTCGTGGCGCCTCCTTCCTGAAGCACGGCGTGATGCGCATAGGCAAGAAAGACAAGCACGGCGACGACGCAGCCTCTATCGCCCCGTCCATCGTAGAGGAGAGCCCGAAAGCCGAACGCAATGGCAGCCTTGCCCCCGCCCACCTCTTGTCGATGGCGACTCTTCCCCGTCCACCCCCAAGGAACACTCTCGCAACCGCAGCACAGCATCCACGTATGGCGACCGCCTTGGCGCAATCGGCACAACAGGCCGTGGCGACGTGGGTACCGCGAATATTACCATCGTCTCGGCATCAGGCTTCCCAGCCAGCTCGAACTTGCGCATCGTCGTCCGCATGGCTGGATCGAAGGGCTGGAAAGAAGTCCACAAGACCAAGCCTCACAAGGGTTCCGATGTTACATTCGACGACTCCTTCAGGGTACCCCATGCTACCGCAGACGCGCAGTTCCAGATCCGCGTCTTCGATCACTCTACCTTCGGCTCAGATGGTAAGCTAGGCCAAGCGCCTTTCTTTGTCGCGGACCAGGCCGATGCCGCCGACCAGGATAAGACTATTCCTGTCGGTGGGGGCTCTGTTGTTATTCGATCCAACTTTGCTCCCTCTGAGTCTTCGCTCCGTCCGTCGACCTCGCATTCTACCGCCGGTGGCGGTGGTGATGATGGTGCGGACAGTCCCGCTAGTAAGAGGCGCAGTTTCTTGAGTAAGCGGAACCCTAGCGGGTCGCATGCTTAAGTTGCTTCCTTCAGTTTGAGCAGAGGGGGGACAGTGAGGATAGGATGGTATATGAAAAAGACCCATGATTGTTTACTGCTTTGCGATGTGATATCCTTTTCTCTGCGTTGAATTTGTGTTGCTGTTTTAATTCTCCTTGAGAGGTTACATTTCTAGATGCACAGTGTTTGTAGACTCTTGTCTAATGAATTGCTTTTAAACTGTTATTCCTTCAAGCATTGAACTACGAGCGCAAAATAAGATACAAAATAGCAGTATTTTCAAGACCCGATCGCGAAACCCTCCCTTTGAGTGTAGAATCTAGGTCCACAACCCTTCGGTCCCATCTGACAAGTTCTCGAAAGTAAAGAAAGTGAACATTTCTTGGGTGCAAGGGCAACTCTCATCCTGTCTAGAGCCACGATGAATTATGACCTGGACCCAAGGACCCATGGATTTAATCCGATGAAGTTATACATCCGCCTCGATAGTGAATAATGTAACGATCCCACTCGGAAACCAACCCGCGTCCACCTGTGCGTGTAGCCTCTACAAACATACGCCAGTCTTTAAACCAACAATGTCCACCAAACTCCCAATTAAGCCCCATCCAAGCTCCATCTACTAGAGTGATGCCATTCACATCAATTGGCATGAATAACCCCATTTGAAACCTGAGTCTCCAATTCAATAGTATGTTTCACGAATAACGGATTCCAATCCCCTAAAGGCATCCCCCTGACCCATCAAGACTATATGAGTCTCTATTTACCACCAGCGGACCCTCCCCCTGAATCTATCCATAGACCCGGCTTGACAGGTACATGGATATAGGGCTAGGCACCTCAAGGAACCACACCTTAACGAATCCCGTGCAAGACGGGCCCCAGAGCGGGTAATCGGGTACCCGGGTACCAAGTGGACATTCCACGGGGCTGGGTGAGTTCAGATACGCGTGTCTCCGTGTCAGAGAAATAGGGGTCCAGTAACCCTCGTGGAACGAACTTTGTTGCCTGCACTGCCCCCTTGAGATGATCTGCGCGCCGAAGCTTAGTCCTGGACGGAGTACTGAGTGCCGTGTGCGAGCGGGTCTGAGATGCTCGGGTCTTCTCTCATGGTTTTTGCGCTTACGATGTGGGTTTGGTGTGTTGGACTTTTTTTTTTTTGTATTTTCGTATTTAACACTGAATGTTTGTAGTTTGGATTCTATGTTCTGTAGATTTACATTACTGGGGTCGGTGTTAGCACTTAGGATGACGTTGATATGTAAGGGTCATGGTTGACAGAAAGGAGTATTTTGATATGAGATTGTCTATCCCAGACGGGAAGATTAGGAGCTATTTTGGTCGGCTTCGGTTCGGTGGAGGCTAATTTGCGTGGTGGGCCGAATAGGGCTTGGCGGGGATCTTGGAACTTGATTTTCTCGCATGAAGAGACTTGGTTTTGGTTGAGGTCGTATTGGGGGTTGCCCTTGTTTGTCAACGTGTTACTCATGTCCCGCACAATTACCTGAGTAGTACTCTCTCCATGGACTGTGGTACCTGAACACAGTGTTTTTTTCAAATGTACCGGTACCAGGTGAGATACACCCCAAGGTCCCTTGTACATCTCCTTAGTAAGGTGCACAGCTACAGCTTCCTTTCTCTCTCTCTCTCCAACTGGAACTGGGGATGGCCGCACGACATGATATTATTAGCCCGCATCTACAGATAGCGTTCCGGGCAAAGCGTCCCGAGCACGAATCGGTATGCAACGACGTCCACAATGGCGACGGTGGTGGGGCCGGCGGCGTCGCCTACCCACTGTGAAAAAGGGGGCCGAGTCCAGATTCTCTGTGTTGACCAGTCATTCTGGAATCTGCGTGGAATCCGGGCGATTCCCCACGGGCGAGTATTCAGCCAGGACCCCTGTGGGAGTTTGGGAGGGAATTGGGTTGAACGGGGATTCTCCGGTGGAGAGACATTGTCTCTGACCGAGGAAAGCTCACCGAGAATCAAGGTCGAGGGGAAGGTGGTGGGGGGTGGGGGGGAAGAGAAGAGAGACAGAGAGAGCTCCCCGACCGCTCCAAAGTTGCACGGGCCGTGATAGATGTCCGTGTTGACAGCTGCGGGACTGGGACTAGAAGTAGGACCAGACTGGAAATGGAATTGAAATTCAATTCGGAATTGGACTTTAGGAAATAGGGATAAATTGGGAAGAATTAGGGACAGTCGAAGAATAGGGACGCACGACGTAGACGGAGACGGAGACACGATAACATAACGGGGTGAGACACGTCCAGGTTCTGAACACCAAGAGGAATGCGATAAATATCACGTTACTCCCCCACCTCCCTTTCCTCGTTCTTCTTTCTTGGATCTATGATCATTTCTTTGTGATCTTCAGCTTTGGTGAGTACAGTATTTTCCCCTTCCAAGTATTGCATGTACCTTTCCCTTGTTCCCCTCAATGGCCCCTCCGCAAGTCCGAATGACGGAAGCTTGTCGAGCATGCACACGGTAGAGTGGCTTTCCACCCGAACTGATCGACACAAGCTGTGGCGACCCCTCCTTCTCCTGTTTTTCTGGAGCTAGCCACGTTTCCTTTTATTCCTGGCTTTCCCTAACTTTCTCTCAGTGAAAAAAATAATCCTATCGATCCTTCACAATGGCCTCCAAGGCTCTTCCTACACACCTCCGCGCCCCTGCGAACGAGGCCTCCGCCGGTTCCTTCGGGGGCAAGCACCATGGCAAGTCCCAGTCTCACATGGTAAGTGACCACAATATGAAGATAGAGAGGGGGGGAGGGGGGAAAAAGAGAAGGGGGGGATGTGAGATGTGAGATGTGAAAAGACGAGATATGAAATGAGACCTGGTGCGGCTTTGTTTCCCGTATTTATCGAGCTGGTGTTTACGGGTCGCTCCTTCTGAAGCTGGTTGCGCCCTTTGGGCTGGCTCTTATCGCGGCTTGCATCTCTGCCATGATCAACATCATCGCCCTCTTCGCTTTGCCTGCTTTGCTCGCTTTTTGATTTCATGATCTCTACTTTATGGCGTCCACCAGTTCCTCGCTAATGAAACACCTGCAGGCCTTCGAGAATGCCTCTACCAGTGTGGCTGCCTCGCAGATGCGCAATGCGCTGAACGCCCTCTCTGACACCGTCACCGACCCCTCCGAGAAGAAGCGCTTCGAGGCTGAGATGGACAACTTCTTCGCTCTGTTCCGTCGTTTCCTCAACGACAAGGCCAAGGGCAATGCCGTCAACTGGGAGCGCATCGCCCCTCCCCAGCCCTCGCAGGTCGTCGGCTACGACGAGCTCGGTGCTGACGCCTCTGTCGAGTTCCTGAACAAACTCGCCGTCGTCAAGCTCAACGGTGGTCTCGGTACCTCCATGGGCTGTGTTGGCCCCAAGTCCGTCATCGAGGTCCGTGAGGGTATGTCCTTCCTGGATTTGTCCGTTCGTCAGATCGAGCACCTCAACCGCAGCTTCAACGTCAACGTTCCCTTCGTCCTCATGAACTCCTTCAACACCGACCAGGACACTCAGTCTATCATCAAGAAGTACGAGGGTCACAATGTCGACATCATCACCTTCAACCAGTCCCGCTACCCCCGTATCATCAAGGACTCCCTCCTCCCCGCCCCCAAGAGCTTCGACTCTCCCCTTCAGGACTGGTATCCCCCCCGGTCACGGTGACGTTTTCGAGTCTCTGTACAACTCTGGTACTCTCGATAAGCTGATCGAGCGTGGCATCGAGTACATTTTCCTGTCCAACGCCGACAACCTCGGTGCCGTTGTGGATCTCCGCATTCTCCAGCACATGGTGGACTCCAACGCCGAGTACATCATGGAGTTGACTGATAAGACCAAGGCGGATGTCAAGGGTGGTACCATCATTGACCAGGATGGCAAGGTCCGCCTGCTCGAGATCGCCCAGGTGCCCAAGGAGCACGTCAACGAGTTCAAGTCTATCAAGAAGTTCAAGTACTTCAACACCAACAACATCTGGATGAACATCCGCGCTGTCAAGCGTGTTGTGGAGGAGAATGAGCTCGAGATGGAGATCATTGCCAACGAGAAGTCCATCCCCGCTGATAAGAAGGGTGAGGCCGATCAGGCTATCTACCAGCTTGAGACTGCTGTCGGTGCCGCTATCCGTCACTTCAAGAACGCTCACGGTGTCAACGTGCCCCGTCGCCGCTTCTTGCCCGTCAAGACTTGCTCCGATCTGATGGTTGTCAAGTCTGATCTTTACCGCCTCGAGCACGGCCAGCTGGTCATGGACCCCAACCGCTTCGGTGGTGTCCCCGTCATCAAGCTTGGCTCCGACTTCAAGAAGGTCTCTGACTTCCAGAAGCGCATTGCCAGCATTCCTCGCATCGTCGAGTTGGACCACCTGACTGTGACCGGTCCCGTCAACCTCGGCCGCAACGTGACCCTCAAGGGTACCGTCATTATCGTGGCCACCGAGGGCAGCACCATCGATATTCCCCCGGGTTCCGTCCTGGAGAACTGTGTTGTGCAGGGTAGCCTGAGAATCCTGGAGCACTAGACGACAGTGTCACGGACAAATTGATCAGGGTATGTTGTCGTTCTGGGAGGTGCATTCGTGGCTACGGAACCCTATGGAGTATGCAAAAGATGTGCTTGTATTACATTACAATAATCCAGCGTCTGTTCTTTCTTTCTTCGGCTGCATTGGGAATCGCGGTCTTTTCTTCCAAGTACTATCGTTATCCAGGTATCCGAGTCAATGCAACCCGTTCGTATCCAATTGCGTGCTCACACGTGTGCCCAGTATATTCAGATGTTATTAAAATGTCGCATATCGAGTTTTTTAAATATCGTAATGCCTAATGTTGCTCCAATAATGCTCCACGCACTCCATGTCCACATGTATCGACGAGGCAAGCCCAACTAACAACCCAGAAAGGCAAATTGACGCGTCACGTGCCCGGATGTTATCTCCGTCGACACAATACAACTTCCACTTCGCCAAAACCGGTTCCTTTCCTCAATTCTCGCAAACTAGCGTACAACCTAACACTTGTGCATTGACCAGACGCTCAAAACATTCGGCCACTAAAAGGGACCTATCTTGTCCCGGCAGTGCCCTCATCCTGGCATCAGCCCCGTCAGGTAGCTCAACAGCCCCATACTATCAACACTATAGGCGGAACTTTGTTCCTGATGAGCTCCTGATGACTGCTACCAACGTCATACGCCTCATGAGGCAATGCTTCGCAGTGTGGCTGTTAGTGTCAGGGGCATTGACTCCCGCAGGTCGAGGCATATAACCTAGCCCTGCGGACCCTGTGCATGTCAATCGATTATTCCTCATACTTCTGTTCTGCTCTGCTATGCATCTGTCCCCTTCTTTCAGCGCTCTCGCATTACTCAGGTGCTCACCAGTCCCCGAACTCTCATACGGTAGGTCTTGAAAGGCCCATAGATTAATCAAACAACGTTAGAATAACGCGGTCCAAACCCTCGCCGCCGCCTTCAAGTGCTGGGGGCGTCGATATCACAGTCCCACCTTGAGGCAGTCCACGTTCCAACGCCGCAAATCACGACTCGGTTATCATTGCCGCCGTCGTCATTGCCTGCATGTAGCCACCATAGCAATATAACCCACATCTGCATCTCATCCAACCAACTCCCTTACATCCATTCCAGTACATACAACACAAATACCCTTGGACATATCCCTCCAGTTGGCAGTTTGAAAAGATCCCCGACATACCAAACAGAAGGATAATGACCGAACAACGCACCATTCCCCCATCCTCCCCTCCCCCAGAAAGCCCTTCCAATTCCCACTATACCAAACCAGGCTCAACCTCCTCCTCTTCCTCCTCAAACCATCTCCAAAAACGCGTCTCCACAGCCTGTCTAGCATGCAAAAAATCAAAACGCAAATGCTCCGGCTCTGCACCCTGTGCAAACTGCACTGCATTCCATCGAACCTGCATATTCGACGAATCTCTCGACCAGCGCCGCCGCGTCGCCGCAAAACGAACAGCAGATGAACTCTCCTACCATCGCGATCTCCTAAATGATCTCTTCGAACTCATCAGATCAGCCGACGAGCCGAAATCTCTCACCTTACTTGATCTCATCCGAAGGAATGCACCGCTCAGTGAATTGCGTTCGTATATCGATGGCACTTTATCGGCTCTCGGCTCGAGGAACGGTGATCCCGAAACGTTGGCGAAACTCGAAGATGTGAGGAGTGTTATTAATGTTGAGGATCCGGTGCCTGCGTTTCGTAGTAAAGTTATGGATATTCATTATCTTTGCGATGAGGCTACTATCAAGGTTCCTGCGTGGCCTTGGACGAGTGTTAGTGGGGATGACGAGCTTGTAAGTCATCTTGTTAGTCTTTATTTTACGTGGGATCATCCTGTCAATGCGTTTATTGATGAGGCGATTTTCTTGAGACATATGGTTGCTAGGGATGTGGGGAGTTTGTTTTGTACTCCGTTTCTGGTTAATGCGCTGTTGAGTAATGCTTGTGTGAGTCTCTCCTCTCTTCGCTTGGCTTCGGTGGTTCGTTTTTAGGTGTGGAGACGAGGGTGGTGGTAATGGTGAAGGCTGATTGATACAGTATTACTCGGAGTTTTCAGAGGCATATGTCGTTCCGGGTGATATCTCATCGAAGGGGTGTGCATTCCTTGCTGAAGCAGAACGTTTGAAGAGGGAGCTGCCGGAGCAGCCGACTATAGCTTCGTTGCAGGGCACGTTGCTCATGTATGGAAGGTTTGTTTGACTGTTCAGCTCAAATTCGCGCCAGGGGCTGATTGAGTAGATACGCAATGTCCCGCAATGACGATCTCGGGTATATCACACTCCACGAGGCCATTCGCATGGGCGAGGCTTTAGGCTTGGTTGGTGATAGGGGCCCGCGCATTGACCCAAAGCAGTTGTCAAGAGACATGGACTCTTCGTGCAGAAGGATGGCTTGGGGCTTGTTTAATATCGATACGTGAGCTTACCATCAACGCCTTCCGTTGTCGCTTCCAGGCGTGATGCTTATACTGATTGGAATAGCACGGTCCACACTGGTTTTCTGCGGCCCTGTCATATTTCGCAAGTCAACCTGCCTCGCCTGGAACGCAATCGGGCGGAAGATCAAAGTGTTTGGAGACCTTATCCCACACATCGTGAAACACGTCCCTCGTTTCTAAGTCTTTACTTCGAGGAGGCGTGCAACTTGTCCATAATTGCGCGTGACATCTCACGCAGTATGTTTGCAGATGAACAGCGCAATTTGAATGAAGGCGAGCATCGGCAGAGCCGGCAGATGCTCTATGAGCGTTTGAATCAATGGAATGAGCTTTTGCCTGACGCATTTGAGGATAGATGCAAGCCGCCACCGTATATTATTCTTTTGAAGTGAGTTAATCTATGACATTAATCTAAATATACGAATGCTGATTTTAATGTTAGAATGCGTCATCATACTCTGACTATTCACTTGTTCAGCTGCAATTATAATCCAAACTCCGCCAATGGAGGACCCCGGAATCCCAAAAGTGCTCCCAGACACACTCCTGACTTCAACTACAATGCGTGGGAAATTGCACAGTCTGCAGCTCGCAATATTGCAGCACTTACACGCCTCATCCGGCGCGAATACGGCGTTAGTCGCGCGCATCATTTCGCAATGTACGCAATCAATGTTGCGCTATTTACGATGTTAGAGTCAGAATCCTGCGACCTCCTTGATACAGACTTTCTTTCGCTTACAAGCGCATTCTCCGTCGTGGCCAGTCGATCGGCACTAGGCCGCAACCTGTTCCATATCTTCCGACAATCCATTCGAGCTAAGACCCAGGGAGATGGAATCCGTGACTCGGACTCTGTTACCGACGATCTTAAGAATCTATTCGACGAGGAGACCTCGAATGAAGGCCATAGCCGGTATGATGAGTATGCAAATGGACTTGAGAAGCTCAATCAGAAGGAGAAGTATAATGGCATTGGGAAGGGCGCTCAAAGTCTCCAGAACTACGCTGGCCTGGGCCTATCAGACATGCTCGATCGCTATGAAAGCCTGAGTCTAGGCAAAGATGATGTTCTCTCTGAGCGACACCGCCTATCTGATTGTTAAGTACATACATGGCATTCCTGAGAAGCTGCGACCCTACCGGGTCATCATCACAACATAAGAAAAAAATTGGCGATTCTACTTCTATGGAGCATCTAACTATTCAGATTTACCAGTGACAGGTTGACGATGTTAATAATCTCGATTTGCCTCTTCTTTGCCTCCTACTTGATGGGTTGGTTGAGGTCCACGGGACTGACGTCAAAACTGGTCCCACGACCCACCACCCGCACGCCGGTGGCAAGTCAGATTCCACTATCTCTTCTCCGCACGGTAATCGCTATGGATCTTTACCAGACTTGGAAAGGAATACTGCATCTTGTCAGGTTCTAAGCAAGTTTGAACCGGTCGCTATGAGCTCATTGGTGGTGGTCGCCCTGGTCCGGACCTTGATGCCCCCCATTAGAAGCTACTGCCGTTCCCGTTGAACTTCATTCTCAGACTCCATTCGACTACGTTCAGGATTCTGCGACGAACACGGAATCGTTAGCCTCATGAACCCATCCAATACATTGGGAGATTCGACGCCCGACACCAACATCTCGGCGCCTTCCAACAACTCAGGCCCGGTATGGCTTTCTTCAATGAGTTCCATGTCGCCGCCGGCGCCGGAGAATATGTATGGCCAAAACGCATTCTACCCTCCGATGCCTGCCAATCCTGCATGGGAGAACCCTCCCGCGTCCCCTAGATCGGCGGGTCTGGCAGATGCGACAATGCACAAGGTCGCCATTCCCCGTCTTGCAGCTCCTATTAGTTCCCGTGGACGACGTCGTTCAGCACGGGCGTGCGAGGCTTGTCGGACAAGGAAAACAAAATGCGACGGTGCCCGACCAACGTGTGGGCAGTGTGCTTATCACAAAAACCGCTGCACTTACGAGGATGTGAAGCGCGTTCGCGATCAGAAGATGCTTGATGTCTTGGCGCGGAGAGTCGATCGGTACGAAACATTGTTGCGCAGCCTTGAGGGAGAGAGTGATCCAGTCACGACGCGTAGAATTCGAAAGGCGCTGAAGGTATGTTCATTCAATAAATGCTGAAGATCTTTTCAGCTTGTCGTCCTCTGTATCGATTGGCAGTCCGTGTTAATGTGAATTCTCAATCTAGGCCAAAGATGGTAAATGCTCAAAGAAGAGTGTCGACAATTCTGACTCGGATTCTTCCGTTGGCTCCCTCGAAGATGTGGACCTTGTAGATGAGGATATCAATCGAAATGAAAACACTCGTGCGGCAGGGTACTTTGGCAAGAACTCTGAGATTACATGGATGCAACGCCTGGAAGATGGAGTGGAGAATGATAGTCGACAGCAATCTGTGGCGACCTCACAGTCCGAGGATACCAGTGAAACGCTATCTCGCCCGCAAGAGACTACGGCCCGAGAGATTCCAATGGCAATGATGAACTATCATCTCGATAATATGGATATACCCATTATTGAGGATGTCGATCCCCTCGCCGTGCCGCCACGTGAGGTTGCTGATGGATACTTCCACGCGTATATGGCTTTCGTTCACCCCATTTTCAGCGCCGTTCGAAAACCAGCCTTTACATCCCAATATCGCCAATTCTTTGATCGATCGGCCAAACCGCCAAGGAAGTGGTTGGGTATTCTCAACATGATATTTGCGATCGGGTGTCGATATTTTAAACTCATGAATTTGACCAATGCTTCCAGTGAGAATGACCTAGTCTTCTTGTCGCGAGCTTGGAAGCTGGGCATGCAGAGCAATGTTCTTCTTGAGCATACTGATCTTCAGCAAATCCAGCTGGAGTTCCTCATTGCGGTTTACCTCCTTTGCCTAGGACAAGTCAACAGGGCTTCTACGTTTTCCGGCTTGGCCCTTCGATCTGCACTATCCCTGGGCATTAACCTCCGTTTGACAGATGACCGCACCCATAATGCTTCCAAAGAAGCGCGATGTCGCCTATGGTGGTCCATCTACTGCCTAGAGAACCTTCTTACCTCAATGCATGGCCGAGCCTCCGGCGTTGGCGAAGGAGTCTGCTCTGTACCCCTTCCCATCCCAGTTGAAGAGGAATACTTTGAGAAGCCCGACGTCCAGCGCCTTTTCCACGACTACCAAGCCCGCGACGACCATCTCCGCGCGACAATATTTGAGACACCAACCAATCACATCCCTCAACCTGCCGCAACAAGCTGGATTTCACAATGCAGTCCATCCCCCTCCCTCTTCTTCTACTACCTCGTCGACCTAGCCCTAATCTCTCAATCGGTCATCAACAAAATCTACAGCATTGAGGGCATCCGCGAAGGAACTTCCCAAATAGAATATCGCCTTCAAAAATACGCAACCCTGATGGACCGCTGGCTCGCCAAACTCCCCTCAAATTACCAATTCACCATTCCCTCCTCCGGTCCCTGGCACCTCAACCACCCAAAACTAGACGACACCTCCGCTCCCTATGTTCGTGAATGCGTCTGTCTAGCAATGTCCTACTTCTCCTCCCGAATCGCCCTCTGCCGCCCATGTCTCTCACACAGCCATTCCCAAAACCCAGGCGACTCCCGCACAAAACTTCGCTCAGAAATGGCTACACAATGTCTCCAAGCCGCATGTGCTCTCATCTCAATTCTTCCCGAAACACCCAATATCTCTTGGCTCGCCCGCGTCGCGCCATGGTGGAGTGTACTTCATTTCCTAATGCAAGCCACAACTGCACTTCTCCTCGGCCTTTCTCACGCCTCCGTTACAGATTACTCTACATCCACGTCTCCCATGTCCGTCCCTTTGAACGAAATTGATCTCAAGGCAGCCATCGTCGAGACTCGCAAGGTCTTCTTCTGGATCCATGCTATGGCTGTCGTGGATCCGGCGGCCAGACGGGCTTTCTTACTCGTTGAGAGCGTTATGAGGAGGATTGCAGGTTCTTTGAATGTGGATTTGAAGGACTGGCCTTCTTCAAACAATTTGGCAACGTTTAGTGCCGAGGGACGGGGAGGATGGATGGGTTGGATGAATTGGTTGATTTTGAGGGGTCGGGGTCGTTTGGGGACGGATTATGATGAAATTGGCAAATGATAAATGATGTATGAAAAGGTGGAATGGTGTTTCGGTTTCTGCTTTGACTTGTTATGGGGGGGTTTTTTTTCGTTACATGCTCTGTCTGGCTGCTGTGCCATGTATTATATGTCATGCTTGATGTCTGATGATCAACGATTTCGTACAGTAAACTTTCTCGGGCTTGTCCTCTTGTGTTGATAAAAATTGCGTTTTCGTGCGTCTTAAGTTTGGAAATTACTAGAACGTATCGTGCTCCGATGGAAATCTTGTTGGATTATAGGAGAGTGCTTAGCTAATAGGTTGAAATATTCTCTTTCACCGTCTGGACAAGCCCTACGTCCAGAACAATATCATTTTAATATTCTCACAGGAGTCACCATGTGGACGGTTATATGTACTGGCTCGTTATAATGTCCTGTCCACGCAGTCATCTTCTTGGGAAAATTTACACCTACGCAGTAGATAGATCATTCGACTGATTATTGAATGACGACGTCCGCAATCAAGAAAGATATCCAGAAGGACGTGTCCATTGTAGTAGCTTATACTCAATTGATCTACAGTCTCAAACTTTCAGACCATCGAGACAAATTTGAAACTCAGAGACCTCGTGAGTGAGACCGGAGTCTTTACCAATGGTCCGGCCTTCAGTGATCAGACGTTGGGACTCCATTTTTGAAGAACAAAGTACTCAATGTTTTTCTTCATGACGCATTTATGTGCAAAGGGTAGGCACTGGATTCAACAGGTCTTGCTCAATTAGAGTATGTACTATAACATTAATGTATATAACGTCCCTCTTGGCTAAAATGAAGCTTAACAAAGAGCAAAATGCCCAGAAAATGCCAACCTAAACGCTCGAAACTTAATAGCAGCAGTAACACAATTCATATTAACACATATGAACAAGAAATTCAATGCTCAGCCACGATTTCCATCGAAGATGAATGAGAACGCCGAAAAACCCAGAGAACATGCTATTGACATTGCTCAGCTTGGCTGGGGTTGGAGCTGGACTTGGAATGTGTGCTGGTGCTGATGCTGGGGTGCAGGTGGTGGTGGTGCGCGACCCTGCTGGACGGGTGTCCTTTGGCCCGGATGGGGTTGGGCCTGCTGGGTTTGAGGTTGAGGGTGTCCGTGGATAGATTGCGGGTGTTGCAGTTGTTGCATTGGTGGCATTTGCATGAAGTGAGGGTGTTGCGGGTGTTGAGAGCGTGGTGCGTGAGGTGGGAGGTGTTGATGCATCGGCATGTGTGGCATGGACATCGGCTGATTTGGCTGTGGGGGAAGCTGGCCTTGTTGTGCCATATGGTGGCCGGGTTGAGGGGAGAGATGTTGGCTTGATTGCGGTGTCATATGCTGACCGTGTGAGGGCATGTGGTGGCCCTGTTGCTGCTGCATCGGTTGGGCTTGCTGTGGGCGAGCTTGAGTTTGCGGGAGTGGCTGGCTCTGCGGTGGCAGATGCTGTCCTTGAGGATATGGAGGTGTCGGGCAAGGACGCTTTCGTGGTTCGTTGTCAGCCGGTGCTGCGCGCTTCTGACCCATGTCGGTGTCCATTTTGTCATCAGGGAATTTGTTCTCCACCGGGGCTTGATCACCACCTGCAGCTGCCGCTGCCGCGGCGGCAGCTGCAGCGGCAACGTCTGCTTTGCGAGGCCTCCCTCGTGGCCGACCGGTGCCAGTTGGCTTTTTGGCTGTCGAGGGCTTCTTCGGCTTCGGTGGGGGCAGAGGTTGACCGGTAGCTTGGGCCCATGCGATTTGATCCGCCTTGCGAGGACGACCACGCTTCCGCTTCATCGGCAATGGAGTGCCATCTGGACCAATTATAGGAGTTTGAATGCTCGGAGCAGTCGGGGTCATATTTGGCGTAAAGGATGCTTGTCCTGGTTGACCAGAAGGAATCGGTTGACCATTTGCCGCCGCCTGCGCAGCCGCAGCAGCTTGCCTGGCGGCAACTTCCTCCTTCCTCGGCCGTCCACGTTTTCGCTTTGGAAGCGGTGTTACCGGTTGCTCACCGCCGGTCACCATGGCATCAGTCACCTGTGGTTGTGCCTGCCCATTTGACTGCACAGGGGTGGTGAGTGGTACGGTGGAAGGAGCGCTCTGAATATGAGTCTGTCCCACGGGAGGTTGAACTTGAGCTGCAACTTGGGGTGTGGGCTGAGACTTTGCAGCCCCAGGAGGTCGACCTTTGGGCTTGGACATCTTCTTCAGAGCAGGACTCTGCTCTTCGCTTTTAACGGTCCCAGTCGATGCTTGGGTGGTCACAGATGCCCTTTGCGGCTCAGCTGAAGGTTGTGAAGGTGGCTGATAGTGCTGGAACTGCGCTTGTGGTTGAGGGAACTGGGGCTGTTGAGAAGTTTGTGAAAATTGAGGGAGCTGGGGAGTATATTGGTTTTGAGCCTGGGGCTGCGGATGATATTGGTGGAACTGGGTTTGGGTATGTTGCAAGAAAGGAGAATGTTGCTGCTGATATGGATGATGTGCTTGAGCTGCTTGTAGCTTTTGCATTCTTTGCTGCTTCAAATGTTGCTCAAGACGCTGCTGTTCCATGTGTTGCTGCTCCAGTCGCTGCTGTTCCATACGTTGTTGCTGTTGCTGTTGCTGTTCAAGGCGCTGCTGCTCTAGGCGTTCCTGCTCCAGGCGCTCTTGCTCAAGACGCTGCTGTTCAAGTCGCTTGTGTTGCTCGGCCTTTTGCTGCTCCTCTATTCGCTTCTGTTGTTCCAGTTTTTGCTGCTCGGCTTGCTTTTGCTGCTCTATACGCTGTTGCTCGAGACGTTGCTGCTCCATGCGCTGTTGCTCCAGTCGTTGCTGTTCCATACGCTGTTGCTGTTGCTGTTGCTGTTGGAGCTTCTGCTGCTCGAGCCTTTGCTGATGCATGCGCTCCTGTTGTTGCTGGAACTGCTGATGTTGCCTTTGCTGCAACTGCTGATGAGTCTGTTGAGGAGACTGCGGCTGTGACTGAGGTTGGCGTTGCTGATAAATAGCATTCATAGACGGACTAGCCATGGAGGGGCTGCCAGAGGAATGATTCTCTCTCTGATGAACTCCGACCCGAGGCAGGCCATTCAACGACTGCTGTGGCGAGGGCATATTCATGCCATGCTGATGAGGCACACCCGTCGGTGGACTCATTCCAGGCTGTCTTTGTAAATGAGCCATGGGATTATAGCTGCGCTGTAAGTTCTGCAGCGCCATCGGGTCTTGGTTTCTAGCTATCAAGTCCGGAGAGCTCTGCGGTGGAAATTGACCAGGAAACTGTGCAAAGCTAGTAGTTGTCGGATACCCTGCTAAAGGACCCGAGGTCGGCGCCATCTTGCGCAGATCGGGTGACTGCGATGCAAAATGTTGCTGCGGTTGCGCTCTGAATAGCGGCTTATTCCCTGGAAATGGACTGCCATGTTGCGGCAAATTCGGTGCCGCGGCCAGCGACGGCGACGGTACATGCTGGCGCGGGCCACCCAACGGATGTTGCGCTTGAGTAGTTTGCTGCTGCTGCTGCTGCTGTTGCTGCTGCTGTTGAGGTTGCTGTTGCCCGGGGTGAAATGGTTGACCCCCGTATGGCATCATTTTCAATGATGTGATGTAGCTTTTGCCGTAAGCGGTAGCAGATTAGAAGCGCTCTCTCGTTCACGAGCGCATTCACCCCAAGCGCAAGCGAGCGCCGTTAGATGGAAATTTGGACTCTAGAAAATTCAATCTAGTTATCTAGCCACCAGTCGCGTGGCGAACGATTTCACGGTCTAAAAGTCCACGACCGGCTGGAGCGCGCCGCGTGTTTTTGTTTGTTCCGAGTCACCCAGGCGCCAAGGCAGCCAGGCACCAAGGCAACAAGACAGCAGGCAAAATCCCAAAGCGGCTTAGCGGCGGGAATAGAGTACCGCCGATTCCGAGGTCAGCGCAGGAGAAAAATCGCCAGGCGCACACGAAAGAGGGATTCAGGGGGGGGAAGACACGCTGGAACGATCGGGCGATGCGCTCTAGCAGAGTCCAAGGTCCCGAACGAAAGCCCTCTGGGAGATGGAAGGGCACAGAGGCGGTCGATCAGGGACCAAAGTGGATGTCGCCTGGGCTGGATCTCTCGATGGGAGGAAAAAATAATAAAAAAAAAAAATAAAATAAAATAAAATAATTTCGCGTTCTCCACATCACGTGAATCTGGGGTTTGCCACGTCTATACAGCACTTTTGATTCATTCTAATTTTCACGCTAGTGCTTCAATCTATTGATTCTGCTATTGAGTCAAGCTGCCTTTCCGGCATCCTTGTTTTCTTCCGTCACCCGAAGATCCCCTAGACACGGCGCATGGAACAGCTTTCCCGAGATAGCGCCTTTCAAAGTACCAACACTCACAATGATCCACAGCACAACCACAAACACAGAAAGTATCTAAAAATCAGCCATTGCATCATCAGAGTATTCAGGGAAAAGAACTTACTGTCCCTAACACTTTAAAAAAATCTCGAAGGCAGCTCTATTCCCATTTGGACGGTACTTGCTGCGAACACACCGAGCGGGAAAGTAAATCCCCACCACCCAATATTAAAAGGGAAAGTCCTACTGTACGCGATCGAAGCAGATGCAAAGAAAAGCCATACTAAACCAAACGACCACAGAATGAGAGCGACCAAAAAACCCACAGTATAGAAAGTCGCCCCGGAGGACTCTTCCAATGTATGAGTTTTGGGGAAATATATCTCGCGCGCACTGGCCCAGCTTCATCGCTCTAAGTGAAATTAGCAAAGCCAAACCATTGCTCATGGTATCAAAAAATCACATACCCATATCCACCTTGTCCCAGAGGACCTAGAGGCAGAAACACACTAACAATGACCGCCTTGGGAGGCAGCTTGTGAAGCGTCAGACGCAGGAGATAAATCACCATAACCATCATAGCTAACGGCAACCCAATACCCCAAAGTACGTAGCTAACAATGACCGTCCACAAAGCATACTGCTCATTGGGTAGTACACCGGCGACGACAGCCCCGGACGATGCAGCCACAATACAACTCACGATGGGTAGAAGCCACACCGCCGTCATCGAGGATAGAGGTCTTTCATTTCCATGGGCCATTCTACGCTTATTAGCAGAACGGTTCTCAGAAGCTCAGAACAGGGCCACTCACAGTAGAAACGGCAAATAAAACGCCGTCGTCACCGACACAACAGCGTCGAAAATCCACAATCCCCAAGCGAAATACCTCGTCCATTCACCCCACGCTGGGACACAGACGAAGACTATCATGTTGATGATCGTAGCTAGGCCCATGGGGAAAGTTCCTATGAACATAGATTGAACGGGATGCTTGATCATCACAGGGAAGATCTCTGGGTACAGTGTGTACCGTAGGATACTGATGATGCAGCCTGTGCTGAAAAGAAGGACATTGAGCACGAAGACTATTATTGAGAGATAGTACAACCAGTCTCCATTGTACGGGAGGTTGTGAAGGAGAATTGAGACGATGCCTGTGCCCATTGTTACGGAGAACCAACTGTATAGAGGGTCAGTGAGCATTCTTGGGTTGTAGGAGGGGGACGAACGATGGAGTGAAATTACGGACTACTCTCCTCCAGCCATGGTCGTGTTTTGAAGTTGTGGGTGCTGGCTCTGGTTCGTTAGAGGGTTGAGGGCGAGGAGATGTTGTTTGTGGCGGTGATGGTGAAATTGATGGTGACTTCGTCGGTGAATTTAATGGTGGACTTGATGATTGGGTCTGGCGCGTGCTGGTCGCCATGTTAATTGAACCCTCTGCGCTCGTGGGATACAGAGCCATGTAAAATACCGAGGCACATGGGCAGCAGATGAGGCAAGCATTATATATCGAGATGAAGTATGACTCGATGATGTCGGCCGAGATCACGGGATCCGGCAAGCAATTTTTGGACAAATCCTTTTCGGGACGCGCCTCAAACTCCACATTCCAGGAAAAGAGTCGTGAGCTCCATTCGACATTTTTAATTGGCTGTGCCAGTTAGTTATTGTCCCAATTGCGAATCTGACGTCGGTCGAGATTCGGTTTCCCGAGCTGCGTGATTATGGCACTAGCTTATATTCTGGCCTCCGACAAACTTCAATATTATGAGCAGAATCTTGGGAAGGGATTCAACACTCGGGTTTAATTCCAAAAATTGCCAAATCATTCATATGTTTCTTTTAAGCCTCAAATATACTCCTTGCTTCTGCGGGGCGTTGAATAGTGCGATCGGATCCATTTCATTCCTGGAACCATTAGGTGACGATTGAAGTATATTATCTATTTCTGCGTGGATAGGAGTCGACTTACTTCTATAATCTAGTATAGATCGTCTATGACACAAGGACACGGTCACTAGTATAAGCCCCAAAGTAACGTGCATTGAGTTCAACTATATACGAACATCACAGCATTAATCCATAATCAGACATTCCAAATCTTTACAATCCAAGCGGGTTCTGTGCAGTTTGCTCCTTCCCACCATATGACTCTTGCTTGTCACCCGAGGTTGCGCCCGAGGCACTCTCGCCAGCACCCTTGGTAACATTGCCCAGTCCTTCAGTAGTACCTGAGACGGTATCTCCGAGGCCGGAGGTCGCGCCGCCGACCGTGTTACCGAGTCCACCGACTGCGCCGCCGACCGTGTTGGTTACGCCGCCGACTGTCTTGCCCAGAGTGTCGCCCACGCCGCCGAGAAGACCGCCGCCTATGGAAATAGGGATTAGATTGTTCTGGGTTGGTGGTACAGATCATGAGGACTCACTGCCTTGCTGAGACATGTTGTGATTATATGTAGATGGTGTGGTTGTTTGTATTTGTCAAGCGAGACTTGACAGGTAGATCAGGTTGGAAGTTTTTGGAAGTTCAAGATCAAGAATGAGGATGGACAGTATTTTGAAGATGAAGTGAAACTCGACGTAGCAAAAGCACCATTCCTTAAATACTCTCTACCCCAGCAAACAACAAAACCGGTTCTAGCAATGATCTAATGAGTGCGACCCAAGTGACACGCGCCACACTGTCATATGAAGTACGCACCCCGTCCACCGTACCGTCGAATCATATTCCACAATTCACCTGTCATCCTTAGCACCAGCCACCGAATGGACCCATTCTCTGTGTTCTGACGTACGTATCCACGACGTTGATCTCATCACTGTGGCACAGTCGTGCTAATTGGGTAGTTGTTCTCTGCTGATCGCGGAGGTGGCGTCGTGGCGATGCGGCGTCCGGTTTGATGATTGAACTTGCTTATATTGATGAGGGGCTGAACTGTATGTGATCGAGATGATTTCGTGCATGACGTCCGAGCTGCGGTATGGGTTTCTTTGGGAAGGAAATGATGTCATTCACTGTGGACGGTGGATCGTGACGGGGTTGATAAAGTGTTTTATATTAAATGGGTGGGGCGTAGGTCTGGGCTCTACGCCGTAGGTGCTACACTATTGGGGTACGATAACGGACATAGTATGGGTGAATTAGGTGACTCCTCTCTTTCTATGTCTATGGAAAGATCGAGGCTCATTGCCTGATTTGATTGTGATTGTTTGCCAGATCGAGAGTTCAGATCGATTAGAGACTTGCTTGGCCTCGGGACTCGTAGGGCATCAAGAGGACTAGGATAGCCGCCCCCAGGAACAATACCCCACTGACATAGACTGGAACAGCGGTTTCAAGGTTCGCAAACATGGCGATGACGGGTGCCATGATGCCAAAGATTCGATTGGCGGATGCAGTCAATGCGTTGCCCGTGCCGCGGTCTTTAGTGAGGAAGATCTCGGGTGTGTAGGCGTACAATACGGAGTACATGAGAGTGCTCATGAAATTATAAGCGCAGTTCCATCCCAAAAGAGCGTTGGATGTGGTGGCTCGCGTGGATAAAAGCAAGAAGACTCCAGTAAGTGCAGTTGAACTGGAGAGAGCGCCCTTTCGTCCGAATCTGGGTAGCTCAACGAGGAAAGCACCGAGGAGGCAGCCGGGTATCCCCATCACAGCGATGATTAGTGAGTTTCGGTAGGTGATGTATGTGGACCCGTCGCCAAACTCTGCACCGCGTGACTGTTGGATGTATGGCAGGAACGCGTTGTAGAGCGGGAATCCCAGTCCGACAAAGGCCCACACGAGAATAATCAGAGTCGTGGAATAGGCCCGCTGAGGCGTATCGAACAGTGCGCGAACGTGATCCAAGCTCAGCTTCTCCAATCTCTGGCGGACGATATCGGCAGCGGTCAACCCCCGACTTCCCTGGTCAATATCATTCAGGTCATCCAGTGTCAACGAGGAAGCCCTCCCGTTCCTCCTCGCAACTTCATGCACAACCTTGACAGCCTCCACGTTCCTTCCCTTTCCCATAAGATACTTCGGCGACTCATAGATAGTGAAGAACATAAATCGTCCTACAAACATAGCCATAGCCAACCCACCCATTGCAACGAGAAAGTACCTCCACCCCATATTCCTCGCCTTGGTACATCCCTCCTCCCTGCACAAGACAAGTTCCCAAGCAAAGGCCACGCCACCAAATTGGCCAGCAACTGTGCAAAAGCCCAATCCACCGACAAAACAGTCAGAAGGTACTGATGCGAGCCAGGCAGAAACTCCAGGAAAATCGCCGAATCTACAGGCAAATTGCCTCCAACGCCAATCGACCACAACGCCGCCAATGCACAAATTGCTCCGAATCCAGGCGATGCCGCCGCAGCAAGACCAAATACTGCAGTGATTCCAATCGTGAGATTAAACGCCCACCGACGTCCAAATACATCACATCCGAACCCCCAGAATATCGCACCGATTAGTAATCCGATATTCTGCGCCAGCGTGAGCAACGCAGGACGCGAGACGGAGAATTCGTAGGATATCGGAGGCAGAATCAGCGATGTGATAATCGGCCAGAGGTTATCGCTTGCCCAGCCGAATCCGATCACGATGAATAGCTGCCACTGGTACCGGCCCATACCGATCTCTTGGATCGCGCAGTTCAAGACTTCCGCCTTGGCCCGGTATCGAGCGTCGGGGCTGGTAACCGGGCTACCTAGGTCATCGGCCGCTGTTTGGTCTGGGGATTTCGGAACAGACATGTTGGGATCGTGATCGTGGTGATCTTGATCTTTGAGGGGGAGGAGGGGGAGAGATGATTCGGCCTCCATGTTATATGCTTGCGAATTCATGGGGTTGCAATGGGGGCGCTTGCGCGATCAATGTCGCGATAGTGCATTAGTGGACTGTGGTAGATGATGCGATTGGTAAGGCGTGCGACAAACTCTATGGTGGTGTATCGGGTGTGTTTGTTTGGCGCTCGTTAATGGCGTGATCGACGCCTCCCGCCGCGTCAGGATGGGGATCGTGGGGAACCAGGGTCCAGCACTGTATCGAGTCCCCACACTTCGATAGGTGCTTAATTAGGTATGTGCTCGTCTTGAAAACGGTGCTGACAAGGGATGCTGTGTAATTGCTATTTACTGTCTGGGGAAGTTCGAAGGGATAAACAAAAAGAGGCGGGATGTCACATGACGTCAGTTCCGACGCAAGACACATGACATGTTCAAGTATCACGATATCTAACAAATAGAACACCCGGCTCAAATCCATCAATACACTATCTAAGCAGAAGTCGACTGCGCACTAGCCAGCGAGCTATAAGGAGTCGCACCAGGGTAGAATGATGTGGGAATCGCGGGAATCGGAATGGGCATATCCGTTCCAAACGCAGTCGCCAGATCCGACGCCATAGTCGCAGCCGAGTATCCCGATGGAGCAGCAGTCACAGTCATGGAGGTCGTGTACGTGGTGTAGTCGTTGCCGGAGTCGAGGCACGCGCCGTCGCCATACGCGTTCTCGCACGAGTACCACTGCGAATCACCTTCCTCAGTCCACATAGCAAAGTCCTCGATCGTGACCTCGGTACATGGGGCTCCGCTGGCACAGTTCACCTTGATGGGGCCGCGCTGGGCACCATTGGCTTCAGTGCCTTTCCAGTTGCTGATTGTGATGTTATTGAGTTGGACACCGTCGCCGGCGACGGTGCTCATGCTGGACCAGGCTTGGTCAATGTCGAGGGAGTAGGCGTTGCCGTGACCTGGTCTGTTTAATTTGTGTTTGTGATTCTGTTGGAGTGAGCAGGGTACATACCGATGAAGTTCTCGAGCAGGAGGTTGGAGACAGTGCCGGAGCCGCCGTTGCTCTTGACCATGTACATCTGATTCGAAGACCAGGTGTAGACATTACGGTAGACGACATCAGAAATATCCGTGTCAGCTCCCAGCGAGCCCATGGCACAGCCACCGCTCCAGTTGCAGTAGATGTTCTCTACAAGGATGTTCTTGGATGGACTCTGCGGGGAGTTAGCTGGTAACTCATGTATCGAAACGCTATACTGACCTTGACAGTAACACACTCATCCTTGTTGGTGACCATGACATCGTGAACCCAGATGTTAGTCGACCAGACATCAATACCATCCAAACCACCTGAGTTACCACCACGAATAGCCATGTTATAAACCTCTCCATTCTCACAAGTATCCATCGAAAAGTGGAAAGCCGGCGCATCCACGAGCGCAAGATCGTGAACCGAAAAATCCGTTACCTCATACATTCGCAGTATGCGCGGTCCACTCAGTGATCCCTCGCGATGGAATTCATACCCCCAGCCCTGCACGGCGCCCTCCGAGGTCGAACTGAACAGTTCAAAGTCGGTAGTATGCTCGATGAAAATCATGTTCCCTCCATCGGTACCAGTACGGTAGATGATTCCGTCTATGCGGATTGCCGTGCTGCTGCCGCCGGTCAGAGTGACCCAGGTGTCGAGGGCGTAGTCACCGGATGGGATGTAGACTACACCGTTGGTCTTGCAGGCCGCCCATGCGGAGGTGATAGCGGGACCAATATCGGTTGAGTTGTCGGCTACACCGCCGTAGTCCAGAACGGAGCAGATCTTGGAGGCGGCTTTAGTTGCGTAGCTGGTCGTTGGGCCTACAGTGCCGGAAAGTTGAGCACTTGCGAGCAATGGCGCCAGGCCGATTGCTAGAAGAGAAAAGAACATGGTGAAAATATACAAATAAAAGAGAAGAGAAGAGAAGAGAATAAGTGGATTAAAGAAAGAAAAGAACAGGAACAAAAACCCCGTTTGACATGGGAATGGTTATTATATCCCAATTTCTTAGCGTAGAGACTCGAAACTCCGGGGTGAGACCATGCCAATCCTCTCAAGCCCCAAGTCGAAGAGAAACACACGAACTCCCTCGTCACGCCGCGCGTCGGCAGACCACAATCGCTCCGGCGGGGCGTCCGGCAATTGGAAAATGTCTTAGAAGAAGGTTGAGATTGGAGGATTAAAGAGGGCCCGAAGAAGTGTCTGGTGTTGATTGATCGGCACACCTAGTACGACCCGTGCGTTCCGTGTGTCTATGGGTTCGGTCCGCCGTTTCCTTGGCGGGCGCTAAGTCTTGTCTCCATCTTTCTCTAACTGCTACTTAGAAACTCCCTGAATTGTATCGGGTTGGGTGCTCGGCAGGTGTAGAGTGCGTTGATTGAAGCTCTTCTTGGTAGGCGGTTTATTTAGTCCGATGTACTCCATTCACGGAATTGAACAGTACATGGGATGGCACTACTACATGATTTGGGTGGTTTTTTGAGACCTGCTGCCACGAAGCTTGTCGATCGTAGCTTAGTCGTGAGGGCTTGAGCACACTGCCGTTCTGGTCGGGACATCTTGCACCAAGCTATGAGTTCTTCCTAGCCAAAGTATGATTCCCCGCTGGAGCCACGGCCGATGCAACAGTAACCCCGGCTTTGGATGATATTTTTCCGTGCAGATCGGCGGCGTTGGGTTGCTTATTCGCTAAGCCGCTGATCACAGCCACGAGATCACGCTACATTGACCGGGCAGTCGTAATTGGGCCGAAAGATATATCTACAAAGAGAAAAGCAATTCTCAAAAAGTCTGATATTGCATCCCATGGACTGAGAAAATCTAGCTAAAGACTTCGGCAGCAAACAGCGGAGACACAAGCGCAACACACCCTAAAGGCATTACGCAAGCAAATGCTCCACTCCATATCGATACAATACAATCTCAAGCCTCGAGCTTAGATCATCAGGCGCTCAACCTGGTTCTTCAAGTTGCGGATGGTGGCAGTCAGGTCGGAAGCCTCGTTGGTGGTGATGCTGCAAGCGATCACGGGGCGGGAGACACCGGTGGCACGGCCGAGAGCCATCTTGCTGGGGACGTAGACGTAGGGAACGTTCTTGTCCTCGCACAGCAGGGGCAAGTGCAGAATGATGGGCAGAGGGGTGGTATCGGCGGCCAGGATGACAATCTCGGAGGTACCGCGGTTGAGGGTCTTGGTGGTCTCGTTGGCACCCTTCTTCAGCTGGCGGTAGTGGCTGGCCTGCTGGACAAGGTCAAGCAGGGACTGGGCGAGGGTCTCATCGGCGATGGGCCAGGCTGAGATGTTGGTTAGCTTGGTTCTTCCATGGTGCGAAGGGTAGAGGACTCACCAGCGGAAGCGTCTTCGGCCATTTTTAGAGATGTTCAGAAACCGGATCTTTGAGATAAGATATGGCTCACGCAAAGGATCACAGCCGTGTAGACAGCGGAAATAAATGGATGGGTATGAGGTGGATGAATTTTGCGGAGGAAAATTTCTCAGATGGGGATAGGCGCGGCTGACCGCTTCAGTTTTGCCGGGTTGAAGGTTCTTCAGTCGGGGGCCGCCGACCGCCTTTTCATTCCTTTTCCCTAAAAATTGGAGTGTGCCTCTGTCTGTGCCTCAGGCATGCAGGCAGCATAGCGCTACGTTGAATTGGGATCTTTGCGGTAATCTATATCATCGCTATTTATGCATGGCACTTATGCCGCCGAGATCAACTCGGTCAATGTACAGAATTGGTTCTATAACTTGGTACACTTACTCGTGTCGACCATTCCAATCATGCAAAACCTTACGCGACCTGAGTACTGAGAATAGTGCTAGCAAGTCTGGACCGAGCTCGCAGAGCAGGTCCGTACTTGAACAAGGCATAAGGGATAATGGTGAGAAGGGTAGCAATGAGAGCCAATAGCAAACCAGCCCATTGGCTGCCCATGTTGTGGAAGAATTGGGATGCAAACAAGGGCGACACGGCACCGAGGGTGTTACGCATGAAACCCTGACCGGCAATAGCAGAAGAAGCATTGTCGCCGTAGCAGTCAGCAGTATAACTGTAGCATGACTCGAAGATGAAGAAGATGCCGAGGCCAATGAGGACAAGGCCGACAACAGGGCCGAACCAGAAGAGGTCCTTGTACTGGGTGAAGCTGTAGATGAACAGACCGACGGGCAGCCAGACGGCGCCGCACATGGCACCGTAAAGACGGGCCTCGGGGGCGGGACTCCTGGTTGGGGTCGTTGATGACAGATTTGTACTTCCTGATCTGAAGGAAGTTCAGACCGAAGCCCAGGGTGGTACCGATACACAGAGCGATGTAGGGCAAGCCAGAGACGCCCTCACCCCAGCCCTTCTTTTCCTGGTAGGTAATTGGAATGACAGAGAGGAAGAGGAAGGTCAGGAACCAGGCGAAACTGATCCAAAGACCAAAGGCGAACACGACGGGCTCGGTGAACAACATCTTAATGGCCTTGACGGATGAATTGTGAAGCATCTTCTTGATACCGGGGGCTTCCAGGTCGTTGTGGGTGACGAAGCGGTCGTCACCGGTGGACTCCCGAATCATCTTTGCGCGCTTCTTGAGAGTCACACCTCCACGGGTCTCACGGAGGAAAATGGCAATGACAATGACAAGAGGGATGTTTGCAAGACCCTGAATACCCTCAACCCAACGCCAGCCCAGAGCCTGGTCAATGAAGCCGGCGTATATGGGAGCAGCGACGGTACCGAAGATGGCGATGAATGAGAAGGAAGCCATAGGGATGGCACGGTGTGCCGGGGTGTACATGTCACCGAAGGTACCACCGACAAGGATAGTACCGACACAACCGAACAGACCGAGCAGAGCACGACAGACGAGAATGGTGGCAATGTTCTTGCCCAGGGAAAGACCGATGAACATGAGAGCGAAGCAGACATAAGCACCGACATAGACAACCCGCCGGCCAGCCAGCTCACAGAAAGGTGCTAAGAAAAGAGGTGCAAGAGCACAGGTGAAGTTGAAGGTGAAAAGACCCAATTGTCCCAGTTCAGTCGAGACACCAAGATCATCCACCATCCGTGAAATTCCAGAGCTGTAGGCTGTTGTGGCGAGACCAATGAACAAGGTCATCAGGCAGAGCAGCAAACTGATGAAAGCCTTATATTTGGAGTTCCAGTTGAAAGGATTCTCCTTGTCGCCCTCGGCGAATTCCAAGACGATCAAGTTCTGTCCGTCATGTTGGGTGGGCTTGGTAACCGTAAGAGGAAGGTCAAAGTCCACCTCTTGGAGGAGCTGGCTGTCAAGTTCCTGGTTGTGCTCGGCTTCGTATAATGATTCACGATATTTGCCGCCAATGATCCAACCCTTTTGTTGGCTCTCCTGGTGAGCGATAGAGGCTTCTGAAGTATTCTCAGCGTGAGAAGCCATAATAGGCTCTTGTTGTTGTTGTTTCGACTTCATTATGAACATGTGATGGGAGGTGGAAGGGGCCAAGAAAAAAAAAAACAAGAAACCTTGAAGAAGAATCTGACAATATGGGAGAACCCCATTCCATATAAATGAGGCACAGGCTCAGGGCCTGTCGTCATCCGCAAATCTTCGGGCTTGCGAGTATGGGGACTACGGAGCTATGGGTCTCCGGTCTCAAGGCATGGGGGTTAGTCTGGTCCGGCTCCAGTCTTCTCAACGTGTTCCTGGCCGTCTCATTTGATCAGCCTGACTTTTCAAGTGGAGGTCGAGAGGAAGCATTTCACACCGCACATAGCGCTTTGTATACTGGCTGCTGTGGCCTCTTAGATCTTCAAACCAAAGCCTAAAGTCCATATACAATTACTATGAAGGCACAACTACCCCAGCATTTCTGGAGTCAGTTCATCCCGGTGGCTTCGTGGCTGGGAGTAGCCGGTGCCTCATCGTCATCCAGAGCTGTTGTGCTTGCCCGAATACGGATATGGCCCGATACAAAACCAGCCTCAGTCGCATGAATTTTTGTGGACCACGAAAATGCTGGCGAATTGTAGGCGCCAATGAGGGCGCCACCTAGCAAAGCAAAAGCCAGTCTCGGTCAAAGACCGCAGTTTATCGGGGCTTGTTGAGGTGTTGATAACACCGAAAAGGTCCCGAGTAGGTCCCGACCCTGCTTTGTCCGACGCCGAGTCGGCATGCCTTGGTTCGGCCCCACCGGGCTAAATCGACCGGCAAGCCATGCTCGATCGGGTTCTCCATTGCGCTGGAATAAAAACGCCATGTTCTATTCTAGTCCATGATTTCAAAGAAAAGGATGACCGTATTCTATACTGTTGCTCATTTGAGCCTCAGATAGTCTTTGAGTCGGGCGGGTGGTTCGTGCAAAATGCAAATGGACCGCCACTATTTCCCCGTTGGGTGACCGGGCGATCGACCGTCGGTAGATCCTCGGGATGTCCACCGAACAGGCGTCGAATCATGATGGATGATGATCGATACGGTGTCTCCTGCACTCGTCAGGTACTACGAGTGTGGATTTGCTCTGCCCACTGATACATACCCCAATGAGGCAGTTCGGGTTTCCATCATGCATTTCATCATGCATTTCATCACAGTAATGACGAGCAGGGCGCAAAAAGTCGCTCATAGGAACAGCGAACGGCATTGTCAACACAGATACTATCCATCATGTTGCTTTACGATCGGTGTATCCCTACTGGGCTAGGCAGCTGCTCATCAATGGGGCTACGTTGCACGGGAGGTCGGGATCTTTCAAGGTCCATTTGTTCTAGAAGCCGTTGTATTTTAACAGAGCGAGACACTCAACCTACCTTTGTAAGAGTAGCTTTTCGGCTTTGAGTGCCGTGCCTGGCTCGTGGTCTTTTTGTCCACTTTCTCAAAACAAATTTTGTCAAGGTTCAGCGAAACCAGCGATCTTCCGATGGTCTGATCGGCGGTTAACCTTCCTTACCCGCGAGTGGTTCCGACTTCTCCATCGCGTCCGATTGGTCGATCTGCAGAACAAATTGTTTTCATTCTTTCGAGACCAGCTACACATGTTACTGTGTGCTGAATTATGTAGAGGTCGCTAACATGTCCACTCTATAAATCCGTGTATACTTAACATTTGCATGCTCAGCTGAAGTACTATCACATGCCTGCCGGCCCACAGTCCCACATGTATGTACCCAGTACACCACAAGGAGCGTCACCCTAGAAGGTAGACAAATGAAAAGGGGAAAGGCCCTGCTGTGGATGAATCTCAATGAGCCTGGCAACCAGCACAAGTTATGCAGACCGTCCGCCAGCTCACTTTAAAAGCCGCATGCCGCTTGGAAATTTGGTACAGAATTCAAATCAGTAAGCATAGGGCGGATGCCGTCCAGAACACCTGGGTGTTTTTTAACTAGCCATCAATCAGACTCCCGCGACAGATGCTGACTTGACTCGGTTCCTCAAATGCAAGACCCTCTCACCTGTGAATGTTACTAGCTATGAAAGGGGACCAGGTTCATGTTGGACAGCAATGGTCGTACGGAACAACGAAAGCCGCACGGCCTGCAGACGTCGCTCTGTATATTTACGGTAACTTCCGAGATGAGGAAGCTCAGATTTGTTTGCCCTCCCACCTAGATACGCATTTGAGAGCACTGGTGAGTAAAGGGTAGAATGAAGTGTCGAATGTGGCGAGTGATGAAATAATCGTGATGAAACTTGAGGAGAACCTCAATGTCAAGCTCGATTCCTTGCAGACAGTACCTCATTGAATTCAGTATGGTATAGTCGCGTAGCACTCCTAACGCAACACCCCTGGGGCTTGGCACCGGATAGGTTTAAACCAACCCACGTTTGGTTCCACTCCTTTGATTTCATACCCCTCCCAATTTTTACCGCGAACTCTTGATCTGGGCATCTTCAACGGCCGACTGTCAAGCATGTGCCGTACTATATAAGCGAAAGGTACACTCGAGCATAGAATGCATAGGCGGAATGTCAGAGTAGAATACTACTGACCAGTTCAAAAATTTCTTTTGACTTACAGGTCAGCGCAAACCTCCTGTTTTTTATAAAAAGGCACCGGTGCCCTCTTTCAGGTGTCTGGACAGCTGCTGCATGATCTCAGGTTAGCGTAACTGCCCTGTTTAGAGTTGCATTGAAAGTGTTGTATGTGGAGAGTCGTGTTGTCGACGGTGCTGGCGACTAGGAAAATACAGTACAAGCAACCTATTATTGAGAATGCCTTGATTGAATTTTTCAAAGATATTTAAGTGATCTTGAATGCGGATTATGCGTGATCATAGGAATGATTGTGCGCAGATGTGCTAATGACAAGCTGGGGATATAATCGTCTCGCATCCATGTTTCATGATAGATTGTAAAATTCTGTCGAATGTGTCCGTCATTCCACTGGTACTTTCATTCTCAAGATCAAGAAGCTTGCAATGCAAAAGCCCGTCACGGCGAGCATCAAGTTCTCTGGCTCATTTTAGAACAACCCCGCAGCTAAGAATATCCTGATCTGAGGAGGTTATGTAACAAATCAGGTTGTGGTGCCCTATGACATCATCAGCCGGATATTCGGCGAGTCCCCAGATTTCTCCTACAGGCGAAAATTGGCAATTGACGATCGCAGTTACGACCATTCGATCAATTGATGCTTTTGATGAGAAGTTAAAATCTTCATTTCTTGTGCCACTAGTTCCAAGGCCGGCAAGTAGATCATCAGCAACTGACTTGACCGTAGTGAAACGTGGTCGTGGTCGTACCTGGACAAACCTTGCTATTTTCGTATTCAGTGGCTGCAGTACCCGAAACTTAGGCGCTTTTGCTCTACTGAATCCCCGCGCGTCACAATGACGCAAGGTATCAATCCTGATACATAATTCGATCTGCTGCCAAGTGCTGCCAAGAGGATTGTCACTGTCAAGCTTTCTCATTTCCCCAATTTAACCTATTACAGAAGACGTTGAAGATACCTAGAGGTCTCTTCGCTACTTCCAGACACTAGTATCATCGCTCAACCCCAAATCTACAAGAATAGAAGCCATCATCAAAGATGTCTTTCAAGAATGATGATTCCCACCACCTCCACAAGTAAGCATCAATTGCAAAATGAAACTGCTCGCAATATTCTAACATTCAATCTATCAGAATTGGAGGCTGGATGCATCCAGACTATTCTGCCCACCAGGAATGGCTGGGCGGTATCATCAAGCATGTCGATAGCAAAGAACATACTCTGCACCCAGTGCTGAAAGAGTTCCAAGACTTGATTGAAAGTAATACCCGAGTCTATGCGCTCATCGAAGGCATGCTCAGAGAAGTCCCTCGCAAGAAGCCCTACCACACAGATCCGACTGGTCATCCCGAGATTCGTGACTACCACCACTTCCTCCGCGTCCTCAATCACCTCCTCACCACCGCACCCTCATGGACCGACAAAGCTCACCGCGTCGGCCTAGTTGGTCTGCCTATCAATGCCGTCTTGGACTGGCCTATGGGTACGCCAAGTGGTTACGCAGCATTCCTGGACCCCGAAATCAACGCAATGCTCAAGAAGGTCCTCAATGCGTGGGGTGAATACTTGCGTTCTCCAGCTTCCGCTGAAGTCTTGAATTCATCTTCTCTGGGATGGTTCGGCGAGACTGGATACCACGACCTGACGACCGTTGCAAAGATTGGCCCATCGGCCGCTGGGAACCTCGAGTTCCATGATATGTTCCAGTGTGACCCGTCAGCACCACACTATGGTTTCAAGTCCTGGGACGATTTCTTCACACGACTGTGGCGTGACGGCATGCGCCCGGTCGCGGAGCCTGACAACGGCCGCGTTATCGCCAACGCTTGCGAGTCTAAGCCGTATAGGGTCGCTCACAATGTCAAGGCTCGCGATCGATTCTGGATCAAGAGTCAGCCTTACTCTGTTCTTGATATGCTTGGACATGACCCTCTGGCTGAGCAATTTGTGGGTGGAACTATCTACCAGGCTTTCCTCAGTGCATTGAGCTATCACCGCTGGCATGCGCCCGTTACCGGAAAAGTGGTTAAAGCCTATGTGGTTGAAGGCACGTACTATTCCGAGCCGTTGTTCGAAGGCGTTGGAAACCCGACTGCTCGAACTGAAGATATTCGTCCTGAAGGCCAGACTATCTCGCAGTCGTATATTACTGCGACTGCTACGCGTGCCTTGATCTTTATTGAAGCAGATGAGCCTGCTATTGGCCTGATGGCATTCATTGGTGTTGGCATGGCGGAGGTCTCGACCTGTGATATCACTGTCAAGGAAGGCGATCATGTCAAAAAGGGTGATCAGATTGGTATGTTCCACTTTGGTGGATCGACTCATTGCTTGCTCTTCCGTAAGGGTGTCGATATTTCTGGATTCCCCGAGCCTGGCATGGATGAAAATATGCCTGTTCGCAGCAAGTTGGCCACTGTTGCATAGGATGTAAGTTTATCAATGCTTGTGGTCTTACAAATTTCGAATGTGTATAAGCATATCAGTAGTGTATGAACGGCTGGCGCAATTCACATACAAATAGGAAGTTTCTCTGTTATGTATGCCCTTTCTCACGCCCGTTAAAATTGTCTTTCGGAAGGGACCGTCGGCAATGAAATATAATACGCAAGTTCTATCATCTCCAGATTTACAGAAGTAGCTTAAATAGGAAGAAAACCTAGTCCAGTCAAGTTTCAATCAGCACGACTGATCTGTAGCGGAATCTTGGGAATCTAAAGCTAGGAATATTCTTAGAAAGAGGCGTCCGTATCCATTCTGGAAAATTCACCAATCGCAGGGCGTATTTTGCTGCTTAGAAAAAGAAAGTCAGCAGTGCATCAGCACGCTAAGCCTAAACAGGCAAAGCGTGACATTCATGATCCATCGATAATAATCGCATAATCTTCTCCAACCATTCAAGATTTTAGATCCCAGGCTATATAAACCCCCAATCTTCCTGCAATTCAGAGAAAACCCAAGAATAAATTGTCATACTTTGATCTTCAGACTTCTGCGATTCTCAGCCACACGAAAGACAGCAACAACACAGCAATGACAAACCCACTTTCCCACGCCAAGATCGTTCTCCGCCGCTCCAGCGAGCGCGGATATGCCGAACACGGCGGCTGGCTCAAATCCTTCCACACCTTCAGCTTCGCCAACTATTATGACCACCGCTTCCAAAATTTTGGAAGTCTTCGAGTCCTCAATGAAGACCGCGTCTCAGCACGGAATGGCTTCCCAACTCACCCCCACCGCGACGCCGAGATCTTCAGCTACATCCTGAGCGGCGAGCTGACGCACCGCGACAGCATGATCAAGAAGGGCTCTGAAGGCGCACAGGGCAAGGACTTCTTTCGTATGAAGCGGGGCGACGTCCAATTCACTACTGGTGGAACCGGTAAGTTTCTCTTCTTATCCTCGTACTAATAGATCAATGCTGACGTCAAGACAAGGAATCGCTCACTCCGAGCAGAATGAGTCTACAAAGCCGGTGCATTTCCTTCAGATTTGGGCTTTGCCTTGGAAGCAGGGACTCAAGCCTCAGTATCACACTATGACTTTTAGTGAGGAGGACAAGCGCAAGGCTTTCGTGCCTATCTTGTCGCCTCTTGCTGCGGGCCCTGAGGCTACTCCGGCGCAGGAAGAAGCTGCTACGCCTAAGATTCCCAATACCATTCCTATTCACGCGGACTTTGTGATGGGTGCAGGTATCATCGAGCCTAACTCTACTTTCAAGTGGAATGTTGGCGCAGGAGATGTCGTCAACTCGAAAAAGAAGCGCAATGTTTATATCCATCTGCCTATGACCAAGCAGGGTAAGATGAGGATTAAGCTTAACGGCAGTGAAGATGCCATCTTGGAGGAGGGTGATGGTGCTTTCGTCACTGGTGTGAATGCTGGTGATGCGCTCCGTGTGGAGAGTATTGGTGAGGTCGAGGCAGAGGTCATTGTTCTGGACAGTGATTAAGTGGATAAATTTATAGTTCATATTGCGTTTTAGAGATATGAAATAATGACAAGGCGTTTGGGCTTGCCTGCTTGAAAATCACTTGACCGTCCCGTCTATCACGACTTTTGTAGTAAGTGTAGAGGACTCATCAATATCCAACTTTTTGCAATTCTGCCGCATCACTTTCCTCCCAAGGATGTTCTTGCTCCACTGACAAGATGAGAGCTTCGATCTCCGAGCTTCGCGGCTCAATATCACACTGGAAAGGCGAGGCATGGCTAATGACTCCAGGTTCGAATTGCGGGATCGTAACCTCCACGCCACCTTGCCGAGCTCTGCTGATATTGAATGCAGCAAGTGACTGAGCCACGCTCAGGAAAAGTGTATTGTCAGCTAAGAATCGACCAGGACACACGCGGCGTCCGAATCCGAAGACGAGCGCGTGAGGGTCTGGCGCGGGTGTTTCGCCGAGATATCGCTCGGGCTGGAATGCCATGGGGTCGGGGTACACCTCAGGATCGTGCATCGTGGCCCTTTACGTTATTAGATTCGAATATTGATGGGGGGTGGGCGAATTTCCTATTTGAGGAACATACCAGATGTTGGCGAGAATAATCGATCCCTTCGGGATGAAGTATTTTCCGTAGGTGTCATCTGCTGTCGACATGTGTGGAAGACCCATTGGCGCGACTGGATGCCATCGTAAAACTTCCTTTACCATAGCGTTGACATATGGCAAGTTCCCGCGATGTTCTATGCTGGGAAGCGTATTTGGTCCAAGCACACGGTCAATTTCCTCTTGGGCTTTGCGCTGGACGTCAGGGAACAGCGCCATGGCAAGGTAGAAGCAGTTGATAGAAGAGACAGTCTAGTTGAGTTAGTATCAATTTCTTCATGGGGTCAAATTGAAGAACAAAAGCAACTCACGGTGTCCGCACCGCCAGTGTAAAGTGACGCGGCAGTCCATTTCGCAACTAGCTCTTTCTCGGATCCTGACTCGGGGAACCCAGCCTGAAGGATTTTGCCGAGGTACGATGGCTTGGATTTTCTATGTTCAATCTGTTGTTTCACAAAATCATAGGGTCGGTCAGCAATGCGTCCGAGATGTTCTCTCCAAAGATTTGCGGTTCGCTTGAAGCCAGCGCCTGGGAACCAGCTGGGGACATATTTCACTGTGATCATCAGCCAAGGCGTTTTTTCTCTTTGTGACGAGAAATCACAAAGACATACGGGCGGGAATCAAATCCACCATCCATGCTCCCGGTACTGAAGCCTGACCGAATTCGTCCATGGCTTCATTAGTGATGTGAACCAAATGATCCCGACCGAAAGGCTCAACTCGGTAACCGTAGGCAATATTGAGAATCACTGCTCCAGCCTCACTATGTTGAACAAAATTAGAAATTCGTCACTTTCAAACTCTTCGATTTGAGTGTAGCTTACGTCTGAATATGCTGCAAAAGATTCGCGGGATCTTTCAGCACACGAAAGAGGAATCGTCGAGCTTCCACATCTTGCAAGGCATTAAACTGTGTAACTGCCGACTCCGAGCCAAAACTCGGTTGAATTGCTTTGCGATAAGCGCGGAACCGGTCGGTATAGCCTTGGAATGCGAGACCATCTTCCCATCCTACCCTAGTGACGAGGGGAAATATAAGTAATGTCATTTTATTTTGCACGAGCTTCCAACTTACATCTCTGACGCGAAGGTCATCCTGGGTCGAGAAGAGTAAATTGAAGATCTCTTGACCAGCAAATCTAGTGCGATTTTGGAGTCATTCACAATCACGATCGTTTGTCCCAGTACCGTGATCGAGCTGATCGGACCTGCGAATATGCTAGCAATTCGAAACGGCGCGACAAGAAAATGAGGGAATTGGTAGACTCACCATAGCCAGATTTGTGCTTCAGCCAGTGTACCCAATCTTGTTCTCCCTTTGGCGGGAGATCCTTGATGTTGCCGACGACAGGCAGCGGCGAAGGCCCTGGTGGCAATGGCCCACAGGCCTTTTTCCGCCTCGTGTCAAGAAGAACATACAGGGCAGCGATCCCGAATGTTAACGTCAGCAGCAAGAGAAGGTTCATGGTGAAAGATAACAGGGGATCCGCGTAAGAGCCCTGGCGGGGAAAGACATTAATATAAGTGGGCTCAATTTTGACCGTATTTTCATGAATCCCATTTGCCAATCAGTCTTGTTCTCTTTCAAGTTTAGACTTATCGTATTCGTCCCAATTAAGAAATTGTTGCGGAGTCGCACAGACAATACCGCCCATGAAACTTCTGCATTCCCATGCACTCTTAAGCTCTAGGCGTCCTAAGTATGCAAGCCAAGAAACCCCACTCCAGCCACCTCTGCACGCTTTAACCTATTCGCTACATATCCCGTCCCATGGAACCTAGTTTGACTTTCTACGAAACGAGTAAAGTGGAACACACTAGCTTGTGTCACCCTCCACATCGTCTGGTTTAACTGAGCACTTTCTGCATGCTGACTTGCTTGCGCTAGGCTGTATTTTGCCCTGATCGGCGATTTTAGCATTGTGCGAGGCACCGGACGATCACTGGTACAGATATCCTGGTGGAGGCATTTAATTTGGTATTGGAGGATAAGGCAAACGCTCCTAAGGTAGCTGTCAATGGTGTTCCGAACGATCTCCAGTGGCTGAAAAACTACACTTCCCACGGGGCCAAAAGTTCAAACTCCCTCAGTTTGTCGTTTGGATGGCTATTTGAAATTCTCTTTGGGTTTGTGGAGCTCCTGGAGCAATGACGACCAGCGGCGCTTATCATTTTCGCTCATTTCTCTGTATTATTTCAGAACGCCCCCAAGTTCTGGTGGAATGAGCCTATTCCAGCGAAGATTGTAAAAGCTATCGCCGCAGTTCTTCCCCTGGAATACCATAAGTGGATTGAATTGCCAATGCGAGAAGTATTGGGTGCCGACGATTAGTTATGCAACTCATGGAGTATATTTTGTGAGGGTTGCAATGGAGCTGTTTATTCTTTATAAGCGTGATTCATACCAGCGGAGCTTAGCTTTCGGGCTTTCCTTAACGCCCAAAAACTTTTATTTCGGTGGGTATTTACTTCTACCCCAAGATGATCAGCGTTAAATGCAGTAGGTTTGGTGACATTGAATGACAAGCAAATTAGGTACCCCACATACGGATATCTTTTGCACCACTCTTTTTCTTGATATCTTTGATGAGATCATCGATTCGGGTGAACCAGGCGATGAGATTGTGGTCGAGCCCAGCGATAATCATACCGACCACCTCGCCATTAGGTGTACACAGCAGGCTTCCTGAATCACCGGCCATCGCCGCATGACCTCCGGTAGCCTGAGTGATGCTGTATTTCAGAGTGTGCTGTCCATTGTCAATTTTGGCTATTTTAAGCCCATTATACATGACCGTATTGCGCCCAGACCGATACCCTTGGAATTCGAGCCAAGTGGATAATTCCTCATCACTAAGGCGAGAGAGTACTTCTGACGAAGCGATTTCCTTAAGAGCTAGATCGCCCTCGAGCTATAAATTGTGAGTCTGCAAGAAGGCTGATCTTAATGATCTCGGGACTATGAGGGCAGGTTACTTACCTCATTAGAGGGGCTTCGTTTCTTAACGTCCACCATGATAAGCGCCCAATCAAGATTAGTCGGATGACTTTTGTCATCGAGCGTATGGAGCTTCTTTGATCTGAACCCTGACGCAAGCCTGACACATCCAAGGCTATTGCCAGAATTCTGAAAGAATCCCTGGATGTCATTGATTTTCTTCTCATGGTTCATGACAGCGGAGTGAAGTTTCTGCCAAGCCATTTTCTTGGGCTCCGTCAGCTCGGTGTCGAACAGATCATTATTTTTCAAGACCAGCCCGTGTTGGTAGAGCGGATTGAGCTTCTGGTAATCGATAAATTCTTGATGCTTCTTGATCTGCTCTTGTTTGGCGTGCCGACTTGGATGGCTTATTTTGAGATACTGCTGTGACATGCTTGAATCTCTATTGGACATGGAGAGACCACGACTTCGCCAATTCAGGACAGCTGTCAACTTAATTAGTATTTGTTCCCCCAGAGAGTTTATCTCGAATGAAGCTCACCTGCACGCTCCTGGCCTGTGAGATCCTTATCGCATGGATTGATAACATGAAAACATGTCAAGGCGAAGCAGTGCCACTTCAGTGTTGCTGGGTGCTGAAGCTCGATGAACCCACCAAGTGTTCCAGATCCCGCATCGTTGCTGCTGTGAGCGATAGGCCCTCCAGCCATCGCTTTACTTTTTAAGAGCTCCTCTTGGAACCCACTTCCTTTGCGGAAATCCGCAAGAGGCAAGGTTCTGTCTTTGACAATCTCAACCGCGACCATAGGTAGGTTTGAGCGCTTTAAAATACCCGCAATTCTATCCCTTGTTCTTCGCCAATCTTTCTTGCTGTTGATGTCTGCGATGACTAGAACTGTGACAGGGTTTTCGTTGCCAGAATTTCTACCGCGTCTGTAACACCCGATAAGTTTCATGTCGGTCAGGTCGACATCTCTCAGGATGCGATCAAGTACAGAATCCCACTTATTGAACATGGGGTCTGACTTCAGGACTGGGAGTGTTTTCGGTGGATTGAGGGCCTGGGGGTCGACGATCTCCACGGAGACTTGCGCGAAATTCTCATACCGCAGTAAAAAGTAAATTTGGCGAGCAGTCTGGAGCCAGAGGTCATCCACGACGTGACGCGTGGCTAGGACTACGATAGTCGGGACAGGCTCGGGCTCTGGGTTGAATCTCGACTGCCGTAAAGAAAGTGTGACTGGGTGATCCCAGGGCCCAGCTTCGATAAGACTGATGTTTCTGTTGCGGAGTATCTTGTAGACACGATCGTAGATCGTCTGTTCTCCGGAGACTTTATGCTCCAGCAACGCATGAAGTGGATTTGTCTCGGGGAGAAATTTTGAGGAGAGTGGGATGGAGCAGAGGTAGGGCCCCCCCAACTCGAAGATCTTCATTCGAAAACCCATCTTCTGCAATTTTCCCCTCGTCGTCACTGCTTCCGAGTGATCGTCGCTTTCGGCCGTCGGTGCCAGGCTTTCCCGCCTCGTCGTTCAAGGCTCTGGGAAGGTTCTTCTTGCTATTGTGGCGCTGCAAACTGACCATGTCTGCTCCCATTTCGTTGAGAACAGTCCGAGAAACAATAGGAGAAGCGTAGGCGAGCTCGAAGTTGGAGCCCCGCGAGTTAGAGCGGGTGAGAAGAGCCGTCGTTGACATATCGGAGTCGCTGAAGAAAAGAAGGAAGATAAGAGTAAAGTGAATGGGAGTCAGTGAAACACGGAAAATTCACTGCTGTGAGGAGAGAAGACACTTGTGAGCTGAATGAATGTCAGCAAGAATGAGAATCTCACTGACGCAAAGTGAGAAAAGGATTGGGAGGTAGATAGACACCAGTGAATGACCGAAAGTCCCTGATGCTACGAGAAAGGGTATGTGCCAGAGTGAAAAGTAGAAGAAGAGAAGAAGAAGTGAATAAAAAGAGATTAGAAGAGAAGAAGAAGAGAAGAAGCAGAGAATAAGAAGAAAATAAGAAGAGAATGGAAGCGGAGTAATTAGAAGCAGATAAAAAAGAAGCAAATGAAGTAGAAGTAGAGAAGGAAGGACGACACCCCAAAGAGGTTTAGTACCAGCGATCGAGTTCTCAGTTCAGGGTCATCATCGCAGCGCCTGGGCCTCAGGCAACAACGGTTAATCTATGTTTTTGCTTTAATTGTCTTGAGAATCAAACGTCACCTACTCAAAAACAAGAGGCAGGTAAGATAGGTAGGAGGATAAGGGGAAAGGGGATATTGGATAATAAATGTGAACATGCATAGGCACGGACTGTGGAAGTGAAGAGATTATGCGAAGCTATAAAGTCGCCAAATCCAAAGTGATATAGATTTTGGCCGCTATAGTCCCCTCCGCTTAGGGCTTCCCGGCCTCAGATAATTACAATTCTCTTTGTTACTGCTTCGTTTACTTCACCTTACCTTACCTCACTACCTTAATTGCGAACATACTCCATACAACTCTGAGACCTACATTCCCCTGACCGCTCTATTTGCACTGGCAGCCTACAAATCGCCGGTTTTATCACACGTCGTTTTGAAAAGTAAATCGGTTGAATCTCAATTAAAATTGAATCATGAATATTCCTTCGTTCACTTACAGTACATACGACCATAGGGTGTGGAGAACAGGGCTTCCCGTCCGCTCAGCCGTACTTAAGCCACACGCCGGCAGGTTAGTAGTTGGGTGGGTGACCACCAGCGAATCCCTGCTGTTGTATGTTTTTTTTTTTTTTTTTTTTTTAAATTTTGGTGCAGGAAGTGCCCTTACCGCCCAATCCAGGTGAATAAATATGTCTTTTTTGAAACTGTGCCCTTCGCACTTCAAACTGATACTAGTGAAGGGCTTTTGCAGGGAAACAGGGCGGTGGGAGGTCTGAATCGTCTCGAGTTGATCTGATGGAGATTGCCCCATCCCTCCGCGCCTCCGACCTGCAGGTATCCTCGAGGACTTGGACCTGGTCGGTCTTCTCTCCATGCTGGAGGATTCCCGGTTCTTCCGAGGACCAGGCTTTTGATCCTCCCTCGATGGCCTTTGTAGGCCCTAGATTGTTTTCTCGTTCCCCCGATGTCTTGTTCCTCGCACAGATCCACAGTTGAACTCTGCTCTCCTGTTCTGATTCCTTTTGAGCTTACTTATTCATGCCATCATAATCTTGTGTTATACTGCAGCAAACAAGACATGAAGTACTTATGTCGCCAAAAGTTTGCTTGCCTCTATGAAATTAGATGAATCCAAGGTTGACCGAGCAAATTCATGAGATGGGAATGATGGCGCATCTTAGTCGAGTATGTTGTTATCGAAGTTGCGGCCACCATCTGGGATTGAACCTACCTCGTGTAAATATGATGCATTTCTCACAAATATTGACTGTAGTGTGACTAGAATGGTCAAATTCAGTGTTTTCAGAAGAGAAGATAATAGTATTAGAGCTAGGCTTGAGCTTTCAGCGAGACGGGCTGGGAAGCGGCCGTTGGGTAAGCTCAAATTGAGCTTGATGTTTATAAGCAACCTGAGAACTCATCAATGGCAGAAGTTGCCGACCGCCCCTCCTCTTCTCAGCCATGTAAAATGTCAACGATGGTACAAGCCTGCGACGGTCACCAACAAGTTCATTGCAAACGAGAAGCTTATCCTCCTCTTCAAGGACTAGGATCACATTATAGAGAGTAGACTCAGCGCATGTCGTAGATTTAATCTGAGTAATCTGTCTAGCGATGAGGTGCCACGGCAGTTTTTTAGGCGGAGCAGTGCATTTTTTCTTGCCTATTCGTGAAGCAAATAAGGAAAAGGTCAGATGAAAGGCCATGAGTGAATTGCTGAGGCTATAGGGTTTGTATGAGGAGGCAAGGCTGTACAGATGATGCTTATCGGACATAACTATATTTTCCTGCCGGTACAGATGGCTTCGAGAATCATGCCCCAGGATTCTGAAGTGTTAAGTCGCGTGTGGAAAGTGTAAGAGTATGCAATACTATTGCAGGAAGATGTCATGGTAGTGGTGTGGGTGATGAGGAGGTGAGACAAGGACTGATCTAGTAGATGACGGATACAATTCACTCTAGCCTCGTCTAATCAAAACGAGCACCAAGCTGTAATCGTCGCGGGCATCCTGTCATTGATATCTGTCGGCACAAATACCGCGGTGAATCGGAGATATAATAAAGTACCTATGCACACTCTGCTTTTGCGTCAACACTTACGAAACAGTTGTTCGAGAAGGTCAGCTCTCAAAAAATCGCACTATGGTTTCAACTTCCTCCAAGACAACATCATCAGAGCGCGACGAGCTCGAGGTTTTTGTTTTGACGCCAAGTACTTGTTATTTCAATAAAACACACATTCAAAAACCGGGTGACGATTACGAGAATTGTGTCTATGAAGTCAACCCATTCAGTCGCCTGGCTTTGCAAAATTCTTTGCCTCCATTGCTTAATGGAAGCGCTGCTTCGCAGAGTACCTACCGGCAAATGTGGAACGATCCATTACAAGCCCTTTATGGTACCGCGGGTACTTTCACGGAGATTGAAGCTACATTCGAATCCTTGGCACTTTCGCTCACAAACAATGCACGGACAAAGATCTGTAACTCAAAAGTTGAAGGGACAGCTTGGATAAATCAATCTTTTGTTCACGTTAGATGGCAGTGGCTGGCTCTTCCCGTGACTTTATTGGGTCTTGGTCTTAGTCTCCCTGGTTGTCACTGTGATGAAGACAAAAAACCAGTACACTTGGAAGTCCTCTCCTTTGGCATAATTATTTTCCAACTTATCTACAGAAGATAGCCCCTTCATGGAGTCGGACCCAACTCTGAGAACTATGAATCAGAATGCGAAGAACTTAAGAGTTTGCTTAGAGACCTCCTCTGACGGCATCATTCTCAAGCCGGTTTCACACTCCGAGTGAGTTCGTGTACCTTTGGACACGGCCAAGATCTAATTTCATGTGTGCCCACATGTTTTGCGCCAAGAGCTCTAAATCAAATAAATGGAGTCGTTGGGAGGCCTGGGCGCAAAGGGAGGGCAGGCGATAAACAAGTTGAGAATTCGGGTACGGGTTCTTCGGCTCACTGATAGTTATAGTTCCCTTTCTACGCATAGCCTACTAGTTTAGACTTCGATAGCTGAATCTTACGATGTTCAAATTTTTCGCTTCTTGTCTTTTTCAAGGATTGCCCGTCGTGGCGCGATCATCGCACTGACACTTCTAGCCCAGTAGGAGTAGAATACGAGTGGGCCAAATGCGACCTACAGAGGCCATCTGGAATATGATTAATCATGTGGCCATGGCATGAAGAGAGCCCATCCTCAATCCTTAATTTGCTTGTTCAGATGACTATTCAAACCCTTTGCATTACCCGGATTAGAAATCATTGACCCAGAAAACCCAGGAAAGCCCGTCTTCAATGAAGTCGAATTCAATGGAAAGTGACTCCGAGCAATGTCAAATTGATAGTGCCCGAGAAATAAGTCAGAATAATGGTGATTCGGAAAGTGGCAAAAGAAAAGATGGTCGCTTGCCGCGCCCGAAGCCATCATATGCGTATTCTAGACCGATAGCGGAACCACAGCCGAGCGAGCAGTGCTGTCCGCCGAGCGGACCAAGACCTCCAAGATCTTGGCGCCAAGCTGTGAACTGACGATAAAAACCCGTTTCTCATGCAATGACAGTGTGTCTGTCAGGAACGTGCCCACGAGGCTTCTTTTATTGGCCCCGGTACTTAGCTTCTGATTCTATCATCGCCTGATATCGAGCTCAGTCCGCCCTTGGCATCCAGTCTCGGTGATAAGTTCTCCGTATTTTCATAGGGAACATATGATGCCATGCAATCGTTCTCAACCAGTCACTGTGCAATGCCACAGGCACGATACTGCAGGTAGCTTTACCATAGGGCGAGGCTCCTTTGACGTCCGGCCGAATGCCCAGGCGATGGATCGGGCCAAGTTCAGAAGTGGTCCTTCGTCCTAGATGAGTCTGAGCAATGAACATGACTTGCCGGGGCCTTATAAAGTGAATAGTTTTAGTTTGTGAAAATGTCGCTCAGCTTGTTTTTACCACCCAAGTCTCATTCATCTCTTTTTCTCCTCACTTCCGTGAGGTAGTCGTCAACATGGTTCCCGCCGCTACCGCCAAGTACGACTGGATCCTTGCACTTACCACGATCGCCTTCATCTTCAGTGCGTTTGGAAATGGAGCTAATGATGTCGCCAACTCGTATGCGACGTCTGTCGCGGCACAGACGCTGAACATGGCCACGGCCGGTGTCTTGGCAGCAATCACAGAGTTCGTGGGCGCTGTCGCCATGGGTTCCCGGGTCACCGCTACAATCAAGAACGGGATCATCGGTATTGACCGTTTCGAGGGCAAGCCTGGTGCTCTCATGCTGGCCATGGGTTGTGCCGAGATTGGCAGCGCGACATGGTTGATGTTTGCTACCAGCGTAGGCTTCCCGGTGTCGACGACCCAGACTGTTGTGGGTGCTCTCATCGGTGTTGGCTTCGCATCTCAAGCCTCGATCAATTGGGGTTGGCAGAAGGGTAGTGTGTCGCAAGTGGCCGCGTCTTGGGGAATTGCTCCTCTCATTGCGGCTGCATTCTCCGCCATCATCTTCGGCACTCTCAAATATGGCGTCCTTGAGCGACGCGATTCATTCAAATGGGCTATGCGCTTGATTCCCTTATACTTGGCCCTTACAGGTGCTATCTTGGCTCTTTTTATCGTTGTGGAGGCGCCCACCGCTCCATCTCTGGAAGAATTTGGTGCCGGCAAGGCGGCTGGAATCATCCTCGGTGTCTTCTTTGGATGTCTCCTCATCGCCTATGTATTCTTCATCCCATACTTCAATCGCCGTCTCGCCAAGAATGACACCCGCGTCAAGTTCTACCATATCCCCTTGGGTCCTCTTCTCATGAGGGAGAATCCGCCTCTCTATTTCCCCAGCAAGAGCGACTCGGCCGTGATCAACTATTACGAAGACTCATATGGCGAAGTGTTGGCAGGGCAGAAAGACCTTTCCAAACAAGGACCAACCGCGAACGCGGATTCAGTTTTGTCATCTCCCGAAATAACAGCGAAATCTCACTCCGAGCGACCGGATGATGATGAAGAGAAGAAACTAGACACTGCGCCCATCCAGGATATCAAGCCGCGGAAAAAGCATATTGAGCCGACAGAGCGATTCATCGACCCTGTTCGCGATCTACCTTGGATCAATCCGCAAAAGTGGTGGGGTTATACCAAGTGGCTGCTCCTGCAGGGAGTGACAAGGGATGTTGTCACCCATGACTCGCCTGCCCTCCGCGCTATTCATGCCCGCGCCCACCGTTATGATGACCGCGTGGAGCATCTTTGGACATACTGCCAAGTTGTATCCGCCATGATGATGTCCATTGCTCATGGTTCCAACGATGTCGCTAACGCCGTGGGCCCTTGGGCTGCTGTCTACAGCACGTTCCACGCCGGTGTTGTCGAGACAAAGGCACCAACCCCAGTCTGGTTTCTCGTTGTCGCGGGCCTACTCCTTGGCATCGGTTTTTGGTTCTATGGGTATCACATCGTGCGCGCTCTCGGCAACAAGATTACTCAGATGTCACCGACACGTGGATTCAGTGTTGAGCTTGGTGCGGCCATCACTGTACTCTTGGCTTCGCGTCTTGGGCTGCCTGTCTCCACCACGCAATGTCTGACTGGTGCCTCTATGGGTGTGGCGCTGATGAACTATGACCTTGGAGCTGTCAACTGGAGACAGTTAGGTTGGATCTTTGGTGGCTGGGTTCTGACTCTCCCATGTGCGGGCCTAGTCGCTGGATTAATCTGTCTGATGGCATTGAACGCGCCTCACTTGTGATAGGCCACTCATGACGCCTAGACTGTTCTATAGCATTCTAACTCTTGTATATACCAGGTCGTTTTGATCGCATTCAAATCAAATTGTACAATGTCACTTGCCTCTACGAGCTATGTTTATAATTTGGACCTGGAGTAGTGTAGGTTTTAGTGGTGGAAGATCCCGCGCAAGAACCAGGAATTATTCTGTCTTGGCGCTCTAGTACCGTCTGGGTATCTCTTGAGCCCTCTTGCATAATAAACGAAACACCGGTGTGTCTCGTCGGCTAAAACTTCCTTCGCGGTCATCATAACTGCATATTCCCTTTTCGGCCCCCAATTGCCATGAAACAAGGGGACTTCCGACATATCGAAGTGGAGCGCGGATGCTTAATTCGGTTACTGGTCGAGACGTCTTAGATGTATGCAGGCTTAAGATAGAGCTTCAAGATGCGGGGCAAAGAGGGTTGCATTACTGCACAGCGCAAACACAAACGTCAGTTGGTCGAAGTCACCTCGGACGAAGAAACGATTGTATTGGTTCCTTTGAGAAATTGATCCCGGAGACTCTATTGCCCCCACTTACAACACAATGTTTCACCATCATTCGATTCTCAACTGGACCTAGCTCACCGATCGTCATGATACGAAACAGTGGCATTTGAGATGGAATTGATTGCGACAAGCGATGACACTACATATTGCGACCCCGCTTCTCCACTGGCGAGAAGAACTCAGCCGAGGGCAACCCCACCCCGCAATGCCGCAAGTATGAGAAAAAGAAAACGCAAGCAATTTGATGATTCGAACACTATTCTTAGATTCAGAATCAATGTTCTCCCTTGTTTGCATATTTCAGCAGCCACAAGCTTAGTGCAATCAACTAAGATATGTTTTGGACTGTATTCAATCTCTCACGTCAGACAGTGGACCCTTTGGAGCTAGATAGATCAACTCTTGAGCCACTGATGTGAATAGATGATACCACCTTCTTTTACTGCATGAACTCCATTATTACGAGATTGAATTTATCACATCAAACGCCAAGACTATTTTGAAATTCCACGGCGAATTGGGGGGGGGCGATATAAAAGGAAGGGGTTTGATCCGTTCCCCATGAAGCAGATCAATCAAACTTCTCATAAAACACAGCAACCTGCTCGGCTTTTTCCCAGAATCTTCACAAAAATCAATCTGCTCCTTTCTGACCTAGCATCAATATGCTGGCTAAATCTCTTGTCACGGCTGTGTTGACCCTTGGTCTCTCAGCCCAGGCTACTCAGCTGTTCAGGAACACCGGGACAACCTCAGGCTGGGATTCTACCAACCAGGAGCACAAGGGAACTGTGCAACAGGTTACCAACATGGTCTATGAGGGAACTACTGCCCTGAAGATGACCCAAATTTACGACTCGAGTTATACTGGACGTTACCATTCCGAGGTCGTCAAGAACAACGTTTACAAACGTGGAGATACCGGGTTCTATGGGTTTGCCTTTCGTCTTCAAGAAGACTGGCAATTCTCTCTAGCTCAGACTTACAACATCGCTCAGTTCATTGCCGACTTCTCCGATACCGGCTGCGATGATTACATGCCTTCAAGCATGGTCTGGTTGGAAGGTAACCAGCTTTACTCTCGAGTCAAACAGGGCACCATTTGCGCCCAAAAGATCCAAACCTTCTCGAATCTTGCAATTGTCACCCCGGGTGTTTGGCATCGGGTTGAGATCCAGGCTAGTTGGCAGACTGATGGTACTGGTTACTATAAGTTGTGGTTCGATGGTGCTAAGGTTCTGGAGCAATACAATATTGACACCACTATTGAGGACGATCGTTATTTCCAGTTCCGCGTTGGTCTTTATGCCAACGGGTGGCATGATGATAAAGGAATGAAGGGAACTCAGGGAACTCGCCAAGTGTGGTATGATCAGATCGCTGCGGGATCTACCTTTGCCGATGCCAACCCCTCTGGGTGGTGAGCGTCGAGATAGCGGTTGAACAATTCATGTGCTTGTCGTGTCAAATAGAGTTGGAGTATGCTTTGATGATTTGAATCATGATGAAAAGAGTATGTTTCGCTTCTATGCCCTGTTCATATTTGTTCAAGTTCATTTAGAGAAGAAATTCCACAGATCCAGCGTCAAGAAGTGTTCTCGCTGACTCTTTTAGCGGATGACCCAATTATAGCCGTTGTGCTTACGTTGTTTGGATTTTTCCCCAAAGTTCACGAGGTGAAAGCTTAGGTGTCATTCGGCACAACTAGACTCACGTTCGTGTGACTTTCCCACCTGCCAGCTGTAAGATTTCGAAACTATAGATTCAGCGCCAGTATTTTGGATATCCGTATGCGATCAGAGCCCTCACAGCTTTACAATATTTGCACCAAGGCACTGATTGACCGAATACGCATTTCTGATGGTTATATGTCTGAGTTTGTCTGTCTCGATATTGAGAGGTGGAAGGTGGGTCCCCCCCAATGCACGGTCCAACAAGTAACACCTCCACACTTCCATCAAGTGATCTTTGGAAGAAGACTTCGAAAAGAACCATCGTCCGAAGCTCGCTATTTGGGGTTCACGGCTCAGTCCTAGCAAATCGACTACTGGGAGGCAGTATGTGGCAGTTCACTAGGTCCCATGGTCCAGAAATGGGCGATTCTTCAGACGCCCTTCGGTCGGGCCAAAGCGCCGACCGAGCCGGAACATTCCTACACACATAGCCCCAAGAAAGCGATTGTAGGCTCCTGAATCCGTCACACGAAGTTGCGGACTGCCATATCTATCATCCAACAACCCTGGTATCTCGTGATATGTGCTTTCGTTCTTTTTCCATGAAACTCGACGGTCACGTACTTTTATCTCTTTGATCACTCTCGTGAGCCTCTAAAATTGTCATGGGCTGAACCATGTTGCAACTACAATTCCCTCTTATCGGACGCAACCGACACACTGAATTGTAGCACATGAGCACCTTCCAATGAAACACAGACCCACACGGCATCCGGCAACCGGCAACCGGACGGAGCTTCTAGAAAGGGGAAAAGCATCAGCCACCATGTACCTCGGCAATAGCGCAATAATGTTCTACATCAACAAGACCGTTCGACATCTGCACCGGACACACGTGCGTAATACCAGTCATTCCGGCTTAGATCAATCCGCCACTAGATATCACGGCATTCTGAAAATACGATTGAGCGAGTCAACTGCTTGCCACTTGCGACCAATCGGCAAATCCAGCGACATTATCACCGAAACTAAGATCCATAAGGCAGCATTGGCGTTGCCCGGTAAAATGCTTGATCCCCGGGAGAAAGCTTGGTTGTGTTCGCTTGCAGGATTGATATGCGGGGCGTTCTCAGGGACCCACGTGGCTGGCCAGTCAAGTGGCGTGAGGGGAAAACGTGGTCCAGGGCGGCACGGCCCACATCTTTAAGCCACCAATTGTACTCACTGTATTATAGCCTTCCAATCTAAAATGTATGCCCCTTGCAGGCACGAGCCCCCGTGGGAAGCGGCCAGTCAAATGTACAATGAACGTGGCGTGCTGCACAAGGTGACCTGCAAGGTGGAGAATGTACTAGATGATAGATAGGCAGCTCTCATCGGAGTTAATATATCGGAATGCACGTTTTCCCGACCAGTCGTCATCTTCGCGTGGAGTATAAGACAGTCTACAATTGCCCCAGGATCATCTCTTTTCTTTCTTGATCTATCACTGTGCTAGACAAGCAAATAGAGACGCCATGTTCACGAAACAGACTCTCGCCGCCGTCGTTGGCGCCCTGTCGCTGGCGTCTGCCAGCACCATCCCCGCCTCGGCGTCGATGCCCAGTTTGGCGGAGATTGAGAAGGCTGCCGCTACCGCGTTGCCCTACTCTCCCGTTTCCAACGTGAAGGGTCTGGCCTTTGATCGTTTCCACCAGATCTGGTTCGAGAACCAGGTGAGTCAATTAAACTACTATGCGAAGGTCGAATTCTAATAGGTGAGAAAAAAAAAGGACTATAAAACCGCTGCTGCAGACAAGAACTTCGAGAAGATTGCGAAGGAGGGTATCCTTCTGACCAACTACTTTGCTACCACCCATCCTTCGCAGCCCAACTACGTTGCCTCTGCTAGTGGTGACAACTTTGGTATGGACAATGACAACTTTGTCCAAATCCCAGCCAATGTGTCTACCATTGCCGATCTGTTCGATACCAAGAAGATTGCGTGGGGCCAGTACCAGCAGGCTCTTCCTTACGCCGGTTACCAGGTGAGTTACTGAGATCTGTAGAGACACAAGTCCTTTGAATGACGACGACTAAACAATCTATAGGGTTACAACTTCTCCAACCAGGTGACGTACAAGAACAACTACATGCGCAAGCACGACCCTCTCATGATTTTCGAGTCGGTCACGAACGATGCCGTCCGTCCTCGTCAGATCAAGAACTTCACTTCATTCTACGATGACCTGAAGCACGAGCGCCTGCCCCAGTACTCCTTCATTACTCCTAGTAAGTTTTGCAAACATAGTATTTTTGAAATGCGAGCTAACAGTCCAAGACATGACCAACGATTGCCACGACACCGACATCACCGCCGGTGGTGATTTCCTCGTCGACTTCCTTCCCCCTCTCCTGGAAAACGAGTACTTCACCAAGGACACTCTTGTCCTAGTTACATTCGACGAGACCGGCAACTACACCGAGCCCAACCGTGTGTTCAGCATTCTCCTCGGTGGCGCTATCCCCGAACACCTGAAGGGAACCACCGACGATACTTTCTACACCCACTACTCCATCATTGCCTCCCTTAGCGCCAACTGGGGTCTGCCCTCCCTCGGCCGCTGGGATTGTGGTGCTAACATCCTGAGCCTCGTTGCCGAGAAGACCGGATTCGTCAACTGGGAGGTCGATCTTACTGCTGTTCCCAACCTGCTCAACGAGACCTACCCCGGTCCTTTGTCTGCTAACGACTACTCCGATTACGAGCCTTTCTGGCCTATTCCTGCCACCCAGGAGCAGTGTAATGCTGGTCACGGCGTTGTTGACATTGTCAAGGAGACCTATGATCGCCGCATGCCTTCTTATAACTACATCAGCCCCGTTCCCTACGATATTCGCAGTGGATACAACACTGGTATTAAGTACTGGCGTACTGTAAGTCACCTTCTTTTCGTTCCATATCTTTATCATGATTCTAGCCATGAATGCATTTGCTGACCCATTCTATAGAAGGACGGCAAGAAGGAGACTGGTATTACCAACTAGATATTACAAATGCTCAATCTTGGGGAGAGCCCTTTAAGCTCCATGCGAAAGCGATGTACAAGCGGAGATGTCAATGACTGCTTTGAATTCCGTCGTGGAGGGCGAACAAGTATCCGAAATAATTTGTAATCAATAGTTTCTTGTAAAATGTACCCTGGTTTTTGGTGTCCAACAGCCCCACTGTAAGACACGTCTCGGTGGAGCCCATGACGACCCAGTCATCTCTTCTTTCTCTGTAGGAGTGAGAATGGTAACCTAAATATGTGATATTGAGGAGTTCGGCCAAATTCAAGAAGCTGAAAGTTGAGTATCTTATGGAATGTCACTATCTTATTTCTCCCGCAATCATAAACACTTGCTGGTCCGGAAAACACAGCCAGTATTTTGAAATAATTTAATTCCTTTCCGGCTACCATGGATTTTGCAGGAATTTCACAATGAGGAAAATATCAAAGCCTGCACAATATGACAGGGATAGACAAAAGTAGGCGAATTTTCGAAGAGCTTGAAGCATTGTTTTCAGAACTTTGCGAGTAGAGAATATGTATGGAGAATTCAGCATATCATATAAGCATTCTATGCATCGGAATGGTTAATATGCAAATTTTCTAAACTCCATATCCCCATGATAGGCATAAAAGTGAACCGTGAATTAAATCTCCTTCACGAAGCCCACTTCCACAAGACGATCGCTATCGACCTTCATCTGTTGGATCTTAGTTCGACTAGAGTCCCGCACCCACAAGAATAACCAGAGAATTATCTTGCGAATGAAGTTTGTGCGTTGCGCAATCTTCAATTGCTCTTTGCCGACGATGTAGATGACCTGAGACTTCCAGGCGCCTAGCAAGGTGATCATTTCCTCTGACTCACCAGCTCTTTCATTATCACGATGATCCGCGGATAGATAGGCGCGAATCAGGTCCAGAACAAGGACGGCCAAGTCGGGTGTGATGATTTCGTCAGTGTAGCCGTGTCGAACCATCAGGCGGTAGCAGTTTGGAATTGGCTTTTTCCCCGGTCCGCTGCCATATGTGAAACAACGGGTGACGGTGTATCGCTCATTGGGAGCGACAGATGGGACTGAGAGTGGTCGTAGGTGCAGAAAGACTGTTACCTCGGGCATGGCGCTGAACTTCTGCAAGAAGTGGAGGAATACAATGGGGGTGTTGCCTGGAGTGCCTGACTTGTCGAAGAAAATACCTAGGCCGGCGATGGTTGAGATGCATGAGCCTCCAAACGATTCCTGCAACTGGAGCCCTGTATCTTTCAACATGGTGGTTTGGGATATAAGCGCGTTGTCAGATTCTTCGGCGGACCATTGCTCTTCTTTGCCGTAGCGCCACAACGTGAAAACACAAGTGATAACAACGGCTAGCATCAGGGTAAACCATGCGCCGTGCGGCACCTTACTCAGGGCGGCGGAAAGGAACATGCCGTCCCAGAGAGCGAAGACGACGAAAACAGGTAGGACGAGATAGATTGGTAGTCGCCACACGATGAGCGCCACCACAGTAACCATGCACGTAGTCAGGAATGAGACGAGAATCACGCAGGCTCCATAGGCCTCACCCAAGGCTGTGGTCTTGGATATAATGTTAGTGTATGGTAATCAATGAGTGAATGGAGTTTACAAACATTGTTATAGACAGCTGTCACAATCACAGTACCAATCATCATAAGCCAGTTGGCCATGGGAATGTAAACCTGTCCGTGGAAGGTTTTGGATGTGTGATAGACTCTAATTTGGGGGAAATATGATAATTTCATGATTTGAGCCAGCAACTGTGCATATGTTAGTCAGATTTATGCTTTGTTCAGTTAATAGATTCAATAATTACCTGGAACGAACCGGTGATCACCGCTTGGCTGGCAACGACGCAGGCCAGAACTGCCATTACAAGACTGGGGTAAAGCATTCCCGGAGGGACTGTGAGGAAGAAAGGGTTGGCATATGCGCTGGGAACAACACTGATGTGTGCACCTTGCCCGATGTACTATGAGAGGTATAAGCAAGATGTAAATGATTCATCAAAAGTGAAAGTTGAAGCTTACCGAGACCATCAAGCATGGGTAAACAAAGAACAGCCAAGACATGCGAACTGCTCTGTAAGGATTCAGCGACGGATCTTTCCACGCATGTAGGGAGAATGTTCTTACCTTTGGCTGAATGCTCCCAGATCAGCGAAGAGAGTTTCGACTCCCGTGAATGCCAGCAGGATACCACCAAGCTGCAACCAGCCTGATCGCCCGTTACGGACCAAGAAAGACCCGGCAAAATATGGAGAGAAAGCCTTTAGAATAGACGCGTCGTACATAGCGAGGTTCTGTAGTGAAGAAAGTCAATGTCAGCCTGACTTCCGTCCTCACGTCAAACTTGCGTGACTGCATCGACATACGTAGATTCCGAAGGTCAGGTTGAAAATCATCCAGACGATGACTATCGGCGCAAATGTGCTGGCAATCTTGCTAGTCCCGAAGGGTTGGACGAGAAAGACGAGGACGAGGATGGCACAGGAGACACCCGTAACCGTTGACGAAGAGATGTTCGGATTCACAACCGTAATCCTATTTTCCATTAGTCATGATCTATGATGTGGCAAGCATTGACCTACCCTTGAATGGCTCCAAGAATGGACTGTGCTGGAGTAAGAACGCCATCTGAAACAAGTTAGCCATGATGAATCCATAGATATAATGCTGGTACGAGGTACGCACCGGCAAGCAATAGTGATACTCCAAATGCGCCCACAATCTTCAAGAGCCATTTCATGAATTTGCTTCGCTCCAGAAAATTTCTTGTCATCTGGTTAGGCTTCTGCAGATCGTCCGTGTTGAAACGTTGCATCGGAATCAGATTAGTGTGGCGGGGGTCGAATCGGACCAGATGAGCCTTGGAAACGTGTAAGCCACATATCCGTAATGAGTATAGGAAAGACGGAAGATCGCACATAACGGGAGAGAAGAGAGTACAACGCAAAGGTTCCTCCTTCGCCTTCATCATCTGCGGATAAGACAATGCACACGTATTTGGTGGTCACCATGATGGTCAGAGCCCAGATAACGAGGGACACGGCGCCCAGAATGTCCGCCTTGCTTGGTTCGCTGGTGAAGGTTGACGAGTAGACGTAAAGAGGGCTAGTACCAATATCGCCGTAGATCACTCCCAGGGACTGGTAAGCAAGCCTTTATCAATCGTATGTCAGCATTGGCCAGCATTGAGCTTGCTTGAAAGGATAGTTTACCATGCAAGTGGCCAGCCTCTGAAGATCTGCAATAAAAATGGCTCAGTCAGACGCTGCCGCTGAGTTCAGACGACCAATGGAGTCTCTCACCTGCTTCTTGCGAAAGTCTCTCTCGTCGGTGTTCATCTCTGAGACCGATGCCAACTCCATGTCGGGAGTCTTGGACTTCGTAGGAACCGCTCCCTGGGGAATGCCCATCTGCTGCATGGTGCGAGAAGAGTAAACCCCACTCGGGTGAGAGCCCTGGTGGACGTCTTTCCCGTTATCGTCTGTGTTCTCGGTATCAGTGGACGCAGGCATGGTTGGCAAAAACCGTTTGGCGCGAGGACAGGAGCAGGACAGGGAAGGTGAGAGAAAATCCCGACTTGAGCGGCCTTTCCCTTAAATATGAGTGATATCTGTCAAAATTGTGGGATCGCTTCAAGGTTCTGGGAAACATGGTAGAATTTTCCTATCACAATAAAATTGGATAAACCAAAGCTCGAGATTTGACACATGGATGCCCTACGCCAATCGCGTCTCCTGCAGGTTGCTCGTGGTATGATAAGTGGGATGCTTCTGATACGAGATCGAAAATACCGCAAGATCTCAGCGCGGTTAATTTCTGAGGCTGAAGCCTGCGCTGATATAGCTCCGGACAGGAAGGAAACGTAGAGCCCAAAATCTCCTGCCCTCCTTTCTGTGCTTTGGTAGGACGAGTGACCATATTGAATCATATTGTGAATATTTGATCTACTTGCAACCTGTTCAGATGTCTCAATTTTTTTCTACCTTAGGGATCCTTTTTGTTTGGGAAAATTTGAGTGAGTGGTGAGTGAGCAACTAAGCCACGGCCAAAGAGTGGGGAAGTTGTACGAGGCAATTATTTCCTCCACAGAACCCGGCGCCACGCGAGAAACATGCGATTGCAAATTGAATTGGCCATGCATCTGCAATCAACCGGGTTAGCCAGTGATCGATAGCCCATTTTATTAATGACTTTTTCCTGCGCAAGCTATTCGACGCGGGGTGACGATTGTTACGAAGTCACGTGGTCTGACTTCTGGTGACGTCGTACATCGTGACTCGTCGACCACTTCATCCCACCATCCCATTTTTAGAGTATCTTCCGCTTACATTCATGGCAAGAGACATTCCGGGCGTGAAACTTTGCTTTTATCTCTCTCTTTCCAGCGGGTGCAGCATATTCCGATGGTCATCGTATCATTAACGCAAGAACAGACCATGCAGGAAAGCTCCCCAAGTCCACATCAGCATTACCCGTTCGAAAACGTCCGGTCACCAAGTCCCTCGTCATCACATCATGCACATCATGTTAGGAGAGATGATGGTAGAGAGATACAAGATGTCAGCGGTCTTCGTATCGCCGACGGACTGACTAGGAGACTATCAGGGTGGGGTTTCTTGGCACCAGAATGCGAGGGACGTTCTCAGACGCGAAATAGCTTCTCAGATCAAGGTTCCCCAGGCCTTTCCACCGCATCCATTTCAAAGGGATACTTTCAAGATTCCTCAAAGCCCGCGCAAGCCCAAAAGATCGCGACAGAAACCAGCCAATCAGAGCGGGCATCATTCACGGAAGAATATGGGAAATTCATTAAAGTGCTTCATTACGACATCACCAGCACCGTGCAACTCTACGAGAAGAAGGCACCCATGCCGGTCTCGGAATTGTCAAAACCTCGACAAGGATCCACATTCACCAGGTTAAGACGTGCATCCATGCCCAAACCAATGATAAGAGAACTCTACGCAGTAAAGATGTTTCACCACACCAAACCAATATCGAAAAATGGATCCCCTGACTCCGGAGATGGAAGTGAACAATTCTCGCTGTCTCACCCTAACATTCTTTCTATCATCGACATTCTCTACAATAAGCAAGGAAATCTTTGTCTTGTCATGCCCTATTGTACTGGCGGTAACCTGCACAATGTTCTTGAACAAGAAGCAAAATCCAAAGCAGATCTTACACTCGGAGAGATAAATTGCCTCGGAGTCCAGATCCTGCGCGCGATTGCCTTCTTACACGAACGCGGAATCGCCCATGGAGACCTGCAGCCTCAACACATTCTCCTCACAGCCCGGGGCGCCGCGAAAGTGGGTGGTTTCGGAGAAGACGAAGACGCCGTGCGAGAACTGACTCATTATTCTCACCATGACAACCGGAGGGGATCTCGCTCGGGATCCAGTTCCGGAAAAGCACCGACATCCAACTCGAAGCTGCGTCTATGCGTCCGAAGGAGCGTGTCGGAACTCAGTACTCCTTACCTTCCCCCCGAGAGATTCTCCAGTCGTCGGGATTCTGTGCGTCAGGGATATACACATCAGCAACTTTACGATATCAGGGCGGGAGATATGTGGGCATGTGGTATGATCTACATGATCCTGAGGTCTGGCCGGCTTCCCTGGCGCAGTGCCAGGGGAGTTAATCCTGACAAGTCGTATGCGGAATATCTTCACTGGCGCTTGAAAGAGGATGGATTTGCTCCTATTCAAGTCCTCGAAACTGTAAGTTCTTGTCTCATCCCAAATATCGCAGCGGGAAAAAGAATAGCTAATCTGACAATTTTGAACAGCATTGTCGCAATGTCATTTATGCCATGCTACATCCTGATCCAAATTTAAGGATAACTGCAGAGGAGGTTTTAAGGTCCGAGTGGGTTCTTGGAACTGCGGTCTGTGAGGTTGGGGAGATGGGTTTGTAATTAATGAGTCGCGATCAACCTTAACGTCTCGCGACATTTAATATGTGATTTAACAAGCTTATAGGTGTTTCCTTTTGACAGTACTCTCAATTTATCCTCTCAGATTCTTTGTAAAATAGCAGCCTCTGTTCAATCCGTTTCCGACCTGGATGATCGACGATCCACACCGCGTGGGGGATATTTCTCGACCAGCTGGCTTGCCGATAGAGACGAATAATTTTGCCTAGGGGACTGAAATGGAACATAGTAGATCTCGTGGCTTTGTAATGGCTTGTTGAATCCCTTCCATTGAATGAATAGATGGACTCCCATTCGAGGAACTGCCGGTAGTGTTACGATCAACTGCGCAGAAATTGTTCAATAGAGATGAGATATCATATCTGACTAAAGCTCATAGCGCTAGAGCGCTGAACCTACGCTGCCCGTGGATCAGTAGAGTTGTACATCTGGGCATGCGACAGCATTAGTTGACGATCAGACAATGGCATATTTGAGTCGACAATGGATTTCGAAGCAGCATGGCTGCGAAATTCCAGACACAGCGGTTGACAGAAAGAGATTGATCAAGGTTACATTGTGTTTACGTGATATTTACAACAAGCATCCAAGCCGTAAATGCCATAATATGAAGCCACATGGAGCCCATTATCACTTGTGGACATTCCAGTGAATCTCGACCTCGAGCACCCCATCTCCAACAGACATGAGAATTACACCATACTGAGAGTCTCCGGGCAATGAGGTCTGCGGCCTTAGAGACAAGAAACACTAGAAAGAGTCAACGAGTGCTTGCGACGGGGAACATCCGGATGGCTCACAAAGCGCTGTCAAAGACCAAGCCACCATCCAACTCAAACACTCTCCATGTTGAAACCCTCGGAGTCGGCACGAAGCGAGACCCCAGACAATGAGCGAGGGATCTGTCAAGTGTCAGTCAGTTTCCTGGCAATAGAGTGTGCGACTCGCCTTGAGATCCAATCAAGGCGGCGACACGTGCGAAACCTGACGTGTGAATAGCCAAGAGAAATGGATCAGCCCGCAGGGTGATGGGAGTTCTGAAACTCCCATCTAAAGAATGAAGACAAGATATGAATGACAACAATAAATCAAGGGACAATAAGAGAATAGTGAAAAACAAAGCAAAAACCAACAGCGGAAGAGATATAGGCAGCAATGGAAGAATAGACAACAAACGGAACAGGAAAAGCCGAGCAACGCAAGACAATGGCAAAGGGGCATGATGACAGGGGAAGTAAAAGCCGCTCAGAGAAGGGGAATTTTTACGGGTTCTCGGGGATAGACTCAAGTGACTGGGCACCGGGGCAAACACAAAGGCCACCAAATAGGCCGAGCAAAGGGCCAACCAAGGGCCAACTGGGGAGGAAATCGGGAAAACAAACCACAAAGAAGGAACCAGGATGGGGTAGCAGGCAGACAGGCCGGCCTCACAGGAAATTGTAGCGGACAAGAGCCAGAACACCAACGACAGCCACGATCGCCGAACCCAGGAAGACTCGACCAATGCCCCAACCATTGTCGAGGCGACTGGTGGACTCATCGGAGTCCTTATCACTCTCCTCTGGGAAGGTTCCGGGAATCGCAGGCACTGGAGGGGCAGCGGGAGAAGAAGACTCCCTGCGAGCGATTCGTCGAGTCTTTGCCTCGCGCCGGGCGCGATGAGGATCTGGAACCATCCACCGACTAACTGCATGCACAGTCTTGCCACCAAAGTGAACGCGACGTCCAGCAGCATTGGGTGCAGGGACCACAGAGTTCTTGAGAATCCCGCGGGGAGGTAGGGGAGAGAGAGAGGCACGGCCAGAGGAGGACTTACCCAGACCACGATTGCCAGAGCGCAGGGACAGGTACGCCTCTTCGTCGAGACGACGCGCACGAGCAACAGCCGCACTGACGCGGATACGCTCAAAAATGGGAAGCTGATGCTTCAAGTCCTTGTCTGTGTAGATCTTAGCGCGCTGGGAGAGGGGAGAGGATAAACCTGAGTGACTCGGCGCTGGCACCGGACGGCTGTAGGGCAGAGGCAGCCGGGCAGACCGAGGAGAGGGAAGGAAGACGCGAGACATCACAAGTGATGCTCTCGGGAAAGGGGAAGAAAGTAGAACACCAATGGAAGAATAACAAATCGCGATGAACAAAGCTCAAAGCTAGCACGTAAAACAGCCAAATGGTATGGAGAGAGAATAGAAGAAGAAACATGAAAACAAACCAGCGAAGGCTATATACCCATCACTCGCGTGGCAACCATGGTTTGATCATGGTATTCCTGACAACAGTATAGAGCTGGGGAGTTGGGAAGGAGCGTCCTGATGCCATCGAGACGCGTTGGGGCGTCTCAGATATCACGACACGGAAGGCACGATGTTTGCGCAAACAATCCAAGTGCCATCAACGTCATCAAATCACCAAAGCCTTTAGTCATCCGGTATCATGGCATCATTTTTGAAACACAGACAATGCTGTGAGCGATATCAAAGCTTGACAGGAGGAGAGAGCAGCTTAGTGCGCATTTACCGCTGATGTGAAACGATTCGAGACGCCATCGCATAATAGGCAAGATTTTGCGCATATCAAGTACGACTCGCAATGCACCGGTCTCACATTCTGGAATCTGCATGCCGCAAATAATGACCCATTTCAAAAAATTTCAGACTGATGGCTATCAGGAACTCTGCCCCGAAGATAGTGGCATGGATATGCGGACGGCCCGCGAAAGCTCAACTATCTGTACGGAGGCTGAACAACCTGAACAGTCTATTTGAACTGACAAGAACTCAACCCGCTGTCTCATTTGGCCCCTTCAAGTCCTGTAGTTCTCTGCAGGTCAATTTCCACTCCTGCCCAAGCGAATCGATCTTAGTTTCGCCTCCAGGGGGCCTTTAATTTGGAGAGAATACAACGAGGTAATACATGAAATATTGATCATGAAACAAATCTTCGGATCACTATTCCTAATCAAGATCATAGGGGGAAAATAAATTCAACAAATCGACTCCATAAATGTACATAAACTTCGTGAAGAAACTCATACAATATTCTAAATATCCTCCTTCTGCTCACTGCCCGCCTTCTCTTCATTCTTCATCCAGACATCAACCTCGGCGGCTTCACCCTGCGGCAGATGGCGCGCCATGGAAACGATAGACCACGGCGTCGGCGCATCGCGGAAGACATGGTTCAGAGCCTCAAGGTTCCGGTTCATAGTCTCCGGGTAGAAGAAATACACCGCGAATGGAATGCACGCTGAGATGACAGCATACATGATATAGTATTGATATCCAATCGTGTCCAGCGCGACCGGCGTGATCATCACGACAACAAAGTTCCATAGCCAGTGGTTGGCGGTGGAGACGGCGGACATGGCGACGCGAAGACGCATGGGTGCGACTTCGGTACAGTAGAGGAAGTTTCCGCCAAGGAAGCCGACGGGGTAGAAGGAGTTAAACAGGAAGATGAAGACGGCTGAGACGACTGAGGCGGTGTGGTTCTCACCGAAGCTGGTCGTGATGGCTAGGACCATCATGCATACTGACATGCCCGCACCGCTGATCATGAAGATCTTTCGGCGGCCAAGTCGATCGATGGCGAAGAAGGCGATGAAGCTGCACATGAACTTCCAAGTCATCGCGCAGGAGGCGAGGATGCGGGAGAGGTCACTTGTCATGTGCAGGTTTTCTTCGAAGATGGTGGAGACGTAGGTGGAGATGAGGTTACCTCCGCACATTTGTTGGAAGAATTGGAGGGACACGCAGATGCAGAAGCGGTAGAGGAGGCGTTCATCGTCGACTTTGTTGGGGTTGAAGAGGTCGAGGAGGGAGGCACTGTCGACGGAGACTTCGAGGGAGGTCTCGATACCGGAGATCTCGGCGCGGACGGCTTCGTCGTCGTCGGAGAGGCCCTTGTATGCAGCGAGACTGTGGGTTGCTGCTTCGACACGACCGACGGTCATAAGCCAACGGGGTGACTCAGGGAGCAGGAAGACAGAGCCCAGAAGGATGATGGAGAACAGGAATGAGACGACGAGGGGAAGGCGCCATTGCAAGCTGCCGTCGATCTTGCTCAAACCGAAATCAATCCAATTGCACAAGGCATAACCCAAGCAGATACAAATACCATCAACGATGACATGTTGTCCTCGGTGTTTGGCGGATGTGCATTCAGACTGCCACACAGGGACTGCGACACTCAGCTGTCCTACACCCAGACCCAGAATGACACGACCGACAACAAATTGCGGAAGTCCAAAAGCAGCAACCTGAAGCACCTGTCCGATGACAGTCAAGACACCACCAAGAAAAATGGTCCATCGTCGACCAAGACGATCCCCGAGTCCTGTACAAGACAAAGCTCCGATCAGGGCACCCAACTGGAAAGACGCAATGACAGCACCCTTGGCAGTCGAGTTTGTTGACTTCACCGCACCTGTTGTGTTGATGGTATCGATCTCGGGAAAGACCTCAACCCAGCTCTGCAGTGTAGCCAAGGGGCCCAAGCCAGACTGGTTATATCCGAAAATAATAAAAGCGGGCGCAACAATGAGAAGCGCCTGCGCCACACGGAGAGCCTTGCCTCGGAACAACATGGCTGGCTGGACAGTATACCGAGAGTCACAATGGATCCAGAAAAAAAGATGAAAGAAAGAAAGAGACTAGCTAGAGGGATGCTCTCTGGGATTTATATTCACCGCACTACTCCCCAGCTCAAGGACCCCATGATAGTCGTGGAGACCCCGCGCGAGAATTCTGATCGCTCGTAGAGAGTGGGGGCTTTAATCACAGGTTGGTTGCATCTATCCAACTAGCTCTTCAGGATTTGCATATTAAGCGTATTCCTCCACTGACTTTGCTGTTTTCGCCCATCTCAATTGGGGTAGGTTAGGGTTTGGGTCCGGTGGATGACGCTGCCGTGTCTCGCCTTGCCTGTACACCGGCAAGGATCCACGGACGGGGGCGAGAGACGAGGGAATGTCATGGGCTGATTGGAGTCTTCCTCTCAGGAGGGAATGCCGATGATCGCACGAACCTCGTAGCCTTGCTCCAGTTGGAAGTATGCTTGGGCCCGATCTCGTCCTGTTCTCCCGAGTATCTAGCCTCGTTGCTTACTTGTTCTTTCAACGAGTATTTCAAGGTACATTTTCCTCGAAACAGCACTCTCGGCACTTTGAAATTGAGCTTGGGCGAAGCATGTATTTTCCGGATTTGCCAAGAGGGCATTTGGTCTTAGCTAGAACAAGACGTCGGTGATCTTTCCCTGGTCGGCCATCTTTTCCTACTCGGGCCGAGCGCCGCAGCCCGTCTGTTGTTTTCTTCGGGACTAGAATGTTTGGGGTATGGAACACCATGCCTTCAAACAAATCGGACCCCCAATTCACTGGCGCGATGATTTCAAAGACCATATACCAACCCTGTGTTCCATGCAGCCAAGAAACATCGGATCTCGCCTGGTCGTACAAACTGACGGGGTATTCGGGGTTTCGCGTGGGAGGCCCTCCTTGGCAGGGACTCGTCTTGCGTCAAGTCGATCGGCCCGGCGCACTGAGCCTATGAGCAGCGGAGCCTAGGTCTGAGCCTAATTGTCGAGGCTTATTTGGATTCGTTCCACGACGACTCCACTGCCAAGATGCAGGCCAAGCTATCCACTTTCATCCTGTTAGCCAACACGGGGGTTGTCCGGGGCGCAGGAGGCCAACTATGCCAAGACGTGCGTGGAGGGGCGTGGGATGGAAACTCTCTCCGCGCTCCACCCTTCGGGCATCTTCCGAACGTTTGATTGTGGAAGACGGGATTTTCTACTTAACCCGCTTATAGCCCGGCAATCGGAGGGGAAACGGTCGGGGAAGATGCGCGGGATCCTTACTTTTCTTCAACCGTATTATGCAGCGAATTGACTTCGTGCTGGGGAACACGTTGTCATATCTTTGAGACTTGTTATTCAACGTGACCCTCCAATTGGCCTCTTCGCAAGATTGTCAAGATTCTAACGAAGGCTTAGCCACGGAGAGATCTCGGTCAAGTTTCGGATGCAGGTGAATCTTCACCGACTGACCGGTAACCTTGTGCGCCAAAGTGGCGGACAGAGCCTCTAGCGGCCCCATTTATACTCGCATCCATAAGAAATCTCCGAGATCGTACGAACTTGGTTGTGTTCTGGCGCGATATACATCACCATTCGGGTGTCTCGGTGTCGACTTCACCCCCGTTACTCTAACGCCGGCTGGTGATTCCAGCAAATTAATATTAATGGTCTAGCCAAAACAAGCTGGGAAATTTTGGTTCTACCATTTGACCATAGAATTGCTAAAATCAGATAAGCTCATCTGAAGGCGTCTCATTGGTCATCAGTACTGTCCACAAGAATGAATAACTTTATTCAGTCCTGTCGATACCCATCGCGGACAAACCTATCTCAGCATCCTCCTTTCTTTCTGTAGTAAGTCCATCCCTCTGTTCCCGGATTCTTTCTTCTTTCTTCAGATCCCTCCGCAACAATAGATTCCAAAGGTAAGGCCGTGTAGCAATCTCATGCCCTCCTTCCTTCAGAATCCAAACATTTCCAAGGAAGGTCGTAAGCACCACAACGAGCCACATCACAGGGATCATCGCAATGAATGCCCACTTAATGCCATCTCTCGCATCAGACTCTTCAACGCCACTCTTATTGGTGAAGACTGTAGTCATGATAGTGAGGCCGATCAAACCACCAAATGGAATGGCGAAGGACGCAAGACACGAAATCTGCGCCGTCATGGCGGGAAAATAGGCCAAGCCATGAAGCGAGGCTGGGTTCATACGCATCCCAACGCCATGACCAACTAATGCCATCATGCCGTAGATCACGCTTGTTTTTCCTACATGGACAGCCCAGGCGAGGACCGAAATTCCGACCGCGGAAGTTAAACTCCCAAGCATGAGTGCTGGGAAAGTTTGGCGAGGCCAGACGTTGGATGAGAACATAGCCATGTAAGCGCCAGCTGTTTACCGGTTAGCATCTTTCCTGCTTACCATAATGGCGAATGTTGAGAGGTTCACACATACCAGCTAAGCCAGGTAAAAAATATAACAGCGCAAGACCAGAATGACCAGAGCTCTTTCCTTCCACAAGCGCAAAGTACAAATCCATAAAATACATGATTGCAAACATACCAACGCCAATGGAGAAGTTGATCAAGAACAGCAGACCAATATCACGCTCTTGCAATAACTCCCACGGAATCATAGCTTTTTGGCGCGGAAACGCTTTCGCAATAGCCGATCCAGGTATCATGAGATGTTCATACACAACCCAGCCAATTGCCAAAACAGCCCCGATAACGAGCGGAGCAAGTACAGCAGCCGAATCCCAAGTATAAGTACCCCCAGCCCAAGTGAAAGCCAGAATCAACAATCCGAATCCCCAAAGGAAAAGCAGCTGGCCGCCGTAATCGAGAGTCGACATCCTAGCCTTAAACCGTCCCCACCTTGAGGTAATGTCCACACCATCTACCATGGTGATGGGTTGCGGACCTTGCAAATCTTTTCTCAGAATGATGACGATGATGACCATAGCTATAACCGCAATTGGTAGATTGATCGCAAAACACCATCTCCACGAAGCCTGCGTCAGATAGCCACCAATCACAGGACCGATGCTGAACCCGATGCCTGAAACAAGCGCAAAGATAGTCCAATTGAGTGCGTACTCGGCGAGTGAGACGCGGTCGGCTAGAATGGTTCGGATGGACATGTTCACGCCTGCCGCGCCAACACCTTGGAGGGCACGACCGAGGAGGAGGACTGGAAAGGAAGACGTCGGGGCGCCGGTGCAAATCGCTGACCCGATCATCATGATAGAAATTGCAGATTGAAGGACGTAGTGGCGACCGAAGAGATCAGTCAGTTGGGCCCAGATGAATAGGAAGGCGGCAGAGGTCAGGTTAAACACGGAAATGATCCAGTTGAGTTGTTTCACTTGGTCTGTCATGTGGTCAGTCGCGTTATTTGAAATCGTGTGATTCGGACAAATTATGTGGCCGAGGTGAAAGGTGGGATGGAGGGGCATACTAAAGTCTTCGGCGATATATGGCAATGCTGAGGCCACGATGGTCGTGTCCAGAGCTTGCAAACAAAAGGGGCTGAAGAGGCCAAGAATGATCTTCCATCTGTAGGTTGTTCTTCTCTTGCTCTCGGCAAGTTCCTCTGAGGTAAGTATCTTTTTTACCTTCTGCTCTTTCAGTTCGCCACTTTTAGATAGGGCAACTACGTCTTTGGTTCGTTCGACTGGTATATCGTGAGTTTGCACGGCACGAAGTGGTATCGGCTCAGCATGCTGGGCGGGTGTAGCATCAAGTGGAATAACGTCGCTTGCATTGTGTGCTGGGATCGTTTGGCCTTCCTCTCTTTGCGAAATATCCGTATGAGCCAAACCCGGAGCCTCATGCCGCTTTCTCTCGTTCCGCTTCTTAATCTGTTTGTAGATCAAGATCATTTTTCAGAGATGCGCGATTTCAGAGTCAAGACGAGTGAGAACATAACATTTAGAGAAACCTAGCACTGGGGGTTTGGCTTATTATATACGTCTTCGCATCCATAAGAGGAATGCAAATTGCACGCCAAGCATTCGCCCAAAGTGGAGACTTCGTGTTCATCTTAAACATCGCGAAATCTGACCTAGTTAGGTTTAGCGTGGCCAGCGAGCCGCAGTCGTTTCCTAATCTGGATACCTTTTCGTTATCGAGGAACCGATAAGACGTCGGGGTCTGCCGTACAGAGTCAGCCGTGCGAGAAGGATACTGGTAATTTTGTTTCTTACGTTGATGGACCTGTCCATGGGTTCCATGGGTTCATTGATCGCGTCAAACGGAGGAGCTTTACTGTGGTCCCCATTCACAAAATAAAATTCTTAATCAGTATGGGCTGTACCAACTGTTGAGGAACTTGTAGGCGTTGGTGCCTGGGGAATCGGTTCTTTCATCTTGCCAAGTCTCAAGTATCATACAGGCGACCTCTCCTCTCGCCATGAATTCACAATAGGGCTTTCTCCAAGAACCCCCTTTAGCACAAGCAGTATGTCATCAACAGTGGACAAGAATTTCAGGTAGGAGCTGACTGCTACGCAGTAGCGACGATAGTCTTCATTGCGCACCAAGGCCGTACTAAACTCTGCCTTACGGTGCTCAGCATGCCAGGCTACGTAACATCGAGTCAGTAGAGGGGCGGGTAAACGTTCTGGTAGAGGATCTCCCGTCTTCAACGACTGATTGATCACTCCAAGAACGGCCATGACGGAGTCAATGATGGTGTCGTCCATAATGCCGACATTTTGGGTAAGACGGTGCTGTAGTTCTACAGGGAGCGATCCCGTCAGAGCAAGCAGCCGGCCCAGGCATTGGTTCATATCTTGACAGAGCTCTTGTATTTGAAGAAATGTCCCCTGGTCGAACGGGCCGAGAGTGATTTCGAATTTCAACAGGTTAATCGACCCTTGCAAGGCGAGCAGTGTCTCAGCCAAATCAAGAGATATCTTCTCCGCCACGATGCTGACAGGGCTCGGGTCATCTGCTCGGCCCCAATGGGAAAGCAGCAGGGCATAGTGGTCTGATAAGTTGCGAATAGTGTTGAACAGCGTCTTGCGGACGTGTCGACTGGCTGAGGGAGGTTTGGGAAAGATCTGAACAACAAATGCAGCGACTAATCCGAGTAAAACAGTCACTAATCGTTTGTAAAATGCTGCGTAGCCGTACCCCGGCAGTCCATATTGTTGAATATGTGTGTCGTCGTAACTAAACCCAATCACCAGCACGTAAGTCGCGCCACTCATGACAGCGCATGGCAGTAGTGCCGGTGGGAGGAACAGTCGCCACCACACCAGAATCAATGTCATCGCTGCGGTAATGGCAGATAATCCGTACGCGTTACCAGTACCACTGCCCGACCCAATGTACCATGCCACCATACCCATCACGCCACCAAGTATGGTACCAGCTGTTCGACTTACAACTGAGAAAGTAAAGTCCGCCATGTAGATGACCACAGCTATTTGCGCTGTGATTGTGCCCCAGATGCCTTTTTCGCGGTAAAAAAAATCCTGCAGTCGCTGGCAGAGACGCCGGAATAGAAGTCGCAATCGTGACCACCACCATGCGAATGGCATACATACCTCCTGTATCGGTGAGCCAATGCCAGCTGCGCCTAATGATCTGGCTTAGCCGGCTTTGACGATGCGTTACTACAACACCATGGCTTATACGAAGCTGATGGTGTGCTTCTTTGACCTGGTCATCCAGTGTCTTGGGATCATCGCCCGTGCCCATAGGTAAGCCTGACAGAGGAGGGCTCTGGTGTCCGTTGACTAGCCAAGATATGGCATAGCGAATACCAGTCGGATACCATATACGGTGCTTGATGCGTGTCTTACACAATTCCAGGATCCGAGCTAGAAGGTTTTCTGTGGCCGTGGCTGCTCCAAGGATTCTTTCTTCGGCTACCATGCCCAGGACTAGGGCACGAAGGTCATATGGACCCTGAAGCTCCTCAGATTTGAGATTGCCGTTTTCATCGAAGAGATCCTTGTGGCTCTCTATCAGCCCCTCTGTAGACTCACTAGCGCAGATCTTCTTCTCAGAACGCAATCGACCAAGAATCTCCTCTCCACGAGAAGCCGCCTGGTCAAATTCCTCGGCCGGGTGTCGACGGAACCATCGACGAGTGTTGACTAAACGGATACATTCAGCGACCAAGTTAATAGCTTCCGAGGATACCTGTAACAAATCCGCGCTGGACTTGTTGAGGGCCTGAGTGGTATTGGATCGGATTTCTCCCATCTCCGGGGCTTGTAGGGCATGCATCATATCGAGTCCATCTCGCGGCTGTCGGTTTCCAACTCCAGAAGCGTAACTTTTTGATTCTGTACCTGCATCATCTGTTTCATCCCCTGGACCCGATTTCGTCATGCTGATCTTGTCATGAGCTCGTTGACGAGCGATATGAAAGTCGAGAAGAGCGATCTGAGCAAGCATCATCTGCCGCACAGGGTCAAGAAGACTCCGGATATCTTCAACACCCCATCGACCACGGGAAATGTCCAATGGAAGAAAAGCCATCATTGGTTTCATAGCCTTGAATGACTCAATGAGTTTCGCTTTGGAGCTTTTCATCTGGGTGAGATCTATCGGCTTTTCAGCTAATCCATCCCGCGTGCATTGAAATGGGAATTGTCCCATGAGAACTATTTTCTCCATTTGAGACAGAATCGCGTATGATGTTGACTGCGGAAATAGCAGTAAATTGCACGCGAACCCGAGAGCGATTCCTATAGCACCAGGCTCAACAAGAACTTTGGCGACTTCCCAGTTCCATGATGGGAGGGTTGGACCGAAGAGCAAGAATAAGTCCATGATAATGATGCCGAATATTTCCGCGAGGACGAACTTCTGGTTGACCACCCGCAGTCGTGCCATCACGTACACGAAGACGCAGCTCAACACATAGAAAACAACAGTGACTCGAGCATCAAACATGAAACCATTGTGGATGAGTTCTTCCGCAATTGTGAGAGGATTTTGCCCAGTTTGCTTGGCTTGTGAGACGGCCTCTTCCTGTAGTTGAAGCAGTCGGGCCATAGTTTGTGAAGCTGGGCGGGCGGCTAAGGCGGCTTTCATGGTAATGAGTCCCCATGCCCAGGCAAGACACATACCAAATAAGAGAGATAAAGCTGCTAAGAGGTAGATGATCAATATGCTGCTGGGGGGCACGATGTATAGCAACAGTGCGCCAAAGAATGTAGCGATTCCAATGCTGCGCAAGGCCGGGCCGATAAACATTAACAGGGATGCCACCCAAATAGCTACCCAGCAGCGAAGTAATATTTTCAGGTCGTGTTTGTTGAAGTGGTCCAGCCAAGCTGGTAGCTTGACCCGGCGGCGTTGAGCAGAAGCCTCCACGCTGCCGTTTGCTCTACCATTCCTATCCTTCCCATTGCCATTGGGTTCCCTGTCTGCGGAGATTTTCGTCGGCATATTTGTCTAAAAGAGCTGTACGATGCCACAGTAGAGCTTTTCAAATGCTCATAATCGCTCATGTGGAGAATAATAAGTGGTGGGGTTGAGCATTACTGTGGTTGGCCGTCGACGCAAGTGAATGCTGTCATCGTTGGAGACTTTGTCCCGTCATTGGCCAAGCAACCATCAACGACAGCATCAATTGACAGCGACATTGAGGATCAATGAATTACTCCAGATTAGAAGGAATCGATGACTGAAGTGACGAAAATGTTTCATAGCAACATATTTGATTATTCACAGCTCGGTGATTTTGTCGGATGCCTCGGCATCAAGGTATCCAGCGCTTACTTGATAATTTATGTCTTGAGAACATGGGTTGATTCTCATTGGAACATTATGTCTCTCGTATTCACTTATTTAGCCTAGGATGCTGCAACGCGAGCGCGCCGATCACCCGATTTTAGCCAGATGGGATTCGCCCCACCCAGTCGTCGACCACCCACAGACTTGTTTAGCCGAGTTAGGTGATGAAATCGGCGGATTATCAATTCACCCAGCACACGGAGTCCTTGGTACACCAATAACCCTTCCATTTGGATGTTTTTGCCTCCAATATCGTGGTTCGTGGCTTGATCTAGCCTTGTGACCTTCTCCATTCCCATGTCTGGACGGCCGAACTTTCCGTTACATAACTTATCACCTGCCCTACAAAGCATGAACTCTTCTAAATTGGGCTTTGTGGTGTTTATGAACAGTGGTTTGAGATGCCGACTTCTTTGGAGCCGGGGCTTGGCTCTCTCGATGGATCTAGACCTTCTAGGACTGAACCAAACACACACCATGGTCATGTGAGCCCAGCGCGAAGTAGATTTACAATCATAATTCCTTCCGTAGCCTTGGATTCTCAGTTAACAAGGCGATAATTTCTCACCTCATTGCATACTCTCTGTCGAGGATTCTTCAAACAAGTCTTCTGGGAGTAATGGCTGTTGCAATACCTACCAAAGGTCGACAACTTCAACCTTCTCTCTCAAATAGTATGCTTTCTCCGTCGCGTGCGACTTTAGAAAGCATTATTTCCGGCAAATCACCGCAGCCGTACACATTCGATGCTTTTCTGGACTTTTTAATCCAGAACCATTCTGAAGAGACGTTAAACTTCATCTCCGAGGCACAGGCGTACCCGGGCATATACGGGGCGCACTGGGCCTCTTCCGACAACAGCACCATCATTCAAGACCCTGTTGTTGTCGGGAGACAATGGAAGTCCATCATGGGCACCTATATCCTGCCCGGGTCTCCCTGCGAAATCAATCTGCCAGGTCATATTCGTGAATCACTTCTGGCAATCTTGGATGTCACCATCTTACCACCCAGTCCAGATCGACTGGACTCTGCCCTTGACCATGCCTATGAAATCCTCACACACGATGCTTTGATTCCTTTCATGAGAAGCTTTCATCCGGGTGATAACCGGCAGCCAGTCTCAGAATCTCGATCCAGTTCGACAACATACTATGGAAGTTTTTTTCACACGTTTTCTGGCAAATCCAGTTCACCCGACCAGAACAAATTGTATGCTCACTCCAGTTCGATTTGGTCATCACCGCTCACACGATACTACAGGCCTCTCCCAGGCGAGTGTTCAACGGAAGATACTCCTGAAATCCAGCCCTCGAAAGGCTTCCGAGTATCACCATCATTGTATAATTTCTCCTGGGTTAAATATGTTGGCGGATCTGGATACTCTAGAGCTCATAGCTCGTGATTCAATATAAAGCGCATGATTTGAGGATGTGCAATAAGGACTCACCAAGGACCGCACGCTCTTTCTATCGACATTGAAAGATGAGATAGCCTCGCAACCCGCAGACCTCCAATCCATCTCGGAAGCAGGTGGGAGTTGTTTGAATTTTCGAGAGCCTTCTGTTGTTTATTCCACTTGAGAATATCTTCACAACCGCTTACATCGTCCTGCAAATTCACAGAACGTTATCATTGATCCCTAGCCGATCGCCCAGTGGAAAGTGGCAGTTCAATGATCAACAAGTACATTGTAGGTGGCTCATTCCTGTATGATACGTCGGGCTCGAATGTTTCATCTGTTCTTGCTTGGAGTACTGCACCCGGTTGACGGCTTCATCTCGTGCGAAATCGGGTTGCAGTCCATCGCATTTGGTGGTGCGAGGTGGACTCTGGCCCGTGTTCTGATTCCGTCGCAGGAAGGACTCACGACGCCCTCGGGGCAAATTCTCGGCGAGCCGAGGTATCTCAGATACTGATGCCATTCAGTTCGTTGTTCCGGCGTCGCTCGGAGGCTGTTGCAACGCGACGCTTTGAACTCGGTAGATACTTATGCTGATGGACAAATGGGCCCGATAACAATAGGTCCTGTCACTAGGTTATTTGGCATGAGGGAGTCTAGCAAACACCTTGTCATTTTACAATAGAGTGAATAGGAATCAATTGAACGCTTAGTGTCAAAGGTTGACTTCGATCCATCCAGAAGTTCTATTTTATCTAACAAGATTCACGGATCCAAGGTTCCAGAATATGTCTCAACAGCCAGCCTGGCGCGACCGGGGACATCACCGATTCTAAAGACCTAGAAGCTTTCAGAGCCACATGACACCATGAATGCAGATATCTAAAGGCGATTTAACGTCCTTCCGAGGTAGTTCGAGGATGCGCAAAAAAGAGTGAAAGTAAGAACCGCTTAACTCCAATGCGGCTCTGCACCTGAGACAAAAAGCCTTGGCGGCCATGTCTTTGCTGACAGCCTCGTAACTTCTGCTTTTCTTTTACCTACCTCTGTTCATTCACAATCTTCAGACTAAAGATGGGTCGCCTCACTGACGAACCCTCGGCGTCCTCATCAGTCTCGCTCCACACCATTGACAACGATGACCTACCGCCCCCCCCTACACCGACGAGCCAGAATTTCTCTCCGCTCCCGCTCCACTGCCCACATCCCAACCTCTAAGACTCAGCGACTCAGCCTATCACGTCCCCGGTGCCAGAAACTTCACAGTAGCTGATGCTCGCATCGTGACCTACGCTCGGGAGCTGTCCCAGAATAGCGATGAGCTCTTCCGTGTGATTCGCAGGCAGATGAAACTGCCCGTGCGTCCGCTGCTTGGAATCCAGGGGACACATACCGAGTCGAGTGACGATGGCAAGAAAAAGAGTTCTAATACTGTGACGGACTTTTGCTTCCATCTTGACCTCGCGGAGACTATGTTGCGGGGTTGGGATGGACCGCTCGATGTAAATTGGATGCAGACCGAGGTTGTCAAGGACGGTGACGAGCAAAAGGCGTTTCGGGGTGGAATTGTTCAATCGCGTCGGTACAAACCTCGCAAGACACGTGCTAAGGGTATTTCGCTCGACGAGAGCGATGCCGCGCTGCTGGAGTCGGAAGCAGATGTCTTGGACGGGGTCGAGGAGGACGGTGCGGTTCTTTCGGAACAAGAGGAGGATCTCAAGATGTGGTGTGAGCGATTTTGCAATGATCCTGCACCTGTCAAATCGTATGTAATTCTGTGTTCCCTTTTCAGAACATCCTTGCTAAGTTTGGCCAAAGATTCACCATGACCCGAGAGCTCCATGGCTTCGACTTCAAGTCGATGCGCAATGTTCTTGCTTCTCATATTCGGGAACTGAACTACCGTGGCTCGACAAATTTCTGGTTGAAGAAGGGATACAGCTCTGTCACAATGTACTCACCGCATTGGATTAATAGACTACGAAGTAACAGCTTTGTCTGGTGGATCTGCGTTATCCTCCAGCTCTGGATTATTACCTGGCCAGTCATTTGGTTGATGGAGAAGCGATACGAAGTCGTCCGCTCCCAGTGGAACGCATCGCTTGATGCTGGCTCTGAGACCGGATTAATCAAGTGCTACGCCCAAGGTCGAGACGAGACACAGCTAGGAGAGTTCTGGGCCGCGGCAGTCAAGCAGGCTGCGTGGACTCGAAGACAAGGACAAGGAGCCTTGTTGACCAGGAACGATGCTGACCGATTGCAAGGAATGAGAAATGAGCAGATCTTGCGTATCCAGACCTGTGAATCTGAAGCTGAGCGACAGCGCCGCGAGCGCGTTCACAGCGGCCAAGGCGGACTCATGGACAGTGTCGTCGGCCTAGTCAGAGGCGTCTCGGAGGCCTCACAGGACTATAGATTGACGATGGGATGGGGAGCCAATACCTAGGCTCTTGTGGTTCATTTAAAATGGATACACCGGTGTTCATTGCTTTGTTTTATATCACGCGCTAGTCTTTCTCCAGATTCTGCATAAACAGCGTCCCATATTGTGACAAGTCAATTGCCCGCTACAGCCTCAGGTGTCAACAGCAAGATTCGAAGACGCAAATACGTATGTCGCACGCACTTGATCCATTTGACTGGGTTGTCCCCCTCCCATGCAACTCATAGCTCTCCCGATTCATTAGCATTTGTACATGCTAAAACAGGGACGGCTCGATAGCAGTCTGTCAGCGTAGACTATACAGCACTAACATAAAGACACATATTCACACACTTACGTGTAGAGAGTATGCTTTAAAGGTTATCGCGGTAGTATAATACAAACGATAATCACCCAAATATAGATATAGTCTTATTTTATCTCTTATTCTATAGTAATAATGGTGACGGTAAAACTGCCGCCTCAGGAAGTGATCGGCTCCCGGAGCATAGGGTAAGTTAGTCACCCCGCCGCCCTAAGCTGCTCACTAAGTAACCCTAAGCGGCTCCCTAAACGACCCTAAGTTACTCCCTAAGTAGCCTAATCGCTCACTTAGGCCGACCGGCCTATTCGATCTTATTCTACCTCTCCGTTATTTTATATACTCCGATAATAACCGCACTGCTACCTACTCGTGCTCCTAGGAGCGGAGCTAGGAAATAATATATTCTCGCGGTACTATAGTAACTTTCGGCTCGGTCTTCGAACTTTCAGCTAATCGACTTAATTAACGTGGTCGGTAAGCGAGTGAGCCATGTAAGCGAGTGAGCCACCCAACCACTTTTTCTCTATATCTTGACACTTTTATCAACCACAACGCCTTTATATTAATTAATCTCTAGCTTTACATGAATTCCTCTTATGTCCGATCTGTCCGCAATTAGTACATTGGGGTGGACGCCGCGTCTTCGGTGCTAGTGTGTCCCGCGGTAATAGGCTTAGTGGAGCTAGTATTGCTTAAAGGGGGCGCCTTATAAGCTTCCTCGAGCTCTAATGCTTCTCGTACGGATAGACTGTTATCGTAGGCTATAACACCGAGCTTCGAAGACGCCAAATCCTTTGCGCTGAAAAATCCAGCTGTTGAGCTGTCACAACTTCAAGCAGTTTTCCAGATAGCAGACCGCCTAGAAGGCTGACTTTTTCTTCTTCTGATCAGCCTTCAAGAACAATTTTATTATCCTTTTTGACTTACCCCTTTTTAGCATGGCCCGGGGTCTCATGAAGGTTATATCCTTGGGCCACCAGGTAGGGATTTCGGTCCCCGAGTAGTTGATTTCCGGTCAACTATCCTAATCCAGCCTTCTGACAGGTCAACACAAATATCGTACGGGAGAGAAGAAAGCCACTTTTCATAGCAATTTTGCGGTTTATCGAACTCACCGTGAGGATCATACCGAGATGAAGGCGGATTTGGAATAGGCGTTGAACTTGGTTGCGTATCTTGGAGCCGCAAGGCGTCTAATACCCATACAGATCTTACGCGCACTCTGCTATTCCTGCAAAATACAATCCACCCTTCCACGCGATAAAATAACTCTGCTCTACGAGCGAGCCCAAGCGATCACATATTGCCTCGTTGACTATGAATTCAGGGATGACTGCCAAGTGCTTTCGCCTGAAATCGAGTCCTCGGATCATAATGGTCTACATGCTAACTCATCTGAGCCAGCTTGCATCAGTAGTTTTCAATAATTCCGACCTACGAGAATCACCTTGGCTAACTCTTGTCGCTTTTGTAGATCCCTCTTTGCTAGAGATGAATGTGAACGCACAAGACACTGGTATGACAACATTTGTTCAGACCCGGACACTTTTTAACAGAGAGGATATAGTGAATCAACCACCCTCATTGCAAATGGTAAACTCTAGCCCCCCCACAGAGACTGGACCTCTTATGTTTTGACCGAATACTGACTCTGTCGCAGAAACAGCAAACGAAACCCCGGCCGATTCACGTCCTCTCACCCCCACCTGATGGTCATACCCCCAATGAGTTTGACTGGGCACTCCGAGAATACACAGGCTCGAACGCATCAAATCCTTCGCTCAGTCTCACCCAAGGTTCCTGCGATCTTACCAAAGAAAGTGAACTATCCATACCGCCTTCGAGGGGAGGATACGACAACCAAGAGACGCCGGGCATGGATATTGATGAAGGTCATTCCATGGCTAGTCCTTCAAAAACTCCATCACCCGCCTGCGACCGCGCCGAAGGGATGAATTCCGGCAGATCAGATGGACTTGCACCTCATGAATCTCCAACTGGCACCATACAAGAATGTGTGGATGAAATGGAAGTCACGGAGATTGAAGGAGATGCACATCAAGATCTTGCGGACAACAACGTTAACGCTGACCATCCAGCTTCTGAAAGTCTCACACACACTCCGAAGCCCCTCCCAAGTCTCTTCTATCCCACTCTTGATTCCAATCCACGAGACACGCCGACGCCAATGAGCAGAAGAGCGGTGAGAATGGCCGAGGCGAAAGTAAGAGGAAGATCCCCCAGCATTCAATCTACCAACAATATCCAAAGCCACCAATGCCGGTCAAAATTGCACTCAATGGCGGAAGATGCCCCTGACGACACCGATTCTGATACCCCTTATAAGTCACCTGCAAGCGACGGAAATTTCAGAGAGCCTGACTACGAGTCCGATTGTGTGGCTCCCAACAATATCCAGAATGGACAATCCCTGCCGAAGATGCAGCCGACGGTCGAAGATGCCCCCGATGATACTGAAGGCAATTTTGGAGATTCTGACATCGAGTCCGCCATAGACGGGGCTCTCGGATTTTTGCAGGGCATTCCTTCCGGTAATGAGAAGTGTCCATCCAGTGACGAGAATGTCATGAGTCTTAAGCCAAACTGGAGCGCATCGGGCTCGACAAATTCATCCATCAATGACCTACCTGAGCTGCCTTGTGAAGAAAGCGCAAATAGGTCCACCATATTTTTGGGGTCCGAGATCAATCAAAACGCTGCATCTAAAAAGAAAGTTCTCTTCTGCAATTGAACCTGACTCGATTCAACCCTCAAGGAATCTCAGACCTCTTGGCAAGGGAAGGGATGGAAATCAAGATTACAACGACTCGACCTCAGAGGATGTTCGCGAGACCTCAACTTCGGAAGGAATCTCACGATGTTCAACGGAGGATATTGTTCACTCCAAGACAAGGGCTCCATATAATTCAAAGGAGGATAAATGGGAAGGTCGCTTTTCTTGCCATCCTGACCTATCCGCCCTTCCACCAGGAAAGAAAGATGACATTGAAAGACAGTGCAGACGCATTCTATGTCCTGATCTACCTGATTTCTTGGGACAGCATACGAAGTCTTGGATATCCTCCGGATTTTGGCGTTCTCCGTCACTCGACGTTTCTCGCCATGCTCATTACACTCCAACCAACGCGAAAGGTTTCGCAATCTGGAGATATGTAGAGGCCATGCAGGCAGACGAGGGGACATACTATCTCAAATCCCGGCTTGCGGATATTATGCTCTACTTGGAGTACGTCGGAGAGCTTGATCGACAAAAAGAAGCCGACCACCCAGGCCGGACTGCGAAAATCCGGGCCGCAAACATCATATACCGCACAGGATCTCTTCCGAAAGCAGTTGCGGACAAGACTCGCAAGACTTTCCATGAGCACAAGTTAGTTGGTGAGGCGTTGGTGGTGGTGTGGATGCTACATGGGGCGTGGATTATTCCTCTTGTGTAGCCAAGAAACGGGCAAGAAGATGTAAAGTCTCTCGAGTTTCCTGCATGCGTGTCTTCCGCTGATGAATTCACAGACAAAGCAAATCCTTTCCGCAGGACGCCTTCATTTTGTATGTTCTGTTCAACTGCCAAAATCTTCTAGCTTGCTGCAGCAAATTCGATCACTTAGTGAACGGGCTTTTGATTGGCGGTGAATTCCCCATACAGCTAAGCAAGAAAGAAGTGCAGCTATGGATTCGTGAAACCAAAACTGGTAACCAGGAAAGCATATCCACAGCTTGCTGGCAGCCCTGGAGTACCAATGCTGTCGCGAGCAAGGCGTCGGATTTTCTTTCTGCTCGGTCGAACGGTCTAGAGCACACAAGCTGACCTCAAAGGCTCTCAGTATCCCACTAATTATTTCGAGTGAATGCAGTGATTGAGTTCCCCACGATCATGCAAATATTATCAACCCTTATTGACACGACCGTGGTCTATCTATTGATGAGAGCCGAAACTCTTCAAACATTTGAATCCACTGGCTCCACAAGGGTGGGAACATATTTCAAATACTGAACTGTGACTTGCTTGGCCAAATCTCAGCGCTGGGGCGTCGTCCCAAGCCTAGCTTCAAAACCTGGGTATAAAATATAAGGAATCGTCTTACTTTATGAAGCTAGACCTCTCTTTGTGCAGAGACATTCCTTTGCTGTCCATTCGGCGTAGACGGGTGCGTTACAAATGTGTCTAATGTGACCCTCTTATAGAGACAAAGACATAAGCCATTTATCAGACTTACATTTTCTTCCCTCTTCAGAACCTTCCAGTAAGGCCGACGCGCTACAGAACGCGTTGCCTACCTTGGCCTGGAACTTCTGTAGCAGATTTCTCAGATTAGGACGGTCCGACAGGACGTGCGACGAAGGTGACTGCCATTTTTTAATTCTTTCATTCCCTCTCCCACTGGGTAAAGATCCCTCGTCGATTGAAGCTCTTTCCCATGATAATCAAGGGAAGAATGGGTAGTTTTGCCCAGAACGTGTGCCTCTTTGGCCAACCTACTGTATCTGCTGTGTCATTCCCGGGTGCCTGTTATGTCCTGACATTCATTGGGGACGGATCGCGGTGCTGTGGGTCTTAGTGTCTGGCGCTGTTTGTAGGATGGCATGAATGATCTGTTGCCCGGATTTGTTCCCCAGATTCTGCATGGCTGCAATCCTGACATATTATTACTGGGGATGGTGGCGAACCTCACTCGTACGCCGGCTGATCTCCGACGTTGGAGGGCGATCTTGTGTATGATATCGATGGCAAGCAGAATCCCAGTTGGCTCGGCGGCATGGAGACCATCGGTCCACAGGCCCGGCCTGTGTCTGCAAGGACTCGGTTACTTTGAGTCAATTATCGAGCGCTACGACTGTAACACCCAGGTAGCCTTGACGAACCGGCGCGTTTGAGTACACAACAATGTCCAAGGTAGACCGCGTAGTCTCCACCCGTTCCATTGCAATTTTGCCATTCGGTTCTCAATGGTAACGGGATCGGGTCAATCCTTTCCCATTCTTGCGGCCTCTCCAGGCTCATTGTCCTCAAAGCCTCCACGAGCGGGAACCGAGCGAACGAGCCAAGATTGTTCCGTCCTTATTGGGCTCAAAGCAAGGCGTTCCATATGGATGTTTCCGCGGCAGGGTGTGGAGTCTGATAACGGTGCTCTGTGAGCGGTGACGGAGGCGAAGATGGGGTGGCAGTACGCGCGCTTCAACGTCTGAGGGACGTGTCCACTGTCCGCAAGGCACAGAGGACAAAGATGAGCGCTGTTCGCTTAATGGTACGCGTGTGTCTCAGTGGTCGTACCACACTGTCGCTTCTTGCACGTGTTCCTTTCACCGCAGCTCTTGGTCGAAGATCATGCCCAAGGGTTTGGCGGTTGTGGATGATTTGATAGCATTGCCGTTCATGACGATCTGACCCCGACATTTTTTCTTTCTCTTTCTGGTGATGTGGATGAGTTTGGTCTTCTCGGCTGCGAAACAGGATTCAGACCTCTCCAAAACCAAGCTTCGATCCGTGGAATGTACTTGCATTGGATTTTGTCCAAGTTCTCTTCGGCGGCCCAGCCGACCCGCCAGCGGGAGTATTTTCCGTAAACTTTCAGAGCTTCGAGATTTAAAAAACCAAGTCAATTTTCTAGTCTCTCTGATGAGATCATGAGCACGACCTGATGAAAAGAGGCAGCATTTGAGAATGAAGCGGTAGTAAGGGGCTGAAAATATCTGGGCGCTTAGCCAAACATCTAGCTTGTCTAGCCCACCGAGACGCTAATTTTAAGGAACGGAAATATCTGGGCGCTTAGCTAAATGCCTCACCCATCTTTTAACTACTGCCTAAGCATCTGTAAGCGCCTTGTGAGGTTGAGCGTCTCTCGGAATGAGCATTATTCAAAACAACACAGGTTTCAGCTTGAGTGGTCCATATGACAAGGCTAGTATAGGCGTTATCCCGAAAATGTTTGCAGAGAATGTGTGACAAGCAGATATCAACTTCTTTGCCCTGAAACCGCGCGCCTAGCTATCTCTTACGGGGCCTTTCTCCAGCTAATAGCCCTTTTTTAATTCGAAAGAGTAGTGATATTGAAGCACTGCCATCTCTTTAAGGCCTGTGTTACTTCTGAGCAAAACATCAACATGCCTTATCATCAAACATAGATCACTATAGGCTCCTCGTAGTCATGGGCACTGCAAAACTAACATATATAGATATCAGTACTATCAGTACCATATAGCGGCGAGAAGAGTGGAAATGACGCCATCGCATTGAAAGCTTGAAGATGAGGTGTTCCCAATTCGTGCGTCATCCATGTATGCTTGGGTATTTTGATGTGGTACTGCCTCTTCAAAATTGGCCCTCGGCGATGACGGTCAAGTTTATGTAGCAAAGGACAGGCACCTCCGTGATCAGGATCCTGAGTTTCTGGCAATAAATCTGTCTCTCCCCAAAACTTCTCTATTCCAAAGAGGATATATTCGTTCATAAGAATGCGAAACTAGTGTGGCCCCATAACCGCCAAACCCGATTTTCCTTTATTTTTTGCGCGCGTCTGGTCCAATCATTCTAGGGTATCACCTAGACTGACTGTGGAAAGAATCAAGCACACGGCGGCACGGTTAGTGCCAGAGTCGATTCTAAAATTAATTCCGATGATTAGGAGTTTCAAGCTGTACCAGTTCATGTACCTTCACTTTGCGTATGGTCTCAGGGTTGCATCCTATAATTTTCGTATGCACTATGATATAACTCAATAACTAATATAGGGGTTCTCAAGCCATCTCATCACTTTTTTCAGACGTCTTTGGTTCTATTATGCGAGAACATCTACTTTATGTCTTCGTCTCAACTCTGATTCTTCCCGCGTGAATATCCAACCTACCACATCCTTTAACGTTTTCCTCCTACCGTCTATTGTCCGATATCCCTCAAAACCTCAAACTGCATTATCGACTTTGTTAGGATTTTTCATTCGACAAGCTTACGACGATGGAGCCTGGCAATTACTTCACCATAATGCGCGAACCCCATGACGACGAGCAATACGTGATGACAGCTTATGAAAGGCATTCAAGCCGTTGCACTAAATGTGTCAATCCCCTTAAAATACAAGGACTGGGCCAGTCACTGTGTGAGCGTGGCGATAAGTATGCCCGCGATGTCGCAGACTATCTCTTTGCCCAGAACGGAAAGCACTTTTCTGTTGTTGCAAGAGAGAAAGGAAGGCTTATTCAGATTAAGACTCCTCCCAATGCATTTGCGGTCCGCAGCCTGCTGGCGGCTATTGAAGATGGCCTTAACCTCTACTCCCGAAAAGCTATTACCGGCGCTCATCCCTACCCTATTCACCCTCGGCACCCTGCTATAAACCAAATACAACCAAAAAGTCAGCCGCTAGTCTTGAAAACATACGAGATAATTGAGAGGAAGCCGCAATCAGCCCAACCCGTGTCCTGGCATCGTTCGCTATGTATTATCGATCGTACAGGCCGGTTAGAGCGCCAGAGAGAACACTCACGCACCTACCTGCTATATTCTAAGGAACGCGTATGAGGAATACGGCCTTCAAACTTGGATCAGATCAGCACTTAAATTAATTCTTTGTCCGGGAGAAATTCAAAATTTGCTACTATTCCGCTCCGTACCTCCGAAAATATGTGTCATTCATAGCTACTGAACTTATAAAGCATAGAAGCTCATCATTTACGTTGACATCACGGGCTGCTAGATTCGTAATAGAAATACTCTTACTTTGAGCGGTGCTGCAGACCTGTATCCCAAAACACTTACCGTGGATGACATATAGTTTTGAATCATCCATATCGGAATTTAAGATCAATACCAGCTAATACGAACAAGCTAGATGGAGAGTTCGAGGGGTCTTACTGTTAGGCGACGTACCATATTCAACTATACGCATGGGATAATGCCCGCCGATCAGCTTCCCCACTTCCAACCGATCAACCAACCAACTTATGTCTTTTTGCGCTCGCATAAAATGCAACTATGCCGTGGGTTTTAGGCTGGCGGCAAGCTGTATGGGGCCGTTAACCGCTTTCAATTTGGGCTAAATTTGGTCACGATGTTTCAAAGCAAGTATAGTACAGCGTCTAAGATCAATTTCCCGTGCTTCATGCTATCACTTCGTGGCCTCGCTTTTACTAAATCTGCCGGCGCGTAACTGATATACCATCCGATATCGCCGACCCATCACCTTTACAGATCCTAGATATAAATTGATCGGACAGTTCGATCTGATTGTGATTCCCATCACTCTTTTCCTTTTACGAGGTCGAATTCACTCCAATATTCTCTCTGCGCTTTTTGGCTCACGCAAAAACACATCTTTAAAATTCTCTTTTATCGCAGACTACATCAGAAACAATGCCCCGCACCTCCATCTAGCCATATTCTCGAACGGTGCGCGGCCCCGCCCATTATGCTGTTTTCGTCCCTACGGGTGATGCGGGTAACGAAGGGAAACTTATCCATGTCACCGGGACTACAGCCACCGGATTCTTCCGGGAGTTCAAGCGCAATTACGACTTCAGTGTGACCCAACGCAAGCACCATATTATACCTCTGGCACAAGTCGACGAGCGGTTTATTACTGATACTGTGGGTAATGGACAGCCGGGAGTCGACACAACGGCGCGTGATCGACTGGAGTCGGTCGCCACAGTTGTTCAGCCTCCTGGCCGCAGTCCCAACCCTTTCGACCCATCGGTATGTAAACCTACTTTATTATAATGGCCATCTCTAACAGAGCTTCTGCCATAGGCTCCTAATTGCCAAGATTGGCTGCAAAATTACGTCCAAAAGCTTGTCGAGGAAGGTTTCATTGGTGGCAGCGCCATCTCCGTTGTCCAAAATGCTCCAAAGCTACTGTGATTCAGGCGGCCCCGGGATTTCGTCGCGTCTGCGATGTGGATTCCTTGCTCTCTTGATTTTCTTCGAGCTCTCCGCTTTCCGTGGTTACTTGTTGTTTACTTTCGACGTCGTTATTCTATTTCAAATTAAGAAAAGACATCAATAGTTCATGGAGCCATAGTAGAGCTGTTCAACACACCATTCATGCTTACTAAATCGGTACCGCATTTATCAGTAATATTAAGCTTTTTGTTTCGGGGGCTGCTCGTTGACTTACACACATGTGATGCTATACGCACGATTCACCAGTTATATATAAAGCCTCGAAGCAATCCTATGCTTTGCATGACTATAAAACCTAATAATATAACGCTACCTTAATCTTAACACCCCATGGCCATTGTGTAGTAGTCCCATGGATCCCAAGTGCTGGTAAACTGACACAAAATCATTGGCAAGTATATTTTGGACCATTCGTCATTCCTATCAGCAGTATACTGTGCTTTTCTGGCCTCCCAGTATGCAGGTAGCCAGCCTGACTGTTCCCAATCGACGATTGCAAGAACATGATAGGGCTCAGAGCGTGTTATCAAGATGTTGCTGCGGTGGAGATCGCCATGCGTAAACTTGATGGCACTATCATCAGGCAGATCCTGACGGAACGGTTCGATTGGAACAGAATATGGATCGAGCATTGGCTTTCGATATAGGAAAGTGAACCAGTCATGAAAGTTCTGAACGGTATTGAACGGCCCTGCTTCGGACATGGACTCGACGTGAAATGCTCTATCATAGAGTGGAGCTCGTACAATGTTACCTGTACGCGGAAAAAAAGTCAGACAATGCAATTCAGGAAAAGCAAAGTCTTTCAAGAGAGCCCTACCTATGAATGGATCTGCTGGATTCTGTTCAAGTTGCCGAATGTTGTTGTAGATTGTCCGAAGCTCACAACAGACCGAAACACGGTCATTAGGTCCCAGCATATCCCACCCTTGCTCCAGAGTTTGCGCATGCAAATACTCCATATAAATAAATATTTCGTCGCCATCCTCCCGCCACCCGTATACCTCTGGAACCAGAACATGCTCTTTGAGGAGTTGGCCTATAGCATAGAGGCACTGGCCCTCTGAAATTTTCACAGCACCTCCCCATTTGACAAACAGTCCTAGATCCTTGAATATCACAGGTGGTGGTCGCACATGAGGGCCGACCATCGAGAAGGTTTTTCTATTGTCTGGATGGACTCCTGCGAGATGTTGAGCTTTGGCTTGCATGCGGACTTCTTCCGGAGAAGGCAGGTTGGTGAAGTTCTTGAAGAATTGAGAATCTTTCACGTCGAAATTGGGGGATTTTGGTATCATCAGAGGCGTCAATAATATGCGTTCTTGTTGGATGGGTACCCCGCATTTCGAACCGCGTGGCAGCATATTGACCATAGGAAAAGCCGAGAGATAAGGAAGCGTGTTCAAATTGAAATTGATGTTGAGTCGGCAGTTGTTGGCGTTGTTCGTTTGAAATCACCACGCATCACAACGGGAAAGGGAGCATCGAGGATGTGGAAGGGAAAGTCGCCTTACGATTTGGTTTGCAGTGTTTGCAATACATGATCCCTTCCCGTGCCAGCCTTTCGTGGGTCGTGAGGGCTGGCACGGTTACCGCAGCTCAAATGGGATAGATCAGCAGGGTAGCCAGGCCGTCGTGACAGAGCCCATATAGCAGGCAGAATCAGGCAAATGAATCAATCATTTGCGGATTTGGGTCGACTAACCACAATTCCCCTTCGTGTCTCGCGGTGTCGGTGAAATTTCCCTCGGTAGGGCTCCGAAAGGAATATGAATGATATGAATTGAATAGTTATTCATATTCGCGAAATTCATGAATATATGAATAATTCATATTTATTCATATACTGAGTCAGCATACATTACCGTTTATTTTGTTACATCTCAGTACAGCAACCAAAATTCATGAACTCAACTTGCGTTACAAATATGTGAATGGCTTTGTTCCTACATACACAAGGAAATACAACGAAGGAATTCACCATTTCAGATTTCAAGTAAATTGTAGAGACATGATTGTTGATTTCACGTGTTCTGGAGGCGACCCCTCAAGGTGAAAATATAGCGAAGCTCATCTAAGTGCTAATAAATAGTTGGATCCCTAACTTTCAGAGCACGATAAAATCCCCTGTATTCTTCTCCGAGATCTACTTCACCAAATAAACCCGTTCCATCCACGAATTCTAGGATATAGGTCAAAATCACTATCCAGTAGGTTTCATAAACAGTGTTATAATCTCGGCAGAGTAGAAGGATCAAAGCCTCGCAAAACCTCACAGCATGCGGGATCCGCACAAATGAAAGTTCCAGAGGGAACCGTCCTCGACTATGACCTGGAACTGCTGATAGAAGGGAAGGATCCGAGGCACTAAGAATACCCGAGGACTTCTTGAAGTGATAAAACCCAGCATCCTCAAATTCTAAAAGTATATCTAATTTATGATACAGAGAAATCACAAGCTCCTTATCAATGTGCAGATGCCCAGAAGGAGGCAGAGTATGAGATTTATATATAAATGGGCAGCCCAGGCCTTACTTGCAATAAAGGAATCCGGATTCCTTCAGAGAGGATAAGGCAGTGGCTACATACCCGTCGGGGATAACGAAAGCCACATCCTGCGTAAATTTAGTTAATGACCCAAAATGGAATCACAGAATACCGACGTCAATGATTGAGGGGACCCTATAGACAGTTAACAAATAGTTGCCCCAAAGCAGGTTTAGTATACCGGCGGAGTTTAGAATTCGATATATCATTGCGACAAATTCATTGCCAATCGAGCCAGCTTCAGGCTGAGGGTCAGTCATGGTTGTAATAAATCAGAGATCATACAACTGCTGGCTTATGTGTAAAGGGCGCATGAGGCGAGTTTTTAGGGTATGTAGCTCATCAGGTCATCAGGTCACCTGGTGACCTGATGACCTGATGACCCACATTTGGTTATACCCGGTGATTACTAGTAATTACTAGTAGTTTATACCTTAAACTGAAAATTCTGAAACTCCTATATTTGTTATGTATTGGAATATAGACCAATGCTACATAGAAAGATCTATCCTTATATTCAACATATAAGACCAGATTGCATTGATCACGTGACCAGATTTTTCTTCTATCAAAATGATGTTTTGACCACTTCTGATTCTGGTCCGCGGCCCTCCCCCAAACGATAGGCGGGACCATTTTCCTTTAGAGGTAAATGGTCCGCCTTCAGGTATGAATGGTCCGTTCCTTCGGGGGTGCCTTCGGGCATGCCTTGCCCGCGGACTTCGACTATGGTCTTCGGACCTCGGTGAACAGACTTCGACCCTCGGTCCCCTTAAGGATAGGCGGACCACTTTCCCTTAGGGGTAAAATGGTCCACCTTTGGGCATGTATAGCCTGATCCTGCGGGGGCGCTTTCGTGGTGGCTTAGACCGTCGATCCTTGATATCATTCTTTTCGCTTCTCTTCGGTTCCCTTCTTTGCCACCTTCATTATGTTGCTGCCTAGTGTTTGTACGTTATTTGTATGTTATTCTAGACGTCATTTCTAGGCTATCCTAGCCTATAAATACGTCCTTCTTTTCTAGCAGATAGAATCAAGTCAGTTCTACTTTCCTGAAGTCAGTTCTACTTTCCTGAAGTCAGTTCTACTTTCCTGAAGTCAGTTCTACTTTCCTGAAGTCAGTTCTACTCTCCTTAAGTCATTGTCCACTTTCCAAAGTCATCTCTACCTTCTTCTATCCTTCTTCCTTTGATCCTCAGGACTGTGGTTCTGCCTTCGTTTAGGCTACATCTGCTTATAGTCTATCCTACGACCTTTGACCTTCTACCTTTGTCTGGCACCGACTGACCTCGTCGGACTAAGGTTGATCCCACGGACTTAAGGGGCCACGATCTGCTTCGTGGTAGCTTTACCCTTATATCCCAACAATAACTAATAGGAATAAAAAATTAATAAAATTATAGATATTTAACTATATTATCGGAAGCTTTAATATAAGGCTTAGTAGATCGGAATTAAGGACAATAACTAATATCCTATAAGTAATTTTAAAAATACTCTAAATAAGCTAATAGCTTTTTATAAGCGTTATTTAGCCTTACCTAGACCGCCTATATAGTTATTAATATAATTAGACGCTACTTTAAATAATTACTTTATAAATAATTATCTAGATAATAGAAAATTAGAGCCTTAAGGCGAGCCTCTTTAAAAAGGGGGACTATATAACATGTAACTATCTTATAGCCTAAGGAAGGCCTAAGGGGGAATATAGTCTAGAAGGAGCTATAGGTCTAACCTAATTAGGTATAGAAGTAGTTTTGTTTCGTAGTGACTCGTTTCCCTCTTTCTCTCTTCTTCTTCTTCTTCAGTTTAGTTGCTTCTGTTAATGATACACGAATTCTTCTTCGTCCTAGTCGGTAACAATACCTAGATATTAGAGAGAATAGATAATAACGGTATACCTAATTTTCTATCCTAAGTACCCTAAGTAAAGAGTAAGCTAATCCCTAAGTAACTATAAGTACTTAGAGGAGCGCTCCCTAAGCACTTAGTAAGTATACTATAAAAGTAGATCGAAGCAGATTACGCATTACTTTAATAACTAATATTCTAGTAAATAGGACGCTTAAAACGGCGTCAAAAGTAGCCTTTTTCGGCGCCCAATTTACCGTCACTTAGCGTTAGGGTGTAGAGGTATAATATATACTTTTTGAATTTTAGGTTCTCCTACCATATACAAGCCTTTTTTGGTTCATTCAAGGTCTTCTCTGCCCTGCTGAAACCTTAAGGCTCGGCAATCCAGACAAAAAAATATATCTAGGAGGGGCAACCCCATTCCAGGAATGGCTAGCGGGGTAGGGCCAGTTCAATTCCATACAAAGAAGGAAAAGCGGTGTGAAGGTGCCCAATATGCCCTTCAATAGCAAGCTCTCCGCAGAAATGAAACTAAAGGTACTTGTCTTTCTCCATTCCCCATCGTGAACCGTTTATTTTTCCTCTTCGAAATGAGCTCAGCTCCTTGCGCAGCTTGTAGCTGGACCACTGATCGCCAAAACCATTCCAACTATCACAGCTATTTCAAACTATTCTATGAAGCAGGCGACCGAGGCGTCTAGTCGTTAGGCTCAAAATTGATATTGAAAGACCGAGGTTCTAGCCTTCCGACCTTCGAAGTGCCGAATATTCAATTCGTCCAGGAACAGATATCTATCCCTGTTCCCGCCGTTGTGGAGTCTTGGAAGGCAATCACACCCTTATATTGATGCGACGCATCCCCGGCGAACCCCTCAATGAAGCTTGGCCGAAGCTTTCCGTGGATGAAAAAGAGAGGGTAGCAAAGCAGACCGCTAAGCATCTACAATAACTCCGCACGCTCCAGTCTAATAAAATTCAATCTCTTGGTGGCCGTCCGATATTTTCTAACTTCCTGTTTAAAGATAACGATCATAAGACTCCTCACGGTCCTCTGGTATCCAATAATAATCTTTGGGATAATATAGAACGTGGATTAAAAGATAAAATCCCTGAAGCTATACGAATACGGCTTTGACATTATATACCTTCCGCTACGCCTTATACCTTCACGTATAGAGACCTCACTAATTTAAATATTATTATTAAGAATAGCTACCTTACTAATATAATTTATTGGGAGATGTCTGGATTCTTCCCGGTATAGTGGGAATATACGTGTACCTCGATTCCTAATAGCGAGGAGGACAGGGAGTGGAAGGTGTGACGCATGAATGTCTTGTGGCCTGAGAGAGGCCTGAGGGGGAACGTGATCTGGAAGGAGCCGTGGGTCTACCCGATTCGGGATAGAAGTGGGTTTGTTTCGTAGATACTCATTTCCCTCTTTCTCTCTTCTTTTTCTTCTCTAGTTTAGTTGCTTCTATTAATGATACACGAATTCTTCTTCGTCTTGGTCGGTAATATATAACTAAACTTATCTTTTCTCTTTCTCGTCGCCTCTGGGTGTAGTCTAGATATCAGATACTTCGCTATCGCTATCTCGCCCCACTAGTGACACCCTTTAACGAATCGGAACCGAGCGAACGAACCCCGAACCGAACCTTTGCCGAACGCTATAACGGAACGACGTTATAGTTAAAGGAACCGACACTTATACGAAGTCTAAGTCGCGTGACCGACGTGGGAGACGTATCGTACTAACTAAGAACCTTCTCTCTGAGGAGGGGGATAATAAGGAGAATATCTAAGAGAAGCTCGCTAAGGAATAGGAGCTACCTAAGTTCTTAATCCTATCTTAGAACCTATTAAGATATTATAATACGATTAGCTTTAAGATCGATAACCTAGAGGCTAAGGACCTTATTTACTAGGAGTTTTACTCTAAGGATTAGTTCCGAAAGAA